AAGCCCAAGCCTAAGCCTAAGCCTAAGCCTAAGCCTAAGCCTAAGCCTAAGCCTAAGCCTGCCCAAGCCCAGCCTAAGCCTAAGCCTAAGCCTAAGCCTAAGCCTAAGCCTAAGCCTAAGCCTAAGCCTAAGCCTGCTCGCTAAGCCTAAGCCTAAGCCTAAGCCTAAGCCTAAGCCTGCCTAAGCCTAAGCCTAAGCCTAAGCCTAAGCTCAAGCCTAAGCCTAAGCCTAAGCCTAAGCCTAAGCCTAAGCCTAAGCCTAAGCCTAAGCCTAAGCCTAAGCCTAAGCCTAAGCCTAAGCCTAAGCCTAAGCCCAAGCCTAAGCCTAAGCCTAAGCCTAAGCCTAAGCCTAAGCCTAAGCCTAAGCCTAAGCCTAAGCCTAAGCCTAAGCCTAAGCCTAAGCCTAAGCCCAAGCCTAAGCCTAAGCCTAAGCCTAAGCCTAAGCCTAAGCCTAAGCCTAAGCCTAAGCCTAAGCCTAAGCCTAAGCCTAAGCCTAAGCCTAAGCCTAAGCCTAAGCCTAAGCCTAAGCCTAAGCCTGCTCTGCGCTCCAAGCCTAAGCCTAAGCCTCAAGCCTCAAGCCTAAGCCTAAGCCTAAGCCTAAGCCTAAGCCTAAGCCTAAGCCTAAGCCTAAGCCTAAGCCTAAGCCTAAGCCTAAGCCTAAGCCTAAGCCTAAGCCTAAGCCTAAGCCTAAGCCTAAGCCTAAGCCTAAGCCTAAGCCCAAGCCTAAGCCTAAGCCTAAGCCTAAGCCTAAGCCTAAGCCTAAGCCTAAGCCTAAGCCTAAGCCTAAGCCTAAGCCTAAGCCTAAGCCTAAGCCTAGCCTGCCTAAGCCTAAGCCTAAGCCTAAGCCTAAGCCTAAGCCTAGCCTAGCCTAAGCCTAAGCCTAAGCCTAAGCCTAAGCCTAAGCCTAAGCCCTCTGCCAAGCCTAAGCCTAAGCCTGCCAGCCTAAGCCTAAGCCTAAGCCTAAGCCGCCAGCCAAGCCTAAGCCTAAGCCTAAGCCTAAGCCTAAGCCTAAGCCTAAGCCTAAGCCTAAGCCTAAGCCTGCCTGCCTAAGCCTAAGCCTAAGCCTAAGCCTAAGCCTAAGCCTAAGCCTAAGCCTAAGCCTAAGCCCAAGCCTAAGCCTAAGCCTAAGCCTAAGCCTGCCTGCCTAAGCCTAAGCCTAAGCCTCAAGCCTAAGCCTAAGCCTAAGCCTAAGCCTAAGCCTAAGCCTAAGCCTAAGCCTAAGCCTAAGCCTAAGCCTAAGCCTAAGCCTAAGCCTAAGCCTAAGCCTAAGCCTAAGCCTAAGCCTAAGCCTAAGCCTAAGCCTAAGCCTAAGCCTAAGCCTAAGCCTAAGCCTAAGCCTAAGCCTAAGCCTAAGCCTAAGCCTAAGCCTAAGCCTAAGCCTAAGCCTAAGCCTAAGCCTAAGCCTAAGCCTAAGCCTAAGCCTAAGCCTAAGCCTAAGCCTAAGCCTAAGCCTAAGCCTAAGCCTAAGCCTAAGCCTAAGCCTAAGCCTAAGCCTAAGCCTAAGCCTAAGCCTAAGCCTAAGCCTAAGCCTAAGCCTAAGCCTAAGCCTAAGCCTAAGCCTAAGCCTAAGCCTAAGCCTAAGCCTAAGCCTAAGCCTAAGCCCTCAAGCCTAAGCCTAAGCCTAAGCCTAAGCCTAAGCCTAAGCTTCCAAGCCTAAGCCTAAGCCTAAGCCTAAGCCTAAGCCTAAGCCTAAGCCTAAGCCTAAGCCTAAGCCTAAGCCTAAGCCTAAGCCTAAGCCCAAGCCTAAGCCTAAGCCTAAGCCTAAGCCTAAGCCTAAGCCTAAGCCTGCCCAAGCCTAAGCCTAAGCCTAAGCCTAAGCCTAAGCCTAAGCCTGCCTAAGCCTAAGCCTAAGCCTAAGCCTAAGCCTAAGCCTAAGCCTAAGCCTAAGCCTAAGCCTAAGCCTAAGCCTAAGCCTAAGCCCAAGCCTAAGCCTAAGCCTAAGCCTAAGCCTAAGCCTAAGCCTAAGCCTAAGCCTAAGCCTAAGCCTAAGCCTAAGCCTAAGCCTAAGCCTAAGCCTAAGCCTAAGCCTAAGCCTAAGCCTAAGCCTAAGCCTAAGCCTAAGCCTAAGCCTAAGCCTAAGCCTAAGCCTAAGCCTAAGCCTGCTTCAAGCCTAAGCCTAAGCCTAAGCCTAAGCCTAAGCCTAAGCCTAAGCCTAAGCCTAAGCCTAAGCCTAAGCCTAAGCCTAAGCCTAAGCCTAAGCCTAAGCCTAAGCCTAAGCCTAAGCCTAAGCCTAAGCCTAAGCCTAAGCCTAAGCCTAAGCCTAAGCCTAAGCCTAAGCCTAAGCCTAAGCCTAAGCCTAAGCCTAAGCCTAAGCCTAAGCCTAAGCCTAAGCCTAAGCTTAAGCCTAAGCCTAAGCCTAAGCCTAAGCCTGCCTCAAGCCTAAGCCTAAGCCTAAGCCTAAGCCCAAGCCTAAGCCTAAGCCTAAGCCTAAGCCTAAGCCTAAGCCTAAGCCTAAGCCTAAGCCTAAGCCTAAGCCTAAGCCTAAGCCTAAGCCTAAGCCTAAGCCTAAGCCTAAGCCTAAGCCTAAGCCTAAGCCTAAGCCTAAGCCTAAGCCTAAGCCCAAGCCTAAGCCTAAGCCTAAGCCTAAGCCTAAGCCTAAGCCTAAGCCTAAGCCTAAGCCTAAGCCTAAGCCTAAGCCTAAGCCTAAGCCTAAGCCTAAGCCTAAGCCTAAGCCTAAGCCTAAGCCTAAGCCTAAGCCTAAGCCTAAGCCTAAGCCTAAGCCTAAGCCTAAGCCTAAGCCTAAGCCTAAGCCTAAGCCTAAGCCTAAGCCTAAGCCTAAGCCTAAGCCTAAGCCTAAGCCTAAGCCTAAGCCTAAGCCTAAGCCTAAGCCTAAGCCTAAGCCTAAGCCTAAGCCTCAAGCCTAAGCCTAAGCCTAAGCCTAAGCCTAAGCCTAAGCCTAAGCCTAAGCCTAAGCCTAAGCCTAAGCCTAAGCCTAAGCCTAAGCCTAAGCCTAAGCCTAAGCCTAAGCCTAAGCCTAAGCCTAAGCCTAAGCCTAAGCCTAAGCCTAAGCCTAAGCCTAAGCCTAAGCCTAAGCCTAAGCCTAAGCCTAAGCCTAAGCCTAAGCCTAAGCCTAAGCCTAAGCCTAAGCCTAAGCCTAAGCCTAAGCCTAAGCCTAAGCCTAAGCCTAAGCCTAAGCCTAAGCCTAAGCCTAAGCCTAAGCCTAAGCCTAAGCCTAAGCCTAAGCCTAAGCCTAAGCCTAAGCCTAAGCCTAAGCCTAAGCCTAAGCCTAAGCCTAAGCCTAAGCCTAAGCCTAAGCCTAAGCCTAAGCCTAAGCCTCAAGCCTAAGCCTAAGCCTAAGCCTAAGCCTAAGCCTAAGCCTAAGCCTAAGCCTAAGCCTAAGCCTAAGCCTAAGCCTAAGCCTAAGCCTAAGCCTAAGCCTAAGCCTAAGCCTAAGCCTCAAGCCTAAGCCTAAGCCTAAGCCTAAGCCTAAGCCTAAGCCTAAGCCTAAGCCTAAGCCTAAGCCTAAGCCTAAGCCTCAAGCCCTAAGCCTAAGCCTAAGCCTAAGCCTAAGCCTAAGCCTAAGCCTAAGCCTAAGCCTAAGCCTAAGCCTAAGCCTAAGCCTAAGCCTAAGCCTAAGCCTAAGCCTAAGCCTGCCCAAGCCTAAGCCTAAGCCTAAGCCTAAGCCTAAGCCTAAGCCTAAGCCTAAGCCTTAAGCCTAAGCCTAAGCCTAAGCCTAAGCCTAAGCCTAAGCCTAAGCCTAAGCCCTAAGCCTAAGCCTAAGCCTAAGCCTAAGCCTAAGCCTAAGCCTAAGCCTAAGCCTAAGCCTAAGCCTAAGCCTAAGCCTAAGCCTAAGCCTAAGCCTAAGCCTAAGCCTAAGCCTAAGCCTAAGCCTAAGCCTAAGCCTAAGCCTGCCTAAGCCTAAGCCTAAGCCTAAGCCTAAGCCTAAGCCTAAGCCTAAGCCTAAGCCTAAGCCTAAGCCTAAGCCTAAGCCTAAGCCTAAGCCTAAGCCTAAGCCTAAGCCTAAGCCTAAGCCTAAGCCTAAGCCTAAGCCTAAGCCTAAGCCTAAGCCTAAGCCTAAGCCTAAGCCTAAGCCTAAGCCTAAGCCTAAGCCTAAGCCTAAGCCTAAGCCTAAGCCTAAGCCTAAGCCTAAGCCTAAGCCTAAGCCTAAGCCTCAAGCCTAAGCCTAAGCCTCAAGCCTAAGCCTAAGCCTAAGCCTAAGCCTAAGCCTAAGCCTAAGCCTAAGCCTAAGCCTAAGCCTAAGCCTAAGCCTAAGCCTAAGCCTAAGCCTAAGCCTAAGCCTAAGCCTAAGCCTAAGCCTAAGCCTAAGCCTAAGCCTAAGCCTAAGCCTAAGCCTAAGCCTAAGCCTAAGCCTAAGCCTAAGCCTAAGCCTAAGCCTAAGCCTAAGCCTAAGCCTAAGCCTAAGCCTAAGCCTAAGCCTAAGCCTAAGCCTAAGCCTAAGCCTAAGCCTAAGCCTAAGCCTAAGCCTAAGCCTAAGCCTAAGCCTAAGCCTAAGCCTAAGCCTAAGCCTAAGCCTAAGCCTAAGCCTAAGCCTAAGCCTAAGCCTAAGCCTAAGCCTAAGCCTAAGCCTAAGCCTAAGCCTAAGCCTAAGCCTAAGCCTAAGCCTAAGCCTAAGCCTAAGCCTAAGCCTAAGCCTAAGCCTAAGCCTAAGCCTAAGCCTAAGCCTAAGCCTAAGCCCAAGCCTAAGCCTAAGCCTAAGCCTAAGCCTAAGCCTAAGCCTAAGCCTAAGCCTAAGCCTAAGCCTAAGCCTAAGCCTAAGCCTAAGCCTAAGCCTAAGCCTAAGCCTAAGCCTAAGCCTAAGCCTAAGCCTAAGCCTAAGCCTAAGCCTAAGCCTAAGCCTAAGCCTAAGCCTAAGCCTAAGCCTAAGCCTAAGCCTAAGCCTAAGCCTAAGCCTAAGCCTAAGCCTAAGCCTAAGCCTAAGCCTAAGCCTAAGCCTAAGCCTAAGCCTAAGCCTAAGCCTAAGCCTAAGCCTAAGCCTAAGCCTAAGCCTAAGCCTAAGCCTAAGCCTAAGCCTAAGCCTAAGCCTAAGCCTAAGCCTAAGCCTAAGCCTAAGCCTAAGCCTAAGCCTAAGCCTAAGCCTAAGCCTAAGCCTAAGCCTAAGCCTAAGCCTAAGCCTAAGCCTAAGCCTAAGCCTAAGCCTAAGCCTGCTCTAAGCCTAAGCCTAAGCCTAAGCCTAAGCCTAAGCCTAAGCCTAAGCCTAAGCCTAAGCCTAAGCCTAAGCCTAAGCCTAAGCCTAAGCCTAAGCCTAAGCCTAAGCCTAAGCCTAAGCCTAAGCCTAAGCCTAAGCCTAAGCCTAAGCCTAAGCCTAAGCCTAAGCCTAAGCCTAAGCCTAAGCCTAAGCCTAAGCCTAAGCCTAAGCCTAAGCCTAAGCCTAAGCCTAAGCCTAAGCCTAAGCCTAAGCCTAAGCCTAAGCCTAAGCCTAAGCCTAAGCCTAAGCCTAAGCCTAAGCCTAAGCCTAAGCCTAAGCCTAAGCCTAAGCCTAAGCCTAAGCCTAAGCCTAAGCCTAAGCCTAAGCCTAAGCCTAAGCCTAAGCCTAAGCCTAAGCCTAAGCCTAAGCCTAAGCCTAAGCCTAAGCCTAAGCCTAAGCCTAAGCCTAAGCCTAAGCCTCAAGCCTAAGCCTAAGCCTAAGCCTAAGCCTAAGCCTAAGCCTAAGCCTAAGCCTAAGCCTAAGCCTAAGCCTAAGCCTAAGCCTAAGCCTAAGCCTAAGCCTAAGCCTAAGCCTAAGCCTAAGCCTAAGCCTAAGCCTAAGCCTAAGCCTAAGCCTAAGCCTAAGCCTAAGCCTAAGCCTAAGCCTAAGCCTAAGCCTAAGCCTAAGCCTAAGCCTAAGCCTAAGCCTAAGCCTAAGCCTAAGCCTAAGCCTAAGCCTAAGCCTAAGCCTAAGCCTAAGCCTAAGCCTAAGCCTAAGCCTAAGCCTAAGCCTAAGCCTAAGCCTAAGCCTAAGCCTAAGCCTAAGCCTAAGCCTAAGCCTAAGCCTAAGCCTAAGCCTAAGCCTAAGCCTAAGCCTAAGCCTAAGCCTAAGCCTAAGCCTAAGCCTAAGCCTAAGCCTAAGCCTAAGCCTAAGCCTAAGCCTAAGCCTAAGCCTAAGCCTAAGCCTAAGCCTAAGCCTAAGCCTAAGCCTAAGCCTAAGCCTAAGCCTAAGCCTAAGCCTAAGCCTAAGCCTAAGCCTAAGCCTAAGCCTAAGCCTAAGCCTAAGCCTAAGCCTAAGCCTAAGCCTAAGCCTAAGCCTAAGCCTCAAGCCTAAGCCTAAGCCTAAGCCTAAGCCTAAGCCTAAGCCTAAGCCTAAGCCTAAGCCTAAGCCTAAGCCTAAGCCTAAGCCTAAGCCTAAGCCTAAGCCTAAGCCTAAGCCTAAGCCTAAGCCTAAGCCTAAGCCTAAGCCTAAGCCTAAGCCTAAGCCTAAGCCTAAGCCTAAGCCTAAGCCTAAGCCTAAGCCTAAGCCTAAGCCTAAGCCTAAGCCTAAGCCTAAGCCTAAGCCTAAGCCTAAGCCTAAGCCTAAGCCTAAGCCTAAGCCTAAGCCTCAAGCCTAAGCCTAAGCCTAAGCCTAAGCCTAAGCCTAAGCCTAAGCCTAAGCCTAAGCCTAAGCCTAAGCCTAAGCCTAAGCCTAAGCCTAAGCCTAAGCCTAAGCCTAAGCCTAAGCCTCAAGCCTAAGCCTAAGCCTAAGCCTAAGCCTAAGCCTAAGCCTAAGCCTAAGCCTAAGCCTAAGCCTAAGCCTAAGCCTAAGCCTAAGCCTAAGCCTAAGCCTAAGCCTAAGCCTAAGCCTAAGCCTAAGCCTAAGCCTAAGCCTAAGCCTAAGCCCTAAGCCTAAGCCTAAGCCTAAGCCTAAGCCTAAGCCTAAGCCTAAGCCTAAGCCTAAGCCTAAGCCTAAGCCTAAGCCTAAGCCTAAGCCTAAGCCTAAGCCTAAGCCTAAGCCTAAGCCTCAAGCCTAAGCCTCAAGCCTAAGCCTAAGCCTAAGCCTAAGCCTGCCTAAGCCTAAGCCCTAAGCCTAAGCCTAAGCCTAAGCCTAAGCCCTAAGCCTAAGCCTAAGCCTAAGCCTAAGCCTCAAGCCTAAGCCTAAGCCCTAAGCCTAAGCCTAAGCCTAAGCCTAAGCCTAAGCCTAAGCCTAAGCCTAAGCCTAAGCCTAAGCCTAAGCCTAAGCCCTAAGCCTAAGCCTAAGCCTAAGCCTAAGCCTAAGCCTAAGCCTAAGCCTCAAGCCTAAGCCTAAGCCTAAGCCCTAAGCCTAAGCCTCAAGCCTAAGCCTAAGCCCTAAGCCTAAGCCTAAGCCTAAGCCTAAGCCTAAGCCTAAGCCTAAGCCTAAGCCTCAAGCCTGCTCAAGCCTAAGCCTAAGCCTAAGCCTAAGCCTAAGCCTAAGCCTAAGCCTAAGCCTAAGCCTAAGCCTAAGCCTAAGCCTAAGCCTAAGCCTAAGCCTAAGCCTAAGCCTGCCCAAGCCTCAAGCCTGCCTAAGCCTAAGCCTAAGCCTAAGCCTAAGCCTAAGCCTAAGCCTAAGCCTAAGCCTAAGCCTAAGCCTAAGCCTAAGCCTAAGCCTAAGCCTAAGCCTAAGCCTAAGCCTAAGCCTAAGCCTAAGCCTAAGCCTAAGCCTAAGCCTAAGCCTAAGCCTAAGCCTAAGCCTAAGCCTAAGCCTAAGCCTAAGCCTAAGCCTCAAGCCTAAGCCTAAGCCTAAGCCTAAGCCTAAGCCTAAGCCTAAGCCTAAGCCTAAGCCTAAGCCTAAGCCTAAGCCTAAGCCTAAGCCCAAGCCTAAGCCTAAGCCTAAGCCTAAGCCTAAGCCTAAGCCTAAGCCTAAGCCTAAGCCTAAGCCTAAGCCTAAGCCTAAGCCTAAGCCTAAGCCTAAGCCTAAGCCTAAGCCTCAAGCCTAAGCCTAAGCCTAAGCCTAAGCCTAAGCCTAAGCCTAAGCCTAAGCCTAAGCTCTAAGCCTAAGCCTAAGCCTAAGCCTAAGCCTAAGCCTAAGCCTAAGCCTAAGCCTAAGCCTAAGCCTAAGCCTAAGCCTAAGCCTAAGCCTAAGCCTAAGCCTAAGCCTAAGCCTAAGCCTAAGCCTAAGCCTAAGCCTAAGCCTAAGCCTAAGCCTAAGCCTAAGCCTAAGCCTAAGCCTAAGCCTAAGCCTAAGCCTAAGCCTAAGCCTAAGCCTAAGCCTAAGCCTAAGCCTAAGCCTAAGCCTAAGCCTAAGCCTAAGCCTAAGCCTAAGCCTAAGCCTAAGCCTAAGCCTAAGCCTAAGCCTAAGCCTAAGCCTAAGCCTAAGCCTAAGCCTAAGCCTAAGCCTAAGCCTAAGCCTAAGCCTAAGCCTAAGCCTAAGCCTAAGCCTAAGCCTAAGCCTAAGCCTAAGCCTAAGCCTAAGCCTAAGCCTAAGCCTAAGCCTAAGCCTAAGCCTAAGCCTAAGCCTAAGCCTAAGCCTAAGCCTAAGCCTAAGCCTAAGCCTAAGCCTAAGCCTAAGCCTAAGCCTAAGCCTAAGCCTAAGCCTAAGCCTAAGCCTAAGCCTAAGCCTAAGCCTAAGCCTAAGCCTAAGCCTAAGCCTAAGCCTAAGCCTAAGCCTAAGCCTAAGCCTAAGCCTAAGCCTAAGCCTAAGCCTAAGCCTAAAAAATGGTATGTTAGGACTGCCTCAGCCCGAGTATATATATACTACATAATAAGCCTAAGCCTAATATAAAGAGATTTTTTGTGGTACTCGATCGTGTATTTATTATGTATAATATAGCATGGAGATATTTACTTTACTGTAACTCGAAGAATAACGGAGTTACAACAACAGCCAACACAGATTCTGAAAGCCCATAAAAAATGACATCTCACACTGGTTTTTCGACGCTATCTTATAAAGAGATTTTTTGTGGTACTCGATCGTATATTCATCATGTATAATATAGCATGGGAAGATTTAAATTACTGTAACTCGACGAATAATGGAGTTAGAACAACTGGGACAAACATTTTCGATTTTAGAAATCGAACACTATGCGCCCGCCAGGCCGTCACCGCACGTGTTGGCCAGACTCCCTCAAACAATTCGCTGGATCTACGTGGATGCAATATACCGATGACCAATGGATACAACTTTTGAACACCTTCCTTCGTTGTGATATAAATTGAAATGAATGAAAGGCATAGTTCTTAAAAAAAGGTTTGCTTAAAAGCTTGATTTTTCAAATTTACTTATCATTGATTATTTTATTTATTGTAATTTTGAAAAGTAAAATACAAAAACCATTTTAGAAAGACACAAACCCGAATGATATATATAGATTCGTTAAGGATTCTGCAACAACCTTACCTAAAAATACTTAACGCTAAACTTCAATAAATCTTTTAAATTGGTTTTTTACACCGACGAACGAAATAATACGTAGTTCCTTAAACTTTTTGGAATCGTGAACTCGTCCACACGTTCAAGATGTTCCGGGCCGACTTCCATTCGTATTGTGCGCCGGCAGATTTCCATTAAACTGCGTGGCCGTGCTAAAAACAAAATTTTAATTACTTATTCAAAATGTTATGTTTATTTAAGCTAATATATCTTATTAAAATTAACAACTTACGCGCAAGTGAACCCATATATTTCATTGTTATTTCGCAGTGACCCCACACAGCACACACAACTGGATACAACGTCTGTCCTTTTAAATTTCTAAAAGCTACGCCAAGATACTTTTCAGCTGTTGAAAACGCCATGTAACCTTCATCCATGTCTAAAATACAGAAAACGCTTTCGGGAGCTTGAAAGTGATTATCGACTATTGAAGGGTCCGGGTATGTCCAATGCGCCTTTGATTTTGCCATATGGAGCCCTTGATTCCGTACTGAAATTTCAGTTTTAAATTTATAACTTTAAAAATTTCAAATCTTCGAGAAATTTTTACAACTCACTTATATCCCAACCAAAACTATTTTCGTCATTGCCGATTAGTGAATGGTATCCTGCAATCTGCATCCGACAATTCTTATTGCACACTCCAATAACAGCATGGGTTCCTCGTTGTCTTACAGGCCATGTGATTTGCCAAACGTGAAACCCTCTATTGTAACCTTTTTTACCGCGAATGCAGTCCGTTGATTGAGCTACGGGATGTCTGTGTAACGTTAATTTGTCGTCTTCTCTAACGTATATGTTAACACTTTTGCCGTTCGAAGTAGAATCCCAAGCATTTTCTTCTTGAACAGTTCTTGTAGGAGCGGCTTGTGTAAACAAAATGTCAAATTTCTTCGGACGGGCATTATCATCGAGAAAGGCGTCAACGTGATAATCTGGGTGAGCTGGTGAAATTCGGCCATCGTTTTTTTGTATAGTTGAGGACGTAAAATTTTTGCGATACTCTAGCCGCAAAGAAGAGTTTTGAAAACGTTGGTACTGTCCGACTAAGTCTATCTCGTTTTGTGTATCTTTTGACGTTATACGAGCTCGTAGTCGATGAGCGTGAGTTGGGGCGAATTCAACTAAACCTCGTTGAAACTAAAATTATCTTTGACTGTAATTAGGTGAATTTTTTTATGTTTAAATAACTAGTTGAAAAAATAGTAAAAAATAATTTCTCTTTACATTTTCATACGTTATTTTAATTTAAACTTTATAAAACCCAAGATAATAATATATCACATTGTTTTTCTATACTAACAAGGAAAGTACTCAAACTGCAACTCTCAGAATTAGCTCAAAATTTTTATACGTATTCGTTGTAGTACCAGTAACACTTATTAAAAATCTTAGCTTGCGCCTTTTTTAAGTTAAAAAATTGATATATTTTAATTTTCTGCCAGTTTGGCATTGTGTTGCAAGCACTTTTTTTATTTTCCAGGTAAGATAGACAAATTTAAAAATGCAGGTTCATTTGAAGCTTTCTATCATCTATTATTATATTAAAGAAAAATAGTTAAAACTCAAAAAATGAGGAAGTTAAAAGCTTGAAAAATTATGCCAATTTGGCGGAAAATTCAAAAATCGATTTCTAGATATCGATTTTCTCAAGTCTGGCTGCAAACCGCAACTTAAAATTTTGCATATGACCTTACATTTACAAGATTTTTTAATAAAAAAATTGAACGAAAGATGAGCGTTGCAGGTTGGATACTTTCTTTGTAAGCAACGCTTACTTGAATATTTGGATATTTACAACCGAAAACTTTTATAAATTTTTATGAGTATTTCTAAATAGCCCTCAACATACAAAGCATGTAACTGGCCAAACAATAAGCATATACGCTAGATGAACACACATCTCCTTTAGCCATTTCGTCAAAAACGGTATATTATTATCATCAAGAGAAAAGTTCAATTTGTTATATGAGTTTTCATCTTCACACCTTAATACAGAGTTTGAGTTAATTGACCCGTTGTAAAAACCAGTTATTTCTTTGCCTTCTATTTTTCGTGCCATTCCTACAAATCTCTCAATATTAAAAAAACAAACGCGTTTTTAATTGTGATTTACAAATTACGTTAAAGTACGTCAATGTAAAGCGACTTAAAGTATTAATTATCCAATAATAAAAACAATTAATGCAAAATTGTTCATTAAGACCGTGCAAACTACCCGCGATTTAAAATTTTTTACGTTAAAATCCTCAGTTTGTGTAAGGATGCTCCTCACTCAAGCAGCTCTCACACACGTCAATTATTATTAAATTGTTTGATAAGAAAAAGTATCGCGAACCCAAAAATACATTTATTTTTCATTAATCGATAAGTGAACAATCTTTTTAAACTTATTTTTTAAATAAATTGCTTTATTAATATACCGTTTAGGCGCATTAACAATACCTATTCGTTTTAAAAATCAAAAAAGAGATGTCAGGAACGTCGCTACGGTTTTTCTGGGAAACGGGGAGGTCGGCACCACAGGACCTGTGGTCAAATTTGAATAAATAAATCTTTGGAAATTTTAGATTTTTAAAGGAAAAAAAGGTAAAACTTGACCTTCAAATTGGTAAAGTTTCTTTCTAAAAAACCATTTGAAAAAATTAAAAATAAATTCGAAAAATAATAACTTTTAAGCTAAAAATTTCCAATGGTGATACTTTTCCTACTTTTTTGTCATCTTTCTTGCTGAATGTAGTGGATTTTACTAGATTCTACCCCGTTCACCCCCTCTAGCAATCACTTATTATTGAACATTTTTAATATTTCTGAAATTATCGCCATTCAAATTTAAAAAAGCTATAAGGAAAACCATATGACCTTACTGATAAAAAAATAAGCACGCTGTCTCCGAAACATCAATTTTAAGGCTTTCAAAAATAAAAATGCTTAGAATTATTTTTACTGGTCATCTAAACAATATTTGCCTTATTTAAAATGAAATCTTAATTTACAATCAACGGCCGAATTTACATATAGAAAACCGCCTATAAATAAACTGGCTTTAAAAGACTTTGGTTATTGCTGAGTACAAAGTTAACATACTTTATAACAAACAGCCAAACTTATTTTCCTCTTTTTGGGTAACAGAGATTACAGACTTTTTTTGGCAATATCCTTTAGATACGACGCGTCGACAATAATATTATTAAGAATTAAAACCGGTTTCTACCTCACCTCCCTCCCCCCCCCCTCCCCCTCCCCAGTTAATATAAAATTAAAGATAGTAATTTTCATTAAATGAGAAAAACGTTATTTCATTTAATAATTATATTTCAACGCTAGCTTTTAAACTTTTTAGTTGTTTCAACCGTAATTTCGTGCAAAACCTCAAAAATAATAGTATTAGTTACATATACTTTATACAAAAGTGTTGGTGAGCAAAAATTGTTTTATAAGTTCAGCACTTGTTTCAATAAGACACAAAAAATATTTTTTTTGTTCGTACTATTTTACGTTTTTTATCTTTTTTAAACTTCATTAAAATTTTATGAACGTTGAAAAGAAATGCATAGCAATACAAGAAAATAGTTTTAAAAATGTATTCATTTTGTATAATATTTTTCTGCATTGTAATCAGGAAAGTACCTCACATGCCCCACTCAGAACAAGCTCAAAGTGTTTATATAAATTATTTCCACCGCTAATAGAACAGATAAAAATTTTTAATTAAAACTTTAGGTTCACCTAAAGGTTTTCTACTACTATAGTAATATCTCTTTATAATAAGCAACACGAAAGAATCGACATTTTATGCTTTCTATATAGGGTTTTGTCTTTACAAAGTGATTTTTGGTGCATGATGGTTCACTACATAGGCAGACAACGGTATATTAAAAAATGTTTAAAAGTAAAAAAATGACAGTTATATGCTTGAAACGCAATGTTTGGCGGTAAATTCAGAATTAATTTTTAATCCGAGGGTTTTATATTTACATGGTCGTTCTATATAAAACGTTTGAACTCAATAAGAGGGGGACAGATCCAGCACCAACCTTGTAAATCTTTACAATTATTTTCAAACTTACTGACTGCACCGTTGCGCTGTTTACAATCCTTTGTCGCAATTTTTGGCTTGCTGAAAGACGTAAAGGAGAAGTTGTAGCACTTTGAGATTGAAAATGTCGTCGTCGCCAATTTTGGCACAAAGGTATTTGAAGATCTTGTTTTTGCAAGTCCTCCTCATCGCTGCGACAACTTAGCAAATCAGGTGTTGCGTGATAAGAAGACGAGTTTAATTCATTTGACGGGGAGAATGGACGGCAGTTTTCAGCTAAATATATATATAGGTTATTCTTAAAAGTTATAAATCATTGTGTTATTAAATAATTTTATTAATCAAAAGTTTAAAATTTTCAACACAAAATTATTGCACTATTATATAGCAAAATATTAGTGTATTAATTTCAAACACGAAACCTACTGCTGCTAGCAATATTGATAAGTGATCTTTTCGCGAGACACGTAATTTTTCTTATTTATAAGATAATTAAAATGTCGTACGAACCTACCATTCTTAAAACTGACTCGCGCTTTTATACCTGCAACGCTGAGCATAGCCAACGTTTTTTTAAATCAACACTAATAAATAATCTGACCAGTGGTTACTTCGGCGACCTTAATTTTTGTTTTCGTAAGCGAACAAAGACATGGAGGTTAGGTAGCAAACAATAATAACCAAAGAGTGAGTGGTTTTTGCCAAATTCATAAATAAGTTATTTAAAGAATGTCAAAATGCACTTAGTTAGTTTGAAAACCCATGGTTTTATAAACTAATTATGTTACTACTTACGTAAAGACGTAATAGCAATGAAGTTTATTTTAAAATTTTAAAAATTTTCGACAAGAAACATCCCCTATGTATCTTATGAATTCTTTGTAGTATAAGAAAATAGTGAAATACCAATAAACAAACCTTTTTTATCACTTTGTATGTGTTGCTTGTAGTTTAATAACTTTGCGTTTTCAGTTCTCAAAGCACTTATTTGTTCTCGATGATGAACTATGACACTGGTCGATTGAATATTTGTAGTACGACGAACCTTACGCCTAAACGTCAAGGCATCTATTTGTTCTTTGTCATCTTTTTGACCAATGTACATAACGTGACGTGAGTTTGAGAAGCCAGTTTTTGAATTGTGTACGCCGGACCCTGCGGAAAACGAATTGTCTTCTCGAGACCGTTTTCTGGGCGAAACTTTCTTTGTTTCTTCAATATCAAATGACACCAAAGAAGGAGATCGAATATTTGGTTGGTTACTTTGCTGATTGGATTGCTGTTCTTGTACTAACCGTAGCATAACGCGGCATAAATGTCCCCTGGTTTGGAGCTCGGCACTGGTAGATAATAAATCTTCATAGGTTGGCGCTTTAGACAGATCTTCACACCGTAATGAATGTTCCAAAATACTAGCAGTGATCATTTCCATAGACAATGGAGGTATTCGACTTTGTGATTCCATGACAATACAATGTAGTTCACCTACAGAAGTCACAACATGCAAACAACACAAACTAAGGTTGATAAGCTAACTTCGACTACCTTAACAACGTTTAACAACCTAAAAGAACAATTATCAAATACACTGTAAATAAAACCGTTAAATCATTTCATACGGAGACAAGCAAAAAATTTCTCGCAAAAAATGTTCAATTGATAATTTATAAAATACGTATTACAAAAGACAAAATAAGTAACTTTTAATTCATTTTTTATCAAAACGTGTAGCGCTAAAGAAAAATCTTCAAGGATGATCCCGTCTCGTCATCGACGTTGATCATCTTCAAAAAAGAAGACAAGGCGGAAGGCGGAAACCGGTGCATCCGACCGGTTCCTCTCTCCACTCATCTGCGTTCGTCCTTTCGCATAAATCGCTATCTACTTTTCCTAACTACTTATTTAATCCCTGGTACGTTTCAAAAGTATAACTTTGGAGGCATGTATCACGTTAACTAACGTACTGTGTAGTACATTTTCCTTTAATTTTTAAAACGGTGCATAAAAAATAGCCATTCAATTAATTAAAAAAATAAATTGAATCTTTTAACATAATGTCATTTTACGTTCTTAGTCGTTCTGTTTAATGGTATACATTTCGTAAAAAGATTCCATGCAACGACATAAAATCGTAATGAAAAATAACCTTTATGTATTTTTTATTTAAAACTTAAATAAAATCTATGTACCGAAAGTGAAAATAAAAGTAACGACACATTGCGATTTTTTAAAACATCCGAATAAGATTTGAGAAAATGGGGTCAACAGCATTGCGGGTTGAATAAAAGAACAAATCCAGCCTATTTAAAAAAGGAAAGTAAGTTCGTACAATATTCGTTGTAGCAAAAAAATTTTTTGTCAAAACCTTAGTTATTGTTTCATATAGTAAAACTTTTTCATATGGTTTTACTTTATGAAACATAATATCGTATTGATCAGTTAGTTTTTAATTGAATAAATATACGTTTAACAATACCAATTGAGCCCCAGATAAAATTGCAAAAAATAAGAATTCATAATGTCATTTTATAAATATATTTCGAATTCAGGAACGTAAAATAAAGAAATAAAAAGGGAAAGTTCTGCGCGCGACAAACCAACCCCTCAAGGAATAAAAAGAGTTTCAAAAAGTCGCCCCGATTCTTAGGTCGCACTCGATTAGAAAGAGAAAAATCTGGAGCGAACACGAAATTTAAATTTTGTTCCACTTTTTGTACTTTACCTGAGTCAAATAATACAATTTTTCCTTTTATAGAAATATACGCAAAGCTTCAGCGTGTTTTATAAACCGTTTTTAAATTTCCATCCACCATAAAAAGTAAAAAATTTTTTCCAAGTTATGAATGTAATCAAAAACTAAATTCTGCTTTAGAATACAACTTTTAAAATTATTATATAATACAATCATATATAATACTTTTCTCACTTGTCATGAAAGCGACCAGATCAATTATAACCATCAAAGACAATCACCTTTCCAATTCTCACTACAAGTCTTTCGTTTTTGTCGGTCAGTGCATGCGCAGACGAAAACAAACAAATATAACGTTTTTAGCTATTTTTAGAAGTATACGATTCTATTTTTACGAAGGCGTGTTATGTGTTTTCTTTCTTTGTGTTTAGCAAATAAAATAATATTATATCAAAAATTTTAACAAAAAAAATTGTAAAAGTTTAACTTATTGTTTTGTATTTTTAGTTAATAAAAAACATCTTTGTTAAGATTCGTTTTTTTTGGCGCTGAAGCAGCTGCGGACATAGAGAATTTTCGACTTTGCGTTTGCCTAAAATTGATGTGCAAGGTCCTCATATCACTAACCTAAAGTATTTTTTCCCGTACCAAAAGTCGTATGCAAAACTAAACGTGTTTTTACTAATACGTTAGAAAACTCATTGTCAAGAGATAAAGCATATATTTATATCAGTAGATGTTTTTTGGCACGTGGTTTACGTTTTTCGCATTAATCTTTTTCTCGTCTTACTGTAAAATTGCGTTGTAGCTCATATAAATACACAAATTTACTGTAATTTTTTTTAGCAATCCGCTGAATTTTATTTAACTTTTTACTTAAGAATGTTGCCATTTTTTGTTTAAAAGTGCTAGGCAGTAGGGTGACGTGCGAAAGTGCTCGGGATCGTTTCACCCCGGGTGGTTCGGGGTGACTGCCCCCACCCCCTCCCCCCCCTCTCACAGGTGATCCGAAGAAAATCTACAGGTAGTACCTGTACGCGAAAAATCGAAAAAAAATTGGGCTTACAATGGCGTGGTTAATCAAAGTTTATGTTATTATCGAATAATAAAAAATTTCTTAATTTAGCAATAATACTTGTTTTAATTACAATTTTTACCAAATTGAATGCTCAAAAGCGCTAAATACACGTTATTTGATGCACATAGTGACAATTATAGCAAAAAGTCTTAATATTGAAACAATTTTGCTTGTGAAAACTATAAAGTTTACCTTTTTTTGCATTAGGTTTGTGTTCCTTCGGACTTGAAAAGCGTACCCCCATTTTTTTATTTTCTTTGTCACCAAACGCACGAAATCCGGAATCTGAACTTGATGAATGTGGAAACTCCTGTAGGTGTGCTGACTAAAAAGTTGCTATTAATTACATTACATAGTTCATAGTAAAATCGGGAGTCAAAAACTTTAAAGGTTCTGAAACTTTTTAAATCGCGAAAGACGTTTAACTAAAAAAAGCGAAGAATATGATCAATGTTGAATAAAATTTTTTTATCAATAACATCTGCTTCAAAATAATTTAAATTCATCATTTCACAAAATAGTTCTCATTTCTCAAGGATTTAGTTTCAACCTGAAAAATTTTGAAAAAAAAACAAAAAGTATGTTTTATCAAGTATAATTTTAAACAAAATCTTTGTTGTTTTTAGGCTTTGTACGTGAGTTTTCAACTCTTTTGTTCAGTCTACGTTTGATCAGGTTCGTCTTACCTGTTTAATACATAAAAAAATTCTTAACGAGGTTTAGCGTCCAAGACACTGTTTATCGTTGTTACAAACTTTATTTTTAAAGCTGGCTTTAATAGTCAATATATGTAAAAGACGGATGAGCTATCTATATTTTAAAAAGACTTTAAAACCGGATTTTTGTTTGTTTGTGACATTAAGATAATGTTAAATACATCTTACACGGAGGGTGCCCTACCTGCCCCGCTTTGATTGACTTCAAACTTTCTTTATAGAAAGATCATGCAAAGTTAAGAGCTTTATCAAAATACTAAATCGCGCTTTCCAGTCAATCTCGAGAAAATCGAGATCAAAGAATTACGGTTTGGATTTCCCACCATGGCATAGTGTTTCAAGCTTATAAATTCGTCATTTTTTGACTTTTAAAACAATGCCAAATTTGCCAAATTGGCGAAAAACCCAAATTTTTCAAATTTAAAACTTAAAAGCGCAAGCTAAAATTTTTTATGGGTACTATTGGTTGTACAAAGAATACATATAAAAATGGGGCAGCTAGGGTATTTGCCCTGTTAACTAAAAAAGTTTTTAATATAACTATGAAAAGCTACATATATTTATAATAAAATTTTGAAGAAATAAAACTACCTGTATTTTATTTTCAACTATTTGAAAGTATTCTCCTGCATCCCAGTCGTCTTCCATCCAATAATCACCATCGCCATCAATGGGCACTTCATCTACAATGTCCTCAATTATACTTTCATTTTCTTCATCACTATTTATTAACTGTTTGTTGTCATGCTCTGTTCTATCTAATGACGAATCACGAGACCCAAGATGTTTTACTACAGTCGCAGCTAGACGTACTGGTGATGCAGAAACAATATGCTTTTGCAACCAATCCATTAATTAACCTTAAAAATTGAGGAATAATTTAGGTTTTTTTATTCGATAATCGCAGAAGCAACACGTAGAAATTGTAAGAGAAAGTTTTTTTTTATAATATAGATCGTAATGTATAAACATTAATACTAAGCTTTAAAAAATTTTATTTTCATAGAACTCAAGAAAAAACCTCAACCCGGTCTTGACACGAAATTCTCCGGAGACTTCTCAACTTCTTTTCTTCCACGAACGAAACAAATTTGAAAAATTGCCAACCAAAAAACGAAAGGGCATTCTGTTATTGAACATCATTTTTTGCGCCAAACATTATTGAGCTTAGTAACACAGACAATATATGTAAATTATTGAATTTCTATTGGGGGAAACAATGCTTTTCAATTTTATAAATAACAAAACTATTTCTTTAATTTGTATTATTCTACAGTTTACGCTTTACGGAGTTCCAACGTAAAGAAAGTAAGACAAACCACCTTAAAATATATTTGCAGGAAGTTTGAATTCATCTTTTTTTAAATTTTTAAGTGTTAATTATTTGTTTGGACTAAATTTATGCGGAAATAAACTGAAGGATAACAAATGACGTTTTAACTTCTTTTTAACACCAACCAAAAAGTTGGCTTAAAAAGACATTATCCAAACGGCCAAACAAATCGATGCTTTGTGAAGCATTGAGTTAACAACAAGTACTATGTATTACAACGTTTTTGCGTTTTTATGTCAATCGCGTTACAAAATTTTTTTAATGCTTTTATGGTTTAAAAATAAGATACGTTTTTTAAAAAATTTTAAGCGGTGGTATCTCCCGTCTTCTCCTCGCATTAAAAATAGTTTTATGTAGTTACACACAGAAAATTTTATGAATACACTATGCTAAAAAAATTATTTCTTTCGGTGTGCTTTTTACGATAAAAACATAAAACTGTGATTTTCGTTTTAACTTTTTTTATAATAATTTATTTACATTTGAGTCAAAATGTCACGTTATATCATCATTTATTTACCCAAAATATTTTTGTCATAGCTACGGCGCTATGTGAAATGAAAAAACCATATAGCATAATATTTTTCGAAAAACTGAGATCATTAAGGTTAGTAATTTTGACACAGTATTTGGTAGCATGTGTGTTTTACGTGTGTTATCCAATGTACACTAGCATACCTATACTATATCGTACATGCAAATACGTTACGTAAGAAAAGTAAGATTAAGTGCTTATTCCATACTAACGCAATATATGTCAAATCTTAGCAATTTTGAATACAATTTAAATGTTAACAGTTGCAAAAATATTCAAAAAAATTCGTACAACTTTTCTTACTTTAAAAAATTGGTTGGTAAAGACAGAGTATAGTCACGTTAACGTTAAGAAACTTAGATAACTATTCTAAATTCAGGACTTATTTGGAGTATTTACGATAAAAAACAAAATTTGGTTTATAAGTAAACCGTTTGTCTATGTTTTGGCTGGCTCAGGCTTTTCGTCTTCAACTGGACCTAACGTATGCCATTGAGCGATCGGGCGACGCGGCGAAGCCAGCATATCCATCCAATGTCGCAACTCAGCTCCAGTGCCAGAACAACCCAGTATACATCTCCCAATAGCATCATTTGATCCCAATTTATCGTAATCCATTACCGTAATCATCAAGCTTACTTTTTGAATTTGTTCAAAAGGCACTTCAAAACTAAATGATTCGTTGTAGTATGGATTCAAAGTGCACTTCTTAATTGACGTTTTCTTTTTCTTCAACCTTTTACCGCCTTGCATTAACACTATCTTAACGTAGGGATCTGAAAATTTGAAGTTCTTATTTTTTTATCTTATGTTAAAAAACTTTACAAACTAAAATACTTTTGCATATTTTGTTATGTGTCCAACAAAAATTACCTGACAAACCACCAACGTCCATCTTTTTTAGATTTTTTGCTTCAAGCACTACAACAGTTAGTTTTCCAGCCGTAGGTACGTAACGCAATGAAAAACATATGTCGCCCAATGATTTCTCCTGAAACCAAATTTATATTTAAGAGTCATTTTTTAGGCGTTCAAGCAGCCCAAATAAATAAGAAAAATTAATTTTTGACACTTTTGTATCTAAGTGACCTACAAGAGATTCCAAAAACGTTTAAAAGACTTATAACTCTTACGGCTTCCTTGTCATCTGGAGGTGGTTGAATGTCTTTCCATTCTTCAATAACTTGTCCAAGATCAATCTTTCCAAGAGCAAGTAAAACCTGGCCTATTTGATCATGTTTTGAAAAACGATCAAAGTCATATATGTTAAATACCAAAGTCTTATTACCAATTTCGTTGAACGCAACTTTAAAGATAAAGGTCTCATTAAATACAGGATTTAACGTTTTCCGATGAACTTTGGTTTCCACTTTTTTCTTCTTTTTCTGGCAACAAATACAACTTGACATAAGGATCTGATGTTCCACTCATGTCCATACCAGGTAAATTCTCAGCTTGAATAACGGTGACTGCCAACTTAAAATATATTTTAGGATAAAACCAAAATTAAAACAACACTAGTAGTTTAACCTTATAATAATATTTTTTAGTATCTGCAAAAATCCTAGGCTGTGAACATTAATTTCTAACCTGGCCTTGTTGAAAGTCATAATCAAGTTTGTATTGGATTCTCCCTAAATTAATTTCTTCCTTCTCTTCCGCTTGTTCTTTTTCGTTTTCTTCCATATGTTCTTGTAATCCTTCTAAATCTGTGGCTAGCTAAAAAAATTTAATATAAAAAGCAATCTTAAGCGTATGTTATAAAAATTAACATTTTTTAGTTTCTTAAAAAATTATAAATCTATACTACTTGCCTTATTGGTGTCAAACAAATCAGGCTGGCCAGACTTATTGTTGCCAATGCCAAAGAATCCTTTTATACCACCACTTTTTTGTTTGTTTTTTTCACCATGCCGTTTCTTGCCAAATAATTTTCGTATAAGTAGAAATGCCAAAAGTAACACAATTAAAAGAACGATTATTCCAAAAAACACAAATCCCCATTCTGGCACTAAAATCGTGTAAATTTTTACTTTGTTATGTAATATATTACAAGAAGAAATTCCTATAAATCTAATTTCATTTTAAATAAAATGTAACGATCAAACAGCGAATAACTATTAACAACTTTCAAACTTAAAACATACTTCCTGTTTTTTCCATAACTTTTTCTTTAACTCGATCTTTCAAATCGACGGCTTTGTCTTGTATAAATTTCCCCACTGATTCTCGAGTTGTTGTACTGAAAAAAATCAAATTTTTACAATTTTAACTATTAAAACATTACGAGAGTTGCGATCAATTTTCTAACTATAGAATGCATGAAAAAATAATGAATTTATAATACAAAAAGTCGAAAGACTTTAAAGCAGAAATCGATTTAAATTCTTATATGAAAATAAAACGTAACTTTAAACATGTAAGCTAAATTTTTTATCAGTATTTCTAAAATGTACGTAAAATTATTAATTTTATACGCAAAAAAAATTTAAAACAATGCAACAAAAAAAACTTTTGGATATACTCACCTCTCGTATGTAGTTATTGTCTCGGCAGACGTAGTGGTCGTTGATAATGTGGATTCCGATAACTGCATAGGCATTTCTTTTGGAATTTCTTCTTTATTTAGATTTTGAATTGGTTCTTCATAATCTTCGTCCGGTTCGTCCAATATGCGAGGCATTATGAACTATAAAATTTCATTTAATTACCTATTTAAAAACGACACGCACAAGAATAAGAAAATTATAAATGTGCCTAAGCGTTAGTATCGTTCCATTTATACCTTTGTTAAAATGAAAATATAAAACTTAATACTTTACTTTAGTAAATTTAAAAAAAATTTTAATTCACATTATAATATAAGAACGAAATTACTAAAAATTTCAAAACCGTTCTGCCAGACATTATGCAAAATTAGTCAAAACGCGGCCCCGTAGTAAATAAAAACCAACAGCTATTTGTGTGTGCGTCCTTTAAAACACATAGTAGCGTACTAGAGTTTTCACTTCACGAAAACCCAATAATCAATTTGAAAGCCGCGAACACCCGTTTATGACAAAAGCAGTGCATAAGCTGAAACTAGACATGTAAACCTAAAATTGTAAATTATAAAACTATTGATAATTATATAATATGAACAATATATTCAAAACTTATGCAAAAAAAATGTCAAACAACACTGTAAAATTAGTATTTTCCAAAATTTTAGTTTTTAAACTTATTTGTAAAACCACACATGCTGAAAAATTAAGTTTTTAGTAAATTTTTATATTGATGCAAGAAAACTTTTATGTTTCGCACTGCCAAAGCGCGCACGTTCTAGAACGCCCGGGAGCGACAATTCGCTTTTAGTGCTCGAAAGGTTTAAAAAATTTTATCTTTTTTCTTAGCGTCTTATTGTTGCTTAATGTTAACGCAAAAAAAAATGAAAATATAAAATATTGGTAAATTTTTGCTGTTGAGTAAATAATTATTGTTATATAGTTAATAGATGACTACCGCACTAATCTCACAAAAAAAGCTACATTTTTTTCAAAGTCTGCTAACTACTGTAACTTTGGCTTTAAAAAATGTTTTTTATACAGATATAATATTAAAAAAAACTTTTTTATCTTTGTTTTTTTACATTGATGTTAGGCAGGTATAATTTTAAGAATAATAGTCATTACCCTACATTGCTATTTCAAAGTATCGTTTAAGTAAGCCGACAACAACAAAACAGATTCCCTTGACAAATTAGTCAAACTTAAAAATATACATGTATGGTACGAAAAATAAAAGATTGGAAATACAAGCAGAGGCACATTCTAACTGGAAAAAAAAGAATGTGCGCTCAGTGTGACAGCCATTTTCGTCTTTCATGCTCGGGGTCCTTGTGCCACTTTTCCGATAAAATTTTTCCGTCTCGTTTTTTGGGCTTGAGGCAAAAATGTAAAAAAAACTAAAAGAAAACCCGTTAACACAGCATCCGCGATTTGAGTAAAAACAACATGCAGATTAAACAACGAAAGATCTGTGACCCTTTATCAATAACAATTATAAATTCAAAATAATGTATTTTAAAAAAATGATTTTGATAGCGATCACAATCATCAAAAAATGAAAACACGGAGGTGGCTGAATACTGAATAAAAAATTTAATCCGTCTATTGAATGAAAGTTTGAAAAAATATTACATTTTTGTTTACACATCTGTATTTCAATAACTTTATGAAAACTCTATAAAATTAGAAAAATTTATAAACAAAAAACATGGGTATTTTAAAAGGGTGTTTTGTAAGATTTTTATTTACTATTTATTTATTTAATTGATTTTATTATAAATATACTTGAACTCCTGTATAATTTCTCTGGGATTTTTTATTTCACTCTGGGATTTTTAATGTATATTAAAGAGTTTTGCTATAAAGGAGTTTCAAATGGACGGTGTAACGTTATCTGGAAATTTAAAATTTCTTTGTTATTCGATGTTTTCGTTATAAAAAAGTTCGTTATACAAAAGTTGGACTGTATTATTCATTCTCAGCATCGCAGTAGAACAAAGTTAAAATTCCATTATATAAACGAAAAAAAAGTCCAAGACTACAAAAATCCAACTTTTTCCATTGAAAGTTTAAACACGACATCAATACAGCTGTCAAATACACGATCAATGTTTCGAGTATCTGTAGCGTTCGTGTAATGTGTGTATACAGGACGTTTTTCTTGAATTTCTGCCGGTACTACAGTCATGAAACGGTCTGTGACAAAATTAGCGGAGCTTTCGAAAGTATTTGGTCCTGAAATGTAATACGTATTTTCTATAAAATAAATAACTTTACAACTTGAACAATTCAGCAAAAACTTTTTGATTAAAACACAAGTTTGACTTGCCTGAGTAGCTCTTAAAACAAACTGTCAATGGAAAAACGTTTAGTCGTTCGCGAAAAACGTCTACTTTGTTCAGAAACAATATTATTGCCGTTTTTTTGCCAAAACAAGGATTGTTAACAATGCGTTTAAACAGATACATGCTGTACTTAAGTCGATTCTGCAAAACATAAATTAAATAAAGCATTACTTTTTCACCAATGCTGGGTAAGGTTATAATACATTTATCAAAGAAACGAAAATTTAATAAAAATTGTATAAACTTTTAAATATTACAATACGTTGGCTTAAATTTTTAAAATATAAACAAAAACCATTTTACTGTAATATATTCAGTTAAACTAGCACGACTTACAAGGTAGGTACTCGACCTGCAACGCCCAGATTTCGTTGTAATATTTTTCATTGAAAATCATGTACATGTAATACCTTATGCAAAATTCTAAGTTGCGGTTTACGGCAGACATGAGAAAATTGATATCAAAAAATCATGTTTTAAATTTCGCGCCAAATTGACGTATAAAGCTTTTAAATTTGTCATTTTTTGACATTTAATTATTCTTCTTTAATACAATGATGGAAAAACTTCAAATGAACCTGCAGTTTTAAAATTTTAATCCTATTTTATCTGGAACTCCAAAAAAGGCTTGCAACAGAATGCCAAATTTACCAAAATGGCGGAAGAATAAAAAATATTAATTTTAAAACTTAAAACCGCAAGCTAAGAGTTTATATATGTGCTACTGGTACTATCCGTATAAAAACTTTCAGTTAATTTTGAGAATTGCAGGTTGGGTACTTCCTGTATTAAATAACTTACAACAGTTCTTTCTCCATCATTTAGCATCTGGTTGTACCCAGAAAGCTCAGCAATAAACAATAAACCGTTAACGTTATCAAAACAATGTATCCACTTTCTTTGTTCCGACCGTTGCCCACCAACATCAACCATTTTCAAACTAACTTTTTTGTAATTAAATTCAATTTCATTTATTCCGGTTGTAGCTATTCTAGCTCTTAAAGCATCCTGGTGGGAGGGCTGAAAGTCGGGCGATCCAATCAGCATTATTTTATCCAGGAAACTGCAAAATGTTTGTTTGTAGGTTCTATATCTTTCTGTATAAAACATCGGTTATTAATTTAAACTTGATAATTATTCTTTTTAAAAACCGATCTTAAATATTTACGCGAAATTTTTAATTAATTTAAAATACAGTTCAATTTTTCATTTAAAAACCATGTTACACGATCAAATAGTGTAAGTTTTTACAATAAAGTAAAGCCTAATTAGAATATTAAGATTGCTTACTAAACTGCAGAATCTAAAAGGACAATCTCATGTTGTCGTTCTAAAACCGCCTTAATAAACCTTGAGTTATATATGTGAGACATTTTATTGGCCAACTCTCTATCCATTTCTAGCTCATACGGCGGAGTGGTTTCGTAGTAAGTACGGAAATGTATGACATCGTGTATAATGTCTTCATCAATTTCGACGCGCAATGCCTTGGCACCCTCTAACAATTGGTACAACGCTTGCGTTGTGTTTGCGTAAATTAAAAACCGAAAGTTGAGCATATCTGCATCCGTAAATCCGTTCATATGTAAAATCCTAAAAGTTAAATAAATTTTCTTTCATCGCTTCTCGTTTTGAAAGGCATGTCTAATTTTTATATAAAACTTACTTCATTTGTTTAAAAATTGTGCTTTTTCCAGATTCCGGACCTCCTAAAAATTAATTTTAGTATTTTTATAACCTAAAAAGAAATAAATAAACGATTGATGAAAATAGTACCAAGTAAAAGAATTTTCATTATTTTTTGCTGAGCAATGCGATCTTCTTCAATTTTTTTGTTGATTTCAATATTACGTGCTACCAGAAACTTTAAATCACTTTCGTCTGCAACTTCTGCTGAACAACATGGTTTTTCATTGTGGGACCCGCAAAATGAAAACATTGGACCTAAAAAGCGCAAAAAAATATCAGGAGAAATGCCGTAATAAAAATTTGTTATAATTGTTAACAATTGTATAGCAATATTGCGACCTTGCAAAAAATAAAAAGTTATTTTTTATTTCAAAAATAATGGTGATCAAGTTAAAACGTAAAAACTCTGGTAAATATCAATGAATTAAACAAAGTGAATGTATTTAACATAGTAAAATTGAAAAACTAAAGTTGTAATTTAAATTCTTAAAAAGTCAATTTTTAAAGTTTTTGCTTCTCAACATAACGACAACAGCTGAAATTAAAGAAAGGCTTTGAATGAAAAAATATTTCCCATAAATGAGCACGTAAAGGAATACATAATTAAAATTGTGTACGTAGATGTCTATACTTTTCTTTTTGTATATACTATGATAAGAGTGCATTGATGTTTGCGTGTTAACTTCCAGTTGAGAGTAAAAAAATGCAAAAACATATGAGTTCAGTGTAAATAAATTAAAAAAGACCACATGATTCAGCCTTAGAATAATACTCGGTGAGATGCAAAAAATAAATTTAAAGTATTTTAAGGCAATTAAATTTTACGAACGAGTTATGCGTGAGACTAGTACAAGAAACGAAATTTAAGAGCGTTTATAGATAATAATGAATAAATTTTGGTGTATGTCAGATACAAAAAAATGACAAATGACACTTCAGAGAAAAGAGATAAAAGAGGCGCCAATTTAAGTAAATAACACTTTTGGCTAATTGCAATGACATTGTATCGTAACTAAAAGCCTTAAAATAGTTTAAAATTCACAACATTGTAAATTGTGATGTACTGATAGAACGATTTGATTCCGTTAGTTTAATAGCAATACAGAACATTTTTTGGTTTCAGAAAATGATAATGTCAGCGTAGTGTTTTGTTGCCTAGTCAACACACTAATAATGATAAACTCCTTGCAGTGTTACTGACCGTGTAAACACAGTACTTAAACATACGTATTCAATCACTTAGACTTTGGATTGTGGCAGATAGTATAATAACATTGAGTCAAATTAGACAAAAATTATTCTTTAATAGCTTAATGCTACTTAACGTGAGTTCACGTACTGATGTAATATAAGTCGGATATCTTTATTCGAAAATATACTACACGAATGAGAGTTTTCTATAATATCAAACTATACACATGTACTTAAATCAAAAATTTTTCATAAATCGTAATATATAATATAATATTGTTTTACGTAAAATATTATATTTTTTAACATAAAATGGGTAAAATCAAGACTAATAAGACAAGCAAAAACAATAAAAACAAGGTAGAAAGACTTCCACACCACCGGTTCGGTCATGTAATTCAAGCACGTAACATAACTACATAATTAATTAACTGAATACTAGCCTATTTTCATAGTATATGATGTGTGTTCAGCCAAAACATTGTTAAAAATAATTTTACTTTATTACATACCAACTTAATATTATTCCTTAATATAATTACCAATTTATAAACAAAAGCGATAAAAGTTTATAGATGTGTAGAATAATAATTTCACAAAAACAATGTTTATTATTATTAATTAATACACAATTATGCTTATTTACATGAAAAAAATTAAAAACACCTTGAACAATATTAAACGCAAATATAAGAAAATAAACACAAAGAGTTGGCAATACTATAATTAGCAACTAATGTCTGCAAAAATTTTTTGTTTGCTATATTAAGAAAAAAATCAAAAAGATACAAAAGAAGAAGTTTAAAATATCCATGGTGGCACCACAAACAAAAACATCACAAACGATTAATTTTAATGCTGGTTGTAAAAGTAAACCAGTGTATTGGAAAACCAGTAAAGGAAGTGATATTTTGTGACTAACGATTATGATATGCAATTAAAACACAAAAAATTATAAGAAAATATAAATTGCGTAGTTAATAAAGGTAAAACAGTATACTTTTTGAATAATGTTTCCTTCTAACGAGGGAAGTACCCACCCTGTCCCACTCAAAATCAGCGCAAAGTTTTTATATTAATTTTTTGTACCACTAATAGTGCGCAAAAATATTAGCTCGCGCTTTCGAGTTTTAAAATTTAAATATTTGAGTTCTCGCCTATTTGAAAACTTAGGAATTCTGATTCAAGCACTTTTTCGACTTTCCAGACAAGCTACACTTACAACTTTTACTATGTAGGTTCAGATTTTCTACTAGTACATCAAACAAAAATGATTAAAATTCAAAAAATTACAAAATTAAATGCTTAAAGCAAAATGCCAAATCAACAAGAAATTCAAAGCGTAATTTTTATCTCAATTTTCTCAAGATCGACTAAAAAGCGCGATTTAGTACTTTTCTTTTCTATTTACACGATCCTTCTATTACATATAAAAAGTTTGAAGCCAAACAGAGCGCGGCAGGTCGGGCACTTTCCTTTTAAGTTCAAAATATTATTTTAAAAAATGCTATAAAAATAAAAATATCGTTGATAGTTCTAAAAACAGTTTTGTAAACCTAATATTTTTGAAAATTTGAAATTGTATAAATAAATAATTATTTGTTTGGAGAGATGGCATTTGGTGATCCAGAATCCGTGACATTCTCATCAGCCGGCTTTAGTTGTAATTCACAGTCAGCTTGTGGCACCGGCTTTAAAGTAGACTTTCGGTCTCTTGTTAACAGAATTCTTTCTATATTCAACACAGGTAGTTCGGCCATCAAAGTGCACTGCGTTCCAAATACATATGATATACACAGTTGCACAAAACAATGTATAAAGTACCTCCATTTTGCCGTGTAGTGTAGTGGGAATGGGACAACAAGATAAGTGAAAACCACCGGTATCATATGAATTAGGTAAACAGAGTATGAAAGTGTTGAAAGAGGTAAAAATACGCGACATGACAAAAATCTGTTTAATGGTCCACCAAGCCCAGTGTGACACGCATAAATCAACCATGATAATCCCAAGGCAAAAACTGTACGATGGGTTGCTCCATAAACAATATGATATATAGGCCAATCCCATCCTAAAAAGATATAATATTTAAAAAATCAAAATATTCTAAATACAATAAGATTTTTAAAAAATTAAAAACACCTCCAAAAAATTTCAATTGGCCGTGAAAAATTATACCTATTAAAAAAAATCGTAACGTAAAGTTTACCTTGCAAAGCCGGGTAAACTCCAAATAATCCCCAGAATAACATTGCACCAGATATTGTCCATCCAACAAAAATGAACTTTAAACTTCTAGACTTCTTTTGCGTCTGTGCTTGGAATCCGGCCAAGTGATAACCCAGCAAAATTCCAACAATATATGGACCAATCCTGTACCACGGCTTGATATAAATTACTAAATGATGTAAAATAAAATCGGGGTTGAAGATGGCTGGTTGTTTCCATAACAATTGCGTTGGCGGGAAATTGTAAACAAGCATACATATAACATTCAAAATAGCCGACACAATTATCGTCCCTAGTGAAATGGTAAGACCTAACGATGGGTTACGTCGTAATGTCAATAGGAAGATAGGCGCTAGCAAATAGAATATAAACTCCGTTCCAATATACCTGTAAACACTTACATTTTAAATTTTCACATCAAATTTTTAATTCCCGCGGGCCGAGAATCCCGCAATTTAAAAAAAACCCGCGGGGGACAAGAAGAGTCCCCGCCCCCTCCGAGAACACTAGCGCCAAAAAAAGTTCAGTTCCTGGATTTCCTTGATATTATAGTTATAACAAAAGTAAAATAACACAGCCAGACCATAACCCGAAGGGCCCCGTTAGTCTGGTTTGAAACATAATAAAAAGCCAGAGCATTTATGGTCTGTGGTCCTTTAAAAACTGTCAAGTGTAAATTGCTTTTTTTAATATAAAAAAACTACAAAAACAAATCTTACCATGTCCAAGGCATACAGCGATTATCAGTCAGAGAGTTAATAAATAAAATATTTTCAATCCAATGTTTTGGGCATTGTACAGCTGGGTCAGTTGGTGGCCACATGGGATGATAATGTGTGACCGATACTCTCATTGTTACGGCGATTAAGGTGTACACATATGCCGGGTAAAGTCTCACAATACGATGTCTATAAAACCTTAACCAGAAGCCGTATGAGGTCCACGACGGCTCGACTTCAGTTGTATTTTTTTGCCACTTTTTAAACCATGAGTAAGCGGTCAAAGTTCCAGACAACACTAAGAAAACATCGACGGATAAAGTAAAGTTTGTGATGATTTGATTCCAAAAGTTGTCAACCAAATCAGCTTTAAAATCGTCCACATTTTCGATAAATGCTTGAACAAAGATAAATGAATGTCCTACCAGTGTCCACACCATGGATAAAAACCTTAGTCCAAACATACACGTTATGGTACTTTGAGCGTCTTTCGGCATTTGAATCAACTTGCTAAGATTTTTTTTCAATGAAAAAGCTAACAAAAATTGTGTTTCCATTGACCTAAAATGTCTAATCATTACAACGCAAATTTTCAAAAAATACTATATTTAAAAGGAAAGTACCCTACCTGCCCCGCTCAGAATCAGCTCAAAATTTTTATATGAATTCTTTGTACCACCAATAGTCCCATAAAAAATTTTAGCTCGCGTTTTTGTGTTTTAAATTTAAATTATTTGAGTTTCTTGCCAATTTGGCAAATTTGGCATTGTGTTTCAAGCACTTTTTTCGGCTTTCCAGACAAGATACGATTACAAATTTAAAAATGTAGGTTCATTCAAAGGTTATCTACCAGTATATCAAAGAAAAACTATTAAAAGTCAAAAAATGACAAAGTTACAAGTTTGATACACAATGCCAACTTGGCGGGAAATTCAAAATGTCATTTTTTAATCTCTATTTTCTCGAGATTTCCTGGAAAGCGCGATTTAGTACTTTGCTGAACATTTTATATTTATATGATCTTTCTATATAAAAATTTCGAAGTCAATCAGAGCGGGGCAGGTCTTTCCTTGTTAATTTAAAATAAATATTTTTTATAAAATCTGCCACCCCGCTAGGGACTGCCGAAGGTGTTTTAAAATACATACTTAGCATGATCACCTTTCTTCATGTGGTACAAAGTCGCAAGACCAACTAACATATACAAAAATATATCGGAAGAAAATTGTAGTAATGGAGTAATCTGTTGATACCACTGCAAAGCGTGTCGAGACTTTGTACAATCTTCATAATCAAGCGTTAAATTGTCTTGTCTTTTTGATGCTGCAGATTGCCATTCTTTTAGTAACTAAAATTTAATCATTAAAAAAAATTTGAAAAGTGAGACACTAAAATTTTTTTAATAATTACTTTTCTAAAAAGTATTATTATAAGAATAATGTAAAATTATCTTATTTAGTCGCCTAGTTTTATAGTAATTATTTTTAACTTTTTCATATGTAACAAATTTAATAAATTACCACTTGTCTGTCGTTAGCGCACGTGCTAGGTATGCATATTCCATAAGCGGTCTCCCGTTGTTCGTTGTTAAAACCGTAACAGTAATGTAACGGATATTGGGATGCACTATAGGCTGTCTCTCCAGCAGCTTGAAGACACTCAAATGCTCTATAAATCCACCGATCTTGATCTCTTGATGTAAATTGTGTAGCATCTCCAGTACCAAACGACTGAGAATAAAACGATCGTTGAGCTTCTAACGTTGATTTGTCGCTTAAATAGGTTTCGACCTAAAAATCAGTTTTTTGAAAAGACTTAAAGATTAGAAACTTTTTTGAAATAATCTTAAATTATCAATCTTACAAATTTTTCTAACCTTGTTTAATGAGCTGGCACATTTGGAAGTAATGTTTGCTTTAGACACTGTTTGCAAATAAGACCAAACTTGATGTTCCGGATAAGAGATAACGGTAGCAGTTTCTGTAGGTTGAACAAAAAAAACTAATGACAGATATGAGCTTAAGGCCCACATCAAAAGTTTCATGGTTGACCCGCTGAAATAAATTTCATAACACTCCATATTAAAATAACAAGCATTGTACATTGCGGCGCAACAATATTTAATAGTTAATTAATTAAACTCTAACATTAGGATTAAAAAAGTCTTGTAAAACTGTTTGGCAAACTCTTGAAGGCTTGATTCCGCAAGAAAAATAAAATGCGCGTGATCATACCAAACCAAAAAGACGTATCGAAAAAGAAAAACACAAAATATCTTGACTAACTTTACGTTGTTCTATGAACATATTTCAAGATATAAATTAATGCTTCTTTTCTTTTTATGTCTAAACCGTCAACATATAACAAGTTTTTTTCTAAAATACAACAGCAATATTAAAAAATAATATACGGTATACGTATTAAAAATGTTAACTAAATAACTAAAAAATGAACAAAGCACCCAAATAAATTAATTTATCAAAAAATAACAAAGCAACCTAAAAACCTAATTTTTTTGATGAAAATGGTTCCGTGAACTTCATTATATGAACCTTCAAATTAGGTATAATCAAACAAACTGTACGCTTAGGGCTTTTAAAAGCAATTTCCTTTTTTGTTTTTCTAATTTTAATAGTCTGTAAAAAATTAACAATACTTAAAATTCGCATTCTAGCGTTATTTAAAAATAATAAGTAACTATGAGTACAAAATTATTTCTACTTTTAACGCTATGAGGACTATTTTCCCGAAGAAAGTAAGTGACAATGTGCTCTACAAACAAATCAAAGTTTTTAAATTTAACTGTTGTTATCTTAAAAACATATTACAATCGGTCACGGTGGACAAAGGTCGCAACCAGACGACAAGTCAGACGCCAATAAAGAAGAAAAATATGTTTGGCGTTAATTTACGTCGACCGATTAGTGTTTTCTTCTTAAAAATTTATTTTTGATTCAGTGCGTTCTGTTTAAAACCGATCAAAATAGTAGACGTCTTGACAACCGTCAATTATACGTATCCTTCTACCAATGTTCATAATTCACCTTTAACTTTTTTTTACCTATTTTTAATAAATATTTCTAATATATAAACATATACTTATTATAGTATAACAAGCAACACTTTTCATTATAAACAATCTAGCTTTAAAGACAGGTCTATTACATTTTTGAAAAAACTATCGTTGAAGCCCTTTTACGAGAAGTAAACATACTTAAAAACAAGTAAAAAACAATAAAAAGCGTTAAAAGTCACAACTTCGAACTTTAAACCTTAACGTATTTTTATAAATTAACGTGGTGTCCAAAACGTTGTAAAGTTTAAAAAATATAGAAATACGGAACAATAAACTTTGATTGAAAATCAATCCGAAAAGTTAGGTTGCTAACCGAAAATATTTCAGCAATTTTCTATTTTATTGTAAACTATGATTTCTGCCCATTACTATATTCCCAAATCGTTATCTAAAACCTATATTAAAACCAGAAGTTATAATCGGCATGCCCAATATTCGTAACAATACTAAGGAGTAGTTTGCGGAAACTATCGTCGTAAATTAGTGACGGATCACCGAAATCCGCAAAAGTCTAGAACGGTTTGCGGCTAAAAACAATGAACTCAACCGGAACGCACAAATCTCGTTTTCAAAATACACAAGTAACACACTACGTTTTAGAATTTTACGTGTTTCTTCTAAAAGTTGTTTAATTCTTAAAAAATGCCAATATATTTTTCGTATCAAAATAGTTTTTTAGATGAAAACAAACAAAATTATACTTGAAATCAGCATTTCCCTCAAACTTTTTTACAACTCAAAAACTAGTACGCGTTCTTTTATTTACATAAACATTGTCTAGTATATAATATTTAGTCTAAAAGTGCCCATCTCGGTCTTTGTGACGGTCGCGTTTCGTTAAATAAAAAGGATTCTTTCGACCGATCGCTCTTCTCTCTTTCCGCCCTTCAAAAGCGACTTTCTATTTTTCTGAAATTGCTCAGAATTCATTTAGGTCACTCGGCGAGAAGCGTTTCACAACGTTACCACACCGCCTGAATTTCAACCTTGCAGAGAACGTTATCGAACATTGAAAATTACACATAGGTGACAAAGATAAAGAAACATCAAATGGCATTTCCAAAAAATCTTAAAAATAAATTTGTTTTTAAAAAAACATTTAAAATTAGGCTATGCAAAATTTTTTGGGGTTTTGAAAAAAATTATATTTCTTGTACAATTTCACATTTTTCCTACAGTCTAGTTAAATCAAGTAAATTTTTAAAAAAGTTAACAAAACTAAACTAAAAAATGCGCAAGCAAAATAAGCAAAAGTCAGCACAAGGTCGACTTGCCCCACAAATTAAGTTATCTGAAAAGCAATCTTCAGGTGCGGATATATGAATTTTCGCCTTGCCACTTACATTTTTTTTATATATAAAGAAAACAATTTTTTTTTGGTTCACAGATATGGATCGCGGATTTAAAAATTTTTTTTTGCCTTGTATATATATATATATATATCTAATAGATGTCAAAACCTGTAAACTTGTAAACTTTCTGAAAAACTTGACGCGTCATACAGTACTTTAAGCTTTATTTTTAAAAATGCTCTAATTTTAAAAATTTAATACAGTAAAGAATATTTATTGTTGCAATACTGTTATTCATAAAATAATAGAGAAATTATTAAAAACTGTTAATACTCAACTAATATTAATAACGTTAATCACAGAAGTCAGCCGACAAAAGTGTATTATCGTTTTATTATACCCTTATTCACTTCGTGATAAGTCTACTACGCAAATGATTTTCTCGTGTCGCATGCACACTTTACAAAAGCCCTTTAGTTGCTGTAAATGCTTTAACAATTAGCTTGTCTCGTTATAATTATTGAGAAGAAATGCTGTTAAACTAACAGTTTTTTGGAAATAAAGAGTGTTTTTTAAATCATATTTAAAAATATTTTAAAGCAAACTTCTGTAGTAAAATTAATTGTTTATTGTTTAAAAAGCACAAAAAATAACAAAATTAAAACCATTTGAAAAAATTAAATGGGATGATTTAAGATAAATTGTTTAATAGCGTAATCCATTTCCGGCGCTCTCCATTGTGGGGCCATGTGTCCAGCTCCACGTACAGTCAGAAAAGTAAGCTGGTTTTGGTATAAAGTCTTAAAGCCAGCAATTTGATTGTCAAACTTCCATGGCTGTTTTCCCACGGAACGCTTCAGACCCAATTGAGCACTAAATTGTTGACCCATCATAAAATTGCAAGCCATATCAGTATCGCCGTAATACAGTAGAATACGGACATGCGCGTCTAAGATGGTCTTCATAAACGGAGCAACATCGCCATACTGTTTTTGATACTTTGTTGTAATGTCGTCACTAAATTATTAGATAAAAAATTTTTATACTTACAAGCTGATAGTAAAAAATAAGTGTTTTACGGTATAACTCGCAAGAAGTCGTTTTTACGTATTTTTTTTATTTATGCACACTACGAAGGTATACCTGCAAATATCCCAATGTGGAAGGTGATCAGGAATATGAAGCGCTTTTCTAACTTCAGGACTATTCATGTAAGTTGTTACATCAGTATCATTCAAACAAGGCACAGAAGCACCAAAACGATGAGGTGGCAGACTCTGGAAAAGTATATCTATAAAGGAATTTACAATTAAAATTATTTTATAAATTTTCCGTTTTTTAAGAAACTGATCGATAAAATTATGTTAATAAGGAAAGTACCCTACCTGCCCCGCTCAGAATCAGCTCAAATTTTTTATATGAATTCTTTGTACAACCAATAGTACCCATAAAAAATTTTAGCTCGCGCTTTTGAGCTTTAAATTTAAATTATTTGGGTTTCCCGCCAATTTCACAAATTTGGCATTCTGTTTCAAGCACGTTTTTTGGCTTTCCAGACAAGATACGCTTACAAATTTAAAAATGTAGGTTCATTTAAAGGTTTTCTACCAGTATATCAAAGAAAAACTATTAAAAGTCAAAAAATGACAAAGTTACAAGCTAGAAACACAATGCCAAGTTGGCGGAAAATTCAAAATGTCATTTTTTAATCTCGATTTTCTCGAGATTTCCTGGAAAGCGCGATTTAGTGCTTTGCTGAACATCTTATATTTACATAATCTTTCTTTATAAAAAGTTTGAATCAGAGCGGGGCAGATCGGGCACTTTCCTTGTAAGCAACAAATCCATGCTTTTTAAATTAACAAGCAAGGTACCCGACCTGCAACGCTCAGATTTCGTTCAAATTTTTTGTATTGAAAGATCATGTAGATCTTATGCAAAATTCTAAGTTGCCGTTTCCGGTCCGACTTGATAAAAAATTGCGTTTTGAATTTCCCGCCAAATTGGCATAGTGTTTCAAGCTTATAACTTTCTCATTTTTTGACTTTTAACTGTTTTTTAAAATATAATGGTAGAAAAGCTTTAAATGAACCTGCAATTTTAAATTTGTAAGCTTATCTTATCCGGAATATCAAAAAAGTGTTTGCAACACAATGCCAAATTTGCTAAATCAACGGAAAGTTTAAATATATTAATTCTAAAACTTCAAACCGCAAGTTAAGGTTTTTTAAATGTGCTACTAGTACTACAAAGAATGAGCTAATTCTGAGAGTTGCAGGTTGGGTACTTTCCGTAAGTATTAAAAAAACGTTACCTTATCCATGTTTTTTCTCAGTTTTAACATGTTAGACTTTCTTCTTTTGTGAATAAATTCTGGAGCCATGCCTAATCTTAAGGAATCCATCTTCAAACTGTTAATTCCTGGATTTGGATCACATTTTCTATACAAATCATATGGATTCAGTCCTCCAAACCACAAAAATTCGAAAATTTCTTCAACTTGAGTTGCACAGTGACCATCCATTTTAGTCAAATCACAGCCGTCAATACAGCCGCGACAACATTGCAGCTCAAGTGTGTTCCATGTTTTTTCGTCAATAATACCATGTCCATAAGCAAAACGAATTGATGTGTCCACGTTCAACTTCTCGTTAACGTAACCGTTACCAATTGCCATGCCCTTGAATACGTTTGGTAAAATAGGCAGTAATAAAAGTATGTAAATTAAATACTTTTTATCTATTTCAACAATTGATTTAATAAAAACATATAAAATTGACGCAAAAACTAACCTTCAAGTTAATTGGAAAATCGTTTTGGCCCTCGACAATACGAGCAGTAAGCGTTGGAACGTAAACACCACCGTAGCTCTCGCCCATAATAAAGGTTTGATGATGTCTAAAATCAGCGTGAATTTCGAAGAACTTTTTGATGGCATTGTAGTTCTCCAATGAGGTTTGGTCATCATTTGTGGTTGTGTTACCGTCTGTTGAATATGAAAATCCAACTCCAGCTGGAGCTTCAATGTAGACTACAGAAGCAAACTGTAATGTACAATTTTTATCAAATTTGATAAGACTTTGAAAATTTAAACACAATTCATAAATTTAAAAATAATAAACATCGAAAGCGCAACAGCAGAAGTTAAACGAGAAAAGCAAAACAAATATAAAATTTTAATTTTTACTTTATTCCATGAGTAAGGATTGTGTCTCAAGTTGGCGCCATCTTCATGAGCTTCGTATGGACCCATTTCATTTAACAGACCATCTAAAGATGAACATCCTGGACCACCATTAAACCAAAAAATTAATGGGTCTTTAGCCGAGTTGCCTTGGGATTCAACAAACCTAAATACAGTTAACTTTACTTCTTTTTGTAACTAAAAAATGTTTAAGAACTTAAAAATATTTTAAAACACCTTTTTATTGTTATTTAAAAAACGGGCTAATTTTTAAAAAAATAATCTTTAAGCTCCATTTTATTTCAGCTAATTTGAGAAGTAAACATGTAACTTCTCTAAGAAATGTTTTCAAATATGCAATTTAGGCATAAAACCGTACCAATAATGTAAAAAGTGCGTTTCCGAAGCTTGCAAAAATCCACTAAAGTGTTTGAAGTTAATTTCAAAATCAACTCCAGGTAGCTCTTTGATTTCGTCGTCAGATCTCTGATCAGCAAATGCTATAGCCAAAAGTGCTATTAGCAACTTTATACCAATCATTCTGAAATACAATTAATATAATAACATTCGTAGTTAAAAAGATAAAGCAAAAATATTGATTTTACAAAACATACAAACACTTTTCATCAACAATGGGGATACCGTCCCCCCCCCCTCGCGCCCGGCCCTGTCAATAGTTACTATTTTATGGACGCGGGTTCAATCTTAAGTCTTAAATACTGCCTTAATCTTTGAAGAAGTGATAAACTTCATAATGGACTAAAACAAAGTTTTGCAAAAGAAGGCGGAGAGAAAGTATAAGATTTATTTGTAAATACGTAATGCTAGTTTTTTAACGCTACCAGCTTTTGTACCTTTCAAGTATGTTTTAGCATATATAACAGTTACTTTATAGCGTGTTTAATAGAAAAAACGTATATTTTAAACGATTCAACATTAAATTCTAAAATTAACCAAAAATTTTCTTGAAAAAAAGATAGGTGTAAAAAATATTTAATATAGAAACAATATTAAACAACATGCAACGCTGCCAATTCTGTTAGAACACAAAAAATTAATTTTTCGTGCTGTTCCTTTTTAAAACTTAATTTTCTTTAAAATAGGCCATTTTTTTCAGACCAGTTGTTCTTAATTTTCAAAAACAAAAATCCAAAGGTCAACTGACAGAATGTTATTTATTAGACAAATGGCAATCTGATAAACGAAACGGCCAAATTTTTCACAAATAGAAAAAACGTTTGTTATTCAATAGGTCAAACATTAAAATTAGCGTCGCCAACTTTCAGAATTGTTGGCTAAAGTCATTTAAACAAATATTTATAGCGTTTTAATTTTTATTAATATTACAAAAATTGTAAAAAAAAGTACAAGCACCTAACTTTAGATTAACTACCCAATAAAGTTATTAGCTAGATGAGCAAAAATCACACTAAATAATAGTACTTAAAGTATCTATATTCGTTTTCAGTTTCACTTCATCAACCGTCCCGTATAACTTTTGGTAAAACTCAACCATTTCCAAAAGCTTCTGGTTTTGATCTTGAAGGCTTGTAAGTTGTTGTTTGAGCCGATCATTTTCTGAAACTTCTTCCATTTCCCTAATTTTACTCAAAATTTGTTTAGCACTCGGTCGCTGTGAAGCAATAATATTGACCATGCTATCAATCAGTTCCGTCCAATTTGGCCATTTAAATGTAAACGCTTCCGAACAGTGGTTTAATTTTCGAATGTTTTTGAGAGCAGAAACCCGTTCCATGTCTGTCTTGAAAACTTGAAAGATTTCATAAATTACTATACCTAAGCTGTAGATGTCCGCCTAAAAACGTAAACAATGTTAAATTGTTTGATAAACGTTCTCGAAACACATTGTATAAGTTATAATAAAACTTTCAATTATTATAAAAACAATAAGACAATTTAAAAATATTTAAATAGGTTTTTTATAATTGAAACAATAACTTACAGATACATCATAGTTGTTAGAATTAAGCTGCTCTGGTGCCGCATAAATAGCTGTACCAACGCCTTTAGTCCGTTTTGAAATCGATGGAAACGGATGGACAAGGAAGTCATCCACACCGTCTTTTGTATCATCATGGCCGATAGTCAAGCCAAAATCGCCAATCATGGCTTTTATTTGCCCATTATGAAACTTTTTCAAAAATACATTGCTTGGTTTGATGTCACGGTGGATAACATTGCGATCATGTAAAAAATCGATGGCACTAACAACATCCTTTATTACTTTAAGGTTAAATATGCAATCAATTTCAGCTGAAAACATTATTACCTTAAAACTAAATTTTAAGTACCTTTGATTCGAAATAATACAATTTTAAAATTTCTATTGCTAAATAAATGTATAAACTTACCAATCTTTTGTTGATTTCTTTTAACCAAATACGTTGCTAATGTAGCATGGCAAAGTTCCATTTGAATAAATAAAATTGGGTACGTCCCCTAAAAATAAATAAATGTTAGTTTTAGCTCGCCCTCGTTAATTTTAACAAGGAAAGTGCGCGATCTGCCCCGCTCTAATTAAATTTAAACTTTTTATAGAGAAAGGTCATGTAAATACAAGATCTGCAGCAAAGTACTAAATTCGCCTTCCAGGAACGTTTGAGAAAATCGAGATTAAAAAATTACGTTTTGTACTTCCCGCCAAATTAGCATTCTCTTTCAAGCATATAACTGTCATTTTTTGATGCTTAATAATTTTTCTTAAATATACTAGTAGAAAAGCGAGATAAAGTACCTTTCATTTTACGTTTTATATTTTTGAATTTCCTGCCAATTTCATAAACTTGGCATTGCGTTTCAAGCACTTTTTTCGAATTTTCCAACAAGCTAAGCTTACACGTTTAAAACTGTAGGTTCATTTATAGGTTTTCTATCATTAACCGAAGAAAAATGACATAGTTATCAGTTTGAAACACAATGGCAATTTGGCGGAAAATTGAAAACGTAATTTTTTGATCTCAATTTTCTCTTGATTCACTGGAAAACGCAATTTAGTACTTTGCTCAACATCTTATATTTACATAATCTTTTTATATAAAAAGTTTAAAGTCAATCAGAGCGGGGCAAGTCGGGCACTGTCCTTGAAAGTAATATTTAAAATACAAAAAAAATGTTTGCACTCTCCAAAAAGGTATCTAACAATAACTCACCTGCACAACAGTTCCTGGCATTCTGGTATCAGAGTTTCGCCTTCTGCGAATAACTAATTGTTGACTTAAATTTTTATCCGAAGACGATGATGTACTAATTGAATCTGTATCAACTACATCCCTCTCTGGAACTGTAGACCCGTGTTTATTCACTTTGCTCTTGCTTGTGCCATTTGTGAAGCAAACAAGGCTATCGGTATCTTCGCTTTGTTTAAAACTTAGCCTACATTCTTCCGACATGTTGGATGAAGTTTTGACCCTGAAAATTAGACAAAAAACGTTAGAACCGGAGACGTCGTTTGGAGGAGGGAGTAGAGGGGGGGGAGGGGGGGGTACCCGTTCCCCCAAAGCCAATCCTAAAAAAAATCCACCTGTATGCGGAAAAACGACAAAAAAAATTGAAAAATCAGTCCGCAGGTAAGCTACCTGTAAGCGAAAAAAAAATTTTCGACCCCCCCCCCAGAGAAAATCCATAGCGACGTCCCTGGTTAGAACAATTAAAAGCATTAAACGAATATTATCGTGTTGTGTTACATAAAAAAATTTAAAATTAAACAGTTCTTACTTTTTTAATCTTTAAAAAATCACAAATTAGATAACCAGTTATTTATAAATGTGTAAGCATAACCTACGTTAAATAATCCGTAGCATCATCAACGTTTTGAAGCTCAACCCAAGCATTATGGTATTTTACAATGTGCGGATCTTCAAAAGTGGCATGATACTTGCACTCCTTCACTGTCTAAATTAAATAATATAAAAATAATAGAAAATTTTGAATTCTAGCACATTTAAACATCAAAAAACAAAAATCACATTAAACTACATAAAATAAGTTGTAATACTTTAGTAAAAAAATGGTCAAGATAACTTACTTTGGTCAGTACATCTGTTTGTGCGCTCCGCAATAAAATCTTCTTAATTGCATAAAAATGTCCATCCAAACGAGATTTGACTTTATACACGCGACCAAATCCCCCACATCCAATAGCAGAAATCTCTTCGAAGTCCTGACAGTACCTTCTTGAAACAATTGAAAACTCCCCAACGCTGTATGACAAACTGAAAAAAAAACAAATTACAATTTAAAAAACAATTGAATAAATTTACACTGTGTTAGTAGAAATATGCATATAAAACGCTTCGTATAACACATATATGTATATTCAAAGCCATTTACTCTTGTATTAACAGTTATTTAAAAAAATAAAACACCAATTAACTTACGATGCGTCAACACGAGGTGAAAACACGCTTAAAGGAAAGAACGAAGCTGTGCTGTTTACAAACGAATTTATAACTTGTGTTAACGGAGATCGAAAACTTTGTAGATCCTCAGACATGTACACGGACGTAAAAACACCAGCCCGCGAAAGCACAGCGACAACGGCTAAAACAAAGAATTTATAACTTTTACGCGCAGCGTTTATGTTATCAACTATTATTACAAAAACCAATACGAACTCGATTTAAAAATATTTCGCAGTACCAAAACAAACTAAAATTTACAAAACTAAATAAAAATTACGTAATAACGTAACACTATTAGTACATTTTAAATAAAATCAAGCATACCTTTTTTAACAACTTCTTTCTTTTCCAAAGGTGCCAGCTGTACTAATGAGTCGACTAGAGACGCGCACACTAACTTTTTGACAACTTTTTGTGGACTAGTCTCTAAATGAAACGCTTCTTGAAATGCTGGTGGTATGTTATACTTTACAAGCGAAAGTTGACGTTGAGACTTGTGAAACGTCTCATCATGATTCGAATTCGCATCTTTCATTCGATCAACCCTGTACAATACTTGGAATGTCCTAAAAACATAATTGTTTCAAAATCTTAACCATTTCTCACTTATTATGTAAAAATATTTAAAATTGAATAAAGTAAAAAAATAGAAATAAAACAGTTTTCATAAAAATTCGAGAAGTTTCTAGCAAAAACTAAGTAAATAAAAATATTTATAATTGTTATTGTATTATTATTTGGTTTAACCGAATAATGCATAAACATTAAAAAATTACCGATATCCGGGAAAATGCTTGAATATCCCAGGAAGTTTTAACATCAAACACCCCGAGATAAACGGGGTACTTTCAGCGATGCAACTAAAAGACAATTTAAAAAAGCAACTAAAGATGATACGCGAAAAAAAAGTTAAATACCAGAAATTATTATTAATTAAAAATCATCTTAAATATCAAATAGTTTTACATTATTATAATGTTTAAATTCTCTATTTTTAAAATAAAATACCATGGAAAAACAACAAGATAAATATCGGAGTTACAACAACCATAAAAAACTTCTTCAATACTATAAATTATTTATTTTAAAAAAATGTAATATAAAACAACTACAATAGGTAAAAAAATTCTTGGGTCAGAAAATTATAACATCCAATGCATTTCTAACCAATAAATTTTAAAAACTAATGAGGCCTCGATATTTGTTGTATCCTACCATCTCCTGAAGCCACATATACTGGAGGTAATTCATCTTCCTGAGGCACTGGAGAACTTCTCGGCGTCCGTAAGATATCCTCAATATGTTTTACAATCAAATCAATGGCCACCTCATTATCAGCTCCACGTGGAATTATAACGTCGGCGTACTTCTTTGTAGGCAAACAAAACTCTTCAAAAGCTGGCTTCACCAAACCCAAATACTGATGGATCACCTGATTAAGATTCCGTTGTCTTTCCATTGTATCTCTTTCTACTCGACGAGCCAATCGAATGTCTGGATCCGCATCCACAAAAAGCTTTACGTTAAACATGTTCCGGAGCTCCAAATCGTAAAAAATTAGTATTCCTTCTACAATAACAACATCAGCCGACTCGATCAAGTAAAAGTCATCTTTCACCCTCAAAATAATAATCGTTTAAATTTCAAAACTTCTCACTCCGGCCGATTTAATAGGCTTAGGCCGTTAAAGCTTAGAATTGACCGTTTGGGCTTAGACCAAATATATATTAATTACCAGATTTAAAATCGGCCTATATCAAATTTACAAGATTGTCTTAAAAGCTTTAAAAGATTATTACCTAGAATTGGTGCAGAAATCGTATTTGGGTATTTTAACCGGTTGCCCAGCTCGGATATCCTTTAAAACTTGGAGCATCAGTTGGTTGTCAAAAGCGTTTGGATGATCGAAGTTATATTCACCTTTGATAGCTTTTTTTCTATCGCTTTCTGAATCAAGGTCTTTGTAAAACGAATCCTGACAAATAGTAACTACACGTTTGCGGGCTTCAGTGTTACTTAACCGGCTCATTATTAATCGACACACTGAAGTCTGAAATGTTCGGTTATCGAAAAAACAAAACGCTGTATTTCATGTTTAACAGTTTGTTTGCATTAATTTATTAAAAATATACTTCCTTTTAAAATATTTTTAAAAATTATATACATAATTTTCCTTCTTTATCCAGTGCTACCTAAAATTCAAACAAGCAATAAAAAACCTACTTTCCCACTCGCTGTACCTCCTGCAACGCCAATCAGAAACGGAGTACGAGAAATTGACATTTTAAAAGAAATCTCCAATGTACAAAAATGCTAGAAATACGTTAATAAATTATAATACGATCATATGAAAACACAAAAAATTATTTATAAAAAGAAAAACATTTTAGAGAAAATTTTATGAATAGAACATTTTATACGACGAAAAATATACAAAAAAACATTTTTTAAAATTATATCTAATTTATTAGGTTTTTAAAGTCTTTAAACAATTAAGTAATGTAGAAGAATTCAAAGTTAAAAAAGAGATTAATTTTTTACAAAAGATATTTTGGGGCCACTGAAGTGAAAAGGCAACCGCAACCGGGCCAAAAAGAAGTCGTCTGTCTTCGCTTTTTTTACTAGCCGATTGCGAACAAAAATATTCAAAAAGAAATCTTATCAACCAGACATACCAAAAAAACGTTTGTTTGTGCTTTCAAAAATAGACTTGCCCGAAAAGGCAAAAATTTGCAATAAGGCTATAGAATTTACTTCGAAGCAAATAATCTTTTCTAAAATTTTATAATTTTTTGGAAATTTTGGGTTTTTGTATATAAATAAAATTTGATGTTATCTTATGAGTGCATAATTTGTAGTTTCAGAAATTCTTAATAACAGTTCTCAATGAGCACACATAATCATGCCGACATAAGTTTATTTAGGGAATCTATTTCTCAATTAGATCAATCTTAATCAAAACATTACGTAATAACTTTCAATCTAGTTTTTATTTTTGTCTGAACACAACTACTAAATTGCCTACTACTTTAAAAACCTTTGTTTGTATTAATTTTTTTAATTTTACCGCTTTTTGGTGAATTAAATAATCACTCACATTATCATATTAATTTTCTAAAATTTTTTTTATGTAAAAAAGAAGTTTACATTATTTGAAGAGAAATTATTTTATGAAAAAATCTCTTCCAAAGCAAGTAATATATTGTACTGTTTAACAAATTTACCTTTACTAAAAATCCTCAACAGCTATTAATCAAATTTGTCATTAACAACGTCTTCTCTCAAGCTGCTGTCTCTTTAATTGACGTGCTTTCCCTGCGGCGTTCGATTCAAGAGAAGAGTGATTTCGAGTAAGTTTTAGAAGGCTTGGAGGACTTCAAAAATCAGGTATTTTGATAATGTTTCGACGCGGGTTACGTCGACAAAATGACCACAACAATTTTTATATGTCCTTTAGCCTATTTTTTTCCTTATTGGTACGTTTAGTGGTTGCGTATTGAAAAATTATCTATTACTATAATACTTTTAATTTTCATGCAATTCTGCTTGAAAAATTTTTTAGTTCTATAGTTTTTTTGGTATTGATTTTTTAATGGCTATTTAATTATATATGTATATTGCAAAATAACATAAAAGAAAAATTTTCTTCATTGAGGCGTTATACTTGGTTTCCATCAAAGAGTGTCATTGATCATTTCGGGCCACGGAAAAACTTATAAAAACAGTCTGAAGATAGTCGCAGCAAATTACTCGTTACAGTGACAGTTTTGTTTTTATAAAACGTTGTTTACAATTATGAAAGAAAAATTTTCTATTTCTATAATTTGTTACTTTTAGGTTTCTATGTTAACTTTAAAACGTATAAAACTATTTTGAGGTAAAGTGAGTGCCAAAAAAGGTTGTTAAATTAATTATGTCTTTACAACAACACAGATTTCGCTTCATGATAGTTTACGGTTTGAAGTAAAAGGTAAAAATGATATATTTAATAGTTTATCTTTGACTTTATTCCCTAATGTTTGTGTCTAAAACTCTATACGAATGTCCACTAAGTGACCTTGTGTTCCTCATTTTTTTCAATTCCTAAACAGAAACTAAATATTGTTTTGATAAAAATTCACAAAACTGTTCGTTAAGCGACCATTCTTGTTATTTTCACTTGTGACCTTTTTACAATTCTACAAAAAAGTTAGTTTCATTAATCTTACCGTGTTTTTAATTTCTTTTCTGAACAGACCGACTAAGAAATCATATGTATTTTTAATAACGTTTTTGTGGTATTTTCGTTCTATTAGTTATACGTATAAAACTGGTATTTTTTAAATATTGTGGCAGTGCACAAATAAAAATTTTGTAACTTATTTTTTTAGAAAAATAAACCATCGGTCGGTTCTGTTGTAATGAGAGGAATAGGATACTACATTGGCAAACGACCATTTTTAAGTATTATCGGCACACTGATATGCTTGTGTCCGTTAGTGTCGTTTTGGGTTTTACGTCCAATCCAAATTGTCACTGATGTTCGACGTGGTTTTGCACACAGAAATGGTCGCTCAACCGAGGAATTTAAAGTACTTTTTTAAATTACAGATATATTTTTTGACGTGGCAAAAATGTAACTATTTAATTTTAGTACACATATATCACACTAAACTCACAATAACCAAATTTTATAGGCTTTTGGTCATTTTTATAACGTGTCGATGGAAGATATGGAGTTGTTGATTATATTGATTGAAAGTAAAGATCGGGGGGCTAGCAAAATGTTGCTAACATCAGAATTGTTAGAAGAAGTTGTACGTCTAGACAACTCAATTCAGGCGACTAATATAACGCTTAAACATGGTACTATGTTCTCTTTTAAGAACTTATTTACTCGAAGAGGAAGTATCAACTTTCTATTTGATGCGTTTAAGGTAATTTTTTACTGTTGCATTGAATGAAAGTTCTAACGAAATGTTTTATTACTTTTAAGAAACAATTTTATTGTTTAGATGGGGTACGATATGCAAAATCTTAATGAACAGTTAAACTTTACTTTGGATTCTGCAATTCAATTGGATTCGCCATTTGCTACAATATATGACCATAGATTCCTTACTCTTCAGCATTTCTTTGGAGCAGACACATACCCGCGAGACAATGTTACAGTATGTTTTTTTTCTGTTTTATTGTTTACGGCATTAAAAAGAAGTGTTGAATGAAAAAACAAGAAGTTGTTAATTTTATTTTTGTTACGTTTTTAGCGAGTCTCACAAATTAAAGCGGTGCAGTCGATCGGGTTATGGTACATGTTGCAAGCTCCACTGCCAGATCGTGCAGGGCGTGACATATTACACGATATTGAGCTGAAAGTTTTCGAAATGTCACAACAGAATTTTTCTAGTTACTTTGATTTTTATATGTATGCCGACGAAGTGGCAAATCATGAGATGATGGTCGGGAGTTTAAAGACGACAAATTTGTTAGTTGTCGGTGCTGTAAGTGTTTTTATTGTGTTTTAAAATAAGGGATAATCTTAAGAAATATGATATGTAAATTCGTTTTAATTCTTTCCGAATTATTTTAAAATAGTATATCATCAACAAATATTTTAGTTTTTGATGGTAATATACATGTTGATAGCTTTACGTGATTTTAACTTAAAAGATGCTTTAATTATACTAACTGCTGCTATTTCTACACCTTTGTTGGCAATGTTAACAACGTTTTCTATTATTGGGTGGAGTGGGATGCCATTTAACGGCGTTATGAGTATCGCTCCTTTCTTGATTTTGGGTATTGGAGTTGATGATGCGTTTTTAATTCTACATTCTTGGAGAGACACTCTGAAAACTATGGTAAATTTTTACAATGGTTCATTACAGTATTATTATGAACTTTTTACTTTAAGTAATGTAAAACTCAAATATTTTGCGCTTTTTAGTTTCTTGACTTTTTAGAAAGATGCTGCACCAGTAGATCGGTTAGAACGGGTAGTATCAGATGTCGGGCCGTCGATTTTAATAACATCAGTTACCAACACGTTAGCATTCAGCGTTGGAATTTTATCTCCAGCTTACACTATGATGTCATTTTGTTTATGCACAACTATAGCCGTGGCGCTAGATTTAATATTGGAATTTGCAGTATTTGCACCTACTTTGGTTATAATAGTCCCAAAGTTAAAGATTAAAAAAGAAATTCCTATTGAAAAGTCATGGTGGTTCAAATACGCAACGTTTTTACTGTCGAAATTTGGAAGGGGACTTTTCACACTTACAATTGTTGCGTTGTCTGTATGGGCCTACTTTGGCATTGCAAACATGAATCCTAACTTTGAGCCAGAAAAGACGTTTCCGTTCGATTCATATTTACAAGAATCTTTAAGGCCGATTAAAACACTGTACAAAGAAGTAAGTGAAAAAAGTTGTTTAAGAAAAAAATGGTTTGAGTTTTATTTTCAAATTTCAAAAATTAATTAGTTCAGTTTTTGAAAATAAACATTTTTAGTATGGCCCACTGTCTATTATAATTAATAAAGCACCGGATGTAAAAAACCAAACAGATCTTTCAACATTTATTCAAATGGTAGAAAGTATAGAAGCACTACCAGAAACATATCCAAGTAACTACACTCAACTCTGGTTACGAGACTATCTTAAATATTTTGAAAAGCACAGCAACGACTCGTTGTCATACCAGTTGGTTCCTCAATTTTTGGAAGATCGTCTTATGAAGGACAAAAATGTTGTTTTATACCATGAAGACGTAAACGGTATTGTTCATATTGATAGTTTTGTATTGCTTGTGATTTGTCATGGAGAAAGGAACTGGCATAGTCGTGCCTTTTTTGTTGACAAGTTAAGAAGTATGGTAGACTCACATCCAGAATACAAAGCTTCAGTGTTTGACTATGATGCTACTATATTCGATTTGATTATAACTGCCAAGGTAAATTATTTTTTTATACAATATGTTTTTTACAATTGGAAGTGCTAACCATTTTTTATTTTAGCCAGAGATGATTAAAGCTGTGGTAGTTACGTTGGTTTGCATGGTTATAGTATGTTTTGTTATTATACCGTCACCAAAACATACAGGGATTGCAACTTTGTCTGTACTATCAATTTCTTACTGTGAGTAATCAATACAATTTAAAGATTGATACGGAACTATATTTTGATTAGTTTGACGCATTCTATTATAATAATTGTATATTTTTCAAAACTTTATTTTAAATATTAAAATATTTCAGCGTTAATTGGAGCGCTTGGATGGTGGGGCCAGGACATGGATCCAGTAACAATGACTAACGTTTTAATGGCTATCGGATTTTCTGTAGACTTTTCGGCACACATATGTTATCATTACTTTAAACAAGAACGCATTGATACTCGGCTAGGCCTAAAAGTTGAACACAACGAATTGGTTTACCGCCTCACATCGGTTTTACTACATGTTGGCCGGCCCACGTTTGAAGCTGCGTCAAGCACCATGATATGCATGTTGCCTCTGTTTACTGTTAAAATGTATGTGATAGGATCATTTGCAAAGACGGTGATATGTGTGGGCCTGTTGGGAGTAATGCATGGGTTGTTCTTAGTTCCGTCGTTATTAACTTTGACTTATAAAGGCGTTGATGATAAAAAGAGGTTAAAAGAAACGCGGTCTACAGATTCCGACCGGCCACTTATTTCTAATCAAGCTCTCTTGTAAATGCTTTGGACATGTTGCCAAGAAGAAAGAACAAAGTAAAAATGGGTTTTTTTTTAACTTTAAATCTCAGGTCTACTTATTCTTATAGCTGAAGACGTATTGCCCTATAACATCGGTTTTTTATGTATAAACTATTTCTTAGTTAAAAATAATTATGATTTTTTATTGTATACTATTGTTGTTTATGGATAATAAAGTTTAAAATCTTGAAACAACGCATATACAAATGGTACATTATCCTTTTCTTAAACTAAATTCTGAATTTATTCTAAATTTGTCAGCTTACGTTTTATAATTCAAACAAACATTTAAAATTTAAATTCTTTATTCTAGCATTTTGCACTATATTTTTTATCATCTAGAAGAACAGGAGTGGAAACATCCCAAGTGTACACCCAATAATAAGTCCGCAAGTTCGTGCCGCATTTACTGTAATTCTAACTCGTGATGACTCTATCTAAACAAAATTTTGAATTTTTTTTTAAATACAAAACAAAAACCATTTTATACAAAATTACTGCTTGCCATTTCATATTGAAACGGCACTATTTTTTATGACTTTAAAAAAAATTCATGTTAAAAGTTTTAATAACATTTCGTGTTCCGAAAATCGCGGATCCGGGACAACTCCGGAATTGTTGCTTTCATTTCTAGGCTTAGGCTGTTTAAGTTTAGTCGGCTTCATTTTAGGCTTGGCCTTACTCGCTTTGGCTTCGCCGTTTACCCTGGCAATTTTGCATTCCGAAATTGTCGCCGTTCCAAAACCCCCCCCTTCATTTATTTCAAACCCACCTGAACGGCGGTTAAAGCGGGTTGTTTAATACCCATCTTAACTACGAATTGTTCTACGTAATGGGCCAGTCCCATACCGGCTACATCGGAAACCGTATTGCCAAGCGCGGCTGCCGCCATTGTGCTGATTGTAAAGACAGCACCAATGCTATGCTCGATGTATTCACCAGCCAAAATCATTAACATATTGTCAAGAATTCCAAATCCAATAAAGGGCATTAAATTGAACACAAACAATTGCTTCAACTCTTTTCTATCTACTAATGCAGCTGACGATGATCCTCCCGTACCCTTTTCACATTTTGTTTCTTTTATGGCCAATTCAAGCATGTCTCGTTCCTTTAATGACAAGTTCTTGCATAATGTTCTTGCGGCTTCAACGTCCTCAATGCGGAAATGATCGTGCTGATTAATAATATCTTAAAAGAAGGAAATAAATAAAACTTCATAGAATAATAGAAGCAATTGAAAACTGATCAATTTATTTATATATTATACTATAATAGTTTAAAAATTAAACTTACTAGAGGTCGACGGGCGCACCTGCGTCAAGTTAACAAAACTCAGTCGAGACAATCTGTTGCAACATCGAAACGCAAAAACAGGCAACATCTTTTAATGTAAATTTAATCTTTTCATAAATTTTAATAGCAATGATATTTCTTTACGGGATTATTAGATTTTAAAAACAATTAAATATTGCTGAAGATTTTTTGTTTTATTTCACTGAACGGCCGAAAAAAAAGAAAAAGCAAAAAGAAAAGGGGTTAAAGCCTTCTCGTATAAATTTTTTGGTTCTCGAAAAGAACAGTGATAACTCTAAAAGATGCGTAAACGCTAAGATTTGTAACTACTTAAGAATACAAATAGATTTAATAAGGGACAATATTAAAACTGAAACATTTAACTAAAAAGTTTTACTTTTTAAAAAGCTTTGAAGTTAAGAAAACACCTTGATTCTGTTAAGGTCATTTTTTTCTTTTTCGGACTATGCTTTCTGACGTCATCGTGTCAAAAAAAAATATATAAATTAAAAAACTAAAAAAAAATTTAAATTAACACATAAGTTTTTAATCATAAATAAATTGTAATACTTTCTTCTTAATATGTATAATATTATAGTTGGAAAAACGATTTTTAATACAAAAATATAAATCTGAGTATAAACACGAACGATTACCGGATCTTTTGGCACCATCTGTTGCTACGTCGTCTGCGATTATTTAATGAATGTGGTGTTTCCTGGTTTTAAAAAAGTTGATTTCATACTTTAAATCAAGGTGATTTAAAATAAAAGTGGCCTATAATTCTTTTTGTATACATTAACTTTCTATATCACTTTTACGTTTAAATTTAATGCTATACACTTTGCATACAGCTTTAAAAGATATGTTCTAACTCGTGACAAAAAATGGGTCATAGAGAATCTTTTACTTTGTATTTCGCCATGTTTTTTTAACAAATTTTATACCAGTTAGTGTTTTGCAAAAAGACCAACGCTTATAAAACACATGTGCTCAAAATATAATGTGGTAAATCTACGATTTTTATCATTTGATAGCACTTTCAATCTATTAAAATTTTAATATATGACGTTTTTAGCGACTTGTTTAAAAAAAGGAATAATACTGAAAAATTTTAAATCTTTGTGATTTAGTGTTATTTTGCACCGGCCCTGCCCTGCCCTGCCCTGCCCTATTATAGATTTGTTTTGAATTTTTTATAACATTCGTCTTAAGTTTGGTTTTCGTAAATGATTTTTTCCAAGTTATCGACATACGCAAGCCCGTTTTTTCTCGGTTCTAACCTGTTTGTTAAACCTGGTTATGATTTTATTTTTATAGGTAGGTTACCAAAATTTTTTTAAAAGTTCTTTGCCAATCAACCTCACGTTCTTAATATAAGTAAAATAATTATGTTAATAAAACCAAACTCTTGTTGTAGGTTTTTAACCTTGCTCTTTGAAGCGGGGTTCTTAAAAATTGACCCAAAAACGGCATTTATAATCTATTTACTGCCGCAAAAGAATAAATAAGAGAACGGTCAAAAGTTCCGCGAAAACAGCATTTTTCCACGAGATCTTATAAACTTCGTCTTAAATGTATAATTAATATTTCTTATTTTACCAGTTTGGCTATTTAATCAGAATTGAAGGCCCGCAAATTAACAGAAAAGTTAAAACTTTAACAAAACTATTTTAAACAGTCATGAATAAGCTATTTATGTAATACAAACTGACGCAATTTTTGAATAATGCATTTACAAGTACATGTTATGTCTAAGAAACCTTTTTTTTATGTATTCTTCATGGTGATTTTTCAAAAAATTTATTGGGGTTAAATTGTTGATATTTTGTGCATGTTTTGTTCAGTGTTAGACGTTTGATGTTTGTTTGAGGAATAGGTGAAGAAAAAGTAGACAAAGCTTCACTGTTTTTTTGGTAAAAATTTACCTTCCTCGGAATTCTTATTAAAAAACTTGTTCAGATGAAAACAAAAATCAGAGATTTGTAAACTAATTTTATGCGTTTTATTGCTTGCGCCATAAGGGTTTCTTTTTGTATTCGACGGTCTCCGTAAATTCTTATTGTAAACGCTGTTTTTATTAAATGTAACCATTGTTGCTTACTGCCGTGTTTTTTATTACATTTGAAAATCATTATCAATTGTGTCAATGTTTCTACGCGTATGCTTTTCTAATTATTATCTTTTCTTTACAATGTAAAACAAACATTTACATTCATTCCTTTTAGAGGGAACTACGTGAGCAACGACTAAATAGTTTACATGTACTGTCATGCTTAAAATTGTTTGTAACTTCGCGTTTTAGTTTTTTTATAATGTAAAATACTAACTTTTTAAATATTTTGGCTATAGTGTTTTGTGGTTACTTTTGGGCGCTTTTTTACACAGTAATTTTTTTTGTTTTTGTAATAGGAGTTGATACAGATAGCTAGTCTCATAAAATGTATAAAAAATCCGCGATTCCATTAAATTAGCATTATTCGCTTTCATGGAATCCGATTTTCTTTTAAGTGAAAGAACGAGAATCTTTTTCCAAAAGCGCGGGCATCCATTCAAGTCATCATTGTGACTTGTCTCTGTTTACATCAGAAAATTGTGTTCAAACCGCGAGCAATTTATATTTTAATATAGGTGTTTTAGTTAAGTTTATGGTATCTTGCAACGATCAATAAAAAAATTTTGCAAAACAGCAACAACTTAAAAATTTTAACATTAAGTGAGCACTTTCTGACGGTTAATTTTTGCTAGGGAGGTTAAATTTTTTGACCACTTGTTGGAAATATTTTGAAAAAACTTTTTACAAAAATTTGAATATCTAATAGCTTTCAGCGTTCTTTTTTAAATGACTGTAATATACGAATATTTAATTTTATAAAATTGTCTTTTCATTATATTGTGGTAAAACGAATGGAATTTTTCACATTGAACAGTTTTCCATTAAATTTAGACTTTGAATCCGTTAAATACTTTTATCTTAACATTCCGCCAACCGGTTTCGGTTACTAATTTTGCTTGCAAAATCTCGTCATTGATTTATTTTGGATTAAAGTTCTCCATGACTACGTCATTATTTTTGTGTCATTTCTTTTCTTCAACGTAAACTGCAATTTTTTTATTCGGTTTTAGAAGTTTGCGTTCTTGTTAATAATTTAAACTGTGAAAAATTTCATAATTTTACCTACTACATCCAAAACGTCGAGATTTTGTTAAAAAGCGTTAAAAAAGGTAAATTTTGGCGTAATTTCATATAAGCAATTATATATAATATATTTAGATTCCAGATGTAATTAAAAGTCTACGTACAACACAACTTCATCTTGCCATAGTTTACTGGTTAAAAATGCTTGCCTCACACACCAACACCGGGTTATCAAATAGTCAAAACGAAAAATGTAAATGTTGTCCTTATGGGTTTCATCTTGACTTGGATTTTGTTAGCTTTGCTGAAAATGTAGCTTCAGGCCGTGAAGTATGTTTAACATATAGTTATTAGCATTTTTATACAGCTTTTAAAAACTATTTCTTAATAACATTATTTTTTAATTGATCCTAAATTGTAAATTTTAGTTAAGACAAAATCTTTTATTTAGCGCCGGAAGCCTTTAGAGTACGATTTCAAAACTGAAAAATCAAAACCGCAAAGTGGCAACATAACGTATGGCACAAATGATAAATATTTCTCACCTTCTGGTTCAAACGGGAGTGCCTTTAAAAGTTTATCAAAGTAAGTTTTATATATATGTGGTGGTGGGGCTTTGGTGAAAGGTGTCAAAGCATTTGGTTGTAGCCAGAGCCGGGCGCGAGAGGGGGGGGTTACTAGCTTCGTGTTTAGTTTAAGGCTAAATTTAAATTTTTAGGAAGTCTCTAACTGATGTTGTTAATGACTTGAGTGCGTTGAGCCATAACTACGACCATGTAACAGGTCCCTCGATTTCAAAAACAAACTTAAACCAAAACCTTTTACCAGCACAATCTTATCGACATCACCAGAAAGATATGCAGAGACCTTTATACAATGAAGTGCCTTACGTGACGGCTCATAATGCACATGGATCGCTGTTGTCATCTGGTTACTACAATGAAGAAAGAACACCGTCGAACGAACATAAACCACAATTTATCAATGAATTTAGAGTGACAGAACAAAGTAATGCTTACTCGCCATTCGACCCGTACGCAACTTTACCTAGCACGATAGATCAGCACGAGCACTCAAAAACCCCTCTTACTGTATACGCTAATGAAGAAGTAAAGGTTTTTTTAATTTTTCAATAATTTAGGTGTAAAAAATTTTTTGCTTAATTGTAAGAATCAAAGTGATATTCAAAAAGTTAAATCGTTTTGGCTTTTGTAATACTTTTGACTTTAGGTTTCTAATATTTTTTCTGACAACGCAAAAACACTGCCAACTACACTCAAACGCGTAGTAACATCAGCCCCAACATCACCAACGCCTGGAAAATGTAAGTGCTTTTGTGCTCTAAGTTTTAAAAATTGGTAGAAGTATTTTTTCTCATATGTTTGTAAAATTATAGTGAAAAAAACAGAATAACTATAAAAACACGTTTTTGTCAATTGAATTAAATTTACAATAAAATTTTCAGCTTTCTATACGGCACTTGGACAGTCGTTAGCAAATTTACGAACTCGAGCGCCTATGTCACCAATACTCCATAAAGAAGATACCCCATTTTCCGTGTCAACGATGCAGTCCGAATCCGCAAATCGGGGAAGGCAGTATGAAAGAGCCACAAAAACAAAACCTCCTTTGCCAAAACGTTACTTTGAACCCCAAAAAAGGTATCCGCGCATTTTGTCACCAGAACCAGAAAAAACTTCTTCGCCTAGCACGTTACGTAACTCCAACATACAAAATCGTACTTATTACGCTAGCACTTCGCCAAGGGCGGAGTACAACACGGATACAAGCCGCGAACGTACCATACCATATCGAAGCAAAAGTGCCGGCCGCCTACCTTCATTTTACGATAACTTTGTTTCAGTGCAACGAACAGAACCCGAAACAAAGATCACAGATAAGCAAAGCTATAGAAGTAGTACAACAAGGCCAGAGCCAACTTATTCTACCTTGGAATATAAAAAAATAAGGCCGGCTTACTCAACTTTAGATTCAAGTTACTCAAAAACCGGGCCAAGTCATTCAACATTAACTGAAGAAAAGCCGGAAAAAACATACTCGAGACTTAACAAGGATTCACCATCAACAAGGCAAGACCCATTTGTAGAACAATATCAACATTACCTTAGGTATGCAACTGACGACATAAAAACCAAGAATAAGGATCTAACAACCAAGAAAATCGACAGTCTAACTTCCTTCAAGGATTCGGATATAGTCAACAAAAATCATACTACTAACAAGAACGATTTAGCAAAAATTGTTGATACGGACCACACCGCTAAAAAAGGCCGCAGAAGATCTCCTATTAGCACAAGTACTATTGAAGATCCTATAAATTTAACCTTACATCAATCAGTGAAAAATTCTAACAGTCAACTTTATCATGACAACAACTGTTACAAAAAAGAAGATAGTCCAGTAGAAGATCCGTGTCCCAAAATTACTCGCTTAGAAAATATTAATGCAAAAACACCAACGTCTAAGCAAGAATCCCAACTATATAACCAGAAAATGTGTGGGGGCTCTACTCCAATTGTTGAAGAAGTTACAAAGCCGTTGTTGAAAAATACTATGACACAAACACCCCCATTTAATGTGACTGTACCAAAAAACAAAACATTTACAACTGTCAACACAGAAACAGAACAAAAAATCATCTACGAGCAGTTTACTCAAACGCAAATAAAACTTAAACGAGAAATAGGTTGCCAAATTAACGTTGCCCCAAAACAAAACACCCCAAGGACAGTAAACACTTCTTCCTCTCCAATTCACTTTAACGGCACACATGTTTCAACCGACACAGTTGATCTCCGAGCTCCAAAGAAAAAATGGAATGAAGGATTAAGCGTGGAATTTCAGTACTGCATAGGTCACGAATCTGAACACCACTTAGCAGATCTGCTTGCCATAGCATCACCCAAAACGTTTTCAGACGCTGCTGTCGATGTACGGCCAGAACTAAAAGAAATAGGTACCCATCAGCAACCAATTGTTTCACAGGTAGTGTTAATTAAAAAACTAATATTTGTTCTGTATCAATTTTTTAATAACGACTGCAAATTAAAACTATAATACTTATATTTATTGTGCCAAACATACTGTTTTACATTTATTTATAGTTCAATGGCCAAACAGATACAATAAAAAGTGCTGACAGAATTCCAGTAGCATGCCAAACCACTGCTTTTTTAACAACATCATCGTTATCGTCTGAAACCCAGACTAACACAGACTGGTTACAAGAAAAAAACACAAACTTAGAAAAACAAGTGTTAGAAACAGAAAATTATCAACACTTAGTTAATTCTAATATTGATGTAAGTCACAACTTGGAATGAATAGAAGTTTGAAAGATTTTTTTAAAAAATAACTTTATGACATCTCATTAACCTTCTAAGTGGTATATTACCATATCATTTACAGCCAAAATATTAAAACTTTTATTACAGAAGAAACATAACGCGTTAGAAATCACTGAAGACAACCTTGTGAAGTTGGAAGTAACAGATAAAAAGTCCAACGATACCTTACAATCAGGTATTAAGTTAACAAAAACAATGATGATCCAAACAGAAAAAAAAATTAACCAACCAATCCAGATGTTGAAGAAAACTAGCCCAATGAGTGAAGAAGAATGGGAGTTCGAGGATCTGGAGAGACAAGTTGCACGAGAAGCACAACCTCAAAAGTTTCCAACCGTTGTGATTGAAAGAACAGCCATTAAAAGCGTAGAGGAAGTCATTCGTGAGTCAGAAAAACGGAAATCACCCCAAGAAATCCAGGTAAGTCATGTCAAAGGGGATTTTAAATGAAAACCATGTCTTAAAGAATCGTAACTTTTATAGTGTTTTTAAAGTTAATTGTGAAAAAAATTAACTGCATTTTGTTTTTGTGTAAATACGCCGTAAAAACATTAAAATACCATAAAGTCCGAAAGTTTGAGATTTGTATCTCCTTGCAGGAACAAGAAGAGGCCGAGATGCTTGCCAATCTTGATCGCTTAGCAACCATAGATGCTGATCGTCTGTCAATTGATACTGACGTACAAACAGTAATAATGTTAGATGCCATTAACCAAGAAAAAAAAGTGCATGCCATAGTCAATGAAAAGGGAGATCATGTTGAAATTCAAAAAAATCTGACTCCGTACCAAACAGACGCTATTCGAAAGTTGCTGACAGAACCAAACAAAGGCAGTTTCCAACGAGAAAGTGGAGCTTATCGAAGCTTCAAAGTAGAAAAAACAAAAGCTAGTGACTTAGACTACATCACAGAAAAGCATACTCAAGTAAGCATTAAATCAAACATAGCAAACAATGTGTTATAGAAACTAGAATAGAAAACCAAAACAATAAGCAATTTTTTCGTTAAAGTTAAACAAAAGTCTTGCTTTTTTAGGCAATTCCAGTAAAACATATTTTCTAACAAATTCAAAAAAAAATTTAATTTTCTCAACCAGCTTTAACCCGCAACGCCGCAACAGTAAGACGGCCGTTAAATCGGATTTAATCAAAGAACAGTGCGAATGTTTACTCATTTGAGGCCACAACTTAAAAAGAGCTATTTTAAATAAACTAACATAATATTTTATCATTATGAATCCACTAAACCTCTTCACTAAAAACCATATTTATTTTCAGGTTCTTAGGCCTCAACCATCCACAACGCCATCAAGTGACCCAGAAAAGCCTTTAAAAGAGATGGTAGTACTAAAAAAATACCAGAACATGACATCCATTTTCCCGGAGCCGATTAGCGCTAAAATTCCAAGACCAAAGATTACCAAATACTCACCACAACCAGCCGAAACTGAACACGCAGAAACAGCAGATGAAGTAAGCTATTATAATTCTTCATAAAGGCTTTTGCATTTTAAAAACTAAATAAAAAGTTTATTTAGGCAGCGGAAGCACAGGATAAACTAACTCCACTCCGATCTGAGTTGCAATATTTTGATGAATGGCGGTCAAACCGTTATCGTCGGTTCCGTCGTAGTCCTTACGAAACTCCACCACAAATCGACCTGCCAGATTATGATTCTGATGAGGAAGCCACTGGATACGACCCCAACGATCCTGTAAGCACGTCTTCAAATTCAAGTCTAACCTCCGACGAAGCTGACATTGATCGGCAAAGCAGTGATGACGAAAATGTTTCGTTGGAACTTTCAGCGCCGTTAAACGAAGCTTTAGAAACTTTGAACAAAAATTTGCTAGAAGATCCCGAAGAAAGTATGCATTCAACAGACTGGGCTGAGAAGTACGTACAGCATGAATGGCTACGATTAAGCACAAAGAAAAACGCCAACGCTGAAATTCTACAACAATTTTTGAATGCTTTGACAAAACATTCAACTCGTTTGTTGGAAACCGTTATAAACTTTCAAGACCAAAACGTATGATTTTCCTATCTTCTGTTTTAAGTTTTACGTTATTTTCAATTTCCATTTTTTTAATTCATGAAGAAGACTTGACAAAACATTTTAGGGAAATACTGCGTTACATTATGCAGTATCTCATGAAAACTACAGTGTCGTGAGTACACTCTTGGATGCGAAGGTATGTCGCGTAGACGATACGAATAAAGCTGGTTATTCGCCGGTAATGCTCGCTGCTTTGTGTGATATAAAAAATGAGACCGAATCTGCCATCGTACAACGATTATTTGAAAGAGGTGATGTAAACGCAAAGGCGATATATGTAAGGTTTAAACGTATAAATTTTTTAATTTTAATTTTTTATCTCATTGTGTAAATTATTATATGTGGTTATTCTATTTGTTCATAAGAGTCAAAAAACGTGAAAAAATTAAACAATTAATTCGCCAGAAATTACAAAAAATGAGTGGACACACGTAAAAAAAATTTTTTATTTCAGCATGGTCAAACAGCGTTGATGTTAGCCGTATCACACGGTCGTATCGAAACGACAAATCTTTTGCTTAAATGTGGCGCGGACGTGAATTTAAAAGACATAGATGGTTCGACTGCTTTGATGTGTGCTGCAGAACACGGTCATAAAGACCTGGTTAAAATTTTGCTTAAACGCCCGGGCATCGACGCAAGCCTTACTGATTGTGTAGGTTTTTATGCTAAACTTTACACAAATTGTTGAAATACTTCAAAGCATAAAAAATATTTTTTGTTTATTTTATTATTTTAAAACATTTTTAGGACAACCAATCAGCACTGTCCATTGCCATGGAAAACCAGCACAGAGATATTGGAGTGCTAATCTATGCGCACCTGAACTATGGTCGCAGTGATGGGCAGGAGTAATTGTTCGCTCAAAGTAAAATTAAAAGGCTTGTTGTTCGCAAAACACTACAAAAACAAAAAAACTATATTTGCACATCCGTACTACGTAAATCGTCCATCTACTAAAATTTAAAATGCATTTTGCCTTCTCTGCTAAATCATGAAACACCTCAACCAATACTGTCATGTAACTAATGTCACATATCGTATTTAAATTTTTTATCACTTTTGAGCAATGTGAAAAATAAACAACCGTAACTTTTCCAATTAATTTGAAAAGTAATATTGTAAAAACATTTATTTTCAGCGCGATAGTTATATATATATACCCGTTAACAAAAACTTAATTAATATAAAAAATCAGATGCTAAATTCATGGCAGTAACGGCACTTTTTTAAACAATCTAAAGCCTTTACACTATTATAAAAGAAAAAAAAACGTCTTCGAAAATCAACAACAGTAACAAAATTAACTTTAAATTTTTACCGGTTGCACTTTTAGACAATTCAAAAATTCGTTTTTGTAATTAGCGTAATCTTCTACTAACTTCTCTGGATATTGTTCCTTTTTCTGATCGGCAGATCTAATAATCAAAGTTCCCGCTTTTGCCAAAGGAAACAGTAAATCGTCCGTCTCCAACTCAGTGGGCGAACTAACAATGATAATGCAATTGAAGCTCCGGATTCTTTTCCCAGTTACACCACTGATCATAGTAGAAGATAAATTGCGGTTTCGTGATCCGATGCACTCGACAGGACTTTGAAAATTCGGATTAAAAGCTGCATCAAATATACGTTGGATGATTTGAGTCTCATTTTCAGATTGCGGCCCAAACTATAAAGTAAAGTGTAAATTGTCAAATAAAGTTAGAATAAACTTTAAGAAAAAAAAAACTTACGTATCCCGTCCAACTCTTTTGCATGCAATCCAATCTACCCCGTTTATTAATGTGGAAAACAAATGGTTCAACCATTCTAGGAATAGCCAAAAAATCGGGCGGAGCATCAAACAATTCGTCGGAATAAGCTTTCTTAAATTCTCCTGAGTCCACATCCATACACAACACCTTCCGAAAATATGGTCTCAAAATTTGAACTCTTCTTACTGGAACCTTGTCATGCTCATTAATAAGAAGACAACAATAATTTTCTCGTGGGAGGTAGATGGGGTTGGTCTTGAGTTCTTTTATATATCCATGAGACTTCCTAAAAAAAATTTTTTTATTTTTATATTGAACATTTACCATAATTTAAATACCAGGCAAAGAATAAAATTTTGAGATCATCACCAACAATTCCTATATTTAATACAAATACTACGCAGCGTTCATAAACAATATAAAAGAATAGTTAAAGTGCTTACCTAATAATGGCCTTTAATTGATTCTCGCATTCAAGATTTATTTGTTTCACCAAAAGTGGCCTTCTAAAATCTCCAATTCTAATCAGCTGCACACGAATACCATGAGGATTAGGTTGAAAATTTGAAGCATACTGCCTGGAAGCTTTTAATGCTTGACGAATCAACCTTTCTTCCTTCGTAAATGGCGGAATTTGCTGAAATCAAAGTTATTACAATTAAAAAAATCATGAGTTTTACAATTTTATTTTAATTAATAATAAATTGTAAATATATATTTTGTTAAAGTTTTACAACTTACAATAAAAGAATTAGCATTCAGTAAAAAATTGATAACAACAAACAATTCTTACCAATTTTGTGATTCTGAGCACTGCTACATTATCAACCACCGGAGCAAACTCGTAAAAAGCTGTAAATAAATTATTCAAGTAATTGATAACATCTTCCGCCTTCATTTCCGAATCTAACATCAACGCTTGTTGAACGGCATGTGTCGTAATTTTTGCGTATCCTCCCGGCCCCAAAACATCTCGAAGACGGCAAAGCTGCTGCAACTCAAACTTCACTTTCCGAGAGATGGCTTTTTCAGTAGCTTGCTAAAAACATTCGGGAACATTAAAGACAACCATACATTACCGAGAAACTAAAATAATTTTGTTTTAATACAGGATTTAAAAAACAAGTTGTTTTTATTAGACATTCATTAAAAACGAAACAAGTAATAAAACTCACCACCAAACAAGCATTCTCCGCGTAACGTTCAATAGGATCCAAAATTATGTCAACAGTAGATTGAGATATTCTTACTCGAAACAATCCAGTGCAAGCTCTAATCGCGTCTACCATAGTGTTTTCTGCCGTGCCAAGAGCATAATTAAGCTAAAACAATACCTAGTTAGCTAACCTCATTAAAGTGTGATTTTGAAATCAAAGAGTATCTAAATTTAAAACAAAAAATATTACAACGTACTTCGTTTAACGTCAAAAATTCATCGTAAATGCGAAAATACTCTAAAACCAAAGTATTCAACTCCATTCGACCATTTTTTTGATGAACAAGTGTGCACAATCTGTTCAAAATCTTTTGCTTGTCGCGGCTTTGAAGAATAATGTTTCGCCAAAAAGGAAATTCTCTCAAAAATTCGCTTGGGAATATTTTAGAATCGTTCATGTGTTAAACTAAAAAAATATACATAAAAATTAAAAACCTAATAAACGTATTTATACACCCCAATTAACCTTATCAAAAATAACTTAAAAATCAACGAGAAAAAACATGTTAACGAAGTGTCACATAAATGCAACGAAATATCACAAATAAAAAGAGAAATAATCTTTTTTAAAAAAATAAAAATAGCGCATTAATAGCGTAATAACAAGAAATAATAGATTTAACAAAAAGCATAAAATAAGGAAAATTGATTTTAGTTAACCTATATTAGGTTAAATTAAATAATAAAGACAGTAAGTTTCTAAAAAGTTACATCAATTGTATACTTTTTTTCAATATAATAAACGTTTAAAAAACCTTTAAAAAAAGACTAATCTTTTTCATCCATATCAATACCAAATGCAATATGGTCGGTTCTTTGCGTATTCTACGCGCCATTCAAGAGCGCCTTTTTTCTCGCGCCAAATTTTAACAAGAATTAAGCGGACAGGTCATTCTATTCTATAGGAACTATTTGGTTTACGTTGGACTCATAATTTAGCTCTTTAACTTCATAAAACGTCATTCCTATACACGTTTATAGTGGGTATGGCAAAATCAACGCTTGGAGCTGCACAAAAAATTCCAACAACATTTATCGTATTAAATCCAGTGGTCAGTGACAATCCTTCACAGTTCCTGAAAGACAAATTACATAATGTAAGTTTACAATAACCGTAATACCAAATCTAATTCTTTTGAAGATTATTTCTGTTGCTAACTTACTGGGAAAATACCCAACCTGTCCCGCTCAGAATCAGCTCAAAATGTTTATATTAATTCTTTGTACCACCAATAGTACCCAAAAAAAATTTTAGCTCGCGCTTTTGAGTTGTAAATTTTAAATATTTTAGTTTCCTGCCAAGTTGACAAGTTTGGCATTGTGCTTCAATCACTTTTTCAATTTTCTAGACAAGCTGCGCTTACAAATTGAAAATTGTAGATCCATTGGAACATTTTCTACTAGTATATCAAAGAAAAATGATTAAAAGTCAAAAAATGAAAGTTCTAAACTTGAAACATAATGCCAATCTGGCGGAAAATTTAAAACTTAATTTTTTGATTTCGATTTTCTAGGCAAGCCTCTTTCCTTGTTAGTTTTGAATAAAAAGGTGTACGTTCCGTTACATATACGTTTTTAATATTAGGTTGGCCTGTAATGGATTTCGGTTCCAAAATTTTCTGAAGTTTATTATAAACTATATTTTGTTCTAATTATTGTTGTTAATCAATTTAATGGAATTCAGAAAATTTTGGAACCGAAATCCATAACCGGCCAACCTAATAAATTAAATACTTTTTAAATTAAAAATGTACCTTTGCCCTTGCGCTTTTTCAGATCCCTCCAAACAAACTATCAAACTACCAACTGTACACACACATCTATCGTATTGTACCAAAACTTAAGACAGCTTCTGCAAATGGATTAGTCAAAAAAATGTGTTTATTGAAAAACGAAGTTTTGCCTTATTTAACCGAAATTGATAAGCGACGTCAGGGTGAACATCCACATTCAATACAAAATAGCCAAAGTGTAAAAAGTCAATCGAAACCCCCTGAAATGACTTCGCCTATGAAAAAACTAAAATTGTAATTGAAAGTTTCAGTTGTAATCATTAAAAATTAAGGTGTCCTTTTTAATTGTTTATTTGTCTTTATACCATTACGTAATAAAATTTTTCCACATTAGACATATATTCTACATTTAATACTTGTTAAGTTCGTTACCTTTAGATGAGATAAAATATAAGAAATATTATGACAAAAATAATAAAAACAATTGGAAAAATGATCCTAGCAATGATATCCAAATTCGAAGTCGCTTGATAGTTGCCGCGTTTGCTTTCACTTTGTATTTCCACTTCTGTAAGCGGGGTTTTATCTAAAGTTTGTGGTGGTGCGTATTTGGCGCGCTTTGTCGATCCGGCTCCTGTGCAGATGACTAAAAAGTATTCGACAAGCGAGGCAAAAGTAATGGCCGCACAAAAGATAAGCCAAACTTGCGTAGCTCCAATTCCAGAACGTCCGAGATGTGGTTGAGGATAAAATATCTAAACATTTTTTTATTTTATAAAAACGAAACGTTAAAAATATGACTTGTTATAAGTATAAAAACTTACAATTAAAACTGTAAATAGTAAGAATGGTATAGTAGCACTGACGGTTCTAGGTACAGACCAAGATCCGTGAATCCAAAAATGAAGCCATGAAAATACTACCTAAATCATCTTTTTAAACAAAAAAAATTTTTTATTTATTTCTTAAACTAGTTAAAGTTCAAGATTTTTATTGTTATGCTTAAAAGACAGTCAAAAAACGTACTAGTAACACAGAAGGCCCCAACAATTGAAAAATAGGAGCAGCAGCAGACCCAGTAAATGTTATAACAACATCAATGCATGAGTAAATCCCAATTGTGTAATTGCCAACACATTCTCCCACATATGCATCCTTTAAAACGTAACCATCGCCATCCAAAAGTTCTTTTGATACTTCAACTGGTACAATCAGTGGTGGCTTATTAGCCCACATGTAAACTACATCAGTAATAGGATAATTATCTAAAGTAAGCAAAATTATTTCGGTTTTTACCAGATACTACCCAAAAACTTGCATTATTATGACAAAAAATTAAAATATTAAAGGACACAGAAAATGTTTAAAAACTCCTTACAAGAAGCTAGCCGGATTCGGAACGACTTTGTGTTATGGAATGGATAAGCTATGCTGTTTTCGACAACAACTTCAATCACTTTCCTAAATTTTTTATTTTTATCTTACATTATAATATTAAAAGTTATCATTTTTAAAAAATATTTAAAACTGACTGTTCACTAGCTCGAACATATCCGCTTGGCTCAACTACTACTCGATATTTGTCGCTACCAGCCGTAGTGAGTTCCCTAGCTGTGCCAAAATAGGTGTCTGGCATCCAGATTTTTTTGTCGTTTGGAATAACAATTTCTTCAACTTGTTCTCGAACATCTACATCGTACTTGAGTCGATTGTCTTCCCATTGCTGTCGCAGATACAAATCGACTTCCTAAAATAGATGTCACTCAAAACATTTAAATACAGTGGAACCTCTGTATAACGAACAGCCAGAGGATTTAAAATTTTTTCGTTGTGAAGAGGTTTAGTTATGCAAAAGTTTAAAATAAACTGTATAGTTTTAACCGGAGTTTAAAAAGTTGTTCGTTATACAGGAAGTATAAATAAAAGTTTAAAAAACCGTATAGGTAAAGAACTGTCTTCACTTACAGCACTGTAGGTTTTCCACGCTACACGATTAATATGAATTGACGTAATCACGACAATAGTAGCATGATTAGCGTGTTCACGAACAGGTGGTCGCAATGATGCTTGATAGTCTCCAGTAAACAATCTGCTGATAATTTGGCCTTCGCTAGCGATTTGTCTTGTTCTCAAAGTCTTATCGTACGACGACGCGGCAGATGCGCTACTAAACTTTTAATATTGTTTTCTGTCGCCTCTCTTCCTTTTATGTAATTTATAATAGTACACAGCAAAAATATTCCAAAGCCACAATCATTAAACTTACTTAAGAAGTAATATAAAAACACTTATTAATGTGCCAAACCATAACATCGTATTTCAACCAAATATTTGTAATAACCCTAAAAGCAATGCTTCTTGACACAAAGAAACAAAAATCTTTCACGTAAAATTTATTGAACAATCCGTATGTGCAAATTTTTGAAACCCGCTGTACATTTTTCGGAACATAATATTGTAATTAAAAAAGACGTTGAGTAGAAAAACTATTCAAAAAGAAACGGTCGAAATCTTTCTTCAAAACATTTTTGGCATTAATCCGCATGAAGAATGGGCCCGAAGCGCTTTTATATATTTAGCGAGTCTTTTTTTACTCGAACTAAAAAAGAACATTTTTGACCTATGTAAGCCGCGTAATTTTAATTTTTTAAAAGAATTACATATGTCTGCACGACATTTAAAAACACGAATATTTTTATGCACTCTAATTACTGAATACCTTTAAAAGTTTTAAAAATTCCAAATTTTTACAATCCTAGAGCCGTTTACTTTCGTTATAATAGTATCCTAATTTTTTATGCACGCTGTACTCCGATGCACAGAAAAAGACGAGTTGTTGTGCTAAAAATATGGAACATAAAAAAAACACAACAGCTGTCAAGACCGCCAGAGAGAAAACAAAAATTGTCAAGAGTGGGCAAGAAACTAAATACGACTAAACTTCTATGACAGTTATCATGAGTAAGTGAAAAAAATCAACATATTGGACATCTAAACATTTTTTAAAATAAATATTTTTAAAACTTAAAGATGGTTCCAAAATATAAAAGCAGCGGCATTTTAACCATGTGTTTACCATTAATCTTGGCGTTTTCATTTTTTTGCTTTTTGAACAAAATTAGTTGTTTTACTATAAAAAAAAATAAAAAATGAAAAATGGTTACTAGAAAATTTAATACCGGTCTGAAACAAACTTTTAAACGGCTTTTATAAAGATGAGAGTTGGATCCCATTTTAAATCAATATTATACCTTTCGTCCCTCCCACACATATAATGATGATTTTGCCAAAGCCAAAAAACGGTCAAAAGTAAAAATCCGCAAAATTTTTTAAAGCAAACTGAAGACCTGACAAGCGAGTGAGGACTTTAAAAATTTGAACGCAAAAAAGAAAATGGAACTTTTCATGATCCAGCCACAAGGCTTTGAATTGCTTTCGCAAATCTTGAGGCCGACTGACTGAGAAAAACCAAAAAGAAAACAAAAAAGTAGTAAACTCAAGCTGTACGACAAGGCTTTCAAAGAAATAAATTATGTATACGAGGTATTATACTGTAATACCCAAGAAACATGCCGAAAGTAGAACACTCATATCGTCCGAAAATTTTATGTTAAGAGTTGATGTAAATTTAAGATTTTATGCGTAATAATATTATGCGGTTTGCGGAAAAGCTGGGAAAAATCGAAATATTACATTCTTAATGAATCGCCGCCAATTCGCATATTTTTTCAAGATTTTTTAAATTATAATAACTATCTTTTGTATTATGATCGGAACCCTTTAAACAAATATATGTTTTTAAATGTAAGCCTATATTATCTGGATCAACGAAAGTGCAAGTTTTATAATATATTCTAAAATCTATGTCAAAATTTATGTAATTAAAAATAAACCTATACAAATGACTTCATAGAAACCACAAAAATACATTGTGTACCACACTATTTTTGGTATTTTTTGAGTTTGTCTTCTAATTCATCCAAAGACATAATTGGCATGTCACATGAGTTGAGCTCACAAATCTGTATCGTCCAATCTTTCATATAGTCGACCATTTCCACAATATGTTTGTTACTTTTTCTTATATACGACTGTTTGTCAAGTTCAATGACGACAGTGAAACTGTTTGGTATTGGCGTTTGAAAAATACGTTTCAAAGCAACTTGGGTTTGGTCGTTCATAGTTGGAGTAACGACTAATACCTGCAATTTTTGCTAAATAACAAACGAAAAAGCGAATAAAAAGGTCTTAAAAATTACGCAACTCTCATTCAAATTTCGCAAATTAACAAAAAATATTTAATCTAAAGACCAGGGACGTCGCTACGGATTTTCTCGGGGGAGGTCGAAAAAAAATTTTCGTCCACAGGTTTTCGTCCTACCTGTGGACCGATTTTTCAAAATTTTTATTTTTCGTTTTTGCACGTACAGGTACTTACCTGTGGAATTTTTTTTCGGATTGGCTCTGGCGGAGGGGGGTACCCCCCCCTACCCCCCCTCCCCCCAAACGACGTCCCTGCTAAAGACAAAAAAAACTACTGCAATTTCCTAAAGATACCTGTAGCCTATTGTTGTATTGTCGCTGAAGAACGGATGCAAAGTAGGGTAGTGCTGCTGGACTTCGGGTTAAAACGTCACCTAAGCCTTGAAACAACTCCTTCAGTTTTTGTTGATACTTTTCTTCAGCTGTAAAGTTGTTCAGGCGAAGCAAGTTTTCAACCGCAATAGAATTATATGACGGTTCAGCAGTGTCTTGTTCTACAAAATATATATTAGATAATACAATTTCCCAGAAAAGAAATTGAAAAAATAGTATTTTAAAACTGCGTGTAAAAAGTAATTTTACTTTTTTAAAGTCTAAGAATAAAACTTACCGTTTTTAGGCCTCATAAACAGATTAACTCCAACTTCATTTAAAAAGTAACCAGCTTTGCCTTCATTATCGTAAAATTTGTCATCAAACTGGACCTGTATTTTGATTGCCTTTTCTAAGTACTCATCTCTTTGTGTAAATTCAAAAAGATCCAAGTATGCCTTTATTAAGTTAGCATAGTCGTCTGCTACGGCAGATATGGGACCGCTAAACGACTTAAAGGTTTAACGCGGTAATCAATACTAACAAGGAAGTGGTCCTACCTTGTCTCGGTGTTAAGAAACAATATTAGGCTCATCTTAAAGCTTAAAAAATTTCAATTGCTAAATTCATTCTCGTAAAGAAAGTTATGAGCTTTTAAAGTTTTACCATTGAAAACCCTTACCAAAAAATTGCACAAGATATCCCTCGGCTTTTAAAACAAGACCTATATAGGATGAAAGAGCATAGCTACTGAGAATACTGTAAAATCTACAAATATTAAAAAAACAATACCTCTTGTTCACTTCCCCGTCATCGTTTACCAAAACACTTCGTTGCAAACCTGTTTTTTCGTTGCATAAATTTGTCTCAATAAATTTCAAGCATTTCTCAGCCATACCCAAAGCTTCAGTTGCAAAATGTGGTAAAGTTTTTGCAACTTCTACTAAACCACTTATCATCATTGCATTCCACGACGTAATCACCTTGTTATCGCGATGAGGCTTAGGCCTTTGGTCTCGTCGTTCTTTTAAGATTTTTATAGCTTCATTTAGGCAATAATTGTAATCTTTTTGCGACATTTTAAACTCTTGGGCTAAATCAGCTAACGGCTTAAGACGATGAAGAACATTGACACCGTCCAACTCTTTATGCGGATCCTAAAAATAAATCAAAAGAATTCACTGTTAAATACTACAGTTTTAAAAAATATATAATAACGTACATAAACTTTCTCCACATTTCCTTCAATCTTCACATCAAATGTAGAAGCAAACAATTCCCCATAAGTAATATTTTCGTTAATAACATTTGCAATGTTCTCTAACAAATCGTCCGTTTCGTCTCTTGTCCATACATAGAAAGCACCCTCCTTTTTCTTTTCAGAATCTGATTTAGCTAATGAATCAGCATCTTCGGCACTGTAAAATCCGCCGTTCTTCGATAGTAAGCGCTCTTTGAGATAATAAAGCATGTTTTTAATCACATCCGTATAATCATGTCCTAATTTACAAAAATTCGCATATGCAGTCAATAACTGTGCTTGATCATAAAGCATTTTTTCAAAATGAGGGACATGCCATGTTGGGTCGACCGAGTAACGATGAAAACCCTGTAAACATTCTTTAAACTTTTTGAAATTAAAATGATAAAAAACAAATTAATTCGAAAAAACCACAGAGTAACTTATAGAAATAGTATTGCTCAAATAATAACTTCTTTAAAATATATATATTTAATTACACCGCCAATGTGATCATGTATTCCGCCAGCAGCCATCTTGTCTAATGTTTTGACAGCCCACTCTTCTGCTTTCTTCGCCATTTCTGTGTCCTTGTTAGCACATATATAGTGAAAAAGATAAATAAAGTTTGCTAAAACAATACGCATTATATTCACTAATAAAATTTAACAATAAGTTAATAGTACACATATAATATTTACAGAGAAAAAAAGCTTCCATTATGATTATGAAATGCGTTCGAATTTTACTTAAAGTATCTTACATGGTTCGGGAAACTTCGGTGCCACAGTAAAACCACCATTGACAGTGTCGAAACTTTTCTCAAAATTTTTCATGATTTCATCTTCAATCTTTTTAAAATCCACAACATCCGTATGTGCTTTGGTAGTCAACTTCTCGGACAAAATATTTGATAAATAATCGGCCTGCTTCTCCAGCTCACTTTTATCTTTATTCCACTGCAAGAAAAGTGTTAGAAGAATGTATGAAAAATATTAAGATTTGGAACTGTTAAAAAACTTACTCGTTCGCTAACCAACTTTAATATACTGAGAAAACCCGTCTGACTAGGCGTGTCGTCCGGTGGAAAATAAGTCCCACCTAAAAATGGTGCCAAACTAGGAGACAAAAACACAGATAATGGCCATCCTCCGCCACCGAGCATAGCTTGAACAAAACTCATGTAAACCCTGTCAACATCAGGCCTTTCTTCTCTGTCCACCTTTATAGAGACAAAATTATCATTCAAATATTGTGCAATTTCCATGTTTTCAAACGATTCGTGTGCCATAACATGACACCAATGACAGGTTGAATACCCAACTGAAAAATAATACAAAAAAAATTGAATAGCAATTTTACTTAATTACCATAAACTTACTAGACAAAAAAATAGGTTTATTTTGACTTTTCGCCTTTTCGAATGCTTCTTCACCCCACGGCAACCAATCTACAGGATTATCCGCATGTTGCAGCAGATACGGAGATTTTTCATTTGCCAAACGGTTCTGACGCTTTAATGACATACTTCTGAAAATACTAAAAAATTATAATTTTAACTTACTTGCAAAATTTTGAAGCTTGGAAAATATATAAGTTCCTACACAAGCGTATATTCGTAAACAAAAACATTCGGCTTCTTATGAAACTTGTGAAAATATTATTCACTAAAACGTAACGCCACACTTTTTAGCAAACATCGTTGTCGTGTCAGGACCAACTAAATACAAAGGTAATTAATTAAGAGTTTCTAAACCGCAAGGAAATTATCCAACCTGCCCTGCACAAAATCAGCTTGAAATTTTTATGTGAATCCTTTGCACAACCAATAGTAATTTTAAAAATTTTAGCTCACGTTTTTGAGCCTTAATTTTTAAATATTTTAGTTTCCTGTCAATTTGGCATTGTGTGGCAAGTTCTTGTTATTATCTTTCAGGTCAAGGGTCGACCCTTGGTCCTCTTCTTTTCTTGCTTTTATGTCTGAGCTTCCATATTACTGTCCTACGAACAACGTCTCAATTCAAATGTTCGCTGATGACGTTAAAATTTATGGTAGATCGAGTGACCACAATGAAATTCAGGACTTTATTGACAAGTTTGTGTTATACTGTACTAATAATGGGCTACAATTATCTATTCACAAATGTGTTGTCTTACATATTAATCCTTCTAACCCCAAACACCCCTATTTTATTAACGGCTCACCAATTCCTACTAGCACTGTAGTCCGGGATCTCGGACTAATGGTCAATGCTAAATTAACATGCCATGATCACATTCAAAAAGTATACTCTAAATGTCAAAAAAGGATTTTCTTTCTGTTAAAAGCCGTTAAAACTAACAACTTAAAAATTCTTATAAAAATATACAAAATTTATGTTTTACCTATCATTGATTACTGTTTTCCTCTTTACTTTCCACATCTGGCTAAACACTCGGAAAAGTTAGAACAACTTCAAAAAACCTTTACTCGTATCATTGTCCGTCGTTGCTTAAATCTTAACCCCCTTCCCTCTTACTCCGAACGACTTAAAATATTATCCATAATCCCATTGTCAGAACGTCTCTTAAATATTGATAGTGTTTTGTAATAAAATTATGTCTGGAAAATTAATTGTATCTGAGTCTTTAATGCCCAAATCTGTCCAGTCCAGGACAAGAGGTGGTAGTAAAGTTATTGTTCCCTTCTCCAAAAGTTCTGTTAAATATAATTTCTTTTATAGTAGAATTTGCAGAAATTTGAGAAGTCAGCCCCCTAGGGGTCAGCCAAATTAATACATTGAACTTTATATATTATCGTCTATATTATTTTTGTTTAAATGTATTAATAGATGCAATAAACAAAAAATAAGGTACGTTTCAAAATTTAAAAATATAGGTGATCAATAAGAAAAGACAAAGAATCAATTACCGTTTTTTATATTATTGTCAAAATACGACAATACCACCACACAGAACTTTACGCAAGAAATATATAACTTTATTCGATATGGAATATAAAAAATTTAATCACATTTGGTGTCATATCTCACGGGAATGTATGTGCATAGGACAAGCGTTAGTTACTTAATTCAAGTGATTGCAAAGCGCCTTGAGCAATTTCGATATTTGGTTTACGAGACTCGATGGAGACTTCTATGTATTCACGGAAGAATTCCAGGATAGGTGTGTAAGCCGAGCTGAAAAAAATAAAATATAACACCCCCATGCCGAAAAACAAAATAAAGGATTCACTAAATATTTAACAATTTGTTTGACCAAAAACACGTTAGAATTAAATTTTCTTCAATGAAAAAGTCAGTTTATGTTTTTTATTAATGCCGTTTAAAAAATTTACCAACTGGTTTCTGCCCATTCAATCAATGCGGCGACTCCTGGCCTGGCAATTTTCAAAAATCGACCCATTTTATTAAGATTATGCGTGCTTCTTAGTAGTGTTTTGCTTAAATTGGACACATCTTGGCGCAGTATGGCCAAAAACAATGTCCATTCCAAAGCATCGGCGTCAGCAATTGCTTTTTGAATGTAGCAAATCTCGTCTTCCGATTGTTTTGTGCCTTTAGCTTTCGATTTTTCGCACAACTTTTCAAACACTTTTCTGTTGAAATCAGTTGCTATTCGTCTCCTAAAAATATTATTAACCTATCGTGCATCATTAATAGTATTATTTTTAAAAAATCGTTGAATTATTAAGGATTTCAAATTAAATGCGGAATGTATACGTATAAGTAAGATCTCTAGAAAGTATAATATCTTCACAAAAAATCCCAAAACTCACGTCATTTTTTGATGTCGTAGTTCTCCGTTAACTTTCGGTGTGAGTACAAAGTTAGGGGATGAAGTGATATCTTCGGAAGAAATAGACGACGTTTCGTCAATTATACTTATAGAAGACGGTGACGGGCTTACAATTGGTACATGTCCATTTGAAACAACTAATTCTGTGGCCATGGGATAGGGCCAATTAAATTGTGCATGAAGCTTCATTAAAATCAAGGGGAATTGATCGGACGCCGCTTGAAATCGGCTAGATGGGTGTTTGAAAAAGGCGGTCAAGTCATAACCAAGGTGAGCAGAAAATGATCCTTAAAAATAACAAAATACAAAATTATACCTTTTTAAAAAGATATATGTTATTTTAAAACACAAAATATATAACAGAAGTTCCAATCCAAAAAATATTAAGAAAAATAAAAGAAATTACCCAAATCTCGAACTCCATAGTTATTTAACAATCCAACCGCATGATGATTTAATATTTCACTAACTTGGGTTGAAATTAACTCTGGCATTTCCGCTAATGGAGGCGGAGTATTTGGGCTTGGAAGTAACGGTTGTGAATTGATACTGCCCGATCTGTTCAGCAATAATCGTGGAGGATTTGTCGAAGATGTTGCATTGAACGAAGGCTGAGATACTATAGATGGTTTAGATCGAGGAGCAATGCTGTTTGTTATTGAATTTTTGAGCTCTACAAGTAAAAATAAATAATAAAGCGTGGGTAAACATGTAAAAACACAATTTTCATTATAAAATATTTTATCTCCACAACACTTAATAAAAATATTGTAAAAAACGTCCGCCATACCGTTGCTACTGTTAAATACAATTCCGAAATCTTCATTGTTATCGTCCGCAATAAATATCGATTTGTTTGGTTGTTTGCTAGCCAGTTTTTGCCCTAATGGGCTTTCGGGCACATCTTCCAAATCCTTCTTATCAATACTTTGCAAAAACCGAACAATATCACGTGCAATCTTCCATTTGCGTTTTGTTAATGCTTCGTCCAATAAAGTTGTCGCGAATTCCACGCTGGCCACCGCCGTTTCCAAACTTTGCAGCACGATTAAAGAACTTGTGGCTGTTTCCAACTGTTCTTCTTCTAAGCATAGACGAAACAGTTCACGAGGATGATGCGACACCGTAAACAAGTGATTTCGGATGGCCAGTTCTGTCTTCCTAGCACAGTAAACAATGATTTTTAAATATTCGGGAAACTCGCGTACAAATGCAACAACACGCGGAAGCAGTGGTTCTAAAAAGTAAAAATTCCTTTATTTTTTCATTTTAAAGGCACATTAATGTATAAATATGGTATGAATTTGTTAGTTTGTAACAAACGGATTTATTTTTTTTTCTTAAATTTATATTTTATAATTACCTGGTATAGGTTCGGAACTTGTGGCTTCTTCTTCAAGTACATCATGTAACAACAGTTCCAATATATGGCCAAAGTAAGACAGATCTCTGCATGCGGACACGATTTGCAACGCATAGGTGCCGAGGTTCCTTTTTAACAACTGTTTCAAAAGTTTGTGCATGAAAACCTCAGATGTTCTGCTCAATTGGTGCACGTACTGATTAGCATGGTGTTTGAGAGTAGGTAACAAAGCCATGGATTCAACTCCAGACGCAAGACAATCTTCATCAATTGACAAAACATAAGTATTCGTTTCCACAGGAAGCATAATACGACTATAAAATATGTTGTAAATTTAAAAAATATAATGAAGAAACAAAACGTTGGTAAGGATAAGTCTCCTTACTAAAAGTTACGCTTTCTTATCTTACCTTGACATAAAAGATTGTCGAGAATCAGTGCTCTGACCACCCGAACCAGCCAATGGTAACCAAACTTTCATTTTCCTGCAGCCCGCATTTATCCACAAAGCTTTATTGAGATGTGGAATATTTTGCTGAGCTGTTTGTACCCAAATCCGTTCAACGTTAGAAGCGATCAGCATAGGTTGATGCAACTAAACTCAAAAACAATATTAAAAAGGTCAAAACTGCGTAAATAAAATAAATGTTTAAAAGTTCACAAATTTTTACCTGGAAATGGTTATAGTCGTTTGAATTTGGATGTGGTTTATTCAAAGCACATAACATAAGTAGATGACCCGAAACATTTACAAGCAAAGCGTCCATACCAAATCCAAATTCTGCTGCATCTAAACTTTTAAAATTAAATAAAAAATAAACCTTCTTTCAAATAAAATAACGTTCGACAACGTAGTACAATCAAAAAATGTAACGTAATTTTTGAAAAAAATCTAATTGTTTCTAGATTGTACTATAAGCGTAAAAATTTACCTTTGTAATAATTCAGGCTCGTTAATTGTACTGAAACTACACATGTCGGATGAGGCAGCAAATCGTTTATCCTGATTTCAGCCATTCTTTGTAAACTCAATCGATTCCTTTCTGAAACGGGTTCTGAATTCATTCCAAATATAGTAATCAAACACTGCACGTCCAGTGTGATGAGATGATTGTGCTTGGAATTCATTAACAACACTCTTCCCGTGCGCACTTTTTCAGCCAATTCCAAGTCCAGTTGATCTTCGTGATGAAATATGTATATGTTTTCTGTTTCTTGAGATTTATCGCATGCACACGCAATTATAAAATCTTCAAATACTGTTATTCCACCCGTCACAAACAATGATTTTTCCTATAACGACGCAATACAATAAACAACTCATTTTAAAAAAAGCTATAAAAAAATTACGTAAAAGATTTTTAATTAAATTATAGTCTCATAAATACAAAATTACCTGAGCTTCTTTTCTAAACAACCTCCACTTGTTAGTTTTGAAATTATAATAACAAAATCCGCGAGTTCCAACAACCACCATAATCTTCGCACATTCAGAGTCAAATCCTACCAACTAAAAATTTAAAACAAAATTAATATTAGAATATTAGTTTAGCTTTTAAAAATACTCTTTTAAATATGCATTTAAAAATAATCCTAGAAAAACTTACTCTAACCGGCCAATTCGGACTAATATAATCGTGTGGTACTGTAAACGTCGGCCAAACGTACTGCGGCGCCGAAGCTTCTGTTTGATAGCATCTTTTTGGGCTTAGATATACTTTGTCATGTCCCAGCAAAACAATCCTATCAACAGAATCTTGTTGCGAATGAACGATATTCATTACGTAAACTGATTTTTGAAGCCCCAACCACAGCTGATGTCCTTCAACACCCCATTCGAGACATAAGTAGGATTGTTCATGATATTCTTCAGCTAACACGTCTTCCAAACTTGTCCACCATTGTGCGCCAAATGGGCTAAAAAATGCCAAAATTGGCGGACAATTCGAATCTGAAACAATGATCGAATTAATTAATTCCTTTAACGGATGTTTTGTTTAATTACTGATAAGTATCAAAAATACACCTATTTCTCATTTTTTTCTTTAATCTCTAATATTATAATTACCTGTTTTTCTCTTCTCCCATATAACACCAGTGACAGCGCCTTGATTTAAACATTCAATCTGTTTAACAGCACCAACCGATTCTAGAAACTGTGTGCCATTTTTTACAAACAACTTTTGGACAAAAACTTGAAACAAAGAACCATTTGTATCATCCAATGAATAAGCTGATATTTCGCCACTATAAAAAATTTTTTCATACAACTACAAAATTTACGGTGATGAATATAAAATACATAGGTAACGAATTCATGAAAATTATAATAAAATGTTAAACATAACTTATAAAATTTGCTAAATTCGCATTCAAAAACTTGAAAACTTACTTTTCATGCCCAAAATAAACCAAACGAAATTTATGATTTGCTGAACAACTAGTTACATTTTTGGCTCCATGTACCCATATACCTGTTAAAGATTCAGAGTCAAGTTGCTGTGAGTTTGAGACCAATAATGCAGGACGACCATCACTAAGAAGCATGCATATTCCTCCAATTAAAGGAGAATAGACAAAGTCCACAATGTATATATCAGAATCTTTAAGAATTTCCGCTGAAAAACTCATAACTCAAAAACAACATAAAAAAATTATGTAATTCAAAAGCATTAGTTATTTTTTAGTGAAATCAAAAAAGTGTTTTGAAAACCTTGAGAATTTAAAAAAAACTTTCATTCACTTACATTTATTTGAAACTTGATCGTAAGCAAAAGGTATCAAACGTACATGAAAAGATAGCTCTTTCATAAAATCACCAGCCCATGTTATTCTATGAACCCAACCGTCATGCAAACAGACAAATAATTCATCACGAATTGACGTTATACTAAAGTAAACTATTTAATGTTATATTAGTATACTAAAAACATAGTTTTCAAAAATAAGTTGTATTGTCGCCAAAATATATACAAAAAGGTAAAGTGTAATTAATCCTTAACGTTACATAAACAATCGTACCATGATGGTTCGGACTCCAAATTTGCTATTACAGCTAAAGTTAAATTGACTATTGGCCGTTTTCCTTTATAATACAGTAAACTCGATGTTCTTCTAAACTCATAATTCTCGTCCTCCAAATTAAAACAGTCATTTTCTAAAGAGATGTCAACCGTATAAATGTACAAACAATTGGAATCGGTCTAAAAATATAATACACGCATGAAACATTACTTGGATATTATATACATGTATAAGCAAAAAAATATTCAAAATATACCGTATTAAAACCCCTGTAAATCTTACAGTTAAACACACAGATGCTGAATTTTGGCGCCAACACAAACTTTTGTATTTTCCACGTTCTAGTATTTCAGATTCCTGTCTTCGGTATGTACATAAAAGCAAACGCGGCTGCAAAACAAAAATTATAATGTTACCCCAATAACCGAACTATCTAAATTTCAACAAAACAATAAATGTACTTACATTTGGCAAAAAGATGTATAAATTGGACGAAGTGACTGCGGCTAACAACGACCTTTCCCGGTTTCCAACAATTTGCAAAATTGCTTCATCATTTAAAGGAAGGTTCAACTCCGTAGTACATTCATCCTAAAACTCCAATTAGTGTTTTACATTTATATGTCTACAAATAATTCAAACTTTGAACAATTTTCTTTAAAAAATAACAACCTTGTAAATGTATTACTTTTTACTCATAATAATCTCAAATTATAAAAATAAGTTGGAAAACATGTTATTTATTCCTAATAATGATTTGAACAAAACATTTTTAACACATAATTAATAGTCTAATAATCCTAAGCAATAAAAACGTACCGGCAAAAACATATTAGAACATTCTTTCAACAAAATACCAAATACAACTTGTTAAATTGTACAGTTTGAATTTTGTTAATAATATTTATCTCAATTTTCCGAAAGATCCAACACTTTTATTATTTGAGTCATGTCTCTCATTTAGGTCAAGTCTTTCTTTTATTTTTGCTTGTTTTTGTAAAAATCGGAGCCTAGCGAAATGGATAGAGAACGAGAGATCGAAAAACGCGCGCTTTTCTCTGCTTCTCTGCTTCGTTGGCGAACCCAGTCAAAGAAAGAATGAGCGTTTTTATGCTTTTTGTCAAATATTCTTTGGGGCTGACAGAAGGTGTAAAACTTATCTGCAACAAAATGCGATGATTAGCAAAAGATATGACTCAGATGAGTTATAACCAGCGACATCGTATCCCATTGTCTGGGGGTACGTGTGTCTTGGATGAGCATTTTTGTAACTTTTGTATTATTTCACTGTCTTCTTTTCGAATTACCTTCAATATTATTTTTTTTATTTTTGTGTAAACAATTGATAAATATTTCTATACACAATCTTCTTCGGTTTTCTCATGCCTGTTGTTTACGATATATAGGACGCGTAATTGGATTTAACAAATAATTCATGTTCTTTTCGTAATCTGGAAGTTCTTTATTTTGTGTTGTTCGGCAAAAGTTGAATAGGTAATTGGCCACATAAGAAGCAGAATCACCGTTATGTGGGTGGTGTTTGATGCAATTAATGCACTTAACAAACGACTTAGCATATGTCGGAGCTAATACGAATTGTGCTAGCACATATTACGTATTGTATAAAGCGTAAGTATTAACTTGTATGAAAGTTTAAATACGTATATTAGATGTACACCTACTAGAACTGTTTTTAGGTTGCTGATTACATAATTTTTTTGAACGGTTTTTATCGCAATATTTTCTTACATTGTAACGTATAAGACATTTTTTAATTGAGTTCTTTGATTTATAGGCAATTGTTCCAACATGATTTTAAATTTTTATATAATGTGTTTATTATAACTTAAATAGCTTTATTAGTAGTAAATAACAAAAATAAAAAAGGGTGTGGTGGCGGCAACCGGGCGAAAAGGGGGAGAAAAAAAACGTTAAGTACAGAAAACCAAGTATAATGTGACCAGTCGAGTTTTACATTCTTTGTCCAACATAACACCAAGTCCAAGTTTAATGTTAGCAACGTTCGTGGAGACCAAGTTCTACGGCAACTTTAGAAAACCAATATTTTCTATGGCTAAAAAATTAACACAAGGATTAATTATTAATTGTGAAAATATGATTGTCATTTGTATACGTTAAAATTGAAAAATAACAATCACCTAGTAACTTTTTGTTAGGTTTTCATAACGCTAAAAATTTTAAAGTGATACATTGCAGAGTATTATAAAAATGACAATTGACGGCTCGCTACAGTAGTGTTGTGTATGATAGTTTTTAACAATATAAAATAAAACGTAAAGTTATACCTATAAATATGACAAGAAAAATACCTACCTCATAAACCTACGCGAAAGCGAAGTTTGCTCGTTTAGCAAATGCAAAGTTTCGAGCGCGTTTTGCAAAAGCAAAACGTGCACGTTTATCTACAGGAGTACTGTCAACGTCCACTAATGTCGCTGGGTTTTCTACCGAACGTTTGGCAAAAGCGAAAGATCTGCCGTATGGATAAGGATCGAAACGCTTGGCAAAACCGAAAGATCGGGCGCGTTTTGCAAAAGCAAACGACCGTGCTCGCTTATCCATGCTGTCATCTTCGGCGGACAACTTAAAAACAAAAAGTTGGGCAATAATTAGTTTGATTAATTAAACTAGGAAAGCAAGAAAGTAATAAAAAGTTTTAATAAACTTTGTTATTCATGATAAAGCGTGTCTTTGACACTATGTTTCAGATTATTAAAATAACTGTAAAACATACTTCCTGTGTTAATACCATAACGGCTAGTGATGCGCATACAATTAGACCCAATGTGGAGTGCATTTTGAGTTGTGTCGAGCGGTGCCTGTAATAATTTTGGTATATATTACTTAAAACAAATTGAGATTTTAAACCTGTTGCTTTCTGTGTACGCCATATCAAAAAACCAACTTCACTAACAAAAAATGTATATACCGTATGAAAACGCGATTTTATTCTGTTTTTACGACTCTACTCAAATTGCCAACACAGAAATTGGCTTTAAAACTAGCTTAAACGTAAATGAGATCTAATTCTAAAAATTGCTTGTATTATATTTTTTCCAGAATATATCGCCCATTTTTAAAAGGGTTACATGTTTAAAAAAACTAATACTTTTACCGGTAAAATTGGCTTGAATAAAAGAAAAAAAAATTATTTTTAAAGAAGAACCGCAATGACAAGGACTAGCATTAGTGTTGTACAATATCATAAACGCTAGAAATTATACAGGGAAATATTACGTCAACATACTAAAAGAATATACGTTAAAATAACTTAAATTCTACAATGCAGGTGCAATGTTTAGTTTTTAAATTTGGCTTTGCATGTTTCATTGTAAAACATCTAGTAAAAGAAAAGTTTTAGTCGACCTACACTTTATATATGCACACTGAAAATTAATCGCCAGTAAATAGAAAGAATTATGTCCTTTTAATAATTTTTCTAATATATAAAGCTTACACAATTTTCAAAACCTAAATTTTTTAAGACAATTGAATTTTTACATAAAAGCAAAAAAATATGAGTTAAAAAAACGGTTAGAAATTGGCGGCGTACAATTTTACGACATATAATCTAATGAAAATTGTTCGCTCTCATGAAAAAAATTCAGTTATGTCTTTCCGCGAACACATCCATCACGGTCTATCAGATTTTTGATTACCGTAGGAAAATAAATGTCTTTTACTTTGGCACTAACAAAAAGGTTACATCTAGCATAGGTGAGACTTGGTGCTAGTGATACGAAACAAAACTATGGACATAATTTATAAAATTGTCAAACGAAAAGAAATTTTGTAGCACCCTCTTTAAAACACATTAAGAATATTCTTTTCTCTCAAAGTGCCACTTTTACACATAGAAGAAGAGTTTTGAAAGGGGAGGAGTTAAACTTTGCCAACGGCAAACTACAAAAAATGACGATGCGACTAAGTAATATCATAAAAACAAATTGGATTTGGATCCAATAGCATAGTTAAGTAACCAAATACCTTTAGGATATATTCGTATAGCGTCTTACGAGAAATACATTAACCATATTTGACATACGACCGACATCAAACGTAATAGACAACGTACTTCACGGAAGTTGTAGAGGACTTTATAAGGGCTTTATACCGTAAGTAGTACTAAAAAAGTTTATTGAAAAAAATAAAAATCAGCCCATCCTTAAAATAATTATCAGATTGTTACAAACGTAATGTTCCTTGAAGTTTAGAAACTTAAAAAAGGTTCTTTTGATGAAATTATTACTAATTTTTCAAACTAGTATAAACGATAGTACATGACAAGCAAAGCCGACTAGAATGGGTTCAAAGTAAAAACATCAATATTTTTAAACACAGACAAGACAAAGCAAAACTAGATTACAGTAATCCAGTTTAAAATTAACCCGCGCTTTAGATAGGAAAAGCCTCATTTTAAGTCTGAGAAACACGCAAATGCCTTTGCCAATGTAAAGAAAAGCTCAGAAACCGTTTAACAACAAATGCTCATCTTGGTCATTACGAAAAAATGAAAAACTTTGGTCAAACTATGGGATGCAAAAAACTTAAAAATACAGAACTTGTTTCTTTAGTTTCTTTAAATCTGACTTTCTAGTTTTTTACGTATTCACTAAAGCTATAATACATAAATCTAATCGTAACACTTCAGCTGACCCATTCTCTTTCCTATTGGTCAGTATTTTCAAAATAATAAAATCCAATCTGAAAAACATTTCATATATTATACTTTGTTTATTCACTCGACCAAAAAACACAAATCCGATCGGACAATATCGCCATTTTACGATAGGTAAACAAAAACTGAGAACAAAAGTTGGTGCACGCATTTATAAATTCCATAACATGCCAAGAAAAATAAATACATAAATAACCATCTGAAGATAATAATGCATTGCTTATTTCTTTAATACTAACTAGCATCTGCATAATTCCAAATAAAAAAGTTCTTTTTTTAATACTTACACAATGTCAGTGATTGTTTGTATTTCATTTTTTCAAAAATAGAAAGGCAACGAAATCAATTTTTTTAAAGAAGAAAAGAGAGCAGGTAGCTTCTAATGTTTCATCAGAACACTATGACAGAACCATCCATTTTTGGACGGTGCGTTAATGTAATTTGCTTTCATAGTTACAAATCGTACGCTTAAAATTCTTTTCAGGTTCGTTGCATCTGACAAATTAAATTTGCTCGCATATTACTCTTGGCTTGAAAACATAGCTTTTTAATAAACTTTTTGCTTAGCTACATCTACTTTGTACTAGTTGTAATATTTTCAGAAAAGTTAAATTTTATAAAAAAAAATTGAAAGAACAATGCACCGTGCAACGAAGATTCAACTAAAAGTTAAAAAATGAAAATCATAAAATTTAACTTAAAAATACTCAAGAAATGCAAAGTTGTTATACTCGACATTTGCCTAACATATACGCAGAAGGACGCTTAACTTCCGAAAACTTTGCATCAAAAACAATTTTAGTACGACTGTAAAAACAATTAAATTACAGAGCATAAAAATTGTACGCTTTCATGGTGACAATCAAACTTAACTAACTATGTTTAGCGTTATTGTTAAGCTAGATGTTATGAGTGTGTTTATAGTAATTTAATAAAAACTTTTTAATGTAGTTTTTGCAATAAAATTATACATATGCATATGGCCAAAGCAGTAACGGTAACGATAGCACTTTCAAAAATACAATTAAGCTTTCAAAAATTATTTAAAAAATCAAAAATTTCATTTTAGTTAACTGTGTTGCATCATTTTCACGTTTAGCGGTTGCATTTTCATACAAATTTCTTCATTGTTTTTCATGGGGTCCAACAATGTCGACGATCCCCACATGCCACAAGTTGGGTCAATTATTTGCCACCCAAAGTACCAATTTCAAGTTATACGGTGTTTAGCATCCGGACCTTTTTCTGATGTTTACGTTGTCAAAGACGTCGTAAGCGGTTGTCAATATGCGATGAAAGCCGAAAAACAAGAAGGCAACCTAAGGTTTGTTAAATAGCTTTAATTATAGTTATAAAGTTTCCAAAAAATAGTTAGGTTTTAATATTTTTATTATATTTTTCACTAAATCTTTTTGTCGTCTTCATACTTTAACAATTAATTTTAGACCTGTTTTAAAGCTCGACGTATTCGTACTATCTCAATTAGGTAGCCTACCCGGATTTCCAAACCTCATAGCTGCTTACCGTACGCCTTACTACAAGTTTGCTGTAATGCAACTGGTTGGGCTAGATTTAAATCGGCTTCGTAGAGCAATGCCGGGGAAAAGGTTTACCTTAACCACTGCATTAAAAATTTGCCAGCAAACGTTGAAAAGAATTGAAGCGTTGCATGAATTAGGCTGGCTTTGTCGTGACATTAAAGCCCCAAATTTTGCTATTGGTCTTGGTGACAAAGACGGTGTTGTGTATATGCTTGATTTCGGATTCGCTCGGCGCTACCGGTAATTTTTTACAACTTCAAAATTACAAACTTTAACATAAATGTTTTTTATGAATTTCAACTTTTTAATTTTTTAGTGACAAACATGGTAACCATCTTCCTCCAAGAACGGATGCTCCATTGCTAGGCACGATTCATTACGCTTCCCTGGCTTCGCATATGAATCAAGAACAGTGTCGTAGAGATGACCTGGAAAGCTGGTTGTACATGTCAGTGGAACTATGCTCTGGGCCGTTACCGTGGTCAAAGTTGGACCCCATGAAACATCACAAAATAATTTGCGATTGGAAACAGTTTATTCGTGTTCACGGCCGCGAAAGCTTCTTCAGCAATTGTCCAGAAGAGCTGGATCATATACTTTCAATTATCGACAGTATTTCGTAAGTATAATATTGATTTTTGCGGAATAAATAATTTTTGCATATCAAAATTATAATTTTAGGCGTAAATTATAAATTACTGTTTTCAGTTACACTGACCGTCCTCACTACGAAATGATTGCTTATCAACTTCAGAAAGCTATGGATCGATTGAATTTAGACCCTAAAGCGCCAATGGATTGGCAACGAGATTATCATGTTAAGGAAAAAGCCGAATTTGTTGGAGACCTGGGACAATCCGATGCTGCATCAATTCTGATGCAAGAAGCTAAAAAGCAGGAAGATGCTCAACACAGACTTCTCGACGCAATGCGTGGAGACGAAGAACGTGATGTAAAGACGGCCCGAGAACCACCATCACCAGAGAGAAATTCATTCGTCCGTATGATGACGAGCAGTGACGACACTAAAACTATAGAATACTGAATATTACAATAAAAGATGTAGAGCTGATTGAATATTTTATTCGTATTAACAAGGAAAGTGCCCGACCTGCCCCGCTCTGATTTACTTCAAACTTTTCATAAAGAAAGATCATGTAAATATAAGATGCTCAGCAAAGTACTAAATTTCCAGGAAATCTCGAAAAAATCGAGATTAAAAAATGACATTTTGAATTTTCCGCCATCTTGGCATTGTGTTTCAAGCTTGTAACTTTGGGTACTATTGGTTGTGCAAAGAATTCATATAAAATTTTGAGCTGATTCTGAGCGGGGCAGGTAGGGTACTTTCCTTGTAAATACAGTCCACCTTTAACAAAAGTGAAACACAAAATGTTCACCGAATAGCATTATATTTTTCTACTAATCAAGATTATTTTTGTAATTATAGTAGATAATGCTATTTAATACATCATTCGCAATTTTCATGAATATGTGTTATACAACTCGTCAATTGTCATAATTTGAAATATCCGGAGTTCAAACTGGGTTTTTAGGCTATTTTTCGGGCATTCACCGCGTCTTGCAAGGAAATTATCTTTGGCATTTCGTATTATATATTTTTTAGAAATTTATTTTATACATTTATTTCACAATTTAAATTAAATTAATTTGTTTGGATTGGAAATATAAAAATGTCGTTAGCAAAGTATGGTACAGCACATGAAAATTTAGAAGACGAAAAACGTAAGGAATTTTGTTTTTTAAAGTTATCTAGGAGTTTTCTGGAAGGTTTGTTTTGAGCGTTTTGTACTTTTTACTTTGCTTATTGTTATATTATACATTACTTTCTTTAATTTATTATAAAGTTAAGAGAATTTTAGACACAGCAGTTTCTCGTAAACCGACAGCAGTACAAGATGAGGTTGTTACGGATGAAAAGGGCCGAAGACGATTTCATGGAGCATTTACTGGAGGTTTCTCGGCTGGTTACTTTAACACTGTTGGCTCTAAACATGGTTGGGTACCGCAAACATTTACGTCTAGCAGGACAGAACGTTCGGAGCAGCAGAAACAGTCAATTTATGATTATATGGACGAAGAGGTAAATTTACTTTTTTCATTTCAATTTTAGGTAACGTATTAAACAGACAAATGTGAGTAAATGTGTAAGTTTTACAAAAGGATTTTGTTTGTTGACAGGTTTTATTTGAGTTACATGGCTTATTACTGTATTTGAGAGTTACTGTAATAAAAACACGTATTGGTAATTTTAGGACACTGGCGAATTTGGATTTGCACATCAGAAGATACGCACAAAATCGAATTTTATGTCTCAATTAAGTGAACAGGGTCAATCTTCGTTGGCTTGGGAACGTGCTGGACCTTCGACATCCGGTAATTTGAACGATATTGAGATGAAGCTTGTTTCCACATTTCAAGGTGTTAAGTAAGGAGTTTTTTGTTTTAGTTCTTATAAAACGCATTAAATTTATACGTATAATCAGACGATACTTAAAGTAGGATACTTAAAGTATTTTGTTTATTCTTAAAAATTTTTTTTTATATTTAGTGATTCTATTGGCGTTAAAATATTAAAGAGTATGGGCTGGCGACCGGGAAAAGGTATTGGACCACGAATGAAAAGAAGACAGCTGGAACGTCTAAAAGGTAGCTTTTAAAACTTTTATTTTTAATACATGAAATGTTTTTTGTTAAAAATTATTTTTTAGTGAACGATGCTCATCAACAGGGGATTAAAATGAGGTACGACGAAAAAGATGTAGAAGCAATGGAAGAAATTGCGCCGGAAGCTGAATATGCTCCTGATGATATACCTAAGTTACTTACACAAGCAAACAAAGGGGAGCATGGTATTGGATACATACCGTTGGAACAATCTAACGTGCTGAACGAAAATTTTTTGATGAAAGTTGATGCTTACAAAGAAAAAAGGAAGTCTAAAGGTAATCGTGGTCAGGCTTTTGGAGTTGGCGCTTTTGAGGAGGACGACGATGATATATACACTAGCGAAGATATATCAAAATACGATTTTGCTATTGGAGGAGAGGAAAGTGAAGTGAAAGAAGTCAAACGATGTAAGTTAATATTGCATTTGTTAATAATTTTTGTTTTAGGGATTTTACTTGGCCGGATTTATTTAAAAAACGCCGATTTCTCATAGCGCCATTATCTTTGGTTTATAAACACATTCATTAATGTAATTTTTTAGACGACACTGCTTTTGTTCCTTCAAAAGTTGTAGAACGACAAAAGGTTTACTCTTCACTAGAACCGAGTAAACATTTTGATCAAAAACATCGCCCATCACCAATAATTTTGAAGGATACTGTATCAGAAATCACAACGGCATTTCAAAACTTGAACCCTTTACAAAAAGCTGTGTTTTTAGGGGATAGAAGCGGTTCTGTTTTGGAATTGTTGTCTTCCAGTGATCGTGAAAAATTGAAGTTGCTGACAAAGAAAAGTGAAATCGAAACAAAGTTCAAAAAACCGGTTAGTTCAACGTTATTTATGTAGTATAATGCAAATTTTAAAGCTTTTAAAGGTGAAAACGTTTTTTTTTAAATTTTTTAGGGTTTTGTATAGGATACCTTTAAGCATACTCTTTTTTAATTTCTAGGAAAAAGAAAAACGTGTCGAGCTAGTGCCGTTTGAAGAAGAACCGATGAAAGCACATCGTTTTAAGAAGTTTGTTCATTATTTAAAATCTGGCCATGTAATGCCGACTCCAAATGAAATGACTGTACTAGAGTGGGAAGAAGAGCAAAAAGAGTTTGAAAACCATTTAACGCCAGAACTACGGTCTTTATTACCATCAGTAAGGGATCGACAACAACCATTGGCAAAACTGGAAACAGCTCAGCCGATTGCCGATATGTTGAAGAATAGGTTTCAGGTATTTTTTGGTTATTTTATTGTTAATGCTGCTGATGTGGCTGCGAAATATATTCTTGTATACAGATGAATTTCTACAGTTTTAATTTTTTAATTACTTTATTTTTAGTCAGAAAATTCGACAAAAATTAAAGAAGAACCGACATCACTGATGGACAATAAAAAATTGGCCGTACAACAAAAGCAATTCGGACCTTTAACAAGACAAAAATACACATGGCATCCATCAAAGTATTTAGTAAAGTATTTCAACGTGGAGGATCCATACCCGGATTCACGAGAAGAAGGCTGCCCTGACATTATAAAGAAAAGTTTAACAAAAAGAGATTATTCTCTGGACATGTTGGGCTTACCAAGCACAGAAAAAGAGGTTATAGAAAAAATTGTAAGCTTTTATACTTATACTTGTTTAATTTTTTATAAGACAGCATTTTTAAACGTTTTAAAAAATTGGTTTTAAGGTTTTAAAAAATTGGTTTTAAATTTTTTAACTAAAAGATTGGTTTTTGACTTTTACATTTTTAGAACTCAGATGTTGCTGGCAAACGTAGGTCAAGATGGGACGGAGAAAAAGGAATGGAAGAAAGCAAACCGATGGACAAAACATTTGAGCCTAAGTTACCAGAAACAGAAAAGCCAACATTTTTGCCTCCGCTTTCACTTCTACAAGCTGTATTTGAACAAGTATTTGACGATGATGATTCAGATCAAGAAGTTCACATTATTGAAAATGATGACGTTCGGGGTGCAAACGAAAATAATACATTGGAAAAAGATCCCATTTTTAAACAACGGGAATCTCGTTTCAAAAATGAACCAAGTCTAAGAAATTCTATTGATCGGAAACAAAACCTAGCTGGTACACAAAGGAACTCAGTAGCAGCACAGCACAAAACAAAACATGATGTTGTTTTACTGGACGATCCAATGTCATCCTCAATGTCGAAGCCAGTACATACATCTTTAATTAATCCGGAGACCTCAGAAAGATACATCACAGTTTTAGACCTTGTCGAATCGGACGACGAATATGGCCCAAAGATACCAAATTCATTTGCAGCGCAAAAAACCATAAGTAGTTCGTCTACAGCGGATATAGTCGAATTGCGGTCTTCAGATGGAATTCAATTAAAAAAGAAACGAAGACGAAAAGATTCCTTGGCAGAAGAAACAAAGAACCGAAAGAAACACAAGAAAGAAAAGAGAAAGAAGGAAAAGAAACACAAAAGACATGATTAGTTAGTTTTTTCGATTTATATTGCGTATGGATTAGTCTATTTTTTGTACTGCTGTATCACCAGAATTTTATAAGTTATTTGTGATTTCAACAAAAATCAATAAATAATTTAATTATATTTACAATTACTGTTTCAAAGAGTGATTTTGGTATTACAAAAATGGCCACCACATTAAGTAGCGTCGTTTACGCGCCAATTTGTACCGCTTCAGCTCTTCTTCGTACCCTGGTGGCGGCTGCACGTTAACACACTCGCATGCTTCTTTGACACTAAACTGTTGGTTTAAGCGAACCTCTAAAACCTCTTCCAACCTGCCTGACCCAGGCTCGGCAAACCCATTCAAAATCCGGCAGACGTGGATAAGCAACTCTGTTGTTGTCGATTCGCTTCGGTCGCGTATTTTGTTTTGGATTAGATGGAGAAATGGTTCAAAACGTCGTGAATGTCTTAACGTTGTGTCATATGCGTGTTTTAATTTAGCGGACAACAAAGTATCATTGTTGATAGAAAGCTTTAAGATCGATAAGACGTCTTTACAAGTTGAATTTTCTGTCTTGTTAATCCAATGCCAACCTTTGTAGCGAAACTGGAATAATGGTACAGTTAAAGACCCACTTTTTTACATTGGAAAAATAGTTTGTTACTTACTAATGCGTACACGTTGAAAACATCGCTCAGTTTTCCCCATGATCCAATTTGAATTTCACGGAATGCCACATCGTCTGGGTTTCGCTATAAGTTTTAAAATAAGTTGTAAATTGAAATTTCTTAAAATGCTTTTTTAATAGAAAATTACTTTTACTTCTAATTGCTTTATCCTGGCCTGCTTTACTTAAACTTACTTTGCCAAACCTTGTAATTTCGTCGACCAGCAGTTTGAGTCGGTGAAACGGCTCCAAATATTGTGAAAAATCGCTCTTTAAATTTTCGACCAATTGTTTAACAACTTGTTTAGTGTCAGCCTTAAGAGTTTCCTCTGTTTCAATAAGATCGTTGATGAATTGTGGTGAAGACCCGTTTAAAATTGTGTCGATTTTCGAAACCTTTTCATAAAACCTTCCAATGTCAATAAAGTTTTGTAGTGTTAGGCCGGACACAACATTGGTATTGCCACACTTATTTGGTGATTCTAGTATGTATTTTATATAGTTTGGTGTTGGCATGGTTTTAGTATTGTTGCGTGTCATCGTTTGGTTTTTTTGTAAAACTGGATAGCTATGGTGTTTTAAATCGTCGTTGGTATTTGATAGTAGGTGGATTAGATCCTCAGTATAATTTTCTGAATCGTTCTGTTTTTGGATGCTGTTGAGGGTAGAGTTATTGAAGCTGTCGTCACTTGAAGTTAAGTTGTTAAAGCCATCAGTAAGGGTGGAGTTCGTTAAGTTGTTTTCATTATAATTTTTGTTGTTTGTTACAAAAAAATTACTACTGTTATAATAGACAGAATCGTGGTTAATTTCTTCAGCAGAATTAAAAAAGCTTGTCATAACGTATTCTGTTTTCAAATTGATATTTTCAAGCTGTTGAAATGTTAGGACAAGCCTCATGTCATCTGAATACTCGTCATTTGACAAAATATTTTCAATGTTTTTAAACAATGTTTCAAAGTAGTAAATGTTGTATGTCTTGAAACATTTATCTAGGGCTGATACTAAAGGTATAGTACCATTAGAATCTGCTTTCAGCGCGGTTGGTGCTATGTGCAAAGTTGGCTAAAAATTTCATTTAGTTAAAGTTCATTAATTAGTTAATTAAAGCACAGCAGATTTTTTATAGAATTTAATAAATATTTTTTCAAAGAGTAATAAACTTACATCTAGTGCAATGTTTGCAATTTGAGCAATATAGCCGAAAGCTTGAAGCCAAGGCGGCCCAAACATTATAAAGCTTTTCTTCTTATCTTAAAAATGCTTATTATGTTTGTCCTGAAAAATCCTTGAAAGTTATGGTATTTAACGTAAAAAATAATGATACAACGATAAAAAATTGCTACAAATAGTTTTATGTAAAACGATGAGCATTTCCAAAAGTTAAAAAGCTAATTAAGTTACACGAAACAAAAGTGGTAGTTTGAAAACTTAAATTTGTCATAAGCTAAGAAAATTTAATTTTATTTTCAGCTTGCCTGGGCTTTTTGAACATATTTCCCGGAAAGAACCCTTCTTAAAACTCCCTTCCCGAAATATTTTAAATATATGTACCCTTGCATTTCTCCACTACTCGCCCGTGACTTCTTCGCTAGGGGGTGCAGAAAGTTTGTATTGGTCAGTGACTCCAATGGTCCTGGCGGATATAAATTTCCAGCATATTTTCGTCTTACCTACTGCCAAAGTGAATGCGAAATTTTATAAAATAATACGATTTTTCGTCGTGTTATGCCGACAAAAAACCAAATATAATAATTTGATTACATTGACCAAAACAATCAACAATTAAATTTTCAACCATCAACAAAACAATCAACGATTAAATAGTTAAAAATGACCGACAAGTACCGTAAGAACCGGAAAACCCGCATTTAGAGTAAAAAGTCTGGAAATTTTTAAGACGACACTGTCACAGTGAAAAATGAATATGCTATTTCATCTCAATTTTTCACTTTTTTCAAAAACGCCCTGAGGACAAGAAAGGAATGGCAATAAGAAGCTTTCCAATCTCTAGGGAACTATGGGAAAATTCAGCCGTTTGACAATAATAATGCTAAAAAGTATTTACATTTGGAAAATAATGGCCAGAAATTATTGTAAACAGTGTTTGGACAACAAAATTTAGGTTAGAAGGAGGAGGGAGTAAGAAAAAGTTTTTTTTCAAAATAATCAACCAAAGCAAGTTCTTTCTACGAAATTTTTGACCATATTATCATAGTAAAAAAATTAATTTCCTATGCATTTTCGTAGTTGCCTGCAACTGACATAACTTTAACATATGGCTTCGGGGGTTTAAAACGTTTTTAATTTCGTTCCACTTGACTGGTTTCTTATTCAAATTCCGGAAATTTATTCAAAAGTCATTTTCTTCTGCAGAGACGTATGACATTTTTAAACCATCGACAAAAATTATTGGAAAAAATGAAACATGCTTGAGCGGTAAAAACTTAAAATAGTTGGATTTTTATATTAAAATACTGTTTAATACTGAAGCTCTCCGCTAATTTTTTAAACTAGAACTAATTAATTTACTGTTTTTGGCATTTAACAGAAATAGTCTGTTTGTTATGTAAAAAAATAAGACTTTCTGATACGTAAAATGAATTGGTGGCATTGAAAACGGAAAAAATATCGTGATAGTATAGGGAAACGTATTGAATTAAACAATACTCTAAAAAATGGTTTTTAACTGCCACTTCTCCAAATTCATGCTGCCAAGTATTGACAATTAAGGAAAAAACAACTTTCTCAGATATTTTATGTCATAACAATAAGATATTTTAAAATTGGGCTGGGCCGAAAAATTGGGCCCGACCCAGCCCCTTTACAGGCCTAGTTAAAACTTGTTTTTAAAAAAAAATTTATTTTCCAAAAAACTGCATCATGTTGACATGTTAACATGACAGACAACAACGTAATATTTACAGGATACTCCTACGATTATTTTCATATTTTTTAGTCACATGACTTTTTAGTACAACCTTTTTGAAGAAATGGTCAAAATTTAATAGAAATGTGTACTCTAATAATAAAGGATTTTTGAAGAACAGTTAAACTATAAATAAATTGTAGACAAAATACTTAAAGTGTACTGGCGTTAGTAAACTGATTTTGAGACACAAAAGATGCTGAATGATTTATTAAAAATCCATAAAGTTATGACAGTAATAAGAAACATTCAAAATTGATAAAAATTTTTAAGAATAACAACTTCTAAAAAGATCAATAGCGTTTGATACCGTGTTTGAATGGAATAGCAAATCAATAATTATTGCTAAATAAACTTCTTCAGATACAGAGACCAAAAGAAATCGCGCGACCGTCATACTGTAATCAGTGCATTACATTAAGAACTTTTAAACGGCCATAGAAAGCGAACTCCGTCTAACTTGGCCATACTGACTTTCCACGAACATGTCTTTTGTGACCGTAACCTTAGGCCCAAATATTGACGACATTCAGATTCAGCCAACTCAAAGCTACACGTACAATTAGATTCTGGTGATGGAAATACCAATATATCCTTGATTTGATGACCGTTTTGAGGCAATGCCATTAACGAGTTTTCATTCAACACCAACTCCAACGACGATGTGGGAAAAATGATTTCTCGTTCGCCTAATCGATGCAAATTCCATAGGTTACGGTAAGTAGGACTGGTAGGCCTAAATGGCATTCAACTATATTAAGCATGAAACAACTGATATAATTAGTTCCAATTACTGGTTTACAAAAAATTAAACGAAAAGTTAAAGCTTACTCCAAACCTTGAATACTTGGATAAAACTCGGTATTATCTGGATGTTCATCATCATTGGTGTTGCCAATACTTTTTGTTTTTTCAATCAACTAAAAAATTATTTTTAGTATGTAAAAACTAAAACAAAAAATACTATACGTGACGATTTAAACAAATTATAAAAAAATATACCTACACAAAAAAATTGTACTTAATGGTTAATTCAGACTTAAACTAAAAAACTACCTACATTACTGTTTAGCCCGCCTTCCAACGGTGTGCTCGAACATGACCTCGACGAAGACTCGGAGGGCTGATTTACAACTCGGTTTAGAAATTTTAGTAATTGTTCTGTTGGGTCGGGTTGAGCAGCCTGTTGCAGCCAAGAAGGCTGGTCTAATTTTGGTTCAGTTGAATTCTAAAAACGTCATTAAGTAATAATACAGAAACACAAATTAAGTTGAACATCTAAAAATTGAGTACTTACCAGAATTGCTAATATTGATGATTCTTTATTTGGATTTACATAGCCTTCGGACATCCGTGGTCTGCCTCGAGATCGCTTTGGAATTGACGGGTCCTATAAACACGCGGACATTAATAAGAAAAGAGCATATTTAACTTAAAGATTTCTTGGCAAAATTTTTTTAACACGAAAACCAACCGGCAATGGGCGAATCCGGGGTCGGCCTCGAGGTTTTTTGCAGATCAAATTTTTGTTCCCGATTGGTTTTTGTAAATTGAAATCATGTAAAAGTTTTGAATTTGTCAGAATAGATCTAGCGTCACGCTTATCTGAAGCTGGAGTGCTGGCACCATCTAACGGATGACCATCTAAAGTGCGCGGCCTTCCCCTAGGCCGTTTTGGAACGTTCGGATCCTAAAATGACTCATAAATAACAACTTCTTAATAAAACAGTAATGATAAAGATAAAAACTTACAGGCAGTGGATATTTCCTTGGTCTACCTCTCCTCGTGCTAGAGTTAAAAAAGTTAGCGCTTCGTTTTGCTTCAGTACCAGTAAGAGCTTCTGCAACTATTGGCATCAACGACTCAATGGAAGGTATCGTAGCATCGCACATCTCTTTATTGAAGGTGTTTTGAATGCCCAAATCAGTAAGACTACCTTCACTGTCCCATTGTTGGCTTAACGAATGATCATCTTCTTGTGGTGCTGTATTGCACGACACGCTAGGTCCAAATATTGACGGGTTTAACAACGCTTGTGCCGTTTCAAACTGCTCAGGCTCTTCACTTGAATCACGTTCCACATTTTCTACTTTAATAATTGGCATAGAATCATCTAGGTTTACTGTTTCGGACATGTCAGAGGTATGGTAGAAATACTGTAACAAAAAATTAAAATAAAGTCTACAAATGTCATTCGTTTCATTTCAAATTAGCCTATAACAAACGGAAAGACGTCAGCTCCTTTTATAAAAGCTTTATATATAAAAAAAATTGTTTTAAGTATTGTGCTAAAAATGTTATTCTTATTTTCTAAAAAATCTTTTTATAAATAAATTTTAAAATGACTATTTAAAAATAATAAAGTAACACTAAAAACTTTAAAACAGAACTTTTCGAAAAGACTGCCCTATTTTTAAAGTTAATATCGATTATTTTTTTCAAAATAAATTAAACTTTTTTTGAAAACAAAAACTCCAAAAACAAATTATAAATGATTAAAATAATTTTATTCGCAATAATAAAGTAAGAAAATGCATTAATTTAAAAACTCGAATCGTGTTTTCAATAAAAACGGAATTTTTATTATTTTCAACGAGAAAAAACGTAAATGAACGCAAAAATAAAAGAGAAGAAAAGAATAAACGCTCTTTTTCTTTCCAAAAAATAAAATAAAATTTTTATACGCACAATTTCAGCGGCGAAAAATAATTTATTTGGTAAAATAAACATTTTTTAGTTAAAAATTGATAAAATGTAAAACTTCGTCTTACGGAATACATTTAAAAACTATTGAAATTTTTTTTAAAAAGTACAGTAAAGTTTTCTATAAACAAACACCACATTAAAGTTTTGCATTTGCTTTGTACGGCCACTTTGGAGAGGTAAGAAAATTTTTTTGTTGTTAAGGAAAATTAATGTTTCGATGGACAGTTACTTTTCAGTTGATACAATTTTTTGTTACTGTAGTCTAAGTGTAGTTTTGTGCTTAATTGTAATTTATCCATAGGTGTTTTATGTTTTTAGGCTAATAAATTTTTTAATTTTGCATTTTTTTATAAATTTTAATTTTAAAATGACTTAAGTTGTTTGAGAACTCTAATATGTCAGACAATAATAAATAACATAAATTTTTTTAGTCCATATGTTAGAATATAGTGTCAAGCACTCTTTTTTAACATTTGTCTAACAACCAAATGCTTTGATTAATTTTTTTGATTATTGAGAAATATCGATTACGTTTAAATTGTATTGTATTACATTGTCAAGAATTATTATCGCAAAATTTATAAAATCTGCAAAAGTACCAGTGTTTCAAAAATAACATAAAAATGTACAAGATGTAATTTAAAAGCGGCGTGATTAGCTTACATTTCAAATTTATCACTATGTTTATTACAGTCTAGGAAAAAATTTATGAGTTACTTTTATTAGAGCAAAAACCAGCTCAACAACAATTTTCTTGGAATTTTTAGTTTTTAAAATCTATGCTTTAGTGTTTTAAAATTATAAGTAGCTTTTCCAGAAATATTTCTGGTAACAGTACTTCTGGTTATTTAATTTTTTACTTAATACTTTGATAATTTTTATAGTGGGTTACTTTTTGAAGTTTACGTGCTTTATGAGTGGTTTAAGCGTATAATTAACCGATTAGAGAAAGTCACAAAAGAGGGGTTTAAATATTGTTTTGCATAGAAAAGCAATTACGTTAAGCTCTGAGCTTCTTGTTCCTTAGTTGATGTTTGTATTCTTACGGTAATACTGAGTCAACCGCTGAACGCTATTGCTACTTAATAGCTAGTTAAAAGCAAAATGATCTCGTATATATAAATATGAGTAAGAAGCGTTGTGATCGTAGTTTTAGTTATTGCTGTTAGTTGAGTAAATTAATGCAGTAGACGTTTCAGTAAACTTTGCGCAAAACATGACGTTTGCTTTATGCCAAACTTTTATATATGAAAAAAATTGATTTGGAAACTTATTAAAACCTTAATGTTGTAATTATCAAATAATGACATATAATTTGTATAAATTTCATTTTAATTAACACTTATGTTGGCTTCTGGCCTGTATTACTTTGTATTTTACAACCACGAGTAGTAGTTTAAATTTTTACAACTAATAGTGTTTATTTATCTTTTAGAACGATGATGTAGATTTTTACAGTAAGCAGGAGATTAAATTTTATTCTTTGGCTATATTTCCCATGACTTTGAACATGCGTGTGTAAAAAGTGTTTTGACAAAAAATATTAAACTGAATTGTATGGACTATTCTTTTGTCTTTTAATAGTTTAATAAAAAGTATGCTGTAACATTGACATACAGTAGGCTGTACCAGATGCCGAGAACATTAATACGGCAGAGAGAAAAGGAGGATTTTTGTTAACTGTTATCATGTGGACTGTTTGTTTATAAATTTAAACCTTAATTTATTACAAAATATGTTTTCCAAAATCCGTCTAATTAATTTTGCCAACTTTCAGAATCTTTAGGTGTAACATAGCGTAAAGCATGCAGCTGGGTTTACAAATCGGAAACGGGTTTTCTTGTAACCCTTCTTACAACTCAACGTGATGTGCTCTAATTTTTTGCTATTATATCGTGAGGATATGATTTTAATGCTATAAAACAATGTGTAATATCATGTTCGTATGCTGGGACCTCCCCTTAAGATTGTCTCTGCGTCTACACGTATTACTGATTTTACAATGCGTTATAAATAACCGTCGCGTGTTGAATTCGTATTTAAGTTAATGTACAGGTTGTAGTGGTCGTATTTTGTGGGTGTTTTTGTGTTTTATTCATTCTTAAAACGTAATCGGCAAGCTGGCTTTATATAAAGTAAAATATATAATAGGGGAAGCACATTAGGCTTATGATAGTATAATTAAAAAGTAATTTTAAATTTAAAAATACTTTTTTTTTAATTTTAATAATTTATGTTATTAATTTATTAACTATTACTAATATAAAACGCGTCTGTAAAATTTTATATTTATTTTTATAAAGCTAAAATTATCATATTACAGTAATGGAAGTTTTGCTGTTTCATCCAGAGGTGTACGAACGAAGGTACAATTGTAGCTTTTTTAATCCTAATGACTTAATGCCATTGGAAAAAAGACGCAATATTGGTTTTGGAATGTTGATTGGATTAATTTCTTTTGTTTTTACTGTAAGTTAGCCAAGTATGAAAATACTAAAAAGCATTTCCGATCTATAAAATAAAGTTACATTAACTTGTAGGTACTGTACATTTTTTGTTTTTACGCCTTAACACGCAAGGAGTTGCGTGAAAAAAGTTGTTACAAGATAATGATTATGTTGGGAGTGTATGACATGATTACTCTACCACTGACTGGCATGTTTGCTGCTTATCAAGCCATTTCCGGTATAACGTTTTGCGATTCGCCGCTGTTACAATACTGTATTGGAATGGTGGTTTTGGGTGAGAATTTTGAAACGGGGGTTAGAGGGTTTCTTGGTGTAGTTTACACAGTCTTGTTATTTTCTGCCATTTTAAATGTTTTAAGTTTTAAATGTGTTTTCTTATAGCAGCATGGATCGGTTATTCATGGGGAACGATAATACTAGCATTAAATCGGGTTTTGTTCACAACGCGTGCACGAGAGTATTTTGATGGGCGTTTTATCTACTTATGGCTGGCTGTGCCTCCAATGATTACATTTTTATCCATGTGGTACCTAAATCCAGCCATGTTTATTCCGATGTATGGCGGATACTTGTTCAACCCATACGCTGGACTTTTAGAAATTGGCGATGATACTTGGGTATGTATTTTATTCAGAATTGTGCTAAAAGTTTTAGAAAATTAAAACTTAAAGATATAATGATAACTGTTACAGTATGACAACCCAAAACACACCGCAAGTGACTTTGTTTTTATGGCCGTGTTACCGATGATATATGCTTATTTTTATTTTAAAAACAAGTATTTTTTAAGTAAAGGTGGAGCTGTTTCTTCAACCGGCAACTCAAAACGGGAAAAAAGTGTAAGCTTTATAATTTTAAGCCGTTCAAGTCGTGTTATATAACATATAATACCTGCGACATGATCTGCAACATGAATCATCTTATATTGTGCATATAACAATTGTCTTTGAAGATAATTTTTTTGTTTTACTTTTGTTGATATTTTTAGCTGTTTATTCAATGTGTGCTCATCAGTACGTTAGTGTGTGCAGCAACAGCAGGTTGCACGTTTATGCAAATTGTGCCTATGCCACATTGGTGCATTGCTTTGTCTCACTTTTTGTGGATTTTGGTGCAAGGCAAGTAATTTTAGTACTAAAAAGAACATTACTCAGTTAAATAAATATTAGAAAATAAAAAATATTGAAATTTCGAATTTTTTTACATAAGGTCTTAAATTTCAATTATTCAGGTTGTCCACCAGTCATTTTCTTGACAATGAATCAAACTGTTAAAAACATCTTATGGCGCGGAATTAGCGGAAAGGTTTCATCGACGATGGCTGGTCCAGTATCAAATTCTCATGTTAATTCCAATTCCTTTAACCACCGAAAAGCATCGAACTTTTAATCATTAAGTAATAATGTTTAAATTTAAACATTTTAAAGTAAAATGCAACAAATTTAAAATTTTTATAATAAAGAACAGTTTTATTATAATAAAAATTCTAACTCTATTATAAAAAATCGGTTTTATGTATACATAAAACGAGCAATAATTCATCAAAATAATAACAGTACTTCTAAACAAGGCCGAGTGAGCAGTTTTGTTCGTAAGAGAAGTGGGGTAAAAAGAAAAAAACAATATTTGCAAAAATGAACAAAAAGTCAGAAAAATCGACCGAACAATGTGTACCATCTAATATACACTGTAATATGTGCACTTTTGTATAACATACAAACGTGAGATTCTGAAATACTGTAATAAACTCAATCATAAAAAACAACGGAACCCGCAAAAAGAGAAAAGATATATGTATAAGGTGTGTGAAAACGATCATAGGCTTAACAATTTTGATAGTGGAATTGATTGTAAGTGTTAATAATTGCTAATACGTTAAAATTTTAAAAAATTTAAACCAAAGCTTTTTAAAAATAACGGCTATAAAATATCTAAAAAATTAAAGTAATACAATTTAAAACTGTAAACAATACTATAAATATAAATGTTAATATAAAGTAATTGAAATTGCAGCGGTTTAAGTTAAAGATATGTATAAAGCAAACTTAGTCAAACTGTGATTTCACATCATTAATGTTCCCGTCAAACCAGTGTCCATAAAACTCCAAACTTGGCTTATTACAGTAACCAGACACTTCTTGACCGCCTACTGTAATGTTCTGGAATTTACCACAACAATTGGTAGACGTTTCCGTACTGTTTTGTGTTTGTTCGTAGAAGTTGCGCAAGTAGCATGGAACTTCGAATGAAGTCGTCGTGATTTCTTTTACAGCCGAAACTGTTGCACATACCCCACCAATCAAGCCGACAATAAGTATGAAGGTACAAAAAACGAAAACTTTTTTGTCTGTTCGTTCGACCATTCTAAACTTATATTTTACTATTTTTTAACAATTTTTAATTAACTCAGATCAATTTTAAAATAAAACCCGCTATCCTCTTCTCCACCCCATTCCTCGTGGTTTAAATATAAAATCATAATTAGACAAACGTACTCGGAAAAAGTGCACAACTCTTCTCGGCCAGTTTCCAAAGATTTCTTTTCGTTGGCTTTAATATACAAGTAGAAAATGCTGGGGAATATCACGCATGTCAAGGTCACGGTAGAAGCACCCATCAAATTCAAAACAGGACCAAAATTTGGTACAGTTTCAGCCGTAAAAACAATAGCGGCCATCATAGCTGCTCGGATTGTAATTCTCTTAACTCCAAAGTCTGAAAAATTTTAGTTCATTTGTAACATTTAGTAAATTACGGTATCTTTGATAAAATCTGTAAAAAAATCCTTGCCCTCCTCCCACTCTCAGCAACTTAAATATACAGAAAAATTATATTAACCTACGATGAGGAATGTCGAAAAATTCTTCAGTTTCCTGGTTCAATGGATTAATCATCAAGGTTAGCGTTAAGATACAATGGGCAGCAATCATCATGTTGACAGCTTGTTGAATCCATGAAGTTTGAATAGAAGGAATGATGGAATCACGTAGCGAATCACCGTATGTCAAGTAAGCAATAATTACAACAGGCGCGTAAAATACACAAATTGCTGAAATTATATTATAAAATTTTAAAAAAAAGTTTTACCAATTTTATAAGTTACCTGTATACCCCGCCCCCCCCCCTCCCCTACTATTTAAAATTTTCCCCTACACTACCATAACTTACTTGTAAATGCAACAATTGAACTCTTGGTAAATTGCGACGGCCGTTTCATATCGTGCTGAATAGTCGGAAAAGCCGAATGTCCTCCAAATGTAAACACAACTGTACCAAACGCCACAAACAAGTTGAAGATGTTAAACGTAGGTTCGTGCCGTTCTGGATTACATACTTCGTAGTCGTTTTTGGCTCCGACCATAATCAAACATACGGCAACAACCGTCGACATCATACCGGCAACAATTGCCCACCAAAAATCTTCGGGTGATTTCAAAAATATAATAGGCAATAAAGCGATTCCAAGGATGATAATGATATAACAAAGTCCAGGCACGCCAGGCCAAAACGAGTAGATAAAGTCGTGAATGTTACGAGCGGCTAACAGTAGAAATACTACGCAAATACCAAACTGCGTAATGTTGAGACAAACGGACACAAATGTTCTGAATGTTTTTCATTAAATTTTTAGAAATGTAACTTTAAAAAAAAATTCAGTAATGTTATGTGCTAAAGCCTACCTCACTTTGTGTCCCAAAGCTCTGTAGCCAATCTCAGCGTATGGCTTACGGCAATGCAGCCTGTATTCTGGCCATTTGACCGGCAAATGCTCCCAACTTTTTCCCAAGAAAATGGCGGATGCCGTGCCTACAATTGCCATAATAATGCATAACGTACAGCCGAGTATAAAACCGGACTGTTGTACGGCGGTCGGTAGTGCCACAATCCCACCACCAGCCATATCACCAACCAGAAACAGTGCAGCGACAAACCAGTTCATGCCTTTGTCTTTCACGTACTCTCCGTCAATGATTTGGCCTTTGGCTTCGGGATGTCGCTCATAGTCAATTCCATCTTCAACTGGTTTCTTTTCCAAAGAGTTGGAGGAGAGGTTGGGTGCACTAAAAATTTCCGAACGTTGTTAAAAAAGGATACATAGTTTTAACATTATTGAAAACAGTTAGTTTTTTTGCACTTTATATAATATTTTTACAAAATCAAAAATTTTAAAAAATCTAAACAAACTAATCATATTAAGCTTCAAAACAATACAATTTACTTACAAGTTATTTATCGTGTCCTTCTTTGTCATTTTGTCACCCTGAAAAGTTTTTAAATACAGCAGCAGATCTAAACGTTTTTCAAAACACGTATATTGGCGTCTATTATACTTTATAGAATAATTTAAAAAATCTTTGAACTAAGAATTTAAGACCATTTGAGATCAAAACGCTTTTTTATGTTGTTTATTAAAATTTTAATTGTATAAATAGTGAAGGATTGCATTAAATGACTAAAAATACTTTTGACGCAAATCGGCCGACTTGTTTTTGTAATTTTACAAAAAAAATATTTCCGGCCTAGAATAAATGCAAAACATTAAAAAGAAGCCTAGGACTGTATAGAAACTTTTAATTTTGTGCATAAAGTCTAAGTAAGAAGAAATATTTGTCAAAAAAGTTCTATCATAATGCAGTGAGACTTCTGTATACCAAATCGCTTGGGGCTTTAAAAAATGTTCGTTATACCGGCTTTTCGTTGTAGATGCGGTAGTTACACTGTATTAAGAAACAAATCGAGTGCAAAAAAATATAATAACAAGTAGTATAATATATTGCACGAACAAATGAAACATAATAAAACAAAAGAGACAATGACCGCTTCCCCTTCCCAAATGACCGCTCATACTTTGAGGGCCAAAACTTGAAGTGATTTATTTGCTGTCGGTTTATCCCGGACTTGTGCGTTTATAACATAAACTATTATTTTTCTTATTCTGTTTTCTTTAATATATTCTTTTTATTTTTAGATGGTTTTCAACACAACCTCAAAAAATTATTAAAACTCAATAATACAGTTATTTTTTTATAAAACTTACTATGTTTTCAATGCCATGCTTGCAAAATCACCCCTGCGTGTTTTTATGCGTTTTAAATTTGAAAAAAATCTTTTTGAATTTTGTTTCAAGCAGAACAAAAATCCAGAACGTCCGGAATGAAAGCCATTAATTCAGCTGCGGTGACGTTCCAAGGCCGTTCCCAGCGTTCGGTTGCATATATATTTTCAATTAAATTTCATAAATTTTAATGCTTAAAACATTATAAGTATGATGCAACAACTTTTAAAAACCAATTTAAGGCTAGGGCAAACCCTAATGTTTTTATCATATTCGCATGCTACCTTAAAGCAAGTGTTTCGCTTTATAAAATTTAAAACACCCTGCCCCCCCCTACGGGTAAATAGTTGGCCAAAATAGAAACCGAATATAAGTTTGCAAGATAAAAAGCAAAATAAGAAAACGTTAAGTTGCAATAAAGTCACAAAAAACGTTTGTAATAATAAATTATCCAGCAGTAATTAACTATAGTAATTAAAAGCCCCATATTTTTGAAAGTTAATGTTCACATGACTCCCCGAGTAACCCTTCTTGTAAAATATAACAAAATTTCTAATAGTTTAGCAATTAGTAGTTGAGCTGAAATTTTCAACTGTTACAACTGTGTCTCATTAGAAGTTCATTATGCTATCAAGATACTTTAAAATTAACCAGTATATTTTTAGTAAATAAAGTCTTTTTAAAAAATAAACATTTTGAAAGATTATTAAAAAATCAAAAAATTTTTTAAATTTATATGTAAAAATAGAAAATCATTCAAAAAATCACATGATTTACGTATTTCATATAGATTTATAAAACTTGGTACGGCTTTGCATACATGAATTCATTATTCTGTAGAGGTAACATAAAGCGATTGTGAAAAAATACAAAATCAAAGTTTTTGAGCTACGGAAAAAGTTCTAATTAAAATTTTTCAATTGATAAACCGTTATTTGATAACAAGGATCCGCCTGTTTAGAAATAATTAAAAGTTTAAAAGTGTATCTTACATAAAATACATTACGTACGCGTAAAAGCAAAAAAAAACAAAGCTCACAGTTTATATTACTTACCAACTCTACCATTCAATACAATGTAAAATATCATGACAGAAAGACTACGAAGAAAGTCAATTATTTTTTAGCCCCTAACAGCCCTAAACCAAGGTATTAAACAGCTCAACTCAAAATTTCAAAAACTAAAAGATTTCGTATGTTTTTTCAAACAAACCACACCGCAAATAGTTGACAGAACACGTAGTTATGTTTATCTTTTATTGTTAACCTCTTGACAATTCAAAAAACTTTGCAATAAGCTCCGGAATTTCTCACCACCAACATTATACCAATGTACTAAACTACAAAAACTCACAATGTTTCGAACTTAAAATATCAAGTTTAAACGCTTGCATCAGAAATAAAACTTGAACAAGTATTTCCATAATTTAGATTTGACAATATAAACTTTCAGGTACATACGGGCGCTGTTGATCGGAAGACAGTTTTTCCATAAAAATTACATAAAAAACAAGTTAAAGAAAGCAAGTATGATTCAAAACTAGGAAAACATCAAGTTTGCAAAAACTTTTGAAAATGTGATTTCTCATCTCTAACAAATGATTACCCAACCCTAACATCACATATGAAAACAGGATTATTACGTGAAATCCGCGCGAGCCTCTGTTTTGTTGTTTAATAGCAAATATGTTTTCTAGAATAAGGTTAAACAGACCGAGCATTTTTAAGTGCATCTAAAAATATCGTCCAAAGACATACCGTAAGCTTACAAATAGTGTTCCTAAGTTACTGTAACAATTAAAATATTTTCAAAAGTCTATCGAACAGCAATTCGTAGAAAAGTTTTTACAAGGAGTTATAGAGACCTACTTATTGTAATGTGTCAAGAACATCATGAAAATCTAAAAAATTGTAACGAACGGACATACTTTTCATATCACGTAAGATCTAAACTGATAAAAGTATGTTCCAAAAATCATCAAATTTTAATCATACAAGAATTACAACTACTGATAAGCTGCTATTGTCTTTTTAGAAAATAATCATTTTTTGCGTCAGCCGTTTTGATGGAATTTTGATTTAAGGATAGTCAAAATTTTTGGTAACTTCTTGTTCCGATCTAATTACAGTATTGGCAAACCCTTTATAATTAAATCTATTCGCTGAATTAAAAAACTCTTTTCCGTTCTAACTACCATCTTATAATCTTTTTCCGTGAAGGAATGATCAAAAGTGGAAATAAAATGAAAAAAAAAATAGCAAAAGAAGTAAGTTAGATCCGTGAATAAAATTGAAAATGGCCAAAGCCCGATCGTTTTTCTTTCTGCCGCCCCAAAATTTATTCAACAGACAAAAAAATTGATCTGAATGTTTTGCGCGCATAAGAATGAGTAATTTCAAATAATAGTTTTAGCCCTATTGAAATAGTAGCCATATTGACACATTTGGATAGTAAATTCAGATATAAGAATTGCAATAAAAATTTAGCGGAGCAATTACAAAAGGTTTTTCTAGAAACAGAATATCTCCATCAACACCACCGAAAAAATTGACACACCCCGTTTTTTATCATGTAATTTGCAAAAGAATATAAAAATATAAAAAGCAACTTGTAGTCGTTTTTAGAGTTAAAAAATTTTCCTTTATGAAAAAAACTTTCTATTAGCCTTTTTAGTAATAGTAGACAAAAAACACTTTCAATTTTTCACATTCTATTTGGTTCTTCAACTAATTCTGCGCTTCTTTTCAAGGCAAATTTTTGTGGTTGGGGGCGCAGAATTATTTGAAAAAACTAACACTACACGCTCTCTAACAACTTCTTACGGCCAGACTTTAAAGTCCTAGCGCAAAAAAAAACATAATTTTTAAATTTTGATCGTTCTAGAAGATTGCGATAGATATCTCTATTGTTTACGTCTAGGCCGAAAAAATGAGAGTTGATTCATTAAAAATAAAGTTTTTATAACACTTTTGAATGTAAAAGTTATTTTCAAAACGTTCTTACACAAAAAAGCTCAAAATAAGCATAACTTACAAATAGTCCAAAAAGAAAAGCAGCAATTATTTTAAAAAGTCTACTTAAATGTCGCACATCCGACAAGTTCGCACATAACTAAAATAATAATTACTTTAGCTTTAGGTTATTTTTAAAATTAAAAGTTGTACTTTTTAAAATTGATTTAAAAAATTTTAAATAATTTTTATACAAGCTTTTGAAGATTTACAATGTTAATTTATCAATAGTGCAGTAAAAAATTTGTTGAGTACTAATAAAAGTTTTAAAATAATTAATAAGTAAAATTTTTAAATAGATTTGCATTTTTTGTTTGTTACATATTTTTGCTGTCATAACTTTAGGTATGAAGAGTCAGAAGCCACAATAAATTCAATATTTGCTTTATGAAATTGTGTAACGTCACACATTCAAAAGTCGTATTATACTACTAATACAAAGTAACTAACATGGGATTACCACCAGATTACCTTATTTTGTTCAAAATGCGTTTTCTGTTTTACTTTTCTATTTCGTTATAATATTTTCCTTTTTAAAAATATGTAAATTTTTGAACATATTTATAAATATTTTGTACATATTTCAATTTGACAATTTTTTTAATTATTTTTAAATTTTTATCGTATTTAAAATAAAAAACACAGTTTTACATCTCAATTTAAATAATTTCTTAATGTTTTTATACGTTATACCGTATTGCACAGAGTTGTGCTTAAAAATACTGACTGGCACGATCCGGCACTGCCTACAATTTCACTGTAAGGCTAGTACGAGACGATATAAAATATTGTAACATGTAACTGCACAAATTCAAACTACAATATTACTGTACAAAATTAAAATATTTCAAAATACTTTTTAAAAACTTTAAAAAATTTGCAAAAAATTTAAAATTTTAAGTGTCTTGTTTGTCAGCATAATGTAGATTATAATGAAACTACAAACGTTGACTATTTTTAAAGCGTTTTTCAAAAATGTACAATTTATTGTATTTTCAACAAGTTAGAATAAAGAATTGTAATTAATTGTAGTGTTAAATTTGATATTTTAATGATGTTTTACGTAGTTTAGAAATGTCACTTTAGTGTTACACTTAATTTATTTGTATTTAAAATTTACTTAAACCCTATATTGGAAATAGATCAGATAACAAAGTGAACACCTACAGAGGTTTGTCGATCTTGATGGCAACATATTTATATTATTGTAGAATTGGAAAAGACTGTTTCTTGCGTATACAATAAAGTTTTATGAGAACCGATATATTTTTTCCCTAAGTTCTTATAAGTTTCAATTTTTGCAGCAAACTGTTTTTCATAATATTACATAGTGCATAAAATTAAATTATTGCACGTGCGCTACTGAGTAGCTATTATAGTCATATATAACTATTTCCACTATGAAGTCTTATTTTTACATACTCTTGCGTTTTCGAATTTACTTACTTTAAGATTACAGTATATTTGTTTGTAAAGCAAAACCGAATATTTGCTGGTTGTATTATGCATAACATGACGTAGAAAGTTGATGGCTTAAAAAGACCAAGTAAGAATTTTGAGAGAAGCTAGTAATAACACATTTACGCTGAAAAAGCAGTAAACACACCTTTCTCTTTTCAGTGGGTTAAATTCAAAAATTTCTTAATTACGCATACTTAATGCACAATTTTAGACTTTTGGTTTTAAAAATTTCTAAATGTTTTAACAGGTATGTCGTTTAAATATAAAGTTACATACTTTTGATACTTATTTTATGGTTTGATATAGTTTACAATAAAGATTTTTTTAAATGGCAGAAAGGGGAGAAGGAGGTAAAATATTAGGGGCCAGTTAGTATCAAAATTTCTTACAGACAAAATTTAAAAAAAAACAAGATGCATTTAGTGCAAAAATCACGGTACTGCGGAGAGGATGTTTTTTAACCATTTTACCATGAATTTTTTTTGCATTTACCTATTTTTTTCTTAAGATAATAAAAAAATGTGGATAAGAACTCGTTTTTTTAAAAAATAAAAAATTACAACGTAAACTAGCCAAAAAAATTTTTTGTTACTTTTCGATCGTAGTATTGTATAATGTGTTTACTTACATTTACGTCAAAGGCCTTGTTATCATGACCAAAGTTGTAGTTTCACGGCAGCGGAGCTACGAAAAGTAATCGATACAATAGGCGGTGCTCCTATGACTTTATGGTGTTAAAAAATGGGCGTTGTAAACTGTTCGAATTTTTCTGTTGTCATTTTAAATAGCCGGTTTTTTGTATCAATGTTCTTTATTGCAACATGGTTGTTGTAGCGTATTTTTATCTTTTTGACAAACTAAATATACATTTTTAAACACATTAAAACTATAAAAATTTTAGATGACTTCGTACCACTCGTCAGACTCAAAACATATCCAATTAACAAAAACACAAGCCAAGTACGCTACTCCAACGGCCAACAGTGATTTGGAATACAACTCCAGCAAGGGCACCAAATATACAGTTGATTTTGGTGATGCGGATCGAACATTTTCAGTAAGCGTAAAATGATTATTATTAGAAAAAGTAGATAAATTTTAAATTTTAGGTTAAAATCTAAAAAAAAATAATCTTTAAAGATTATATTTAGACTTTCATGTTTTTTTAGTTCGAAGCAACTAAACAGCCGGATTCTACAGAAGATCTTAGTTTGTTAAACACTTCTTACATGTTAATGCCACCATTGCACAGCCGTACTCCATCTCCCAGTTCGCAATACTTTCTGTAAGTTTTTTTAAATAAGTGAAATTTACTAACTACATTAGATAAAAAATTGAAATCATTCATGTATATTTGGCCACATATCAAAACAGTTTTCATGTACATTTGGCCACATATCAAAAAAATGATTTTTACACTTTTAAAGAGCATTTCAACATACATAAATTGTGTTATGCGCATTGTTTGTATTTATGCGTGTTTTTACTCACGCAAGGTACACATGTGGCCGTTAATATTCTTAATTAATTTTACTTTTAAACCGTTCTTTTAACTTTTGGATAACTAATCTTGTAAATGTGTTATATATTGGGATTAAATAAGAATTAAGTAAATTTGAGCTTGTCATTTATATTTAAATCTGAATATTTCAGGGGCATGCATATGTCTATTACATCTATATGCATAAATCCGGGTATTATATATGTATCTATATGTATTTTTGAGTAATTAATGTAGGTAAACGTAAATTTTGAGGCTGAGATGTAACAGTTCTTTTATATAATAAATGCGATGATTTCACTGGTTTTTATTGCGGGGAGAGGGGGGGGTATACAATTTCTTACATTTCTTATCATACTCATTTGTGTCTTTTTTAAGAATTATATTGTATTTATATTGCTCTTGACATTGACGTAGCTGCACTTTTCTCGATATTAAAGTAGTTGATATTAATTTTTCTGATAATTTGTTTACTACTTTTCTGTTGGACGCACACAACTACGATTTTATCAGATAGAACTTCTAAAACAAAAAACCGTACAACAATTTACATATTTTTTTCAAAAATACTTTTAAAACTTATTTTATATATATACATTCTTAACCTCTATTCAAATTAAACCACGATGACATGTAATTAGAATATAAAGGAACGAAAGCAATGGAGATGGAAAATATTTAATAAATTTAAAACTTTCAGTGATTCGCCATCTAACTGTTCTTCCGTTCCATTTTCGAACCGAGAATTTCAACCGACTACATCGACACACACTCCAGCGGTCGGGACAATAATGAGTATTAGTGAAAAGTTGCGGTCGCTAGTCAGTCGTCGTGACAATAATAGTTTGAGCCATAGGCGCGGTTCCGACAACTTCAGTAAATTTTCCAAAATTGGGGGTGAGGTGAGCCAATTTTTAAGTTATTGAACTTAAATTTGTCTTATTGAGTCTAAAAAGCTGTGTTGATTTTACATTAAGGTCTTAAAATTTTAGAACAATATTAAAACGCAATTTCTTCAGGAGATGTTGGCCGATCCGTCGACCAGTGCCAATCAAACGGACAAACAACAAGACAGACCACAGATATCATTGTTTACCGAGGTTTACGACGGAACACAGCCTAGCTCGTTGTTTGAGCGTTCTCGCACCAGCTTGAAGAACAACAACCAGCCACAGACGACGAAAAGTGCTGATGAAACCAGTTCCACTGCGCAGCCTAGTCCCCGTCCGACCTCCCGGATGCGCTCAAGTTCAGAGGTTAAATTTCCAAGACGGCAAGACGTTTACATCAACAAAACCGACGAATAATGTTTCAATTTTGTTAATTTAAATAATTTTAAAAAAGAATACCGATTTATCCTTTAGCTAACTTAATGTTTTTTTAATTCTTGAAATTTATATCATTTATTAAAATTAAGACTTTTTTTTGTCTAATTGTATTCAAATTTGATTACTTAATAAATTTTTTATCACAAGACTACTAACCTGTTTTCAAAACTTTAAAACAGCGTAATTTACAATGCCGTCGTAGCAGAAGCCTTTACGGCAAAGATAAAATACAGAATTCCGTTGCCCTAACGTATTTACGGCCGACAACGCCTGCGGGCACAGTTTTGACCGTGCATTTTTTTATAAAACAGACCGCCTGAAGGCGATTGGCTTTGGAAGCGCGCAAAAATGAGAAAATTGGGAAATCCGCCTCAGGGAACATAATTGGACGAGATATGTTAGTTTGAGCCCTCAGGGCATGGCTGCTGACACAAACTTCGACTTGGCCGTTGTTTTTCGCAAGATTTGCCGTTAAGAGTTCTGATTCCAGTTTTTGAATGTGCAAGTAAGAAATTATCACAGTTGCTTGCTAATGTTACTCCCGACAAAAACGACAATTTCAAAATTGAAGTAAGTTTAAATGTATATTTAGTATTGCTTACTTTTAGCTTGTAAAGCTACGACCAATGAAAACTGGACTTATTGGAGGTTGCCGCAAGTGCGGACAAACATTTACCGATCGCTTGGAGTTTATTCATCATATAGTCGACCATTTTCCGACTGTTTTTTACACTTTTGAAAGTTTGGACAAGACGGACTCAACACAACTGCTAAAAAAGGACGTCGAAATTAGTACAACAAATTCGATTAGAAAAGAAGGTATTAACGTGGCACATTCAAGCAGAAAAGAAGATGATTGCACAGCCCATTCATCAAGAAAATACAGTAATAGTAAGACAATTTCCACAAGTAACGCTGCAAACAAATCAATAATAAAAGTTGAAAACGTAAAAGACGACACAGATGAAGATCTACCGTACTACATGTGCCCACATTGTTGTTTAACATTTTTAGAAACCCACTGTTTTGAAGATCATTTGGCAACACACGTTAATGGGGTAAAAAAGTGTTAAGACTTTTTAAGCTATACTGGAGATCTTTTATATAATTATATTTGATGTTGCTTTATTATATCAATTAAATTTAGAATCTGGAAGAGTCAAAAAACGCATGTGACATATGTGGATTACAATGCAACAACAAGTACCTCTTAAGCGAACACAAACAGATGCACTCTAAAAAGTGCGACATGTGTAATGAAGTAAGACATTACACATTAAATAAAAAATTATATGATAATTAAGAAAAAAAATTCAGTTTTTGCATATTAGTTAAAAATATATTCACGGCTTTTCTAAATATATAAAAATTTTAGGTTTTCACTACACTATTTGATTTAAATTTGCATATTGGCGAACACCTGGACTATCCCTATAATTGTAAAGATTGTGGCAAATGCTTTCCAACGCGCAAGTCATTGGCTGAACATAACAAGATTCACAGAATCGTTGAAAATCTAGAAGAAGCCGAAGAAATAAAACCTCATAGCTCCAAAAGTTTAAATCTTTCCATAAGTCATGGCGGTTGTAGCAACCGAACCAGAAAGGTAAGTAGGATAGGATAAAGTAGGGTGGTATATTGTAGGGTAGAGAATGGTATTAGGTATATAATTAAAATGCGGCATATCTCTGGTGTTTTTTCAAGAGTTAACATACAAAACTTTGTTTACAGTTCTGTGATTATTAATATAATACATTTTATTAATATTTAAGTTAAAAAACACGTCAAAACAGGATCAATGCAACCGACCGGAAAGTTTGTTAAATTCCAATTTGTATTTTAAATCATTGTCGAAAGAACCATGTCGGAAACGTCGTTCTCGTGCTGCGAAAGCTATGAAAACTGTTGGCAAACCCGACTCAATCAGCAATAACACGTTTGAAATGATGGTCAGCTTGTCCAACAAACTGTTCCAGCAATTAATGGAACATGATGAAAATGCGGTATGAAGTCTTGCAATTTGCTAATTATATTATTCTTTACATACTGTTAAAACGCGTCATTATTTGTTCATTTTTAAACTTTAAAAAGTATACATGTAACTGTTTTACAGCAGAACATACTACATTTATTGGTCGGCAAAACCAAAAATACTAACTATACTGAAAAGTAAATTCTTCTTGCGGTTTTAATTACTTCTTATTCACTTTAATAAATAAGCTTTTAAATTTTGTGACGGTATTAAGACGTTAAACAAAACATGAAGATGTTTTAATAAAAAATATAGCATAAGTATGGCAAAGTTATAGAATATGTAAATCCTAACCATTAATAAATGAAAAATAAAGTTTTAAAGCAGATAACCTTTTAGTAACCCGAAACATTGTCACTATTATGTTTACTGCATTAATCAACAATAATATTAAACACGATTAGTAAATAGAGCAATCAAATGAAAATAAAATTAAAAAGCTAGTTAATTTTTTAAAATTGATTTAAAATAATATAAATCCTGTATTAAATTCAAAATTAATTACAATGTGAGTTGTTGGGTTAGCTCTTGACCTCCTCAAGTTGACGAAGGCAAAATTCCGCTTCGTAATCCGAAAATTCTAGGCTGACACGTCGGTGCATTTGGGCTTCTGATTCGTTAATCGAGTAAAAATCGATGCTAAAACTTCTTTATTTAGTTTCAAACAGTCTTGAAAATAAAACAATTGAACTTACTCCTATCCTAAGGCAAATAACCCTAAGTCTACTAATATAAAACCTGCAAACCCTAAGCTTAAAAAGCCTATCCTATGCACACAAAACTATATAGTACAAGATTACACAAATTAATGTTACGTTACCTAATATTGACTTTATAATTTAATAGCCTTAGAGAAATTGTCAGAAAATTTGTTGCGTAACTCTTATTGTGTAATATTTACAATTTTACGCAAAATTTGCCTCGATGTAAAACGACCCAACAAATTACTGCGAGTGCTGGGGTTTGTTCAATTTTTCTGTGCGGGACTAATTTTTATCTGCCATATTTTACGAGTATATAAACCTATCTCCGCTTATACGAAGCATCATTAGTACCCTTACTGTAGCGAGGCTTAAACCTGAGCCTCATAAGCCTAAGCTAAATAAAGCTAAGCCTAAAACCCTGTGTCTAAAAGGCCTAGCCTAAACAACCTGGCCTGATAAGTGTAATCCTCCTAATAGGCTTAAAAATAATAAGTCTAACAAGCACAAGTTCTTTTCCAAAAGTTCAGTTAAATATCATTTCTTTTATAGTAGAATTTGCAGAAATTTGAGAAGTCAGCCCCCTAGGGGTCAGCAATAATTAATACATGAACTATATATATTATCGTCTATATTATTTTTGTTTAAATGTATTAATAGATGCAATAAACAAACAAATAAATAAAGTAAGCGCTGCAATTTGCATTTTTTTGCTGTGCGAAGCCACTTTGGCTCATGTTGTGGGTATATAAACCCTAGCTCTGCGATTATAAATCATTATTATTCATTTTACTACCTACGCGGAACAATTGGCCAATGTCTAACAACTGTGACAAAAAAATGCGTAAAGGAAAAGTTGTTTGACTATACCTTTGCCCATCCTTGATTAACTCCATGAGATCCCATGTGCTCAGAGGTTGTACTCTGTCCTCTATACAAGCTCGTTCATAAGCTCGATAAATCCTTGTGAAATCGACCGCTTCTAGTCCCGTTGCTTTCAAACTGCGTACGACGGCTTTAAACAGCCGCAACTCGTCTGGATTGAAACTTCTGACCAACTGCATTCGGTAGGTTTCTCTTGCATCAACAATGCATTGATGTACATCTTCCATCAAAATCTGCTCGCGGTTCTTTTCTATAGCCAAATCAATTGCCATTTTGATAATTTCAAAAGATTTTCGTATGTCTCCACTCATGTTGGCCACCTGAACCCCTTGATTAGTAGTTTTTTTTTGCCAAAAAAAATGAAATTTTAAGTAAGGCCGTGACAAAAACCTAAACCGATTGCTTAAAAAATACTTTTAATTGAAAAAATAACAACTTTTTTCCCATTATAAATATAAAAAGCCTACCTTCATAGAACAAAACTTCAACGCATCCTTGTGAATCCTGTCTCCGAACATTTCTAACTTGGTCATCAAAATCTCATTAATCTGTTTATGATCATAAGGATGAAAATGTATCATATTCGTACCTAATCTGCTTTGAATACGTTTGTCTAAAGCGCGTTGAGGCAAGTCAAACGTATTCGATATGGCAATAATATTCACACGGCTTTCAGGAATCGAACACCAATTAAAAATGTTGTATAGCACAGTCTGCTTGTTGCTCAACAAAAAATCCATCTAAAAATGCATTTTATATAAACAATAAATTTACGAAAAGAGAACTAATTAACAAGAAAATTTTAGTCCTACCCCCCACTATATAATAAAGATATACAATAGACATCAGTTTAAAACGGCACCTCGTCTACCAATACAATAGTCGGAAGTCGATCTTTGTCTTCCATTCCCAATAATGCGGCCAATTTCAGTTTGGCTGTTTTCTGTGACAGTTTAGCCGCCTTCTGTGATTCGGCCGATCCATCATTAGTCAAAGCTTTATAAAAATGAATGTAAACTTCTTCAGGACGAACCATTTGTCCAGCATTCAAGTGCACAAATGCAAACTTTTTCTTCAGTTTTTGCATTTTTTGAATCACATGGAGCGTACAGGACGTCTTTCCCGTACCCGGTGCTCCTCCTGTAACAAGAATTATAAAAACCCCTTCAAACAATTCTCAGCGTCCTAAAAATACTTAGCCTTCCCCTAAATTTTAAAATATTATTGCCCTTTAAAAATCATACCCAAATATAAAGCACTTGAAATCGAATGGGGACGAATAGCTTCTTCACAGAACGCCCGAATCTGTTTAATTTCGTTTTTTCGTTGTTTCATTTCCGTTGGTACTGTATCGCTCCACAGCAATTTTCTCGCGTCTTCCAACCCCAACGATGAGACAGAAACATTTAACGATTGATCCAAATTCAGTTTTTGCATATTCTCTTGTAAAGTGTTGTACATTTTTCGTCGCGGTGACTTAAAAGGTGATTTTTCGGGACTTTTATTCCATTTTGACGGTGTACGTTTAGGAGTGCGTGGACTAGCGGATGGTGTACGACTAAGGCGAGATTGTTTTGGTGGCGTGTGATTTTCATAATCTGTGAAATATATTGGTCTAATTAATCACACAACTTTTAAAAATTTAGAAAATGTTAACGAGTATCTAAAAATCGTAAAATTAAAAATGTTTAATTTACCTGAATCGTCGCTTAACTTTTCCTCAAAAGAAATGTCAGGGTTCTTTCTTTTCTTTTTCGGAGTTGAATTTGTAACTTTTGGAGCCCGTAACTTTTCTAAAAACATTACAATCACCTAAGTACCATAGAATTATAACGATATCTTACGTGAACTTATCTTCAAATTCAAAAAGTGCTAATTGTCCTTACTTGAAGCCTGTTCATCAACTTTTCCTGCTTGCCTTGTCGTTACCATTATGTGTTACAAACGGCCAGAAAATTCAAAACGTTAACTTTATAAAATAACGGAAACAAAACGTTAAATTTATTTAAGAAAACTATTTTCTTTTACATTTTTTATTTATAAATTTATTTCCCGCTTAGAAACTGCAGCTTGCGGAGCCGAAATATACCCACTTTAAAGTGAGGGCGCGACCGAAAGAGCGAAAAAATAATGAAAAATTCTGGAAATCCCAAGATTTTTATGGAAGTATTTCAACTGTTTAGCACTACCTCATAAAGGTGTTTGAACTTTGTGGTACTATTCGAACAAAAACATATTTAAAGTTATGTTTTCTTTACGTAGTCTTAACCGTTCTATACAGTTTTGTAACAATTTTGCTGTGAATGGACTGCATCGAACCACAATTCCGTTAATAAACAGCGATTTTGCTCGTAGGTTTTATGTTAAAATTACGTTCTTTTTTCTTCTAAAATATAAATGTAGTTCCATTATTTAGTTTAAATTCTTCAAATATTAAAGATCTTTTTTTTTAAGTTATTTGATTGCAGAGAAACGCCTGTTTGCGACGAAAGGTTCCAAAAAATTACTACGATATTTTGGGTATACAGTCAACGGCTAAGGAGAGTGAAGTGAAGTCAGCTTATCTTAAAGTGAGTTATTTTTGTAACTTATTTATTTTTTAGTTAGCGAAAAAGTACCATCCTGATGTTTGCAAAGAAAAAGATGCTAGCACAAAGTTTCAAGAAGTATCGGAAGCTTATGAAGTATTGAGCGATAAACAGAAACGACGAGATTATGACGCGTTTCGTTCTTCTGGCGGTGGTTTTGGTGGTCGACAAGGTATGACTAAATTTAACTTTTATGGATTTAGGAAAAAGTCTTATAAAGTTTCGTATTAAAATAGTGTAGTATTGTAAAAGCGATCATCTAGTAAAGTATAAGCGTTATTTTTTAACGACGGAATTTTCAGGATTTGATTCACGAGGAGCTCAGCAACAGTGGGATTACCGCTCAACTCGATCTGCTGAAGACATCTTTAGCGAGTTTTTCAGTGGCGGATTTGGGAACGATTTTGCGGGGTCTTCTTATGGGTTTGAAGCATCACAACAAATTTTAGTTAAAGTATCATTTGAAGAAGCAGCAAGAGGTGTACAGAAAACTGTAAACGTGAATGCTGTTGATACATGTGGTATGTGCAACGGTGGTGGATGTGCTTTGGGTAAAACAAAAGTAAGATTTTATTGCTTAAGTTTAACAACGAAATATATTTTGTAAAATTTTTTGTCTTATCTTGAATTTTAGGTAACATGTCCATATTGTAATGGAACAGGTTTCCAAACAAAGAACTTGAGTGGGTTTGTTCTAAATCATGCTTGTCAATACTGCCGAGGAGAAGGTAAATACAACAAAGATCCATGCCAAACTTGCAGCGGCACTGGAAAAACCATTGTGAATAAGAAGGTCAGCGTCTACATTCCCGCAGGTGTAGATAACAACGAAATGTTGAGGGTTCAAGTTGGGCAGGTAAGATTTAAAAAAGTGTTTTATCATAAAGTTTTATTATAAAGTGCCACTAAAAACTATAGATAATTTTGTCAAGTTTTATTGTTATTTAAAAATTTGTCATTTTAGTCCATGGTGTACTTAAATATCCAAGTTACTCCTTCGTTGATACATAGAAGAGAAAAGGAGAACATTTTTACAGATGTTGAAATTGGCCTAACAGAAGCGGTACTTGGTGGTCAAATTAATGTTCCTGGAATAGAAAGCGATACCATGGTATCAATACCTGCAGGAACTAGCTCACATCAACGTCTTTGCTTGAAGGGAAAGGGAATTCGGAAGCTGAACAACATAGGATCAGGAGATCAATTTGTTAGCATTAAAATTAAAGTTCCGAAGTATGTCTTATGGTTATTTTAATTATTTAAATTTCTGAACTTTACACTTGCCTTTTTATTTTTGTATTATTTAAATTCTAACTTTTTGAAGTACAAAATGTAAGACGTATGATTTTCAGAACCCTGACTCAACGACAACGCGAGCTAATAGAGGAATGGAGGCGGATAGAGAAAGGAGAAGAACCAAAAAGGCCAAAACAACCAGAACCAAAGCAACAGGTGCATAACGAAGCTCCAAAAAAAGAAATGGCGACAGAAGCGCCGCCGAAGAATCTCACTGAAGAACCCAAAAAACAACAAGATGGTGTGTTTCAGAGGTGATAAAACGTTTTCATTAGATTTTATTTTCAAAGGTTATTAAAAATACGAAAGAATAATACCTGTAAATAAATACAATTGAAACCTCTATTTAGGTTCGTCAATATGATCAAGGGAAAATCAGCGACAGAATCTGGATGATCTATTCCATCTTCGATATTATTGTTTATTGTTAATCTTGTTAGGAAAAATAAAATTTTTGAAAAAATAAGATTTATAACGCTGTTTTATTTTGGCTTTTAAAAATTTTTCATCGTATAACATGTCTGGAAGGTTGCAAAAAGGTATGGGCGCATGTGGCTGAAAAAAAAATGTTTTGGAAATTTTTTTGTTGATTTCTTTATTTTCCTTTATTAAAGTCTTCTGAAGCAAGATGGGCAAGAAACAACATCAGAAAGATAAATTGTGAGTTACAAATTTACTTTTTTAAATTGTTTTAAGGTATTTAACAACGAAGGAATGGAAAGACTCGTTTGGAGGACACAAAAGTTCGATTGGAACTCAGATTCAGAAGGCTCAATTTAAAAAGCTACCTTTTACTCATTGTGCATTGACCTTTTTGCCATACAAAGAGCCAGTTTGCACTACATCTGGGGTTATTTTTGATAAAAAGCCGATAACGGATTATATAAAGAAGCATAAGATAAATCCTGTAGATGGAAAGAAATTGGAGGCAAAAGATTTGATTGATCTTCACATGAGCAAGGATAATGAAGGTAAGCAGTGAGAACGATTTAGAAATTGTTTTATTTTTAGGTAATTTTCAATGTCCAGTCACATTCCGCACCTTTACCGAATCATCATTGATTGTTACCATACGAACCACGGGTAATGTATACGCCATGGAAGCCGTTGAAGAGTTAAATTTAAAAAGAGCACATCTAAAAGACTTGTTAAATGATGTCCCGTTTCAAAGAAAGGATATCATAACTCTACAAGATCCCAATGATTTGGAGAAGTTTAACATCGAACGGTTTTATCACGTTCAATTTGATACTCGAACTTTGGAAGACATTGCTGAAGAAAAGAAGCAGATGCAATCGGCTTCATTTTACCTTAATAAAGTGAGTTGTCTTTGCATTGATTTTTAAGGTGTTTTTTTCATCGTAAATGCTGTTTTTAACCTTAGTGTGTCTAAATATATTTTAAAACTAAAGTACGTATTTTTAGCTCAATTCAGAAGCAAAGACTGCTTTACAAAAGCTTAATACGAAGTATGAAGCGAAAGAGCAAGAAAAGAAGAAGGAAATAGAAGCCGATACCGTAAATGCTGCACATTATTCACAAGGTCGAATGGCAGCAGGCTTAACTAGTACCGTAATGGAGCCAATTACTGTAAATAAGGCTGCGGTGTTAGACGAGAGTACAGTTAAGTAAGTTATTTTTTTACGTTGAGATTTTTCAGATACTTTTTTTTGAATTACTGATGTTGTTCTTAAGGCATTATCTTATTACAGGTATGCCAGAGTAACAAAGAACGGCTACGTTCGAGTTATCACAAACCATGGACCATTGAATTTGGAATTGTTTTGCAAAATTGCACCAAAAGCTTGTGAAAACTTTATAAAACATTGTGCAGATGGTTACTACGACAATTCACGTTTCCACAGATCAATCAAACACTTTATGATACAAGGCGGAGATCCAACCGGCACTGGGAAAGGCGGAGAATCAATTTGGGACAAACCATTTGAAGACGAAGTCCATCATTCACTTCATCACGACGCTAGAGGAGTCCTGAGCATGGCGAATCGCGGTACTGACACTAATCAGTCTCAATTGTGAGTTTTATTTTTGAAACACCGAAAAAAATAATGAAAAAGTTCAAAACTCTGAAAAAAGGTTCAAAAACGTAAAATAGTTTAAAAAAACATTTTTAGCTTCATTACTTACCGACCATGTCGTCATTTAGATGGTAAACACACGATTTTTGGAAAATTAGTTGGTGGTTTACCTACTTTGGCATCTATTGAAAGGGTTGAAACTGATAAAAGTGATGCACCGTTAGAACCAATCGTTTTCATCAAGGCCGAAGTGTTCGTAAATCCATTCGAAGAAGCGGAAGCACAAGTAATCAAAGAAAGGGAAGAAGCCATGGGTATTCAACGAGATAAAAGTAAGCTTTAATAGGTAAATTGGCGTTAGGGGAGTCACTAGTTCTCTTTCTTGAGTAGACGGCATTTGTAAATCACGGTTTAAAAATACGACGATTTTCAGAAACGGTGCCAGAATTCAAGTCAACCGGTCACACCTCAGAATTGCCAAAGCTAAAAGCACATTCAGCTGGAGTCGGTAAATACATACGACCGGACGTAAAAACAGCACTGAAACGGATTGGTGATATTGGGTTAGTAGGTTCTGAACCAAAGCAGAAGACTAAGAAATCGTATGACTTTAGCGACTGGTAATTTTTTGTAAATATTCATGGTGTTTCGGAAGGGATAATAAACATTATTTTTTTTATATAGTAACAACTTTATTCAAGAACTCGTTTTAAAAAGCATGATAGCCATTGCATCGACGTGGAAGAAGATGAATTGATTGTTTTCATGCGCAATCGACGATCCGAATGAGTTTCCCACAGCACAGTGCCACGTAACTCCGTAACGCCGATCAAACGCTTGTTTCAATTCTTTAGCCAGTAGTGCTGGACTAAGATTTTGACCCATTTGTTTGGCGTGATACTCCAAAACTAGCTTCTGCGCGAATTCGGCTTTATCAACATCGATGTCCAAAAACTGCAACGACTACAATATGTTGGAAACAGCAACTAATACACTGTACTATAATGATTAGTTTTTTAAAAGTCAAAAAAAAATATTTAGGCTAGCTACATTATTAAAAAACATGGGATTACGAAACGCAAAGTTAACGGTTAAAAATGAATTAACTTACTTTTAGCGAAATTTTTGGTGCTAAACTTTTATGAACTTCTGTCATTTTTAAAATAAAACACAACCAACTGTCCAAAAAAAATGTAATAAAATTATCCATCATTTCATAATTTGATTATTTTATGAAAAAATAAATAATTATAATAACTTCTGATAGAACTTACGGTAAAAATGTTTTTTTATTCTGCTATGTAGGATCTTCATATTTTTACTATTTCGTCAAAAATGTACAATGCGTTAACTCAGTATTTAAGTTTAGTTAATATAAGATAAAAATACAAATTTATTACGCTTCTGCATTAGAACTGAAGATTTTTATTTTCAAAATCACAATAAAAACCTTCACTTCCAATGCAAACCCATAAAGAATTTAATAGAATCTTCCTAAATTATTGTATCAGTATCACGCACAAACCTTACATTTAGGTTATAATTACACTTTCACAACCTTTTTATATTGAGCTTTGCAAATGTATGGCCCACTGCTATATATAATACAATTTTGCCGAATTGTACCCAACACACTACTGTTTTATAGGCAATGAGACCATAGTTTGCATATAATCTGGACATTGCTCTGTAATTATATATTGCGACAAAGCTCGGCTTGTTATTAAAGAGTAAAATTGGCTTGGTCACGCACTTTTTTCGAAGTTGATGTGGATTAAAGTTTGTCGAGTAATTGTTCATGGTATTGAAATTTGGGCTTTAATGAGGTATATGAGGTCTACCGTATACTAATTTGAGTCTTTAAGAGGTCATGGCTTACTGTATATTATTTTAAACATTAATGACCGCAAAGATAGACATCATGCCGGATTAAGTTTTCAAATGGCTATTATGAGATATTCAGAGTTAGAAGAAATCACCGTCGTCTCCCTGACATATTTTTTTTGAATTTTGAACGTTATATTAACTGTTAAATTTTTTTATATAAGGGTCTCCTACCCAAGCCAAAAATATATTTAACTATTTATTCATAATTAACAGTACGTCCCGTAGTGTCAAGCATTCACATATCCAGTTGTGCACGCATTTTAACAAATTTGTGAAAATTGTTATCTTACATCTGCACACAAACTCATTTACAAAACTTTTTTTTTCAAGAGTCATTTACTAAAACGAAATTGTTCGTTGCGTCTTGAGGCTTTTTTCATTTCGATGGTTTTATGAATTTCCATTTTAAAACCCATTTTTTCACTTTTCCTTTCCCAACCAGCCTCGTACATGGGAAAAGTGCGTGCGGAATGCGGAGAGTACGTTGAAGAAGCGAGAGTGGGGCGAAGCATTTCGAAAAAAAATTTTAAATGCGCTAAATTTTTATTTTTGCGGACCGCAGTGGGTTTCCCAAATGCAAAAATAAAATTTTTTTGACACAAGTTATTTAGTTTTGGCTTGTGCATGCTCATATTGTGAAACAATGAAGACCAAGTATTTGTTAGGTATTTTCAGATGCGAAAAATATTTTTTTTCTTTTGAATTACCTGTAAATTAAAAGTCTGAAGTTGTCCAATTAAGTTTTTGTGGTGCACAAAGGGCGCTAGGACAAATGCGGTTTTTGGACATTTGCGGATCTGCGGTTTTTAGACACTTGCGGATCTTCGGTTTTTGGACACTTGCGGATTTTGGACATTTGCGGATTTTTTAAAGGGGATTTTTTTCTTTTTTAGTTAATTTATTTGTAGTATGGTACTAAATGATACTAAAGTTTAAATTGGTACTGTTTTAATATGTTTTATGCTAAATAGTACTAAATTTTAAATTGGTACTGTTTTATATTTTTTGGTACTGAATGGTACTAAAAGCCCAAAAAGGTACTGTTATGTTAAAACCGCATCAATTTAAACTTTCGTACAATTTAGTACTATACTACAAATAAATTAACTAAAAAATTTAAAAAACCTTTAAAAAACCCGCAAATGTCCAAAATCCGCAAGTGTCCAAAAACCGCAGATCCGCAAATGTCCAAAAACCGCATTTGTCCTAGCGCCGCACAAAGTTTCATATTGAAAAAAATATTAAGTGAATTCGCCGAGTTCTGTACTCAAAAGGTTACTGATTTGGCTCAGTGCTTTGAACGGTCGACTTTGCCGGGTTGCAAAAGAAGAAGGACGAAATGTTTGCAACTTTGACACTTCTACAAACTTTTTGACCGTTGGATAAAAGCAAACTTCAAGGTCGAGTAGGCTCGGTTTTTTGTATGTGTATGCATTTTTAAAGTCGTACTGACTAAAGTGTTAGTTGTGTACAGTTTTTTTTAAAAAGTTCATTACCTGTTCATTTTTAAAAAAATTTTACAATATTTTTTATTCATGATGACATAATAGGCATAACAGCTATTCTTCCTTACTTATTATTTTTTTCATTTTCTAAATTTGTTATCCCTCCTTGTTTTCGACATTCTCTTACACACCATTGGCAAAAAATAGCATTTAATTTTTTATTTGGAAAAGTGAAAAAAAATTTCGGGTCAAAAATTTTTATAGCGAAAAAATGAGCCTAGAGAGCGGGTTGAAATCGGAGAGAACAGGCAGTGGCAGTTTGCGTTTTCTCTTTGAAGCCGGGTCCTTTTTTACTAAAAACAGACCGAATTTTTATTTTTCATGAATAAATTTTTCGAGTCGGTTTTTGAGAATCAAAAAAAAATTTCTCTTTTGCTGGGAAGATTGTTTAGAATTTCAAATTGAATGAATTTCATTGAGAGGGTGAATATTTCTTGCGATGAATCATTTTAAAATTTTTATTTTTGAAAATAAAATGAATTTTGAATGAAAATTTGTTTGTGATCGAGGTTTTTAATATCATATACAGTGTTTTGACTTTTTAAAAATCTGTTCCGCGCTTTAAGTACGTTAACATCATTGTTTTATTTTTAGCAACGATGCCTGTCAATGGTGAAGATGAAAATGATCTTCAACAAGTGATACGCGAAAAAATACTATCTCAAACAATCAAACAGGAGCCGGTATGTGCTGTTTAACATGTCTTATAGGTAACAAAAGTTTAAGAACTATGTAAATAGGTAACAAAAGTTTAAAAACTGTGTAAATAGGTAACAAACGTTTAAAAACTGTGTAAATAGGTAACAAAAGTTTAAAAATAGCGAGTTATAGGTAATTAGGTAACAAGGTTTTCAAAAAAAACATTAATTATAAAACGTAACCCAGTTTTTTAAATTTAGTTTAAATTTGGGTAAAATACGATTAAAAAACTAAATTTTACTATATTTTTTCATAAGAGTTAATTTCAGGACGAAAAGGCGTTCGAAGATGTCAAAAATGAAGTTTTGAGCATGTTGCACAAGAACTTTGACGCTCCATCGACGTCAAGTTCGGCTTCGGAGAATCAAGAAAGCGAGGACACCAGCGAATTTGAAATAGACTTTGACCATAGTATCGACATGGTTGTCAAACAAGGCCTATTAGAATCCCAAATTGCAAAACAATTTGCAGCTGATAAACCAAATTACGACATGGTTACAAGTAAGTTAATGAACTGGTAGAGTAAGGTAATGTAGGCCAGGCCAAGCTCGCGTCTGGTTTGAGGTCAAAAAAACTTTTTTTTTTGTTGACAAAGACAGACACGAACTTTTTTCAAAACAAGGTTTCAGTGGTACTGACTCAAGCGCAAAAGCAGTTGGAGCAAACTCAAGCTTTGGAAACGTCGGCTTCATCTAGTCTGCAGGGTGACGAAAAGCCTAAGAAATATCGCAAATACGAATATCCCATTTTGGACCAGTTGAATGCTAAGAAATTGGAAGAGCAAATGTCAGACCCGAAAATTGTAAGAGTTTAAGTTTTGTAATAAAAAAAAGTTGGAAATCTACACCTACAAACCTTGTATAATATTTTTTTTAAGTTATAAATGTTACCTGAATTTAATAGATGTAATTTTTTTTTGGAATGTTTGTTTTAACTGACTTAAAAGCAACTTTTTAGGATCCCCACATGCGCGCTATAATCCTGTACGAATTCAAAACCGGCCACAGCTCAACCGAAGCAACCAACAACATTAACAAAGCGTATGGACCCGACTCTATTACCAAAAGTGCCGTTCAAAGCTGGTTCAAACGCTTCCGAGGCGGCGACTCGAAAACCCGCGACCGCCGTGGCGGACGAAAACTGTTGTTGAGACATTGCGAAGAGGATTTGATTGATGCACTGGTTGCTAATCCCAAAATTACCTTGCAGAAGCTATCGGAAATGTTTGGTGTAGGAGTTAGTACCATTTTCAATCAGCTGCGACGATTGGGTATCAAGAAGACCAAGGAGGGTTGGAAGTAGGCGTATTTGTGTTTAAATGAGAGTAGGCTTAATATAGTATGGAAGATGTTAGAGGCATTTGTCATAAGCCTAAAATGATGTTTTACATACAAAAACATATGATACTTTTTCTCAGATTTTACTTAAATTTTTATTTTGTATTTTTTGTGTTAAATTTCAATATTTCAAATGGCATTCTTCTATATGGTTTTAAATTTTGGTCGATTTTTATTGATATTCAAAAAACTTATTGGTTTAATAAACTTTATTGTTATCAAAGTATATGGTAGTGTTTTTACATCATACTTGACATTGCAAAATTTTCGACCTCTCACCGTTCTCCCTTTCAAAATTTTTTGACTTATCTTTCGCCCCCTCAATCAAAAATTAGCCTGCGGACTCTAATTGCGCATAAATTTTTGAAATCAATGGTTTATTGTATGTATATTTTCATGAATGTACAGATAATGTGCACTACCGCCTAGCCATATTATTATGTTTTACAAACGACTCCGCGCGTCTTGCACTTCATCGTATACTTCGTAATCTTTTGTATGGACGTGCGAGTTAGCTTTTGGTGCTGGCGTGCTGAAAAGATGATAAATGTTAGCTTTGTTTATTACCAATTCCCGACTATCTCATATTTTATGATTACTCCATAATATCTTTTTTAAATTAAAATAAGAAAATTTTGGCTAATTTTACAAATCCCTACCTTATGATATCAGGTAGTTGTTCTTGTACAAAGTGGGTCGTTGTGGTTGTTGGTGTCGTAGTCTGTGTTGTAGTTGTTGTAGCTTGTGTTGTTGATGCTGTAGTTGGTCCATTCGTGGCAGATTGTTGGCGAGGTATGTTCGAGAGTCTTGAGGTTTCAAATGGCCAGCGTTTATCCGTCTGGACGACGCTTCCCGACCGTGGAACGTTTTGAACCAGCGGTTGAGGGTTTAAGACGAACGCATTTTGAGGTGATTGTACTGGTACACTTGGTGCTGGTTGTACTGGTACACCTGGTGCAGGCTGTTGTACTCCTGGAGTCGGTAGGGAAGATATTGAAGGTTGACCTTGTGGCACTACCGAGTTTACTGGATTTTGTAAAAAGTTTGGCTGAGGTGCGGCTGGTACAAAAGTTGGTTGAGGAGCAACAAATGGTCTACTTGGTTGGAAAACCTGCTGGGGAATAAAATTCTGCCCGAAGTAGTGTTGTTCATATGATATGGATGGTACTACGACTCTACGTCCGTTAACAACAAAAACGTTCAAATTTGGCTGGACAGGCCTGAATTGTGGCTGAGGAGCGGGCTGGAAAGGTTGTAAATTTCTAACAACAGGTTGTAGGATTTGGCCAATAGTACCTTGTGGTTGAATATTGTGTCCCAAATTAGCCGTATTACCTCTTCCATTAGAAGTAGCTATTTGTTGACCGCCTCGTTGAACTTTTGTGTTATCAACAGTTTGTCCTTGCTTTTCATCTTGACTAAAAGCTGCTTGACCTGACATTTCCAAAGTTCCGGAATCCGAGTCTAGAATGCTACGTGGTGTTACACGTTCGAGTTGAGGAAGGACTTTGAGTTCTTCACGGTTTACTGATGCTCCACGGTCGGTCACGTCTGGTTCTCCATCTGGAATATCGTCCACCAGGTCTGGTAGATCAACTTGTTTGAAAAACTCATCAGGGTTTTTCTGAAAATTATAAATTAATTTATCCTACCCTACCATACGTTACCACTCTTTCCTAATCTTCTATTTTCTCAAAAAAAATATTTTTTAGTTGGATGTTGTAGACCTACAATGCTTACCTGAACAAGAACGTGCTTCTCCGATAGAGCTGTGTCGCTTTCGGTAAGCGTGATATCACGGAGGTTTTTGCTGTTATACCACGCATGACCAGTGTTCAGTTTGACGTTTCCTTTGAATCCAGCTTCTGGCAGTAGTTCCTCTGGCTTTCTCATGTCAATAAACTCAAGTGGTCGGTATTCTGGTTGTTTTTTCGTTGATTCTCTGGTAATTAGTTCTGTAGGCGTGGATTCAGTCGTAGTAGCCTTTGATTTAGTAGTAGTAGTCAATAGCTTTGTTGAAGTCTCAACGGAAGTTTTCTGTGTTGTTGTCGCTTTGATCGTTGTTGTTGTTGGTTTTAACGTTGTGGTTGGTAGACCGTGCGTAGTAGATCTTTGCTGCCCTTGATGAACTTGAACTCGTAGGTTTTCAGTAGCATGATGAACTTTATGACCATCGTCATGGCCAGTAAACGTTCGCGTTCCATCGTGGCTAGCTTCTTCAACACTCAATGACAAGTCGTCTTCTGTAGCTAAAATTATATCAGTAATCATTAAATTTATTTTTTAAAACAGTGCTGTGGCATCAATAAAAAGTAGCTAATATTAACATAGGTTATGGTAAGGCTAGCGAAAAAATAGTAAATTTGAAATTACACTTACTTGTCTCCATAGTAGTAGTTGTTGTACTAATAGGTACCAAAACTGGTGGTGCAGTCCACAAAAAGCCTTGTAAAGCACCAGGTATACTAGTAGTAAGATGCGGTGGAGGCTGATAGTAAGCAACCCTTGGAGGTTCAAGTCCAGGCAGACGTCTCAGTTCATAACCTTCTGGGCTCTTTGATTGTTCAAGCTTTTGCTGAACATGCTTATCAACTGAAAACGGATCAGAACCTAGAAGCGAGTCACGTTGAATCCGGCCAACGTGATTAGACTGCCGTTTGGCGCGACGAGTGTAGCCAAATCCAAGTTCTTTGGCCTGCAAATTATTAATTATATGCGTATTTTAAGCATTGATAAATGTGAAAAATTGTTTATCTAAGCCTAAAGGTGTGTGATAAGCCTAAAATTATGTATCTAAGCTTAAAAATGTATTCAGGTCACATAAAAGCGTGTGATAAACTAAGATTTGTGTGATAAGCCTAAAATTGTGTTACAAAATGAGTTTTAACAAATTAGAAACGCACCGTATATCTTCTGGTTACAAAATTGCTAAGAATCAATCTTTTAGCATTCACAAACCGTTGCTTTTCCGGATTGGTACTGCGGCTGGACTGAATAACTTGCGCTCGTTGAATTCTAGCTGGTGGATCATTGAGTTCACCAATGATTTCAACCGAGTCGTCGTTACTGAATTGAATGTCAGCACGGCTTACTTTTACCGTTTTTTCCAAATTGACAGGTTTAAGGTTTGTCGTGTTGAGATCAGTCGTTTCAGAAGGCAATTCTGACACTTCGTCAAAGAAATTTCCTAAATCGGGTTTAGATGAACTAACAACCGTAGTGGGCACCGTAGTAATAAATACAGTAGTGGGTACTGTAGTAGTAGATACAGTAGTTGTTGTCGTGAAAGTGGTAGTTGTACTAACCTGTGTTGTTGTAGAGATCGTTGTAGTTGTCGAGGATATTACAGTCGTAGGTGCCCACGTAGATACTGTTGTAGTCGTTACACTAATTGGAGCAGTTGTAGTAGATGTTGGGAAAGTTGTAATTGGTGCATTAGTAACAGAAGTTGTAGTATCAACAGCGCTTCCACTTTCATCAGCTTCAAACTCGTCTTGGTCGTCGGTAATGAACAACGAGCTTGGTACTTTGACGTGCTTCACCTTCAGAGATTCCTCCACAGCTGAAGGATTCTCGACGTTAGCGTCGTTTACAACTCGGGTTGTGTACACTGGTGGCGGAGGTGGAGTGTTCTGCTCTCTGAGAACATTGTTTTGCAGCTTCTTTTCTTCTTCGCGCTGTTGGGCTTCGATTTCAGCTTGTACAAAATCTTCGTTGATTAAATCGTACTCAGATGGCACAGAATGAAATTCGGGGTGAATGACGCCACGTTCGTCGATGAAATGCGTTGCCCGACGGCTTCTAATTACTGTGGATTCGCGGTTTACAACCTCGGCAGATTCGCTGTTCTTTATGACGGTTGAGCGGCGGCCCCGAACCACAGCTTTAGGAACACCAGTCGGCTTTATCTGAGGCATTGCCGTTGTACGCGCAATCGGATTTCTAGGCTTAACTTCGAAAATGGACAAAGCTGGGTCTGGTTCCAAAGTGTCCATAGCATGTTTGTGTTTGGAATCTTCAATTTTTCCGGCAAGTTCCGGGGACTGTGAAGGTTTTCGAGCATTCTGGCTCGATGCACGGCGCGGCTCAGCCCATAAGGTTGGTAGGGTCAGCAAGACCAAATATGAGGCTAAAAGCCTCATAATCTAAAACAATTTTTATAACTTTTAAAATATTATATCAAAAATTGAAAGCACATTTAAAAAATCCAAAAAATGTAAAAATCACCATAAATTCCCAAAAACCTTTAAATGACACCAAAAACACTCAAACCCCTCAAAACGTCGCTAGAGTACTTAAAACCCCAAAATTTCATCACAAACACCCTAAACCACTAAAATGACACCTCTCAAAAGTTTATAGACGTTATCATTATTCCACTGGAACATCTTTTTTTACCGCGCTTTGAGGCTTTTAATTCAGTCGCAGTCGGGTTCATCGCCTCGGGCAATCCGAGGTTTATTTTCACTTTCCAAATAAAAACACACACCTAATTGATTAAGGTCATTGTTTAGATGTGAGCAAAAAGTATATCGATTTGTGTGGATTTGTAAAAGCTATACCTCCAGAGAAGCTTTTATTACCGTTATATCTGTACTAGCAAGTACGATAAATAATATTGATTTTCATTTTTTGAAGTAAAAACTCATATGCTAAAATTATAAAAATGAAGATCCTAAAAGTAAGGTATGATATTTTTATGTCACTCCAAAAATACCCATGCTATCACAAAAAACTCCTAAATCTCCAACAACAACCAAGTTCGAACGCAATTAAATTCAACTAATTTTGAGCAAAAAAGCTTCAAAGTGAACACATTGAGATGAAGGTGAAAGTCATCACTTACTTCCTCTTCTATGTAAACGAGTTTCGGTAAAAAAAGAAATCAACTTGGATACAGTTTGATTCAGATAATCATCACAGAAACTGTCTCACAGTTTCAACTATACAATAGTAAACTTTTTGTTTTTGTATTATTTAAGATTTTAAAAAGTAACCCTTTTAAATTAATAAAATTTAGAAAAACTGAGCTGCTTGCAGCCTAAAATTTTAATCTCCTAAGAGTTTTAACAAAATTGTTTATTTACCTTGAAGCGCCTACATATATTGTTACTGAGGCTTATTGTTATATTATTTATTGTTTCCGTCTCGGGCTCGATTAGAAGCGCTTATTAATCAATTATGAAACAAGCTGAGCAAATTCCAATTAAATTCTTTCTTCAAATTTAATAGTTCAATTGTGTTGCTAGTTCGGTCTGAAAGTAAAAGGTAAAAATTTTGAAAATTCATACCTCATAATTACAATAATATAGCCAACTTTATTGAAACAATAATCAAAAACCAGCAAACGTATTAGCAAATAAACAATAAAACATTAGAGTAACAATAAAAAGTTCAATTCATATAGTAAAACAACATTTTTGAAACAAACAATTGTATTAAAGCCCCTGCATTAACTTAATAATCGAGTTCAACCTGGCTCTCCATTCGGTGCAGCTGGCTTCTGAATTGGTGCCTAGCAAAATCCTAAAACACATTTATGAAGTAATTTTTGGTTAAAATAGGGTCCATTCTTAAGGCAGTTTTCTAACCATAAAATACAGAAAATTCACCCACCTTCTAGACAAAATCTTCCCGTCATTACTGGTCGAAACATAATCAAAGTAGAAGACAAAAGTGTCTTCTGTCCACTTATCTCGAGCTTCTTGAACCTCACGAGAGCAGATGTCCGCTACAGACAAAACAGCGAATGGGCGCTGAAAATTAATTTAAAATTTCTAAAGAAAAATTTTAATTAAAACATAATTTAAAAATTCTGACATTTAAAAAAATAAGTTTTAAAAATTATCAAAAATGATATCTTACACAATGATTTTGCGGATCAGTATCAGTACGGTAGAAGTTGAGAACGCCACGGTAAAGATCTACAAAAAATTCAACCCATTCTGGTCGTCTGTTGTGACGGGTTTGATGTACTTTCTAAAGAAATAAACAATTTTATGTATCCAAAAATATAAATTAAGCACTCACCAAATACCCGCTAAAATTGTCATCCAAAATTTCGGGCAAACTGGAAAACTCGATTCTAAGTTCAATAGTGCCTTCTAGAGGATAATCGACATCGTGCATTAAGAATCTTCTTCGTCCTGCCATTTCATTTGTCACAACCAACCATCCACAACGCACAAATTCTGGATCCAGCCAATTCGGCAGTTCCATTATTTGGCGTTTGTGTTGTTCACGATCCACATCCTTCATTTTCCTGGATCCACAAGCAAAAATACAATGCGAAGAGGCGGGATCCGGTCGATCGCCCAACTTCATCTGATAAACCTGAATATGAGCTCGGAAATCAATTGGCAAATTTCCCAATCGGACTGGTTCAGTGAATGATAAGGTTGAGAGCCGAAGAGTTCCATCGCCTTGTACAATCGCTGGGCGAGTGCATCGGATAGTAGTCCCACACTTGATCATAATGACAAATGCGTAATTTGTAGCTAAAAAATATTCAAATAAAAATTTTAAAACTTATTTCAATTAAAAAACTAGATAGACCCCTTTAAAAACAAACTTTTAACAAATAAAAGACTATACTTACAAGCATCCACGGTTTTCAAATAGTAATTTTTGTTCAACTTCAACCTCATTCCCAATATATCCATATTGTAAGCGACATGTCGTCGAGAGAATGGATGTGGAATCTTTAGGCCCACATAATCATCTAGTCTCCTAAGTTCACGTTTTGCGGCCGTAAACTGTTCCAAATGAAGCAGAAGATCACGATTAGCAAGCAGTTCTTCGCAACTCCCATTACCTACGAGTTTGGTGCGATAAAAGCCCAAAAGGTCACAATTTTGATGAATAATTGTCTTTAACCGTTCCATATGCTCTTGAATCTCCTAAAATATGACAAAATTAAGTAAAAATACCATGTAGTACATGTATACACCTAAAATTTTTCATAAACTTGAAAAGCCTATTATAACATTATACACCATAAAAGAACTATAAAGTAATGCTAAATACCAACCTTACAAAACCCATGGTTAGTTTTAACAGCAGCACCAGTATAATCCAATTCCGGTGCCGCCGGAATACTCGAAACTTCAGTGTAATAACTAGCATTAGCATCATCAATGGAGATGTTGTTCATCCTACTCAAATCTTCTTGAGTTATCGTTGGTCCGTCTCCATATTCTTCGGTACGCACGGTGTTAGGAGCTTGATAGAGGTTTTCAAACACTGCTTTGGCCTTTTCGTACTCCATGCGACGAGTCGAACACGCCATTGGCTAAATACAGAAAATTAGGTATGAAATTAAAATATTTAGATATTAATTCCTTGTGAAAATACTAAAAATACCTCGCTGATTTCCCTAGTAACCGGAGCTCCGAATGGTACAGGTTCTTTGTGTGGAGATGCTGGAGAGAACTGCAAATCGGTTGCATTCAGACGTTGTCTGGTTGACCTAGGCGTCGAAAACCCGCCAGGAAGCTGAAACTATGCCAACTTTATAAATGCTTAAATTCTGATTTTCCCAACATATTACCTAAACTTTAAATATTAACAATTTAAAAATAATAAAACAGAAAGAAAACTAAAAATTGTTTTACCTAAAATTACTTCTTGTCGTTAAAAAACCATTTAAAAACTTGAACTTAATTTAAAGCAATATAAATATTAAAACATACGCTAGATGATGTTTTCTGCATTGATTATATAGCTGCTTATCTTTGCAACTTCAAATCGAACACCAAAAATATCAAGAATTTTAGCGGAAATATTTTCAATTTCCAAAAAATACGTCATAGTGATACATTTTTTCAACGTTCCAATGTTTATTAAAATGCATCCTGGTAATTGTGTAGCTCAAAATATGCGATAATAATACAAAATTTCATTTATTAAATCAAAAACTACAATTTTAACGATAAAATCAAATTATATTCACCATGACATAAAATTTCGGCAAAGATTCATTCGCCAACCTTATTATGACGGTTTATGTCGGTAACTTCTTTCAGCTGGTTAACGTAACGTTGTAGAATTTCACTTGTAACCTGATAAACAGGACCAGTTTCATATTGAGACAAACGTTCTGACGTCAATTCACGTGTTTCATCAGGTGATGATCGCTTTTTTGGGGCTTCCGAGAGATTGTAGGCCAACTTGAGTTTGCCCATATTGAATTCCATAGACTGAACAATGCCAAACAATTCCTCTTCTTGTACCTTAACGTGCTGAAGAGCGATTCGACGAACCAGGCAACGAGGGCGGAACTTTGTCCATGCTTTGCAAGTTTCGCTCAAATCAGCCAAGTTTTTCTAAAAAAATAGTTTAATAGTAACATATTATAAAGCACATTGATTTGGTACTGATATCATACCATATATTAGCCAAGTTATTAAAACTTTTGACAAAACTTACCTTCGAGTATTCCAATACCTCCACCAACTTTGGCAAGTCATCAGCAGTCCGAAATTTGTACCTTTTGTCCGCATCAGTTTGGAATTTGATTCTGTGAAGCTCCAAACAATCTTTTTCCCAATCAAGAAGTAGTTTAACAAAGGAAAACAACCTTTCTTTGCAACTTTCAACTTTACTGTCAATATTCTCCAATATCAACTTCACATCCAATGAGTCTTCCTAAATTTACATATTTTTTAATTTCCAAAGTACTTCTAATCTATAAGTGTTTTAAAGTATATTACACTCACTAACGAATTATAACGCATGTCATCTTCCAAGTCCTCAATTTGATCTCTGGCCTCTTCCAATTCGAATACAAGTATTGCCAATTCGTACGGATTGGTTATCAAATAATCCTCCTCTATTCGGCCTAAAGTTCGCTGAACTTGCTGTAGAATATGGTTGATACGTTCCTTGAGCACAAATTTCTTTTCCTCGATGAAGAAAGTAGTTGCCCTCTTCAGCCTTGCGGCTTTATTTTTCTTTTTATGCACCATTATATACCTAAAATTAGAAAAATGACAAGATTCATTCAAAACAAGTTAAATCAATCATTTTATAAATAGTTAATGAATGAAAGATAACAAATTATAGAAAACCTAAAAATTAACGTATAAATGGTAATTTAATTACTTTTTCAATTGTAAAGTTTATAAAAAATTAAAATTGAACGATTGAGCTGCGGCCATGCGATATGCAGACTGCGTCTTCCGCTAATTACATTATGTAAACATGAGAAAGGGGCCGGGCCGGCCTTGAGCAAAATTTAGATCGGGCCGGGCCTAAAAATTAGGCCCGGCCCGGGGGGCCGGGCTTGAAAATTGGGCCCGGCCCGTTTTTCATGTCTAACACTATGAAAAGCCATAACAGAAACTAACTGTTTTAAATTTGTAAATTTATTCTATAATCTATTTTCCACATTAAAGAGATCAATATTATAGTTTTAATTATTGTTAATTAAATTAATGTAAATTTTTTATTCTGTATGGGGTTTTAAGGCTTCTTCTTCGACGTAGTCCTTCCAATGGTACATAGTTGTTAATAAATCATCCAGATTTATCATTTCCTCTTCACGGATCATTGTATGAGCTTTATGATCCCAGGATTCTTCTAATATTTCGACTGTTTCAATAACTTTCTGAAAATTATCTGTTCAGCAATATTTTTGATACTTTCTACTGTACTTGTAATATTCTACCACCCCTCTCCTATAATTAGGTTACAAATATAATGTAATAGCGCAATATAAATAGGCTTACTTGTATTTTTGTAATAAAACTTTGATTGAAAAGCGCTTTTTCATCTTCCATACATTTAATGACATTGTAAAAAAACTCGTCCATGAGCTTATAGAAATCATTTTGCATATCGTCTAACTGATTCATTGTTAATTCATATTCTTTTCTTTTCGTGATTTTTGTAAACCGATGGTACGTTTGATATGGCCAAGAAGTCATTGCTTTTATAAGAAACTGAGACGTTGGTGTAGGTTTGGTTACATTGTTTAAAGTTTTCAGGCACGTTGACAAGCGTTCTTGGAATAGCAAATCGTACTTTTTGCACAAGAATTCAATTTCTTCCTAAATTTTTTAAAAAAGTTTAAAATACTTCATAGTTTACAAACTTAACTAGTAGTAGGTCGTGACGCTTAAAATTTCTTAAAAAACATAATAGATACCTTATTGATATAAGGGTCAAAGAACGCATTACCTTTGAAACCAGTGCCATAGATTGGCCGCACAAGCACGCACTCTATTAAAATTTTACAAATGAGATTTATGCGCAATTAGTCAGCTATGGTAACGAGACGTCCAGAATGCGTCTGGTGTTAATCCGTTTCCACGTCGTGTGCAAAGGCAACAAATATAGGTGCAAGTGTATTCTATGAATCTTTATATTACACAGCGAATGTTAGGAGCAACACTACTTTAATTTGTAGTTTAAGACATTACACGACATAGCCAGGTTGTTATTACGGCGTACTGTAATACTCAGTGTATCATTTTTAATAGTAGGTCCAAAGATGATGTATAGTGATTTTTTTAAATTCAATGTTCTAATATTAAATCAGTATTTATTATCTTAAACTGCATAAAAATGAGTAGCTGAAAGAGAGTTGAATAGTCTTATGCATATGGTGCTTTGGTATATACAATGTGTATTTATAAAATACAGTTCTTAGGCGTCGTCAACTGAATTGACTGATTCTCCGGCTTCATCAGGTAGTTCGCGACCAGCGGTTTCAGGTAGAATAAACGTAATTCCACCACCAACGGTCGCCATACAAATGAACAAAATGTTGGGTAGTTGAGGATGTAGTACTCCCTGTAATAGGACAATATATTGAATAATACTATAGAAAAAAATAAAGTAAAGTAAAAATAAAAAATGGCAAAAATTAGTCAAACTTGGCTGTAGACCCTAAAATTTATAGTATAACATACCAATAACCGTACTGACGGCGCCAAAGCACCACCAAGCCTTCCGACAGTCGAGCAAAATCCAATACAACCGCTTCTTACTGTAGTTGGGAACACCTCGCTAGCGTAAACAAATAAAGCGGTAAGTGCACAGGCAATTCCAAACTTGCCAATCAACCATAAAATTAGGTATACGGTAGGGTTGCTGATGAAAATTACTCCAAAAAAGGCAACGGCCGTGGTGAAATGGGCCAGGGCGACAAACCATCGACGTCCAAGAACACGTAGACATAGTGGAGATACGAGGTATGATGGAGCTTCTACTAGACCAGATAACACAAAGTTGAGATATCTAAAAGTTTTGAAATCAAGCTTTAAAAATATTGGATTAAAAAACTCTGAAATTTGAAAAATTTAAAAAAAAGTAATAACATACCTGTTCCCTGCCAATTCTGTGCTGAACAATGATAATCCGTAGTAAATAAATGCGTCACATGTCCTGCAAGAATATTTTTAAAACGTTTAAGTTAAAGCTATTGAAAAAAATCAAAATTTCCACAAAATGAATAAAAACCTACCATAAGTAACCAAGAACGATAGTGTACACTATTAAAATTTTTTGACGTTTTAACTCATAGAACAAGCCGTGATTACCAGTTGGACGTTGAGCTTCGCCTGAACCTTCGGAAATTGTGTCACTAAATAAATGGTCAAGCTCGGCTGGATCTAGTTGAACTTTCGCTCCTTTGTTACATCTCGTCACAAATTTTACTGCCTAAATTTAAAAAATATTTAAATTTAAAATTCTCTTTATCAATATTAACATTTCTAAATACAATTTTTTGGTTTAAATTTAAAAAAGACTTTGAAAAAACTAAGTTATTTAAAAGATAATTTTAAGCCTAAACTAAAATATTACTCACCTCATTTTTCTTCTGGTTAGTAACACAGTAATGAAAGCTTTCTGAAGCCCAAAACTGGACCGCAAACGCATAAAACACTGAAGGAATCGACAATGCTACCATAAACGGCTTCCACGATTGTAGCAAAAAGTCCAATGGTGCCAGCAGACAATAGCCCACAACCCACATCAATCCGAACACTAATGCGGTGTAAGGTCGAAGCAAGTGAGGACAACATTCGTAGGCCAAAACCCAATTGATGATAACACAACCAGCAAAGAAGAAACCTTGGATCAGACGGCATACGGCGAAAAAGTAAATGTTGGGAGATAAAGCACTAACTGAGCCACTGAGGCCGAGGATGAGCAGAGAACAGGCTAAAGTAGGACGGCGGCCGCGGCTAAAATTATAAAATTTATGAACCTTTTTCTCTCTTTAGTTCTCTTGTTGATTAAAATCTTTTTTATTTTACAAAATTTTAAATTATCACATGTTAATCATAAAAACTCACGTATCAGACAATCTTGTAATCAAGCTTGATCCAATAGCGTTACCAATTAAAAACGCTGTTGTTGTAATGTCAGCCAAATAAGAACGAGGTCCATTGAGATCAAACTAAAACAATTATAAAATAAAATTTAAAACAGCATTGTCTTATTATAATACATTGAAAACAGTACTATTTTACATTATAACATACTATAATAGCATTTATCATAAACAATATCCCCATACTATAAAATACTGAAGTAAATTAAAAAACCTACATCATATGCGACGGTACCAGGTGTTCCAGTACAGTTGGTTTCAGCGTCGGTACATACTTTACCCATGAAGAAGGCACTAGCCATCATTGGCATTGCAGCTAAACCCCATATCACGGACATAAACGCAAATACCGCAGCAAGGAAGATATTCCTTGGACCTGGAAACAGTCAGATTACAAAAAACGTAATTAAGCCTAAATGTGTACTAAAGCCTAAAGTGGCGTAAGCCTAAAATGTGTACCAAAACCTCAAGTTGCCTAAGCCTAAGAAGTGTACCTAAGCCTAAAGTTGCGTAAGCCTAAATAAGCACCTGAGCCTAAAGTTGCGTAAGCCTAAAATGTGTACCCAAGCCTAAAGTTGCGTAAGCCTAAAACGTGTACCTAAATCTAAAATTGCGTAAGCCTAAAATGTGTACCTAAGTCTAAAGTTACGTAAGCCTAAAATGTATACCTAAACCTAAAGTTGCGTAAGCCTAAAATGTGTACCCAAGCTTAAAGTTGCGAAAGCCTAAAACGTGTACCTAAGCCTAAAGTTGCGTCAGCCTAAAATGTGTACGGCAGTCTATAGTTGCGTAAGCCTAAAACGTTTACCCAATTCTAAAATTGCGTAAGCCTAAAATGTGTACCTAAGCCTAAAGTTGCGTAAGCCTAAAGTGACGTAAGCCTAAATTGTGTGCCTAAGCCTAAAGTGACGTAAGCCTAAAATGTGTACCTAAGCCTAAAGTTGCGTAAGCCTAAAATCTAAGCCTAAAATTGCGTAAGCCTAAAATGTGTACCTAAGTCAAAAGTTGCGTAAGCCTAAAATGTGTACCTAAGCCTAACGTTGCGTAAGCCTAAAATGTGTACCTAAGCCTAAAGTTGCGTAAGCTTAAAATGTGAACCAAAGCGTCAAGTTGCGCAAGCCTAAAATGTGTACCTAAACATAAAATGTGTGCGTAAGCCTAAAGAGTTTACCTAAGCCTAAAGTGACTTAAGCCTAAAACATGCGCCTAAGTCTAAACGTGTACCTAAGACTAAAATGTGCGCTAATTCACACTAGAATAACAACAAGTTATAATAAAACGAAAAATTAAAAAAACATACCAAAAAAGCTCAAAATTTGGTCGGGTGATTTCTTGGCAAAACTCGAAGTCATGGTCGAACGAGGCGAATCGGTCGATAAAATTGGGGCGTCGGCGGCCATCTCGTCCATTCCCTTTGCCTTATCTCTAGAACTTCGCCGATTACGTATGCTTGTAGACTTTGACATTGTAATTTTGATATACGATACAGAGTGCCAAGCCCGTGATTTTTAGATACAGTACAGATAATTTTGATACACAATACAGGGTTGACCGGTTGGGTCGTTAAGGTATGAAAAAATGGCGCAAATGTTTTCTAGTTTCAAAATATAACAAAAAGTTTGGATATCTTATCAAATTAAGTATTTAAAAAAATTTTTTAAAAATACTTTTGAAAATTCCAAAAATATGCCAATTATTCGTAATTTTTTGTATTTCAAAACATTAAAAATAAAAAACATGTTTACGAAAAGGCACCCCGCTCGGGCAAAACAAAAATTTTGCCAAAAATATAATAAATATTGGGCGCAGCTTGCTAAAATATTTCGCAGGTTGCATGCAAAATATGTTACAATAAGCGTAAAATTTAATTACTTCTCTGTAATATTCGGCAAAACGTTTTGGAAAACAATTATTAAATACAACAATTTTTTCAAAACAAAAAAATATTTTTGTTAGCTGTTTTGCATTTCAAAAATAAGTCAATTAGTTTTTACTTTTTGTCGTTTTATTACCAAAAAATAATGAGAAAACTAGGAATACCTGCCCTTAGAAACTTTAAACAAAAATCATGACTTTGAACTTTGAAAATGGTATGAAATAACAAGTGGTAAAGTGGGAAAACACGGGCTTACCTCGGCAATTATTTTTTTTCGGCTCTATCTGCTCGTCAATCTGCCTTTTCGAACAGCTATGTTGACTTTTGGTAGGTAGACGAGAAGATAAGGGTGTAGTTTGTTATAATAGTAAATTTGGAGTAGTTTTTTATAACAGTAAAGTTAAGTAGTATATTTGGAACAATATGTGGATAGTAGAGAAAAAGCACCTTAGTCTGTAGAAATAGTTTATAAGTATTGCAACAGTATTAGAAATTTAGGTATATACCTTCAGTAAGGCCACTGTAAATGATAGTAAAGTTGTTGGTACGCGTGTTTAAGTAGAATATAAATAACAAGGAAGTAATACCGAAAAAGAATTGTATCTTAAGTTGTATGTCAAGCACAAAATAAAGTTTCGTAAGTCAACTAGTGTATCAACTACTACTACTACTCCGAGCGTTAAGCTTGTCGAAATTTCTCTCAAAACGCTGTCGTATCCTTGTTTGCATGTATGTTGTGTGTTACGAACTCTTTCACAAAACCAAAAGAACGCTGCCTAAACAGCGAGGTATGCTTGTAAAGATTTTACCTTACTGCCTGAAATATATAATAGTGAAAATCTGCAATGAGTTTTGAAACGCGCAGTAATACGTAAAGCAGTAATATCGGTGATTGTATATATAATCAAAAACCAATTTTTGCTATATTGGGAGGAGTATAGACTCCCACCCTCCCATACATTGTTTTAAATCTTGCATAAATTATTTTTTGTATTTCGTAAAATTCTAAGTTTGCCAACATTAAATCAGCGTTTGTTAAAAAATTTGCTCTTAAGCCTAAAATCAGCTTTCATGCTATAATGCTTTGGTTACCTATTCCTCTAGTCGAAAATTCATGCATATATAATATAAAAATCAAGAAATAAACCTATCAGCCTACAATTTGCATAAAATCAAAAAAATCAGCTGATATCATTTAAAAATTTGCTTTTTAAACTACAGTGTCCATAATCACCTTTTTACTTTAAAACACGTGAAGCCAGCGACCAAAACCATAAGAACACGCAGCGACGTTTTTTAAAAATTTACTCGGAAATGTGAAAAACGTTGTTCGCGACAAGAAGCTAATAAACAATGATTTTATCTGTTCGTGATCAATGAATTTTGTTTTTTGAAAAAAATTAAAACATTCTGGGAACTGATAAGAAGGGGAACTGACCAAAAATTGTTTAACGAACACAAGATATTATTAGTGTGTTCATAAGTAAGCATAACTATAGGGGGGAGGGGACAAAAAAAAGAATTTCGAAAAAAACTTTTTTTTTGAAAAAATTAAACGTCACTCCTACGTTTGTTAATCACCGAAATGGTACTGTAAGCAACTATAAACTTTGACCACGCCCGGGCGCTGAGGGGGGGGAACCACCTCTTAAAAAAAAATTTTCGAAAAAAGTTGAACGTGATCCCCCTGTGGATTTTTGGAAAAAAAAATTTGCAAAAAAACGGCACACTATCTGTGCCGATTTTTTCGACCCCCGCCCCCCGGACCAAAAGCCCCCCGCCCGCCCCCTGTATATGACTATGCTTATAAATTTCAGAAGCTTTGAATTATAAAATATTTTTAAGAAACGTATACATTACTACAAACCGGAAAAACAATTTTTTATGAAACTTAAGGAATAATGCATCATATATTACTCCATCTATGAAGTGCGCGGTTCCTTTGACAATAACAAGTAAACAAGCAAGTTTGAGTTTAGTTCATATCGTCTGATAGCTTTGTACTTAGGTTTTAATACTAAAAAATGCCCTTTCTCTCTTAAAATTTTTAAAAAATTTTAAACATATATTTATTAGATATTTTTACACTTCCACTGCGAAAACAAAAAGCGTTTTACAGTTTGACATGAATTAAAGTAATATTAAAAAACAAGGAAATTTAGTGGCTAAAACGGCGCGGCCGAAAAAGCTATTCGGCCGTTTTTTTCACTTTGGCAATAAACAGAGAACGTCTGTCACGTGAAAAGAAATTGAAGTAACTAACTTTTATTTTCTGGTTTTGGCTAAATCTAATAAAACAAAAAAATTTAAATTTAAAAAGCCTCCACTGTTAGACTTCTCTATAAAATTTTAAACTAAAAAATTACTGAAAACCAGCCAAAATTAGACAAAAACTTCGAAAACATAGTGTTAAAATAGTAGTGTTAATTGTTTACTCTACTGCTGAACGTGTTATGCCAGAACATACAAACAAGGCACGACATGTTTTTGGACTAACAGTGTATAACAACATAAATAGACCGTAGTATTGTTGAAAGAACAAACATAACAGTAACGGAAAGTTCCCCTATCAAATATGAACAAAAAAAGTAGTCAAAACTGTTTTTGGACGAATATTTGTGCAAATAATTAAACGTCCGTTCTATATTGTTTTTGCATAACTTTTTTGATAACAATTTTCAGATTCTAGCAAGAAAAAACCAGAGTATGGAAAAGTAAATAATAGTCGAGAGGTGAGTCCTTAATGTTTAAAATTTTAATCTAATTGTTTTTCGACGAAAAAGGCGAAGCTACAAGTATTGACAATGATAAGTCATCGGAAAGAGATAACTGATTGGTCAGCAAAAAAAGTCATGCCATGAAAGTTGTTCACAACATACAAAAAATGTTTTAATTGAACTTTGGTATTATTCTACAATTTTTTGAATAAAAATTCACATTTGGCTTGAAAAAAACTTTTAACAGTTACCCTGCCACACTATTAGGTGCCGACATAAAGAACCCGCCATACTTTGCCTGTAATTTCCTGTAAAAAATGGCGGGTTCTTTATGTCCGCACCAAATAACATGTATAAAACATCTTAAAATGAACCTCTGTCTTTTATAAGACCACTTATCACCAGAAAGTACAGGACTCTAAACAAAACGTGATAATTTTTAAAGACTACACAAGAATTTGTTCCCCAATGTTGAAAAAACCAATTTTGTTTTATAATATTCAAAATGCTGATAAGGCAAGTATTTATTACTGATTTGGTGTTGCTTATCAGATTGATCTATCTTTTTTTGAGATCTAATTTTAAGCATAATTATAATGAATATTTTGGATAGTCATAAAACAATGATAGATTATAAATAAAATAGGACTAGTTCACAAAACATTCCTGAAAAAAAAGATTTTAAGTGCCTTTACTTAATTGTAAGGATTTAAAACCCATAAAAGCTTGGTTGACCTTTCCTTCTCTCCACGTCCTCTCCTCTCCCTTCCCCCCCCCCTCCTCTCCCCCCCGCCTTCAGTTTCCTCAATAAAACCTCATCCCCCTAGGCCAAATTATCAGAAACAAACAACTTAAGTAAAGATCACCTGAACATTACGAAGCCTTCTTTTTTAAGTAATGTCCAAGTTGCCCCAAGGCAAAGTACCCGCTGACACACAAACATCTATCAGCAACAGTCCATTTGTTTTGAACACCTGTTCTTTCTCTCTGCGACTGAACTCTTAATTGTTCTCTGTTTGAGTCAAAAACACTTTTTGGGTGAGTAAAAGTCAAAAACAAACAATTTGCAAGTTGAAACAATTGGCAGGTTGCAGTTGTGTTTTTGTAAAGTAGGAAGGAAGCAATGAGGGAGGGGAGGGGGAATGCTTTTTAAAAAACTTAAAAAAACCGTAAGGTGACCCCCCCCTCCCTCCCGCGTTAATCTAAAAATTTCTTTAAAACCCACTTTTGTTCTACCATTTTTCCATACCTATATATTATCTTTTTATCATTTCTACCCCAATCTCATCTAATCAAAAAGCACATTGCCCTTCCCAGCCACGTGCCTGTAATTTACAGACTGAACTTGACGATAGGTATTCCGTCCATTATCAATGATTTTCGAAAATCATAAAACAATCGACTATTATTGACAATGGGGCGATAAGAGATCGTCAACAATGATGAACATTCTTTTGGGAAACTTCCCAAGATTTAAATTGAAAAAAACCATTAATACTGTTTAAAAGAGGATCAAAAATTACGTTTTGTGTTGTAGTTTGAGTAATATATTAGATGTATTACATTATATATAAAAATTACGGCCGTTAAAAAAACGTATTTTAAAACATTTTGTTTGAACTGCTGCAAACATAACATCTATTACAATGTAAAAACTGACAATAGTAAATAAAATAACATTTAAATAGTTTTGTGTAAATGTTTGTAGTTGTTGTTATGCTCACTATAGTACAAAAGTTTTCTTATTATATTTGAATTAAACATAATAACTGAACCAAAAGTTTAAGATGTACTACACAATCACATTACTAGTTAGAAAGAATAAACAGAACAAAGTAGATTGAGTATGAAAACTTCCTGCCAATCATGATAATTACATTATTATTTATACACTGGAATGCCGATAATATATCACAAAAAGAAGATATGGTATATAGTTGGAAAACAATGCTATTTGTCATCATTTGCATTTGTTCTTAATGACATTTCTAAAGCGGCGGAGTTTGATCGCCTTCTTGTCGGCCAAATCGTTCTAACGAGTCTTCACGGAGTTCATAAGCTGGTAGATACCTAAGAGTTTTCAACTATTATATCGTCCGACTTTTCGATGTGGATATTATAATAAGTAACCATATACTATAGTACAAAAGCTTACTATTAATTAAAAGCCAAAAATCAAAAAAAAATCCACATTCCCAATGAAAAATTTAATAAAAAACTTACTTCCCCTCTCCAACCTGCAGAACTTTATTCGGCTTTGTTTTTGTCCTATCTCCAAGACTAGTGAAGCCTTTATCGTATAACGAGCAATATGGTACACATAAAGCTCTTAACAGTCTCCAAATATCTACGTAATGCCACGTTAACAATGGACATACTCGAAGGAAATGAGGCCATCCGGCATCCGTGAATTCACATTCTGTCTTCATGTAGCGTCCTAAACTAGGCAACGTTTATGATGACAAATATCAAATTCTAAAAAAAATCAAAAACCCCCCCCCCATCTCCAATAAGAAAGCTTACCATTAGGATCAGTGAAACGTGAGCCCATGAAAACGGCAATAACTTTTGGTTTTCGTTGTTTCAACTGTTCTAGACCACTTTTCATTGGACCATTCAGTTCACTTGTGTCCAAATTGTACTTTCGACCAGCATCGCGTATGAAGTCTGCCATTTCTGAAAACTCATCGCCGCACAGAATGTGGAATGCTTGTATTTTTGCACCTGCACCGTGTTTTCTAAAGCATATAGTCATCATTCAAAGTTGTGCTTTTCAAAATGATGTAAAGCTCAATTTCTAATCCAAAAACAAAAAGAATAATCGTTTTCAATGCAAAGCTGTTCCAAAAAATGCTCCAAATGTTTAAAGTACTTACTTATCCATTCTAGCCCTGAGTAAATGTAACAAAGCAGTGCAATCCTTGCCGCCATTAAATGAAATTGCTATTTGTTCTGGTGTATATTCCTCTAGGACGTTATCAATCACTTCTATGGCACGTTGGAGTCGACCCCCGAATCCGTCGCTTACCGTTCTTGAATATTTTTCTAACTTATTATTGGCATCAATCCACGCTTCTTCATCGTAGTTAACTATATATTCTGAAATTTGATCAAATTTAAAAAATTTCCTGACTTGTTCTCAAAACTTTTTTTTTACAAATCGACCAAAATCATTAAAAACAAAAAAACTTACCCTTAAATTCGCTCCTTAACTGTTCCATCGCCTTCTGCCCATCATCTGAGTTTGAAGATTCTACCACTAATTTCGTTTTAAAATAACTATTATCCATTATAGGATATGAACCTATAGTAATATGCGGCTGCGATTTGAAATTATCCGCTATTTTAGTCAAATTTTCTTGCAGATACACCTCGTTCCGTCTTAGATACAATATTTCATTGTAAAAGTTGCTGGTTTCGTCCTGTGGGAAGAGGGTATCCTAAAATTATTAATTTTTTTTAAATTTAAATTTTTTGATTTAAAAAAATTTTATTGCTATTATATTTTTACAAAAATCTCAAACTAACATTAAAATAAAATGTAATAAAAATATATTTTGTCACCACCACCCCCCCCCCACCTCTTCAATTAATCAAAGTTAAAACAAGATTATTATATCAAGAATGTATTCAAACCTAAATAAATTAAAAATTTATCAAAAAGATCATATCAGACTCTAAAATAAGTTTTTTTGAGCAAACAAAGAACAGTTAAAATGACACTGCTTGCTCTTTAGACAAAAAATTAAAGCAAAAAGGTCAAACGGTCTCGTATTCGTTTTGGTCATTTTTAAACGTCCTCTGGCACGAATGCTTAAAATCCGCAAAGATTTTAAAACTCAATTTTCAAACACACACCAAATAAGTCCGTTTGCAAACATAAATGAATTTAAAAAACTCCATTGCTAACTTAAAAATTTGTATCATCCAAAATTTTCAATAAAACCATCAAAAGTTTTCATGTCCTTAGGAAAGCTATCTTTACCCACCTCAACTTGATCATAAGCCAAACGACAAAACTTTGGTACGCCTGGAAAGCAAACAACGTTGTTCAATTGAACCGAAGGGAAACAGCTCATCTGGTCCGGCGTTTGTGGAGCACCATCTTTGCCCCACAATAATTTGGCCGACAGGGGTATCTAAAAGATTTTTAATAAAAAAATGAACAAAAAACTTAAATTTAAATTCCGAGTTTAAATTAAAAAAGACATTACTTTGCAAAACTTCTCAACGGCCGAATCGACATCAGCAAGCTTTGTTTTCTTCAAGAAAACCTCGACTACTTGAAACAAGTCCTTGTTAATCTCAAGTGCTTCATCGAACGCTAAGCCTAATCCTGAAAATAACTTTTTAAGTTTGGCACAATATTCTTCACACCATATAATAAAGCAAAAAACTACCTTCAAAAGTTCTATCGTCATGTGTAGGGCCGATCCCACCAGTAGTCAGTACAACGTCGTATCGACCACTGAATATTTTGATTTCCTGCGCTATTTCATCAACGTTGTCGCCGATTACAGTTATCTAAATATAAGTTATAAAACTTTTTTGTCTTCGGTTAAAAATTAGTTTGTTATTTAAAAAAAATCATCCAAAACTACCTTTTTCACAGCGACACCACGATTATGAAGTTTGGAACATAAAAAATGTGAATTTGTATCCGTAGTACTGCCGTTCAAAATCTCATCACCTATAACCAATATTCCACATGTAGGCCTAGTTGTCCATGTAAACCGACCGTCAGGCGGAGCGCTTGTTTCCCAAAACTAAACTTTATATTTGACTATGATACCGAAAAAAAACATTTAAATTATATAAAAAATTAAGCCCTACCACACTAAAACTCACATTTTCACGTACCATATTAAATTTCCTTGAAGAACTCGTGAACTGTCTAGTAAAAATGGGGAAAGTTTTAAAATAAGAGACGTTGAATCTTCTGCAAGTTGTGAAAAACAATGAATTCATAAAAATTGGCCTGAAACTTCCTTATTTCAGCCAATTTGTCCTGCAATGTAGCTTATTAAAGTGTATTCAAAAATATAAATAGTTCCCCAACCAAACTCTGCATCGTGCAATTGAGTCACAAAAATGTTCAAGTCTACCATAATTTTAAAAACATACAGCTCTAAAAAGTTACCGATAATTCAAGTAAACGAGTAGTGTTTAACTGTTAAAATCAATCTACCATTTTTATTGTTAATAAGTCGATTTAATTGTATCAATTGCAGGATTAATCAATTAAAAATTGACGTAACAATAGTCGGAATAATTTTACAACAAATCAATGCAACAACTTCCATACATCAAAATACCCATTAAACAACGCCAGATATCAAAAATTACAATAAATTACTTTATAAAACAATATCTTATTCAAAACATAATCAGACTTCAAAAGTCATAACATAGATATCACGAGCAATGTTTTTGCTGGCTTCTTCAGTGGTTGCGTCCTTGATTCGTTGTACAATTTCGGATACTCCGCGCTGTTTTCCCATTTTGATTACTGTAGAGTCTCCCCACATCAACGTTACAATACATTGTAGCAAACGGAATATTGTCAACGCTGACAAGTGCGAGAAAGAAATCGTTCCTTCGGTTGCTTTGATGATAGCTCTCAAAAGGTCTTCTCTAGGGCCTATTTCGGCAACGCCTCCTTCGGTTTGTTTCAACAAGCTGTACGCCAAGTTACAAAACACGGAAACAGCAGCTTGCTAAAAAAAGTAATATTAAAGAAAGTATAAAAATTTACAAAGTAATATAAAAACAGATAATAATAGAATTGAATAAGACAATGATCACATAAAGTACGGAAACATACTCAAGAAAACAACGATCACTCAAAAACCATTCTTTTTTGTATAAAAACCCCCAAAATAAACAAAATCAAAGAAACCGTAAATTCCAAAAGCAAAATCCCAAATGCTAACAACATTTCAAACACCAAAAACCCTTACCCAGTTGTACGCCGAAAAAATAAGAATATTGGCTAAAAAGCCATAAAAATTTACCTGCAAAATCGGTTTTTCCCACAAAATGCAAGTTCCAACAACTTCCGCCACATCGTTTAGTCTTCTCAGCAGTAGCTGACGGCCAGCATCGTGCTTGCAAGCATTCGCGAAGGCTCTGCAAACCATAGTTCGAATTTTGAACGTTTGATCCGATATCAACAAAGTCAGAAGCCGTTCCAACGTTTGATCTCCATTTGGTGGTAAACAAAAGCTGGCATTGTGGGTTTCGTTGAGAAGAGCGTAGCGGAATACGTCCACAACCGACATGATCTTCTCCATCGGCCATTGCAAAGCTTTCTCCAATGCCAACGTTTGAATTTCGTTGTACTCAAAGTCCGGTTGGAACATTTGAACCAGAGATTCAATCTGAAATTATGAGTTATTTTACATGAGAAATATTTTATAAAAATAGGATAATTCAAATACAAATTTAATTTAAAAAATGTCAACATACCAATGGCTCCTCCAGCTCAAACTCAGCACCAACTTCAGAATTGGCCTTCTTCAAAGCGTCGATAGCTTTTTGATCAGCTTTGTCAGAAAATAAGATAAGGTCTTTGATCGGTACAAATTCTGACGTTGGTTTTTTCTTGTCAACCGGTAATGATGCATTTGGTACCAAATCATTTGCGCCTTGACTGGGAATATATCTTCCGCCTGAGGTGTATGGATCTCCACCGCCTGAAAAGGACAATTTTTAAATACTACTCATAAAATATATCAAAGTTTTTAAATACCTAAAAAATTTTATTTTTTTTACAGAAAAATTATAAAGAATCAAAAAATTGAATAAAATCTTACCAACACTGGAGTTCGAAGCACTTTGACCCGGAATGTAGCGTCCACCCGATGTGAATGGGTCACCGTAGTCTCCACTGGAAGAAGCCGTTTGACCTGGAACGTAACGGCCGCCTCCAGTAAATGGGTCAGCGTAGGCGCTTCCTTGAAGACCCTTGAGTTCAGGTACGTTCGTTTGTATGTGTCGTACTAATTGTGGAATAAATGCGATAGGAAGCTTGTTTTGTTCACAACACCTCTGAGCAGCCATATTCGGATCTTCGCCTACGTTATAGCTGAGGAAGAATGTGTTGTTCTCTGAGGTTGAAATTTCGAACTCGTAGTCAGCTTTCTGAAAAAAAAAAATTTATTGCTTCCGATAAAAATTATATCCTTTTTAAAAACATAATTGTTAAACCACACTTACTCCTGGCTTTACAACCGCAGGCTTGGTCGACTTAAACTGCTCAAAATTCTTTGCTTCCGGGATATGGGTCTTGATATAGTCGACAATTTCATTCAAGTAAGAAATAGGAAGATTATTTTGCTAAAATATATAACTATAAAATCAAGAAATACCAATAAATTAACAATAAAAACAAAATTACTAAACCAACCATGTTAAATTTCAACTTACCGTCAGAAAATGTTTCGCCGTATCAATGGGATTTTGACCTTTTGTATATACTAAATCCAGCTGCCGACCAGAATCGTCCAATGACACTTTAATAGTAACTTTATCTTGTTGTTCAGCTGCTTTGGCAGCTACTTCTTTGGCAATAAACTCGGACACTTCCACTTCAAATGCAGCTTCTACTGGTTCTGGAGCTTTTCTTTCTGGATCCATCGAGAAGACATAAATAAAACCGTTGCTAAAAAAGAAAATATAAAATACAAAAAATATTACTTACTCAGCAGCTACTACAAAATCTCCATTTCTCATGCTTCGAATAGACCATAAAGAAACGGCTGGTATTCTGACCGGCTGTAAAAATCGCAAAGCTGAGTTTTCAGCTTCCAATGAGTAAACCTCAATATAACCACGTTCACTACAAGATGCAACAAACGAGCGGCCGCAAGGATGATTTATCAAAACCGTACTGAAAATAATCAAAATTTAATTAAAAATTTTTCACTTTAACATAAACAATAAAGAAGAAAAGTTATTAATCTTTAAAATAAACCAACTTACGAATAAATAAATTCGCCATGGTAAGAATCGTAAGCTTCCAGACACTTTCCACTATCTGATGACCACAATCTCAAGGTACTGTCATTTGCCGACGAAATGATATTTCCGTTAGAGAGCACAATAACAGAACGAACAACATCTTGATGTCCTTCCAACGTCTTTATACATTCGTTACCACGCCATAGCTTTATAGTACGATCGGCGGATCCAGTCACAAAACAATCTGTTTGATGTGGGACAAATTCCACCGCCCATACAGAATGTTTGTGGCCATTCAGAGAGTAAATTTGGCTAGACTGACCCGCCAAAGCCTTCTTGAGGTCTGTAACAACAGCTTTAGCATCCCAACTGCCGCTGATACATCTTCCAGTCGCATTGTCAACCCGTAGAGCGCACACTAAACAAATCACATTAATTTTAAAAACCCTACGTAACAAAAACTTTTAAAATACAACCGTACCATTCATATTGTGAGCCTTGATTACAGCAACTGGCTCTGCGCTTGTTGGCGAAAATAAAGCAATCGTCCCATCCTTACGTCCACAAACTATAAATTCCCCGTCACTTTCAGTTTCATAAAACGCTACCGAATTGACATGTTGACCATTCTTAAATAAGGCTTCCTGTGCATACCCGTTCTCCCTACAAAATAATGTCACTCTTAGTTTCATATTAACAAATATCGTTTATAAAACCTCTCAAAACATCAAACACTGAAGATATTATCCCCAATCATCTTTCATTCAAACCTAAAATCAAAAACAGAAAGAAAAACACCTACTTCAATACCCACATCTTTGCGGTTTCATCCCTGCTGACCGTTGCTAAATGTCCTTGAGTTGTTGGTTCCACTGCCTTTACGTCCGACGAATGGGCCACAAAATTTTGCCATAGATGAAACTGTGTAGCTGCTGATTCATCCATCGTTATTTGTAGAAAAAAGCGTATTTACAAACGATATTTGACGTTGGACAAAATTATATTTGAAAAAAAAATTCAAATGTTTTTTCTTCATGATTTTTTCGATCATCCATTTTTTCGAACTGCGTCCTCAAAATAAAGTGAGCGTGCGACCAGCGGCATGGTTTAAGGCGTTTTTATACGGCAAATACTGTTTTTTCAAGGAATATTTTCAAAGAATTTTTAAGATGTTTTTCATAGTAAGTTCAACAAGTTTTTTATAGTTTATTAGCTGAAATAAAACACAAAAGTAAATCATTTACAAATTTGTGGGTTTTTGAGGTTTAATAAAACTAAATTTGAGTAATTTAGAGGTTGTATTTTTGTTAGATTGTTTCTGTTTGACGTTTGATGGCCAAGACATCCTAAACAGAACATTTTAGTACCATAATAGAAAGCAGGCCAAAGTAATAAAAAATTTATACGATGACAATATATAATTATAAATTTTCAAATAGATGATGAATGTTATTACTTAAAATTCTGGTTTTTTACTAAAAATTTACTTACTTTAGCTTTTTCAATGGAGTTTTTGATTTCACATAATCTGTTAGTATCTACAATAACTGTTTCAGGGAATTTATTAAGGCTCAGTAAACTGTTCTTCAGCTTCAAAGCGATTGAAACCAGCTTCATGGAGGTGAAGTTCAGCTCGTTGATTTCGAAACGAATGTTCTGGACGTAATTTTCGAGTATGTTGACATCACTTTGCCTCACTTCAAATGTAGATCGATAAGGGATTTCCGGATTCGATGGGTTTGTCATTTTTGCTACAACTTATTTTTTAAACCTTTACAAATAGTTAAGAACAGGGTGGGTAGGCAGCTAGTGTAACTTAAAAACGTTGACTGGATAAAAAACAGCAAAATATATATTAGTCCTATGAAGTAGAGGCACTATAACTAGAGTATTCGAGCGCAAGACAGGTGCTGTCGCTCGACGCACATCTGTTCTTCTTGTCGCGAATTTTAGAGCGCGGTCTGTCGGGTTAATAATGCCATTAAGAACCTAGGTCCTTAGCTCTAATGTAACTCTAACTAGTTGTAAAAATTTATTGTAAAATTTTTAATAGCAAGAAGGGGTGACTTTCGTTTTAAAACAGTTTTTTCAAAAAACGGGCATGACAGCACTGTACTAAAAACAAAATAGCCAAAATGAAAGAAACCAGACCAAAGAAATAATCAATTTTATTCAAAACAAGTCGTCAGATCACTTTTCCAACGACGACTTTTTAACGTAATTCTTCAGTGAGATTTCCTTGTCCAGCTCGGAGCTTGAGGTGTCATGGAAAGCGTCCTCTTCTGACAACGGCTCATCGTCAATGTCCTCGTGACAAAAGCTGGCCATGGACTTGGATGGTTGGCGTCCAACTGCAAATCGAATATTAAAAAAATTTAATTAAAAAAAACTTCATTATGATGCCTAAACTTACCCTTGTCTCCAGCCGGTTTGTTCATCTTTGCCAAATGGTCAACAGTACTTTCATGCGGCATAAGCATCATAGGGGCGCGGAAAAAGTAGAATGCTGGGTAGTAGATCAAGTTGTACGGGCTAGCCGCGTACAAGTCAGCATAACGTTCCACTTGAGTGGCAAAGAACGTAGTTCTTGATCCTGATCTGAACAACGGGCCCAAAACACCGTAGGCTTGGTCCATTTCGTGAGTCAGATTCTGAAAGTGGTTTTATAGAGTGGCTAAGGGTATGCTATGGTAGTCTAAGGTAGATTAAAAGTGGAATGTGGTATAGTAGGGCAAAACCTACTCTGATAGCCTTAACAGCCTCTCCGATTTCATTATGAGCCAAATTTGCCGAAGTTGCGTCCATATTCTTGTACAATTTGGCCAGTTGCACATCGAGTTGGGCCAAACGTTCAAACAGACCATGGCGTTCCGTCCAGATAGTCAGCTCATGTTCAATCTCAGGTACAATTAAGAATGTTCGCCACCCTGAAGTTTTTTTTGGTTTAAAAATTCTCAGAAAGTTAAAAAAATTGCAAAATAAAAAAAAATCAATGCAAAACATACCTCGATTCTTTTTTGACCTTAACACATCACCAAAGATGTGATCTCCAATGTACAGTACGTCTTTTCCTCTGGCTTTGAGCATTCGTCTGAAGGCATCGCACGATCCGCCAGCGTACACTTGGCCTCTTTTCAATGGTCCTGTATGCATTCCGAGTTTGAGTACGCCAGTTGAAGTATCGACTTGTCGAAATACAGTACCCTCTGCGAACCAATGAGGTTTTTTGGCATCGACCACTGAAATATCGAAAAATTCGGTCCAGTTTGAGCCTAGCAGATATGTCATCACTCCCTAAAATATAAAAGTATTGTTATATTAGAGTAGGACATGTTGGAGTAGGGTAGGGTAAAACTAGATATATGGCATGATAAATATTTGAATTGCCACACAAATGTTTTACCACAAAAGTCATTAATTTTGCTTACATTAGTATAGCTGTATTCACTGTTAGTCAACAAGAAAGTCTGTCCATGGCGACGCAGTTGCGGCAACAATTGCTTGATTCGTTCATCTTTTACCACATATTGGTCAATGTTCTGCAACACGTGTTGTTTCATCGAACCTTCAGTGTGCACCCAGTGAACGGCATCAGTCAAATCTTTGGCAAACGACTTGTACGACATGATAACATCATTCTTTCGTACTCCTGTGCGATCTTGGAGACTGAAAAAGATTTTTTTAAATAAAAATGTTTAAAAATATTAAAAAAATTATCTTTAAAAATTTTTAAAAGTAGTATTATTAGGTGCCGACATAAAGCACCCGCCATTATTTACAGGAAAGTACAAGCAAAGTACGGCGGGTACTTTATGCCTGCACCTACTACAAAACCTACATCTTGTAGTCTGGATTGGTATCAAAGTAGTCCACCAACGAAGCCAACAAGTACGTATCGGGCATGTTGAACAATGTATTCAGTATGATGACACGACTGTCGTTCAGATGCAGAAACTTGTTTGGATACTGTTCCTCGATTTCGTATGGTTTCATAAAATGAAAACCATGAACACCGACCAGTATATTGCCAAAGCCATCAACTTTCAACAGGTTGCCAAACTGCATATCGAACCATAACCCACGAACCGGGAAATTGGAGTTGTAGGTCAAGCTACGGAGCTGCTCGGGGTAGCCAATGTCGATCATACGACTGATAGTACGACTGAACAGCATGCCTTCGTATGCAGGGGATTTATAGTCTAAAAACGGCTGTGTGTCAATAGCGCAGTGGAAGATAGGCCGAAGCCCAAGTCTAACACTAAGCCTAAAGGTAAAATCTAAGCCACGTTTAAAGTCAAGCTTAAAAATAGGCTTAATTCTAAGCCTGAAAACAAATGTTAAAACGCCCAAGTTAAGATTAAGAACTTACTAGCTAACGTGTAATCCATATCAAATCCGAAGAACTTCATCTTTTCCAAACGCAACGATCTACCCACAAAGATCCGCTGGCTGGGATCGTGCTTATACGCGTTGGTCTGGGGTACCAATGGTGCATTCACGTTCTGCTCGCCCGTCGCTGTCGCCACATCCGTGGTTTGGGTGGCACGCCCGCTGGAAACAGACATTTTTGATTAGACCTACTGGTCGAAAGTTCAATCTATGACAGCAACTGTGTTTTTGGCATCTTCGTGAGGAAATGGGTTTTGTAACAAGGAAAATTTGCATAAAATATTCAAAAATTTTTAGAAAAAAAATTTTTCAATTTGAAAAATGAATAACTAATTCTGAATTTTTAGTATAATAAACTAAGCTTACGGAACTTTCAAGTGATTTCCATTTGCACTGTGGTTCTCAGTGTCGGGTGACAGCCGGCTGGGCTTTCTGGACGACACCGTGGAACTAGAAGATCGTGTAGCTTCTTGTGCTAGATATTTGTCGCGTGCGGCTGCGAAATCAGCACGTTTTTGAGCTGCGATCGGCGAATTTGACCAAAAGTCTGGTACTTCTCGGCTAGTCGGATGTGTAATTGGGTTTGGCGAGACTGAGCTAAAACGACTTTAGAGATGTAGGTTATATAGTTGAAATATGTTTTAATAAAAGACGTAATTCGTATTTTACATTTAAATTAAATAATGAAATAGGGGGTCGACATAAAGAAACCGCCATACTTTTCCTGTAATTTCCTGTAAAAAATGGCGGGTTCTTTATGTCGGGGCCTAATAACGAACGTTTACGATTTTTTAATTTTCCAGACAAATTTAAAGAAGCACAAAAGTTCGAAAAGGTGACAAAAAAGATATCTGTCGCTAAATTTCTTCGCATCAGGCCATTTATAAAATTAAGGACTTAAGCGTTAATCTTTAAAAAATACACTTAAATATTATAGTAGTTTACTGTGTTTAAACGTGAGCCAAAAACAAGCCTAAGTTTTAAAATTGAATGCACTTGCCAATAACAAACTTATATAATCTTTACATTCTAAGACTAAAAAAGTCCTTATCATCTAGGTTAACTTGTCTATGTTAACTTTTAAGTATTCCTAATATAATCCTAAACTAAACATTGTTATCATCTTACCGTGCTCTCCATCTAGCATCCAGTAGAGTAGTTATGTGTGTAGGCTGCCGTCGGTGATAATTGTGAAATGCCATTTGATAAACCTGTCAAATATCTTAAAATGTTAACTATTACAACTTCTGATAAAATGTAAAAATGTCTTACGACAAAATATAGAAAACACTGTGAAAGTTCAAAAAACGTTTCCAAAGCTTTTTGCTTAATGAAACGGCCAAAAGTAATCAAAAAGTGGCTTGGCGGAGATTTTATTTGTCCTGGGTGAGTTCATGGCTAGATCATAGCTTTGTTTACATATTATAGAGGTGTTTGCGCAGTTCAAGTTTATTTCCGGTTTAATCAGATTCTTGATCCGAGATGGTGACGTGAGTCACGTTTGGTAGCAATTGATGTGGCGGAAGGGGGGGGTTTAATCACTAATTGTTTTATTTTCACAGAAAATTTTTTTAGTGAAATAAATTCAATCTTTGATGACACATGATGACATAAATGACACTTACGTTTCACATTGATATTTTAATTTTGTATTCGTTTTTATATAAATATAATACATGTTTAAGCGTATTACAAACCACAAAAGCGCTTTTTAAAAAATGTAAAAAAGTCATTAGAATAATATAAACAATACATTACAATGAATATTGTTTAACCATGTATTATTGATTTTTTGATGTATTTATAGATTTAAAAAAATTTTTTTTAATTAACTGTTTTAAGTTGTATTAATGACGTCATTTTAAAAGTAAAAAAACGTGGGCAGTAAATACAGTGTTTCATTTGAAGTAAAAGTCAAAATATTAATTATGTCAGTCTCGTTAAATTATATGTTTTTCTTCACAACGTTGTTTGTGTTAATTATGTACACAGATGCATGTTACATATAATTTGGGTCGCATATATGAGCAATTTTTTTTCTTGTTAATTACCAAAAAGAACATAGGCTGTATATACGCTTGTCTTTGTGTAGGGTAGTTATCGATAAGACAATTTTTAACTTTTTTTGCTAAAAAAGCCTTTTAACGCTTCAAACCTGAAGATAAAACACGAGGTACCGTCGTTCAGACAAAATAAGTCATTTCCTTTGTCCTAGCACCCTTACTTTTTGTCTGACCACGTGTAGACTTTTTATTTTTGTGGAACGCGAAAAAACAACTACATTACGTTTCTCACTTTTCAAGGTTGTTTTTTGGCGATGTTTTTGTAGTCCCAAATACAATTTGGATATTGTAAAGGGCTGAAAGGGTGGGGCCATGGTTAGATGCCGAGCGAGAGAAGAAGGTTATAAAAACGTTTTTAAAAAGAGTTGAGTAGGGTTTTTCATATTGATTCTCGAAAAAAAATTAACATGTCTTCTATCTGAGAATCAAAAAAAATTTTTACTTCATCAAAACAGACAGCACGGCACTGAATAGGGAAAGTTCCACAGCTAAAGAAGTCTAATAAGGAAAGTTCCACAGCTAAGCAAGTCTAAGCAAATACGCCATGTTTTTTTCAAAAAGCAATAACAACTTACTAGCAGTCGAAAGAAAAGACCGTTTAGTTCGCTGAGAATGAGGACATGGAAGCGAAAGATTAGGGGCGCCGCTGAGGGCGTTATAGAAGTTGAGAGGTCGGGAAGAGTTGGTTCAACTGCGTCCCCGCCAATTCCCTCAATTTCCAGCTCTTTTTTTTAAAGGGCGCACGTTTTGATCAATCTTTGAACTAATTTTATTCATATTTATAACAAGTTTATCATGTATCAGTCAAATTTATTCATTTAATTGATAATTGATTTTTATATTGTTATTTATGGGCTTTTTGGAAAATTTTATTTGTTTATGCGAGCTTTAAAACAGTTTGTATGATAAATTCGTTTAAAGGGGTTTAAATTCATTTTTGATAAAAGCTTAACGATTTTTTGATTAAAAAATGTCTCAAACTGTAATATCAATAAAGGTAACATGGATTTTAGTCTAGCAAGAAGTCAAAAGAGAGTTATAGTTATTTTATATTTTAAAAAAATCACCTTTCAACAATTTTTCAGCATTAGTTTATGGTGCCGACATAAAGAACCCGCCATTTTTTACACTAAATTACAGCAAAAGTATGGCGGGTTCTTTATGTCGGCACCTAATACAAATTGTAGCAAACGTTTTTACAAATTTGTATGAAACTTTTTGTCGTTAAAAATCTTTTTGTAATTGTATTACGAGTTTTAATTACCTTCATATAAAGCGACGTATAATCCGAAATGGAAAGAGCATCGGATTAAATTGGTGTTCATGTCGGGAAATTCTGGAAAAACAGACGTAATTTATGGGCAAAATTATTTTTTAAGTAATATACATTATGTTGATTATGGTTCTTTTAATTCAAGGGTTGGAGTAGGGTGAGTGAGGAGTACGAAGTATTACAGTAGAAAAAACATAAGGGCAGGGTATGGTACGGTAGGGTAAACTTAAATTTTTTAAAAAGCAAATATTATAAATTTTACAAAAAAAATATTAAAAATGTAGTTTTTCTACTCATTAACGACCTTTAAGCAAACTATCTTTATAAAAACAACCTGCGCTTCAAGGCCGACTTTTAATTAGGTTCTCGTTCTGGTTTTGTTACTTATTTTTGATGGTTTATCACCAACTTTGCGTCTCACACAAACTTAATATGTTTGAATTTAATTGTTATAACTTGCTGTTGCCGCTGGTTTGAGGTCATAGGCTGTGAAGGGTTGTGCACTTTTAAATTCCACTTAATGTTGTTTGAAGTTGTCCTTCGAAATTTACAATACAAATAAAGGTTATTCCATTGTACTATTGTCGTCTACATAATTGTTTAAGAACTCAAAAAAGTATTTTAAAAGTTTTTTTGGAAATTTTTTGGAATAATTTTTGCAAATAAAATAATCGAAAATTGTATTTTTGTTTAAAAGTATGTTTTCAAATACTATTAAAAACAACTTGCTGTTAGATTGAGTTATGCTACAAAAACAAGTTGAATAATGTTATACGTGAGCAGGTGGAAAGACAAACATTATCACGACGGTTTAATGTGGTATAACATTATTCGTTTCTTTAAATGTCATTTCTTAAATTTTACTACCTTGGGCAAGGCTGGATTTAAGGGTCTAATAGGGAAGGGTTATGTAGCTTAATTTAATAGTAAAGTCAGATTGTGTTAAAGAATTTTGTAGTAGTGAATGGTTTAAAGCTTTTTAAAGACTACAAGTCATTTTTGGATACAAACAAGTCAATAACAAACCGTTTCAGAAGTCAAAAATCAGTCTAAAAGGGAATTGTTTATCATATATAAACTAATATATTACTTTATACCGCCGAAAAATCAAAAATAGATATTATATTGCTTTACAAAGTATATAAAGCTGTCAATCTCAGACAATATATTACTTTATACAGTAGAACCGTGAATTCCAGATAACATATTGCGTTATTCAGTAGAGAAGTCAAAAGGAGACCGTCCAAATTATGACTATAAATTACCCTGCCCGTCTTTCCCTTGCTTCCTTTTGACTTTGTTTACTTGTTTTCACTTTTTCTTTTAAAAATTTTTAATTTCATTGCTTATGGACTGGGAGCATGTTTTTTCGCTTAGAACTGAAAAAGTTCCGGATAATCCTTAACGTTCCATTTTTTAGTGTCTCAGAGCTTATTAATATTTTGCAATGTATAATTAAATGACAATTTATTATTACTCGAGAGAAGGGTTTAATTAAAGCCTGAGACTAACAAGTACAAGTAATATAAGATTGAAGTATTGGGAATAGGAGAAGGATGTCTTGTAAAGAAAGTTCTTGCCATTTTATAGTTAGAATCAAAACTTCTTTATGTTTCTATTTTTTCCGTTTGCTTCGGAGTCCATGAAGACTAACCCTTTTTAAAACAAATGATTGTTGCGTTTGAAATTTAAAAAAACTCGCATTAATTTGATTAAAACTTTTCGCGATTCTCTTATCAAGTGTTTATATAGGTTTTTTAGTTTGATCACACGGGGGAATGATTTATTCTGTGGTATAAATGCGGTTTAAACGATGCAAAAATGCTGGAACCTGCTATTGTTGTGGATTTGTATGATAGAGCAGTTTTTAGACGGCCACGGCTTTTTGTAAGTTTTTCAGTTTTTTTCAATTAAAAATAAGGTTAAAAATAAAAATTTAATTATATAATTTTAAGAATTAGCGATAACTGTTAACATTTTATTGTTTTCAGACCAAAACCAGCCTCAACACCGGCAAATATAAATAAATATACCTTTATCACGCAACAATCTTATGACAAATTTCTAGTATACCTCGGTAAGTTTCCACAAAGAAAAATGTCCTGCCCTCCCTTCTCCTACAATCAAACGATACTGTATTTTACTCCCCCTCCCTACCTACCATATTATACGCTAAATCATTAAAGCAACATTCCAGATGATACATGCCAAGTGCCTGAACAACATAACGCTGATGTCACGGTGAACCACGTAGATGATAGGTATTTCGAATGGGAACAGTTCAACTTCAACAAAGCTTTGTTACATTACATTTTCCCCGGAACTGAAGAATCCAATTTTGCGAAAATTTTGAAACCAGATCAGTTGAAAACTTTGGATGACAGATTTTTCGTTTCCGAATTACCAACCAATTGTACCAGTAGTGAGAATGATTGGACATTCACGGCTAAAGAACCGGACGTTTTTCAGGATAATTTGATTAATTGGTACGGTTTTAATATTTTAATTTGTAAAGAAATTTATAATTACAAAGGAACAATGTAAAAATTTACTATGACTTTCCAGTGCACAACCCCATTTAAAATCATTTTTCAGGGTATTCAACACAGACAGAGAAAATTATTAATAAACTCTACCATTCGTCGTCTGTTCGTCCAGTACTATTTGAATATATACCTTATTTTTACGTATCAAACTGTGCATCAGGTTATCGCGTGTAGAAACCAACATTTACCTCGGCTTTCTCAAGTTACATTATTATTTAGTAACATTACATTTTTTGTAGTAATACTACAACTTTTAGTCTATGCGTATTAATACTGCTCTTTGTACGTGTCATTCTGTATTTTATATTGCTCCTAGTCTAAAACTACATTTGAATTGAGTTTATTAACATACGTTTTTTTGAAATAAGTATGGGCAACAATTGTGATGTCTAAAACATCACAACATTGCTTTTTAAATTCAATTCTAATGTAGTCACGCTTGTCACATATATCTTTCATGCCAAAATTCGAAATGAAAACAAATATTGTTTACTTTACTTTAATAATAAAAACGATTGTAAATACAATATTTTTGGTTTGGTTACCCATAACAGTTTTAGGTATAAAAACTAGCTAACATTTAACTGAATTAAAATCGATGTTGTAGTATAAACAAAAAACTGCTTACAAAACAACAATAGATTGATTTTTAATTCAGACGATGTCAGCTAGACCGACAAATATAAATTAAAATGTGTCCAAAGACACTGCAGATCATTGCCTAGTTAGATCCATCCTTAGAGACTTCGAATGGTTCAGTTGGAATCTCACCAGAATCGGCAATAACAACATCGCGTTCTGGACGGTCTCCTGGCAAAGTGCGGGCGCTCTCGATGGCACGAACAACATCCATACCTTCCAAAACCTTTCCGAATACGACGTGACGGCCGTCCAACCATGGAGTCTTGACGGTGGTGATGAAGAATTGTGATCCGTTAGTGTCACGACCGGCATTGGCCATGGACAGGAAACCTGGGCCATAGTGAGACAGTTCAAAGTTTTCGTCTGGGAAACGTTCGCCGTAGATTGATTTTCCGCCGGTTCCATCGCCGCGGGTGAAGTCACCTCCTAAAAGATTCAAAATTTAATTTTTGATGGTAAATAACACGTAGATTTTAATAACGTAGAATATTATCCATGAATCTAATAAAAACCTAAATTTAAACAAAATGACGAAAACCACTCACCTTGAATCATGAAGTCCTTGATAACACGGTGGAATTTGCTGCCCTTGTATCCGTATCCCTTTGATCCCTTTGCAAGTTCGAGGAAGTTGGTGGCAGTCTTTGGTACGACATCACCGAACAGACCGATCACGACACGTCCCTTCTTTTCACCTCCGATTTCAATATCGAAGTAGACCTTCTTATTGACGGTGATAGTGTCCTTGGCCTGGGCCATGTAGAAGACGCCCAAAAGGGCCAAGATGGCTAACACTTTCATCCTGCAACAAAAATTGATTAGTAAACTAAAATAATATGAATTTAAAAGATTTAACAATGTAATAAACCGCGAAACACACACCAATCAATATTATGTTATCTAAACTATGTTTTTCAGCCAAGGCCAACTTAACGATAAAACAATATAAATATTTTAAAGAAACAAACTATAAAGCAATCAGTCGTACTGAAAGTTAGTCGTCATGAGCAGTCAACTAAAAAGCTTAACAAACTAGTAAATTAAAGTTAAATTAAATATTAAGTGAACATAAAATGATAATTTACCCTGTAAAAAACCACTTCTTACATCTAACTGAAGTTATCCACGTTTTTCGATTGTTTTTGAACGGTTTCTCTATCGTTAACATCTAGAACAAGAAAACTAACACTTAGAAACAGTTTTACATTCAAAACTAAATCTAGCCCAATTTGAATAAACTCAAAGCCAATTTCAACAGAAAGCTTTAAACAATACCTATAATTATATAACAGACGGCTTTAGTCTCAAAAGGAGAAGTGTGTAGTTTCAATAAAATTTATTATTTTTCTGAAAAAATAACAATTCTCTTGCAAGAAAAATATTTTTGTTTAGGCAAAAATCTTCCAAATAAATTTCCGTCGTATTAGATATATTTATACGCAGTGCGCCTACATTAACCATCTATCTGCCTACATGACCACTGTGTAAACTCCCCACAAGACCTACACACTCTCGAGAATGACCCACACACCACCACAAAGGTGTTCAATTGGCAGAGAAGCAAAAAAAAAGAGTGACACGTCACAAGTTTTCGCGTTGCATTTTACCGTTTCGAAAAGGCGAAGAAGGGCCGAGGAACCCCGAGAATTGAGACCCTTTATATACTCACAAATGACCATGACCCTGTTCTCGAGATTTACTCTTCAACGCCTTTCGAACTTGACTGCTAAGATGGTTTTTCACTCAAAATCCCCTTGTCAATAAAACGAGAAGTGTCAATAAAGGTTAAGAAACGCGTGAATCTCTTCTCGCGTCCTTATCTCGACTTTACGGATAAATCATAGCATATAAATGACCTTTGATTCCTCTCACAGCACGTAAAAAGACCAAGAAATTTCACGCTGAGATAGAACAAGATTTATTCACGTTGATACGCGATGTTTTTAACAGCTGCATCTGTGACACAGATACATCAACATTGGAGATCACGATAACATTTCCAATTTTTGGTATTTAAGATTCAAAAATGTTTAAAATGGACCAACATCACTCTGACCTCACATTGTGTTGACTATTCTATATAAATAAACAAAATCTAGCAGAGCTTGTCCACATCAATCAAAGTTTTAAAAAATCATCAGTTTACAAAAGCGTCATTAAATAGCAAGCTGAAATTAAACATTTTGATCTTGCTTGCGAAATAAACAAAGAAAAATATGCGTCTAGAACCAATTGTTCAATGCCAAAATTATAAAGCAATAAACTATGATTTATATTACCATAGTTTATTGTGTTTTTTGTCCAATCAAAAGCTAACGTTTTTAAAAAAATATTGCGTGATCAATCTTATTATACCTTAACCTTTTGATATTTCCATACTTTTCAAAACTAACCTAGTTTTGTGCAAAAGTGTAAAGAATCCCAATGAAAATATCAAGGTTGTCAAATTAGGTAACTGTTCAACCTGTTTTCCGAAACGACCTTTGTGGCTACTATTATATTAAACAACCTTTGTGGATAAGTTCTTACACAATAACTTCACAAATATCTATAAAAAACCAAGCTAAAATACTGAAACATCAAAACTATCACGGCAAACAACCTCAAAATCCATTAAAAAAGTAAAATTTCACGAAAAATATTATTCTATATTTTTTCCGGGCGTTAGCGGATGGTTCGGAACCGTTGACAAGATGGCCAACACAGAAAACGCTGCCCAACCACCAAAAGGAAAGAAAGATAGGGAGATTATCAACCCCGGAAGCTTGCTCGAGACGGTCGAAGGAAGCTATGAAATAAGTTCCCAAAAAAATTATTCTTCGGTCTTCTAGACCCAGAAAAAACCTTCGAAATTAGGCCGAAAAAAACTTTTCTGTAAAATTTATAAAACGGACAATTTATACGAGGGCGCAGTGCGCGTTGACCAGTTATAAAAACAAAATCCTGTAATAATTTTTTTTGCAACTTTGGGCCTGACCTTTAATGCCAATATTTTAGATATGTCAACTTTTGGGATCTGGAGGTTTTGGAGATGTGTATTTGGTCAAGAATGTCAAGACGAACACTGTGGCAGCGATGAAGACGGAACGACAAGGAGTTGAAGAAGGCCGTCAACGCTTGTCGCTTGAAGTCATGATTCTTATTGGAGTAACTCGACTTCCTGAGCAAAAACGGGCACATTTTACTCGGTTGATAACTTATGGTGGGTTTTATTGTTTTGTTATTTTTACGTATTATTTATTCTGTTTTGAAGGTTAATATAATTTAGTGATGAAACAAAAAATTTTTAAATTTAACTATTTTCAGGTCAGAATGACATGTTCAAGTTTTTTGTGATGTCGTTGGTCGGAAAAACGATTAGTGACTTTCAACGACAACAGAAGGACAACACTTTTAGCGTGGATTTGGCTGTCAAAATTTCGATTCAGTGTTTGGAGGGCCTATCGCAACTTCATGAGCTTGGATTTATCCATCGCGACATTAAACCGAACAACTTTGCTTTGGGTGTGGGCAAACAAACTGGCAATGTTATTATACTAGATTTTGGAATAGCGAGGAGGATTGTGCACAAAAAGTTGATTGATATACCGAGGTAAGTTTGCGATTTGAAGTTCAATACGATAAAAATCTAGCCTCCACAATATGTGTATAATACTGTTTTCTAGAAAACCCCGTGAAGTGGTAAAATTCATTGGTACGTTGCGGTATTCATCAAGGAATTCTTTGCGAATGAGAGAGCAAAGCCGTAAGGACGACCTGGAGTCTTTGTTTTACACGATTATGGAGATCTTCAACATTCGATCAAGCTTCTGGTGGCCCGAAAAGGACACATATGTCGTTTTGACATTAAAACAGAAGCTATTTGACGGAGAATGTAAGATGAGAAGACAATTTTTGTTTGTGTTTATTATTTTTTTTTGTAATTTTAATATTTATATTTTCATTTTTAACTTATATTATGTTTTTAGTGACACTGATGGACAAATTCCCATATGAAATGACTCGCTTTATGCAGTATGTGGACAAATTGGACTACTATTCTAACCCGAACTACGCATATCTTCGAACTTTGCTCGAAAACATTCTCAGAGGACAAGGAGTGACAAAAGAAGATGAAGAAGAACAACAACGCCGGCTTATAGAACAAACAATTTTGGATATAACACAGGAAACTCAAGACGAAGATGTTTCAGGGAATGTTAAGGAGAAGAAAAGCGATACAAAAAAGAAGTCCAAGGTGGCGAAACCGAAGAAGTCTCCGATTCCGGTGAACGAAAAAAGCTACTTTAATTCGTCGAAGTTGGCGGCTACTCAGGAGAACGACTAGTATTCAGGTTGTCGATGAAGATGTTATTGCTGATGAAGCAGAGGAGTGTAAATTATAAAAATTAAATTTTATTTGTACATAAATAATGGTAATACAAAATAGGTCAACTTTAAGTTAGGTTCGTTTCCTGAGGTCATTTGAATCAAGTGGTATACATCTGCCACACGCTTTTCGGCACACCAAGTTCATGTAGCGCGGATTCTTCTCACATTCGCCGGTATTCGACCAGAAGCTGCAAGCAGTATCACCGTCGAAGCAGCCTGGAGATTCTGATGAGAGCAGCTGAAATTTACAATGTAATTTTAGGTATGGATTTTAAGTGCATTTTATACTGTTATATTATTTTTTGGTACTTCTCTTTAAATTTATTGTTATATTACCTGTATTTAGGGACAGGCATGAGACAGGGGTACGAATTATGGTACTTACTCGTGTCCTAAAAGCATTGGCGAACGCTTTTTGAGCTCTTTCATCTGTAATTAATGGCACTTCGGTAGTTGAAAGCGCTTCTTCAGTACGTTGTACTAACGTTGTTTCGGTCGTAGTAGTGGTTGTTGTAGTACTGATGGGTGTCGTAGTAGTACTAGTGGTTGTGGTAGTAGCACTGGTGGTTGTCGTCGTACTCGTTGTGGTAGTAGCTTGATTAGTAGTACTAACAACTTCTTGAGTTTTAAAAGCTTCTGTCGTAGTGGATTCAGAAGGTTCGGTAGCAACATCATCTGTAATTCCAGTAGCTTGACCAACAACTTTGTCTGTAATTTCGGTAGGTTGAACGTTAACAGACGCGTCTGTTGCTTGTGTAACTTCTAATCGGTCTGTGGCAATACTAACATCTTGTTGTGCTGTAGGTACTGTAGTATCAGTACGTTCTTGAGTGTTGGTTTTTACTGTTGAGTCAACATTAGAAGCGTCTAAATCCTCTGAATTCATCATAACTAAACCGCGGAATTCTTGTGTAGCGGTTTCGACCGGCTGAACAATTGGTGCCATTGTGGTTTTTGAGCCAAAATTAGCTACTTCTAACTCAAAGCCTTCTAGACACCATTGGTCAACTAAAATAGGTATTTTATTGTATTGTAAAGGAAGTTCTTGCCGTTTTCATAAAAAAAATTGAAATTAACTATACGGTATAAAGTAATGAATTCGTCTTACTTCCAAAACAACGTGGAGTTGTCGTTTCCACATCGAATGGATCCCGTCCACAGGCTAGCTTAGTGACAGCCGGGTTGCCACAAAGTGATTCGCATTCGTTTTGTACTGATTCTTCGAAATTTAAAAATACAACTTGGTTTAGGCCTGATTCACCTGAAAATTTTTAATAAAAAGATTAGGAGGGGCAATGCTTTATAAGAGTTGAACTTTTAATTTACTTACACAAATAAGAGTTTCGTTCTAGCCAATCATAGAAATTGACCGCACCAGAAGCCTGCTGATAGCACAGTGTAGTTAACACAAGTATTACTATAGTTCTGGATTTCATTTAGGCTCTAAAACAATTTAAATCAAAATATTATTAGTTTCAACAAAACGTAATGTAAAATACGGAAAAAAATTACAAGAATCTATCTCTAAATAATATCAACCAGCTAATATCTTTATAAGGTAAAAACTGACACTTCTGTCTACACCCTTTATAAAAAATCAAAAAACTGTATCTTTTTCTCAATGTGTAATGAAAAAAAAACGGTAGAATGACCAAAAGTTTTTTTTTCATTTTTTGCAACTCATCGACCCGCAGGGCTCAATGAACGAAAAACAAAAAGTTTTTTTGTTCCGTTTGTTTCATTAAAACAATACCGGTTTGATTGTAGGCGAGTTAACGCACGATGTGACAAATAACTGTCTGTGGTTTCACTCACCGACAGTTCAATAGGTTAATCACATATTGTCTTTATTAATTTTGGAAGATATATGACGTAAAACATAAAAGAAGGTATTTTATGATGACAAGGTGGGTCTTTTATGAAATTTTGTCCTATAGAAGGGGGGGGGGGGGGGAGGAGTAAGGAAAAAATTTACTAAACCAAAGTTCTTTTGTTATTTGTAGAAACAATGTATTTAAACTTTTACAAAACCTTTTTTTGTATTCTTTACGTGTTTGTCTTACTACTTTTTCTACTATAGTTGAGATTTAAATCCAAAAATTGCTGTTGAAGGTAAATAACTACAATTAGTTGACTTCTTAGACTTGTACTTATAGTCTTACTAACAAAGAATTTGGTAAAAAACAAAAATAAAAAAATTTTAAATAACCCCCCCCCCTCCCTTCACTTGAATATCCCCCACGCTTTCTTATTTTACATACGGTAAACCCATGAGACACTGGTAACGTTATGTTTTTATGACAAGGTAATCCCGGTTCCACTAGGCTTATATTCTTTCGAAACGTGAAGACCTATATATATAGAAGAATACCTTCTACTGAACAGTTTACTACAAAATAAGTCAACTTTGAACTTGTAAAAACACCGTTTTGACGTTTACGACTTTAGAAAAACCGCGACAGTTAAAAAATTTCAACAGGTATATTACTCAACGTAAAACAGTACAGTAATATTAAACAATGTAAAATAATATACGTTATGAAGTGCATCTCTAACATACATTATGAAATGCACCTTATCTTACTTTCGACGTAGATGACTTAAAACGGCAGGCGCAGACTACTTTACAGCCTTTGTATATATGTTCTGGAACTTGGCCGATGACGAATCAGTCAGGTTTCAAACATTTTAAACTGTCAAAAAAGTTTTGTTGTTTTAAGACACGGTTGAGTTGTTTTTTTACACGTTGACGCGCGGAAACGGTAATTGATAAGGCTAGCGTAAATTGGCGTGGGTTAACAAGGTTACAGAGTTTATTACAAACTGCTTTAAACTAAATGAAACAAAATGCAAACAACTATACGATATAAAGTTGCAAAACTACTATAATATACTTATGAATCAAAAATCAATTTAAAATTTTTAGAGTAAATAATTATACTGTAATATTTAAACATAGGACCATACTGATGAGTATCATGAACATAAACTGAAATATAGATACGTTCAACAAAACGTAATGTAAAAGGATAGTTATAAAATAAATAATAAGATTAGTTTCACATTTCCTCCGAATCAGAATCTTCCACAGATTCGCTGGATTCAGAACTTGATTCGCTACTGTCCTCCTTGTAGCTTATAGCTGCAGCAGGGCGTTTTGTACCTCTAAATGGGGTAGGTTTGGTGTCTTTTGGATCAGGTTTAGCAGGTTTTGCATTAGTACTTACATCAGTAGTACCATTTTTGAAATCAACCACTTTGATATCGTCATCTGAATCTTCGACGGAAGAATTTACAGCCTTTTTGGTCTTTGGTTTACTAGGCGACTTTTCAGCACTGCCTTTTGGCTTGTTGTTCGATTTTTCAGTACTAGCTTTAACTTGTGTTTTTGGTCTGGAGCTTTTTGTTGTATTTGTAGCACTGGTGCTAGGTATTTCGTCTATGTCATCATCGGAAACTACGACATCAGAATCCTCGTCAGAGATGTTAACAGCTTTTTTCTTTTTGCTTGACTTTGCTGGTGTACTAGCTTTTTTGGACGTAGGCGTACCAAATGTACCATTTTTTGTCAAATTTGCGCCGTTTTTATCCGATTCTGTGCCATCTTTAGCGGGTTCAGTAGCACTTTTGGGCCTTTCGTCATCCGAATCGACCGCAAAAATGTCGTCATCGTCGTCGTTGAAAGCTTGGAAGCTTTTTTCGGCTTTGGCGGCGGCCAAACGTTTTGAAGTCGATGTGACTGGGGATGACGGTTCATCAATATCAGAACCCGCACCGTCATCAGTCTGGTCACTGTCGTATTCCTTTGCTTTCTTTGGCTTTGGTTTTGTCGGAGTTTTTGGCTAGAAGTAAGTATATTCTAACATAAATTTTATAAAAAAACTTTTTTTTTAATTAAAAATAAAAATTTTTACCTTTTTTCTCGACCGGGCCGTCCTTCTCATCCTCTTCTTTGATTTTCCTCTTCCGTGGACTTGGAGTAGAGTTAGGATCCTTGGGTTTCTTATCATACTTTTCTTTCATTGCATCCAACGTTGGAGCAACGCGAAGGGCTTCTGGGTTAGGTTTAACGTCGGTCATACCTTTGGCCAGTTTTTTGCCGGCTCTTTTGCCTGCATCATCCTTGTTCAACTTGGCTATGGCTTTTTTCAGACAGTCTTCTAGGTCGTTTTTCTCTTTCTCTTCCTGTAAAATGACATTTGGTAAAAAGCATGTAAAAATTGTATGAAAATGAAAAAAAAATAATTCTTTGAAATTTAAAAAAAAAAAAATCAAAATTAAAAATTAATTTTTCTGAAATTTAAAATTTTTTAAAAAATACCTGTTTAACCAAAGCCTCTTCGAAGATTTTTAAGTCCTCCTCCCACAAATCATGCCATGTTTTGAGCTGCAACGTCTGTAGTTCCTTCTTCATAGTTTCTGCTTCCTTCAGTAGCTTTTCTTTCTCCTCCAACGACAAACACCACAATTTCATACCCAATAAGTATTCAAAATCCTTCATTTTTGAATCGCCATGATCAACTTCCTCTTCTTCATCGTCGAACAGTGCTTCACCATAGATTTCGAGCTCCTTCTTTTTCCTCATTTCCTTCCATTTGGCTTCAGGATCAGGTTTGAAGTGATGTTTTTTGAGCTCTTGCATAATTGCAGCTTTTTTGACGTTTTCGATCTTCAGTTCGCCGTTTATCTTCATCATGATGAATCTGGCCCGTTCGCTGAGTTTTGAAGTCAACGCTTCTAGCCAGCCTTCGTTGAACTCTTTGCGCATGATATAAACCTTTCTTCTGGTATCAAAAAACTCCAGACATATCTCCTCGGGAGTGGTAAACTTTCTCAAGCATCCGTTTGCATCGAATAGTACCATTGAAGTGGTATTTATCACTGTTTGGAGCTTAAAGACCTTATGCAATCCTTGTCTTTCAGCGTATGCCAGTCTTTCTGGTGTCATTTTGACCACAAATTTGACTGTTTCTTCAGTATGATACTCCTTGAAGTCAGTAATACTCATATTCTTGTCAGTACCATCCATCATCGGCTCTAATACGTTCTCTTTGTACGGCTGTGTCCAGGTTTTGATAGGTAATTCAGTTATCTCTACTGTATCTTCGTTTAACGTAGCTATCTCACCACTGCACACAAATCGAGTATCATCCAGTTGATTAATGGTACCTTGGTACTTTTTGTACCATGGTATCATAGGTTTTTGTTCTTGGCCGCGAATTAATCGTCGTATGTTGGCAACAATATCTCGAGGATTGTAATTTGGAATTTTGGTGCTCCACGCGGTACCAATTCCTTCAGCACCATTCACCAGTACTGTAGGTATGACAGGACAGTACCATTCTGGTTCGATACGTTGGTTTTCTTCGTACAAAAATCGTAGTACGTTTTCATCGACCGCTGGGAATAGAGCTTTGGTTACCGGGTTCAGTTGGGTAAAAATGTAACGTGCTGACGCTGCATCTTTACCACCAAGTAATCTGGTACCTAATTGACCATTAGGGAGTAGGAGGTTAACATTGTTGGAGCCGACAAAGTCCTGGGCCAAGTTGACAATTGTCATCATTAAACTTTGCTGAAATTAGTATGGTTTATGAAGGTTATTGAGAAGGGAAAAGTTTTTAAAAAATGCATTTTTTAATTTTAAAACCACAAAATTTTAAAAAAAGTTGAAAAATTTACCTCTCCATGATGATAAGCCGAAGCTTCACCCACAGCACCAGCTAATTGCGCTACTTTAACTTCCTTTTTGTCAGCACGTTTAAAGCACGTGAACAGCACTTTTCGCTGGCCTGGTTTCAATCCATCTACTAGCGACGGAATCGACCGCTCATTGTCCATGTTCGAGAACAATACCAACTCTTTATTCACAAACTCGGTGTAGGTAACGGTCCTAGTGTCTTTGTCGTATAAATAATCTTCAGTTTCGCCCAATTCTCGTCGTACCTTACGATCTTCCATCCATTTAGTTAGCCATTCTTTCCTCTCCTCGACGTTCTTCTTGGCAAATGCTAATTCAACAACATGATCATCATTAGGACCGTTGTATTTGAAGCGGATTCTGTGACGTTGCATGTCGGAAAAGTACTCTTTGGCTTCTTTTGGACTTGAGGTACCCAATCCTTTGTAGTACTTGATTTTGTACGTCTTCCAGTTGTCTGTAGCGTTTCGCCATTCATGGTATTCGGGAATGGAAAAGAATGACAATTCTTCTTTGTTCTTGGTGGCTTTTATGATTGGTGTGATGAATTCTTCGAGAAAGTTGTTTTTGATCAGACTCGGCCAGTTATGATGGATAAAGTTGATTACCAGACCTTTGATGTGACTGCCGTCTTGATCCTGAAATAGTATGGTTTAGTTAGGGTAGTATAATGTAGGTAGATGTAAAATAGGATATGATAAGGTAGAATAGGACAGTGTATTACAAAAAGTAAAAAAACTGACCTGATCCGTCATGATCATGATTTTCCCATACCGCAAAGTCTTCATTTCCTCTGGATTGTTATACTTCAACTTGTACTGTAAACCAACAATCTTCAACAGTGCATTAATCTCAGCATTATCCATAATTTGTTTGTGACTAGCATCCCGTACGTTCAACATTTTACCACGTAATGGAAATACCCCATACCGATCCCGACCAACCACACCCAATCCGGATATGGCCGTGGTTTTGGCCGAATCTCCTTCTGTGAGAATTAGCGTGCACAGGTGTGAGTTCTTGGTGCCGGCGTCGTTGGCATCGTCGAGTTTTGGAATTCCACGAAGTTTCGAAGTCTTTTTGGTTGAACATTTCTTGTCTTGTTGCTCAAGTTGCTTGAATTTCACCCAAGACATTACACTTTCGACTACACCGCATTTTAAGGCTTCTTTGATGAATTTTTCGGATGGTTCGCATTTTGAACCAAAGCTTTTGGCCTGAAAAAATTAGAATCTTATTTGCCGAAACCTCGTAAATCTTAAAATAAAGCCAACCCTAATAATCAAACCCAATATCATCTCCGCAACTCATACCTGTAAAGTCATGGTCTCCTTAGTCTGTGAATCAAACGTAGGATTTTCGATCAACGCATTCACAAATATCCAAATATGATTTTTGACTTGAAACGGCTTAACAGTAATGCCACTTTTGCCAACCTTCTTTTTGATAGTTTCTATCAGTTTAGAAACGACATGATCCACGACATGATCAACATGTCGACCACCTTTAGTGGTCGCGATAGAGTTGGCAAATGAAACTTGTTGAAACCCGCGGTCCGACACGGTTAATGCGATCTCCCAACGATTATTCACAACTTCATATGCTACTTTGTAAGGTTCATTATCGTGCGTTTGGCCTTTGGTATATTGTTCAACGTACTGCTTGAAGCCTTGGCATGGTACCAATTTGTCGTTTAGGTAAACTTTGACCCCTTTTGTTGATCCAGCAACGTCAAATGCTCGACGGCACATTAGGGATACGATATCATCGTCAAGTTTTGTCATTTTGAATTTTTTTAGGTCGGGTGAGAAGGTGACTTTGGTGAAGTCGTTTGAGTCATTTTTGACGATTTGGGGTTCTTTGTCTTTTGTCATATTGTTGACCCAGGTCTGCAAATTTCAAGATATTGTAATATAATTCAAAACCAAATAAAACAGAAAGTTATATTTTAAAAAATTAAATAAAAATAGAAGTTAAAATGACTTAAAATTAAAAAATATTTAAGAATACCTGTTTAAAAGCCTTTTTATCTGCTTTGGAACTAGTTTCCAGTGTAAATTTAGTTGAAAAAATGTTACACAGCTTGGCACCATAGCCATTACGACCTCCTGTGACCTTCTTCTCTTCGTCGTTGTAGTTTGAAGAAGTCAGAAGAGTACCAAAAATCATTTCTGGTACATACATCTTTTCCACTTTGTGCATTACAACTGGTATACCTTTCCCGTTGTTCATGATTGATATTTCATTTTTGTCTCTAAAGTATTATTTTTTATTATTTTTAAAATTTTGGTTGAAAAAGCATCTTTGGATATGTATTTTACATTTTAAATGGTCAATTATTAGTTAATAAACCTACTGTTTAATGTTGATTTTGATGACATTCATTTTAGGATCACGTTGTTTGTTATCAGCAGCATTTACCAAAATTTCATCGAATATTTTGTACAACCCAGGAACATACGATATCTCACGTTGCACCAACTTGTCCTCATCCTTATCGTATACCCACATCAATTGTTTGTCACAAAACTCTACCGAGCCGATATATGTATCCGGACGTAACATGATATGCTCCAGCTGACTTTTCCGTTGATACATTTCTTCAATCGACAAGTTTTTGCCCTTGTTCTTGTCGATGCTGGTGAACACGGCCAGGTCCTCATCTTCAAGGTCTTTTGAGGCTTCTGCAGATTCTGAAAGGAGAGATATTGAGATATGATACGGGTACGATAGATTTAAAAAAGAGCCGGATACATCATTAGTGTAAGGCTTACAATAGGTAAAACAACGGTATGGCTGCGATTGGGGGGGTACACCAAATACTTACTTTTAGGGCTTTTCTTGGCAGGAGTCTTTTTTGGAGTACCATTTTCGTCAGCCTTTTTCTTTGGAGTTGTTACTTTCGCTTTCTTCGCCGACGGACCGGCGTAGTCAGACCCTGAGTCCGAGTCTGCCATTATGATGATTTCTTGGCTTTAACCTATAAATTTGTTTAAAAAAAGTCATTTTAGCCTTTTAAATGTAAATTCTTTGTTAAACAAGCCTTGCAAATAAACTTTGGCAACATTAAAGATCAAAAACACATAAAACTTTAAAACTTCTATCGAAAAAACTTTATTTTTTGCTAATAAACAGAAAAAGCCAAACAAAAACACCCTGAGGAAAATTCTCAAATTTTTTGCTAAAATAAGAAGCGTTCGCTCGAGGACGGGCGAGAGTGGCAGCGAACGGGAAAAGAGAGCGAATGACCCTTCCGAGCCCGGTCGCGGGACTTTTTTCAAGAAATATTGTGTACATAACAAGAGAGTGAAGAGGTAGCTAAAGACCAAATGAATTTTATTCTTTACAAGAAATTTGCATTTAATGTTAGGTTTAAGTAAAAAATAAAATATTGAAATACAATATTAAAAATAAAATTTGCTTTATGTTACGGTATCAAAAAAAAATTTTCTATGTTACGGTATTAACTTTATTGCACTTTGACGTCGCAATGAAACATTTTTTTTAACTTTATTGTCTGTACTTTGGCAACATCTTGCTACTGTTTGACATAAAGAACCCGCCATACTTTTTCTGTAATTTCCTGTAAAAAATGGCGGGTTCTTTATGTCGGCACTCAATACAATAATGATAAAGTTGTTTACAATTTGTCTGGCGAATAAATTATTTTTTTCATTAACTAAAGCAGTAACATGCCGTTAGTATGACAAAGTTTCACTAATTGTCAAGATCACATGCCCAACCTGCACTTTATTAAAATCTGTTTTTGAGATCAACGTTTTCAAATTTAAAGCCACTGTAACGAAAAGGCCAGACAAGCAACTTGCTCTAGTTAATCTACTAGACAAGTACTGTGAATACTAATTGATCATGACAATAACGGAAATTAATAATTGATTAAAAAGACATGATAAACATAATAATGTACATAATTGAATCGCCAGTCATATTAAAATTAAAAACATTTAAAATTTAAAATACGAATTTTTTGTCACTTTTATATTCTTGCTGCCTGGGGTAATGTACGACGGATTACGGTCTACTGGAATTTTTAGTCCCAAGATGTTGCTGTTCATTGTGATCGCCGTGAGGTAAGCCGTCTATGTTTTAGTTGGTAACCTATGTCTAGGGTTAAATTAAGGTAGGTCTAGTGCGGGGCTAAGTTAAATTATTCAAGGATATGTATAGTGAGAGCTAAATTAGGGCCAGAATAACGTCAAGTTATGGCTACAGTGAGACAAGAGTAAGGCAAATGAAACACTATTGCTAATATATATTAATTTAAGCATACTGCCACAAGCCAGCCCTTTTCTTCATCTTAATATTGCCCACAACGCCCCCTACTACCATCCTCAATACCTGGACAAGGAAAGCGAATTTTATCTATGAAACAATTAATTTTAAAAAATTTAAATTCATTATATTGTTCACATAAACCTGCGCCTCGTACCTTACAAATTTTCTTTAAGAAGGGGTGCAGAATTAAATGGACAACCTAATAGATTAAAACTAATACCCATTTACAGATTTATCACTCATTTCAATATTATTAACCTTAAAAATTTTAGCTCAAGATGGACATGACCAAATGTGCTACGAACGTTCAAAATGCATTGTTACCACACTCGGCTAGAATCTCTGTGAAGTCGTTTTTCAAAACGCCCTCAAAATCTGTTCTAGATGATCGTTTCGCCTGCCAAAACTTTGTTGTTCAGCAGTTTCAGTTGCAATGCCCAAGAATGGGATACGTAAGTTGTTACTATTCTACCACATCGTACCATACCGTATCGTACCTTCTCTTATATCATTCTGTTTTATTTCACCCTCTCCTACTTTATATTCATATTGGTGCCGACATAAAGAACCCGCCATTTTTACAAGAAATTACAGGCAAAGTATGGCGGGTTCTTCATGTCGGCACCTAATAGATGTTTCCATATACTACAGTAAACAATTTCAGGCCCAAAGTACTTCGGTAATCAGCAAGATGTTGTTGAAGTTGTGCCGCAACGAAGTTCCACAAGAGAAGATTATCATGGAGCTGATCAAAAACTGCTACTAATGTTACCTTCAAACTCATTCAGATGAACTGCTACTATCTATAACTAAAAACAATCTCGATCTACCTTATACGTATACGTTCAATCTCTTTTTATACATGTTCATCTTACAAATACTCATGAACTTGCCAATTATTGTATTGGTTCTTTCGCTTTGTTTTCGTAATAAATTTATTTAATGGCCAAGATATTGAACTAATGTAACAATGTACAGCACTTTGAAGCTGTTGAACGCAACATAGTGCCGATCTGATTTTGAAGCGCCCCCCCCCCCTTCTCCCTCGTTTTCAGAGCATGTAGCGGTTAAAAATCTCCCGCCTTCAAATAAAACTTCCTGTCCTCATCAAGATTGCACGTTGCATCAATTTCATACTGTAAAATAAAATTTCGAATTTTTTTAAATTTTTTGAAATTTTAAACTTTCAAAATTTTTTGACCTTTTACACTAAAAGTAGCAAAAATTTATCCTACTGTATCTGCACAACGTATTCATAATCAAAAACATCATGTATCAATTAATCTGTTTGATCTGTCTGTCGAAGGAATTTAATTTTCACCAAGAAAATTAAAATTTTTGTGTTATGTCAGAAGTGCATCGCGATTGTCTGTGTATCAACTTTTTGACATTACACTGAATTAAGAAAAGAAAATACTGTACAGGCAAAGCACTATAGAATAAGTATTACAATTCAAAACACAGTGGAACCTCCTATAAGAAACCTCTATACAGTGGTCTCTCTATATAGTGAACCATCTGTATAAGCGACTCTCCCTATAATAAACAAGAAATTTGGTCCCACCAAGTAAACTTGCACTAGAAAGTCTCTCTGTAAAGACAACATCCCTTATAGTAAACATAAAATGTCGGTCCCTTCGGGTTGCATATATAGAGAGAGTACTGTATAACGAAACCCCTGTATAACGAACAACATTTGAATCCCAGTCTGTCATTACACAGTGCATTTTAAACCTCTTCATAACAAACGAATTTTAATTCCCCTGACGATTCGTTATACAGAGGTTTCACTGTAAAAACAATATAAACTAAGGTAGCTCGCAATAAACATCAAAGGAGCGTTCTTTTATAAAAGAGTATAGAAAGCCATGAGAGACAAGTTAGCTAGAATAAAAAACATTCAAATAAGGCTTTTTGTTTTTTTTCGGACATACTTTTCATGTTTTAATTTTTACCTTGGTATTGTATAAATATTTTGACAAATTTTAAACATTTTTTTGTTTATATACTTTAATCATATATTACATATATATTATTTAAAATCCATGGATTTTAGTCTGAAAACGCCTATTTTAAACTATATATCGCTCACAATATACTATTGTTAATATATTATACTATATATTTACATATTCTAACGTGTAAAATCCACAAAACCTTTTTTTAAGACGCTTGACTAATAAACATTTAACGTAATTGCTGATATCAAATATAATTTTGCAATTTATTTATGAAGCTGACCAACAAACACGATATCTACAATATATCGTAGTTTTCACCTGTTTTAATTGATATTATGTCTTTTTGAATTTTAAATAGTTGAATACTGTGGCTACAGTATTCTTAGTATATTGTTAGTATGGTTAAGCCCAGCATCCCCACCAGTGTAGGGTGTCCGACCCCCCCCCCCCCCGGAGATGGAAAACTTCCGAAGTCGCACAAGCCTTTATTCGTAGAGGCGCCACCGTAGAAATTGAAAAATACTATCAACTCGTCCAAGACTCCGGGCTAGAAGTATTAAAAAAGCGCAAAAACCAAAAAAAATTTTGAAAAATTTAGATATGAAACTTCACAAAATTTTTTAAAAAAATGCCGATAAAACAACTTTCTGCGTAATAAAAGGTATTTTGTAGACTAATGTTTTATTTCAAAGAAGGTTATTTTGAACATAAGCCTGCTTTTCGTAAAAAAATGTATATTATATTTTGTGTTTATTGTACAGACGTAAGTTAATTTAGATGAAGCAACAATGGCTAATCACGTAAAAAATAACAATATTCAGTAAAATGTGTTCTCCGCCCATTAATATTTGGATGTCTTGTTAAATTTTGAGCCCAAAAATCTTGATTTTAAAATTTTTGATCAAATGTAAAAAATTTATATATCTTTTAAACTTTTGTCTAAAATAATATTGACCTTAACCTTGTGTTACCCTACCTTAAACTAATATGCTCTGCCTTGCTGTATTATATATGACTTTCATTTTAAACCTATTTATACATAAGTTTCATGATTATTCCAATTTTTATGTAAATCAAAAAAAAATTATCACTTATCGACCAACTTGACCTTTCATTTATCCTTTTTGCGTTGTTTTAAATTGTCTTTTCTCTTTTTGGCCGATTCCAGCTTTTCCTCTATGGTCTCCCTGATGCTCTCTGACAGTTCTTTGGGCTTCTTCGGAGGTTTTGGACCAAACAAAATCACTTCCGGGTCTCGATCTGGGGTTGGATAGTGTAAATAGCAGTATAAGCCAAGAAGAAGAACTCCGCTTCCCAAGAAAATTCCGCTAAAAAATTTTTTTTAATTTTTTTGGCAATACTTTATAGCTATAAAGCTTTATAGTACAATTAAAAACCGCATTTTATATTATAGTACTTTCTAAAACTTCCTTACCCTATCAAACCAAAAAGCAGCGCGACAGGCCACCAATATTGATTATATTCTTCAAAAGCATTCAGTGGGTTGTATGTTCTGTTTGTCACATCATCAATGACACTCGGATCATCGGCTGGATCTATTGTCACGTTCCTCGGGTAGTTCAAGGGTTGGTCTTGAATTGTCATCTCAATCATAAAGCTCTCTACCGGTTGATTTTGACTGAAAAGAAATAATTGAAATGTAAGCTCTACCCTAGTCTATTCCTTACCTTACCGTTATAAACCCAACGGTAGGCTGTCTTGCCTTGGCCTACCCGGTAATACCCTGCGCTGCTCAGCTAGATTATAAAGGTGCTCTATCTTCCCTTTACTGCGAGTACTAGAGTCTGCCCTTTAATTTTTACGAGACTTCTTTTCTCCACCCCGGCCTACATTATAATACCTTCCCTACCCTACTTAAAAAAGCGACTGGTAATATTTCAAAGAAACCTACGTAATTTGAACATCAAATTGAGTAAAGTTGCCGTACGACCGTGCTACAAAACCACACGGAGTTTTGATTTGAGGCTGCAATTTTGGAATTACTATACCATCGAAAAACACATAGCTTGGGTACAACATCGTAGTTGAAATTATTTCTCCTGACACTGAAAAACAGCTTTTTTAAAAAAATTGAAAATTCAGAATCTTAAATTTTGAAAAATTTAATGAAAAGTTAAAATATTTAAAACGGTACACAACTTACTGTCCTCCACTTTCAAAAAGCTTGAATTTGTTTCACGATCCATTAAAATTGAAGTTGTTTGGCAGCCCGGTGACCCAATAGTTAGTTCTAAATCTTGAATACTATAATATTTGAGTTCAAAACGGAATCGACTGGTATTGGTGATGGAAGTTGTTTCTAACGTTACAATCGGATTCATGGAACAATCTTGAGCCCAACTTGTGTTATCGATCAGTTGGTAAGTGAATTTGTTGTTTTTGACCTCTGCTTTACATACTTCTGAAAATTTGATAAATTTTTAAATTTAGAATTTTAAATTTATTTTTGAACAAAAAAAAAATGAAAAAAAAGTAGGCTTAAATAAAACAAAGAAAACCTTCCAAACTTACTTTCTCCGTCGACCAGTATACCAAAAGTTACTGAAACGCATAAAAACAATACAAAACTTTTACACTTCATGACGCCTCTAAACAAAACACATACATAAAAATCACCGATAATAACCTGTGTGTATGAAAAAGTGATTTGATTGCCATTTTAATTTTGAAATAAAAAAAAATAGAATTACAAAAACTTTATTTTTTAAACATTTTAGAGCTTTTTTATCATAATTTTTTACAAAAAGTATGAGTGGTTATACTTACGAAGCTAACTGGACTAATAAATATGTTCCTAATGAAGTAATATCTTTTTTAAGATTTTTACCTCACTCCTGCAATTGACCAACCTTATTTTCAACAAATCATTTTGATTTTCAGACAATCGAGCACCAATGGCGGCCATGGGGAAAAGGAGATTCTAGAGATATGTTTGTTACTGTAGAATCGTTGGAATTCGACTTCTTGGATGGCCATTTAACCAAAATGCTCAAAGAGCACTTAAAACGCGTGGCTTCAACACCTACATTCAGCGAAAACAAACAGTTGTAAGTTTTTTCGTATTAACATTCAAAAAAAAATTTTAGGTAACAAAAATTAAATATAACTTATCTATTTTGTTATCAAACGTTAAAAAAGTAATATTTTAGGATACTGCTCCTCTACAACGCTGGTATCTTGCTAATATTTATAATATTAATGTTTATATCGTTGTACATGTTCATAAAGATGGTGAAGGAAAGAAGAAAGATCAAAAAGACGTTGTTAAACATTGTGAATTCGGCCCAATATCAAAGAATGTTGGACTTCAATAAAAAGGCCGTAAGTTTTTTTAAAAATTATCGAAAACACATTGTTTTTGAAATTTTTAAAAGATTTAACAATGCTAATATTATAATTTCAGAAGCACGAAAACCACAAGCTAAGAAACCTGATAAAACAACACAAATTCAAGTTTAAATATTGGAAAGACGATGGAAATTTGGTAAAAAAAGTGGCCAAGAAAGTTCTACTGGAAGCAAACAAAGAAACCTTGATCAGATTGGCCAGAAGTATGGACCGAAGCAGCAAATCCGACTAATATTATGTTACCTTCCAATCGGAACCTTCCAATAAACATTTTTACTGTTTTTCATTGTTTTTACGTTGTTTTTGTTCATAAATTATGACCAAGTTTTATGAAAAATATACGTTACAAAATTAAATCGGTTGAAAAGTATACAGTAATTCAAAGCAGTAACATTGCAATACTCACCAACAAAATAATTTTGACAATGAGAGAAATTTGTGACACTTCGCAACAACGATCAAAATTTGACACTTCGTTGCAGGTGTTAATATTTTTTTAAAGAATTTTTCGGTCCTTTTGGTAAAATAAAAATTTGATGTCAGAAGTGTAACTCCTGTTATTTTTTTACCTATACACTGTTTTATACTTTAAGTTTTTAATTTTTTGGTTTTTTTTTTCAGAAAAAGATGGATAAGAAAAAGACGATTAAAAAGGTAAAAGCGGCTCCAGAAGCCTCAAATTTGTCCGAAGCACAGAAGGAACAGCTGAAGATCACGATAAGGGCAGATTTGGAAACAAAAATTGTGACAAGAGCTAAGAAAAAGGCTGTTGGAATATCAAAAGTTAGCAGAGGAAAGGCAATTAAAACACAAAAGAAAGCGGTAAGATTTTTATATCTTGTTGAATCTTTAGATGAAGTATGTCTACAAAATCTATGTATAAATTAAACATGGTTGCAGGAAAAAAGAGCACGTCGAGAAACGAGGGAGAAGATACGTGAGAAGCTTGGAGACGATGCAGCTCCAAAATCCGAGCCGAAGACAATTGAAAACACGAGAGAAGCAGACGTTACCTACGTTGATCAGAATGATGTTGAAGTTCAGTTGGACGAACAAACAGATGAATTGTCTTCTTACTTCAAAAGAGAAACCCAGCCGAAAATATTGTTGACAACTTCTCCCAAAGCCAAAGTCACGACAATGAAGTTTGCATTCGAAATGCAAAAATGCATTCCGGATGCTGAGTTTTTGCCCAGGAAAGATGCGGCAATCAAGAAGGTTGTCAAGGATGCGATTGAACGGGAATTCACTGATGTTGTTATTGTTCATGAGGACAGAAAGAAGCCGAGTAGGTTTTTTAAACATTGAAATCTTTTTTTTTGAAAAACAAATTTTTTAATGTCTTTAATTTTTAGCCGCTCTGATGATATGCCATCTGCCGGAAGGACCTACAGCATATTTTAAGATAAATTCCTTGAAATTCAGCAAAGACATTAAGGGAGTCGGGGAGTCTACAGATCATTGTCCTGAAGTAATTCTGAACAATTTTAACACACGACTCGGTCATACTGTAGCCAGAATGTTGGCCTGTCTGTTTCCACACGACCCGGAATTTAGAGGACGACGAGTAGTAACATTCCACAATCAACGAGATTACATTTTCTTCAGACATCACAGGTGAGTGATCCTATTTTGATCAAATATTTGAACTGATGGTAATGTAAATTTAATTTATAATATTTTTTAATGAAACAAGAATTTTAGGTACGAATTCAAAAAGGAAGGTGCCAAAGCAGCTTTGCACGAACTTGGCCCTAGATTTACATTACGGCTTCGGTGGCTTCAAAAAGGAACATTCGATAGTAAAGAAGGTGAATATGAATGGGTTAGAAAGGTGAGTTTTTATTTATATTTTATATAAAAGCAAGATATTAGATTTATAACTAAAGCTTTACAAGATTTTACAAAAAATTTTTAGCGACACGAAATGGAAGCCTCAAAACGACGATTTTATTTATAAAGCAAATGTTATCAGTCGTCGCTACAGATGTTTCTTTTGTTATATTATTCTGTTACTTGTTTACTGTTACAAAAGCTAATAAATGATTTTGCTATTGTGGGTTTAAGCTAGATTTCGATCTTTAAATTTTTCTGACATATACCGTCATGTTTGACAATTCTTGGTATAAAATACATTGAATTTATTCTACTCAACTTTTTCCTATATAACCTTAACGATAGGTAGAAGCGCGTTGACCGTGATGTCCCCAGTATTCTGGATCGGGAGCGTCGTCTGGGGGAATTCCCAGCTCTTCGTCGGTGAATTCGGCACCGTAGGGGATGTAGAAATGGCCCTAAACGATGATTTTCGTAATATATTGTTTTTTAATTTGAAAAGAGAACTAACACAATATATAATCTTATCCCAGTTATTGACTTAAACTTACGATGAACATTTCGTAGCGATAGTATAGCTCATAGAAAGTCCAAGCCCAAAAGAAAGTGGCAGCAATAGTTCCGCAAATTCTGTCGGCTTTAATCTCATTTGCTGGCCGTTCTCGATACCAAGCACTAAAAAGTAGTGTTTTATTTTTATGGAGATTGTTCTATGCACTAATTTAAAAACTTTGAGCCCAGAACTGAAGAATGTAAAATTTTAACAATAGCTTCCTAAAACTATAAAAAATCAAATGAAACGAGCATACCCCTTGAAAACATCGTCTTCCTGTACAACGGACATGGTGTGGGTTTGATAGATTGGATTATCGATTGCACCTGCACGAGTATTTATTGGCGCTTGACTAACCGCAGCTTCAGCATCAGTCAGTTTACGATTTTTGGCAAACCATTGAATTCCAAAAACTTTTTTCGTCTTTTGAGTTGTCGAGAGAGATCTAATTTGTTGGTTGACCAATCTGGCCTCATTCAGGGCCTTTACTCGAGCTAGCCACATGGCGTGCTAAAAACTAGCATTGTTTAATGTCAAAATAAATGAAAAACAAATTTTTCACGTCTAAGTGATATTTTTTAGGTTTAAAATACTGAAAAATAAAAAAAACAAATTTTTAATAAAAATTGCCAGAAGCTAAAAGCTTAAAGCCATTTTACGTTTTAAAAACAAAAAAAAATAATATTTTAAACCTAATAATGAATTTTATTATTAAAATATATAAAGAATTTTAAAAACTAAAAACCGACACAATAAAACAACACATTTTATCGAAAACGCTTGCCAGAAGTCGAAGAAATTAAGAAAAACTCGATTGAAACAGAATGCCAAAAATCTAAATAAAGCATCAAATACCCGCGCTTTTCAAAGAGTCTGTTTTCCTGAACTAACTGTTAAGGTACAATTACAAAACTTAAACTTAAATCATAATTAACTTTACCAAAAAAATAACAAATCAAAAAATTCGCTACTATTTACCTTTTATGGCTTTAGATTAATTATCTTGCTTTTCTATAGTTTATCTCGTTTCTTTTGTTAAGTAATACAGTATATTAGCAATTGAAACATTAACACATAATCAATCATGAGTGTTTCTGAAGTTAAATAAATAAATCATGGATTAATTCGATTCCGTCAATGGATTTTAATCGACGAAAAACGAGTTTAACTCAAAAACCGCTGACCATTTTTGAATTTCGATCGCTTCACCTGAGGGTTTGAGTTTCAATTTCAAAGTTTCTAATCTAATTTTTCTTCGTTTTCATACTTAAAATCTCTATATTTTTTGATTACTTATTACTTATTGATTTAAAACTCACTAATATATTTTAGTAACAACATTTGATGTAAACGATCACAAAATGACAGATTACGACTATGAAATGCGTTTAAAATACGCAAAGTCATATCAAACAACAGTTCTTGTTGCTGTTGCCTTAAGGTAAGTTTTTTTAATTTTTTTAAACAAAAAATATCAAATATTTATATGTTAACATACCTAAAAATTTTAAAAAAAAACCTTTAATTTTATCCAAAAAAGCTAATAAAAAAGCTGTTTTACTACAAATTACAACTTTTCAAAAACTGTAAATATAACATTTTAGCTCTTTAGCTGTGTTCTCAAGCATCGTAGTGATCCCGATGGTGTACTTCCGAATGCAGCAAACACTTACAATAATTGAGCCCAACATTGAGGAATGTAAAGTGCAAACTGAAATCATTTGGAAAGATATAGAAGCCACAGAAGAAGTAAGTCAATATTCAACTTTACCGTACTCTATTATGCCCAGCCTATAGAAAATGTTCATTTTAGGCCATTGGTACAAAACCATCTGCCCATCGTCGACTTCGGCGTCATACGTCAAGGCAACTTATCGCTTCTAGTGGTTACTCCACTGCATTCCCCGGAAAACAAAACTACGCAACAGCCAAGACGGTGGGCTTGACAGCCGGCCCGTATGAAAATGGTACACCAGATGCAAAAGGCACAGCTGCTGGAGATTCAAATCAGCAATGTTGTGGATGCTCGGTTGGACTAGCTGGACCAGTTGGCCCACCTGGACTGCCTGGAGATCCAGGTATAATTTGATTTTGCAAAGACCCCCCTTCCCCCCCCCCTCCGCTAAAAACAGAAGTATTAAAAAGTACATCCTATCTTCAAATTTCAGGACAAGATGGACCAGAAGGACCAAAAGGTACGCCTGGAAAAGACGCCAACTTATTGGAAGGGAATCCGACTGAAGATGACTTTTGTTTCGACTGTCCACCTGCTCCGGCTGGTCCACCTGGCGACCCAGGACCACCTGGGGTGGAAGGACCAACCGGAGAACCCGGTCCAAACGGCCGAAACGGAGAACCTGGACCTCCGGGACCACCCGGATATCCTGGTCCAACTGGAGAACCGGGCCCACCAGGAGAGCCTGGAGACCCGGGAAATGAGGGAAGAGTAAGATTTTTAGAATAAATTAAAAAATGTTACTAAAAGGACTAAATAAAACAAACTTTAGATAACAATAGAAGAAGGCCCACCAGGTCCTCCAGGACCACCTGGTCCACGTGGACTTCAAGGTGCACCGGGACAAGATGGTCGTCAAGGTCAAGATGGTGGATATGGACCAATGGGACCTCCAGTATGTCTTACATTCCAAATAATTAACTTTTTTGGTACTAAATCTACTAAAAATTAATTGCAGGGTGAAAAAGGAGCACGTGGTCCCAGAGGATCCAATGGTGCTGATGGAGCACGGGGAAAACCTGGTCAAAACGTAAGTTTTACACTTCATTTTCTCTATAAGAATGAAAATATTTTTAGGGTCCTAAAGGATCTTGCGACCATTGTCCAGAACCAAGGTTGGAAACCGGCTACTGGGAGAAACGACCCCCACAGCTACTACAAGTCTAGTCCTCTTATATTATCACACATAATAATCTCAAATTTTTATATAAAATTATATAGAAAAGTTTAATATAACATTATACTGAAAAAGTAATTCCCATTTTAGGCCAAAAAGTATAGGAACATAAAGTTTAGGTATAGCATACCATTCATGATACCAAAAAGACCCTTTTCGCCTATTAATAGCCCCAAATTATAACAATATAAATAATTTATTCGCTTCAACCCCAAATTCTATTCCAAGCCAAAGTAGTTGTTGAGGACTTTCACAATAAATAAGATGAGTGGCTGCCAGGCCACCAGGTAACGGCACCAGTCCAGCAGTTTTCCGTAGAATAAATGCGGCTTCTCCCATGGATTTTTGAACATTCGCTGAAGATCTACCTTTTCTTTGCAGTATGGGCATGTTTGAAGTTTTCCTATAACAACCCAACCTCGTATGCATCGTTCGTGGAATCTGTGTCCACATGTGAGCGTGTAGGTTGGCTCCTCCAGTTCGTCCGAGAGTTCACGTTCTTTTGGTGCTGGTCGCACAATGTCACCACATACTGCACATACATTTGGGTCTAGAGTCTTCTTTGGCAAGCCTTCGTTTGTGAAGTACTAAAAATGCAAATAATAACAATACAACAGCTATCATCTTATTAAGGTTAAGTTTTGATTAATTTAGCAAGCATAAGCTTATTAGGTTTAGGCTTAGTAAGCTTAAGCCTAGCATAACTTCAACAATTAAAAAAAAACATACACCAATTTTGCATGCCATTCTGTCCGTGCAAATGTGGGCAAAATCTCTTCCGAGCACACCATAATAAATACCGTAGAACATTAACAACAATCCCAGATCCATAAACGTCGAGGTTTTTACACCGATCATAAAATTGACACCGAATAGAGCTCCCAATATTATAGCATAGCCGAAAATTCCCAAAACATACGACATCACGTGTAAGGCCATCAAAAAGTTGTACACAAACCTAAAATTAGAATAAGTTACTATTCTTGAACCTGTTTTATCATTAAATTATAATAAAACAAAATTGCACAGCCTAAAACATTGTTTACACATAATTATATCCATAACCTACCGCGGCGTCTTGCCACTAATATGATCAGCAGTCGATAATTTGAATATATAACCCGAGATCGCACTAAAAACAACCCAAGTGAACAAAAACCGGTAGAATTCCTTGGCAATCGACAGAATCGGCGGTATTAACCATAGGCCAAGTAATGTGCACACTTGATAACTTCGAAAATGTTTGCGTTTCCACACGACCAGTATGATCTGAGATACTGCCATAACTAATATAAATATAATAAAGATCTCGGCGTGCATTACATCATGTCCACGATGTTTTATGTGTTCTTGTTCGTGCTTCTTATGCCATTCTTCTTCATCTCGACGCTGAAAATTGTAATTTACATAAAAAAGGTTGTAAATTCGTCAATACAAAACTTAGTCTTATATAACGGAAGTTAGATAATTATTAATTCAACATAAACTCCAAATTTTAGACAACAAGAAGCCAAAGATAACATAACTTTTTATGAAAATACATCAAAATTTAAACTTTAGGTGGCAAGTTGGCTATTTTAAATAGCATGTTAATTACCTATTTCATAACCTTCTTACAACATACGTAATCTAAAAGCAAAACCACCAAAACGATTGAGACTTACCTCTTCTTCCATCAACTCCTTGACACTTTTCATTTCGAACTGTTAACAAAAATGACCAAAAACCAGTAAAAAATAAATTAAAAATGAATTAAAAACTCAGTAGCAGTTCGTTAAAATAATTTAGGTTTCTATAGCATTAGTTCCGACTAAAAAAAACCATCTAAAAATCTATTTTTTGTTATTTGCCAACAGCGCAAAATAATAAAAATATTTTGCGTCAAGTTTTTCTCTTTTCAAAATATTTGGTCAACTGTTAATTTATGTTGAAAAGCTAATTTTGAGAAACTATTTGCTGGCATGGCATAACATTAAGAAAAATATTTCTAATGTAAATATAGTTCTTTTAAATGTACTTCTGTCTTTCAGTTTTCAGCGTTTAGCTAACATCCAAACTTTTAATTTTGTTTTAATAGTCTTTTTTACCAGTAACATACATCAAAACAGAACAGTTTAATACTAATACAATCAAATACATTTAACTATTGTACTTTTCGCGACGATATCTTCGTGGATTTCTGGAGACAGTTTTGGTTTTGCAATACGGGCATATTGGAGCATTTCGATGAATTTGTTGACCACAACTTGCGCATTGCTAAAAACATGGGGTGTAGATAAATATTATTTTACGTACCATGTTATATGGTATTATGTATAACAGAATAGCCTTAGAGAAATTGTCAGAAACCGTGTTGCGCAACGTCTTCTTATGCAATTTTATGGTTTTATATAATATTTGCCTCGATGTAAAACGACCCAACATATTACTGCGAGGGTTGGATTTGCCTTATTTTTCTGTACGGAACAAATTTTTGTCTGCGGAGTAGCTTAGCTTAGGCTTAGCTTAGGCTTAGGCTTAGGTTTAGGCTTAGGTTTAGGCTTAGGTTTAGGCTTAGGTGTATGTTTAGGCTTAGGTTTAGGCTTAGGTTTAGGCTTAGCTTAGGCTTAGCTTAGGCTTAGCTTAGGCTTAGCTTAGGCTTAGCTTAGGCTTAGCTTAGGCTTAGCTTAGGCTTAGCTTAGGCTTAGGCTTAGGTTTAGGTTTAGGCTTAGGTTTAGGCTTAGGTTTAGGCTTAGGTTTATGTTTAGGCTTAGGTTTAGGCTTAGGTTTAGGCTTAGCTTAGGCTTAGCTTAGGCTTAGCTTAGGCTTAGCTTAGGCTTAGCTTAGGCTTAGCTTAGGCTTAGCTTAGGCTTAGCTTAGGCTTAGCTTAAACTTAGCTTAGGCTTAGCTTAGGCTTAGCTTAGGCTTAGCTTAGGCTTTTGGCGTCCGTTTGTTATCATTTGACGTATGGGTTAGGATTATTCTTACACACCTTAATTTAAGGGCTACCTTAACTTTAAGATACTTTGGTATGCGAGTTGACTACCTTGTTTAACTTACTTTGCTTTTTGCCGGGTCTTCACATGTCCGTCTTGGTAAGGTGTATGGAAACGCTTGTGCACGTTTTAGGAACACTGGGTTTAAGGACATTAAAAGGTTTGTGTTTTGGGGCAATAACATTTGAAACAAATTTGGATTGAACTTTTGTTCTGTTAAACGGCAGTCTTGTTGTAGCCTAAAAAAGTTGAAGATATATTTTTTTAAAAAATTTCTGCGTTTTTGTGTCAAAATTTTAGTTTTTCTTTTATCTTTTTGTAAAAATTTGTCTTTTTGTTCTTGACAATTTAAAATACCATTTTGGAGCTTGGACAATGTCAATTGACTGATTACTGATTTCGTCTAATTTCTCATTGGTTGTGGTTTGGGCTTTCTTTAATTTCTCGTATTTGTCAGCCAACACCGCCTTCTCATGAATTTGTTTTGATTTTACAGTTTTCACGAGGTCTTCAAGGTGATTAATGTCCTGGAATACGGTAGCTGATTAGATAACGTTTATTAGTTTAAATTTTACAAATTATGCGTAAGTCTAGAAAGCATAAGCTTAATAAGCGTAAGCCTAATAAGCGTACGCCTAATAAACATAAGCCTAAGCTTAAAGGTACTTTACCTGATTAATAAGCCTAAGCTCCTCCGTATGTGTTTTATGTTCAATATTCAGGTGACCTTTTGTTTCGTCATACTGTTCAATAAGTTTTGAGCTAGTGCAATTTTCCTCGCGAACTTCATAGTAGTGATCCAGCTCCATCTTCACTGTGTCTACCATTGTACTAAAATTGTACTTTTAAAAATTTTTAAAAATATTTAACAATTTTTATATTTAAGATTTACAACATTATTTATTTTGTCATTCCAAAGAGATATAACTTACTGTAACCTTGCCAATTGTAATATTTTCATACTGAAGTCTTCTAGTGATATTGTCATGGTCCTGAAATTAAAAAAGTTTACAGAATTAAAAAAATCTCCACGATTTTCAGTTAATCGATTTAGAAATCATCTAGAGCTGTATTTGCCTTCTTTTTTCATTCTCATCCCATTTAAAGCCTCATTTACTTTTCTGAATTGCTTAAACACGAGAAAACTCTGTCTATAATTTGAATACTGTAGACAACGAGAAACAGGGGGTTGCGGTTAAATTTGGAATAAAGACTAGCTTAGGGGGGGGTGAGGTGGGGTGTGTTAGCTACATTTTTGTTGAAAAGTCTTCAACATGAGGCCATGGCTGAATTTTAGAAAAAAAAATTTTTTTTAATTTTCAAATTTTAGTACCCTCCCGCTGGCAAAAGGTGTTTATCATTCACCCCATGATAATTTTATGATACAAAAATTACGTTATTAATAAATAAATACACTTTGACACTTTCTAATCGGAAAGACACAAGATTATGCTCTCGCAGTAGGTCTGCAGATAGATCAAGAAGTGGCTATGCCAATCCAATAAAGCGCGTACTTAAAAGGGCACTTAAGTCACAAAGAACAAGGCGAAATTACACGAATTGAGATATTAGATAAATAACATGGTAATTTAACGCTATGTTATTCAGCCGTTACATTTTCTTTAAATTTTCTAAAATCTTTGCTTGCTTAGCTTTAGGCTTAACGTTATTTATATTATTTTTTCGAATTTAAAAATTTTAAACCTTACGCTTTTTTGATTAATAAATCATATTCAATAAAAAAGTTAAGAAAATCATGTTATATTACTTTGACCATTAAAAAAGTGACTGAGAAGCGTGTCTATCGCATCGCCATTTTGTTTTGATGAATAATATATGAGGTGAATCCCGAATGTTGATACAAAAGAAACACCTATTCGTGGAGCGGTATGCTAATTGTGTTAGGAAGTAAAGTTCATTGCGCAAAAATATGGACGGGCTTACTGTTTTTGCCATTTAGCCCACAAATTGTGGCTTGCTCGCTCAAAATTTTGGTTTTTGGGTATATTTTTAATTTCAACTCACAATCGCTTAGAAACCCAAGCTTTAAAATTTTAATGGTATGACATGGTCCAAAAATACGTTTTATTTCAACAAACTTAAGATAACAAAAATATAAAAAAAATTTACTTTAACATCAACAACATGGTGTCTACGAGTTAGTGGACATCCTTAACAACAAAAAAACAAAGCAAACACGAATGGGCATAGGTTGATCAGAAAACGACACGCAATTCTGATTTCAACATAATATAACAACGTCGTCTACCAATGCGCCCAGTACGAAAAACGGCCCATATATACACTGGCCATTCAGGAGAAGAGAGTATTCCAGTTTACAGTCGACTGCCATTAATACAATTTCAGAATTGACCTGTCATTGTGTAAAAGCTTAGAGTCGATCAGCCATTCGTGAAGACAAGTTGCGCAGATTACCGTATACCTTGCTTGGAGGTCGGCCCAGGATTAGAGAACAAAGAGTGTGACGTGCCAGCCGAAGGTTTTGGAACGATCCCATAGTGTGGATTTTTTGATCTTGGAGCACGATTCTTGTTCGGGTCACGTTTTCGATTGTGTGTTTAGTTCGACCGTCTTTTCCAGCAATCCGACCGATGGCACGGGACAAGTGTTCGCCGTACAATGGTTTTACTGAAAATGAAGGGTTATATAAAAGTAAAACCAATTATAATTATGATAAATAGTAAAAATATTAAGGTTTAGGCTTAGAAGGCTAAGGCTTAAAAAGATAAAGCGTATTCATAACAAGAAATCCCATTTGAAAAACTCACCATCCTGAACTTCGAAGCTTTCCAGGAAAATATGGTCCAATCTGATAAGTGAAATCGCATCCTGTACCTCAAATCCCAACGCAAATGCATGAACAAAGTCTTCTGCTTTCTGTAGATAAGTTAAGTTTGGTTTTTGGTCCTTCGGAGCTCTGATCTCGACCTTTCTCGTCTTCAAATTGAATCTAAAAGAATACAATAGAAAATTTCAAAAAATACGTTTGAAAATGTTCATATTACTTTTGTACCTATAAAACTTATAGAATTTCATCATTTTTATGTCATATTTGTCTTAAAATCGGTATTTTTATTAAGGTATTACTCTTACCTGACTTGTAGCTTCAGCTGTGATACAATAGGCTCCACAATCTTTTTCCACTCGGCCTTCAGACGAGAATAACGGTGCCTTGGGATGGGAACACGTCTGACGTCAGTTTCCACTGCATTCTTTCCTAAATTTGAACATAATACAGAAAAAATGAAAATTCTTAATGTTGTACTTCTTACTCCAAAAAAACCTTGATTACAATTTAAATGGCAAATCAACATACCCTCCCGCTTTGCCTTTATTTTTTCCTCCTGTTTGTTATCAAACGCTTCTTGATCCATTGGTTCGTCTTTTCGCTCTACTCTCTGTGCTCCTTCATCTTCGGCTTCTTCGTCTTCCATTATAACATCCAAGCTTTTGGCTGCCTTTCTTTTGCCTTTTTTGCGTGACACAACTGTCATTTCGGGTTCGGCCGGCTCAGGTTCTTCGCTCATGTCGAGGTCTGGGAGCTCGGACACCAAGTTTTCATCTTCAAGAGGTACCAAGTCGGGAAGATCTTCCATTTCCACGTCAATTGCCTGTTTTGGCTGTTTTTTCGTCTTCTTTACCTTCTGAGACACCATTTTTGATGTTTTTTATTTGTGATACCAGTAACTAAATATATAATATGCTATAGTAATACTTTAAAAAAACTATTCAGCAGAATTCATAAGCAACATAAATCTTTATGGCCCTTGGTAAATCAACAAGTATTGTCCTCGATTAAACGAGTATTTGCAGTCAAACTCAACTTTAACAATTTAAGAACAATATTATTCATATAACAAGTAACAAATAACAACAACAAATTTATAACGCGCTCATTCTTGATGTGATGTAGTTAACAAATGTTACATTCTCCTTCATATTCTGTAATCGCTCAAAATGTCGCCGAGTGTACGGTAGAAGGGCTTCCAATTGTGCAGCAAAGTTGGGCAGAGCTTCCAATTGTTTTCTGGGTACGGTGCGGAAAATCGCATTCAGCGTTATTTGGGCTGTCTAAAGTGGTGTATTAAAACTTTTTGTGAAACATAACATAAGGAACAATAATATTTGGCAACGACTATGTAAATACATCATTATATATACAAGTTTATGTTATAAATTAACTTTCAAATTAAAAAAAGCTGCTTTACCTGATACGTCCTGGTGTTTGTATTCCACTGTGTAGAGAATTCTAGCAATTTGGCCTTATTGTTACTGTTCAGCTCTCCAATCAAAGGTTGTAACTTGTCCTTGCCTTTTGTTGTGAAAATCTTGTTCAACACTTTGTAACATTGGAAAGGATGATCCAATTCCAAGGTAAGTTTCAAAGCTTCACAATACTTTTCCAACCGCATGAAATTCTCCAACGTTTGAATTTGGGCCAGTCGTTCGGCTTCTTTTCTCGCGTTTTCGGCCGCTATTTCATCTGTCACGTCGGCCCATACGATGATTTTGCCATCTGACCCCACCGATACATACCGTTCGTATTCTTCTGGCCTGAAGTTTTAAAATAATATTAAAAAAACAAAAAAAAAATTAAATTACCATAAGATTTTTTAGCGGTAAACTTACTTCAACTCTACATTACCATCGCCTCCTTTCTCCAAATCTTCTCGTCTTCTTTCATCCAACGCGTCCAAGGCTTCTGAAGCTGGTGGAATGGATTCAATAGCCCAAATTTTATCTGAATGAATTTCATCCGTTTTCTCACAAACTCCAGTCTTAGTGTCCCAAACTTTTAATAATCCGTTCGAATCACAACTCAAAATTTGTTGTTCGTTTTTGATGAAGTCTATCGTGAGAACAGCAAACGAGTGTCCTTCGTAGGTTTTTTGGCATGATAAGTCCAGTAATGAATATAGTTTGATCGTACAGTCACCACTACCGGTTATTACGCTCTAAAATACGTTTTTATTAGTAAAAAATACCAAAATTTTTCATCAATAATTCTGAAGAGTTGTTTTAGCGTACCTGGGTCGTCTTGGCAAACTTCACATCCCAAACACCTCGTCGATGACCAGAAAGTGTTCCAGCTGATCCAAGTTGCATCGTATCTTTATCAATGTGCCATAACTTTACCGTTTTGTCTATTGAACTTGTAGCGCATAGTAAGTCATTTTGACTAACATCAACGGCCGTGACATCTGATTGATGCGCCACAATTGTCGAATCGGCTGTTAACTTGGTAACTCTAAAATTATTGTGGCATAATAGACGTCCAATGTTTTAGAATTACTGCCGTAAAATAAAACAAAAATCAACTTACAGTTCCTTTTTCTTCTTGAAAATCGGCTTCAGCGACCATAACTTCAACGTAGAGTCATTTGAGATCGTTACACAAAATGCGGCATTCCGTTGAGAACTAAACTTTACACCAGTTACACTGTTCGTATGTCCCGTGGCTGTAGCAATCTTTTCGGCACGCGGTTTTTTCTGTTCCAAAGCCTCTGATTTCGATCGTACAGTCCAAATAATTAACGTGTTGTCTTTTGAAGCCGAAGCTACCATATTTGAATCCCAAGACGGTGCGTCAACAGACATTATCGTATCCGAGTGACCTATAAATAAAAATTTTAAGTTATGAACTTCATATTATTATTATTACTACGCCATATATTAATATTATATTTCAAGTTAAAAATCATTGTATATCGCATACCTTCAACTAAAGTGCAATTGAAATCATTCAAATCATATAACCGTAATTGTGGTGAGTTTGTAGCTACAGCAACAACGTTTGTATCCTTTGAAACGTATTTAACATCCAGAATTTCATCGTTATAGCCTGACAAAGTTTTCACTAATTTCTTTGTTTCCAAATCAAAAAACAATAAATTTTGGTCTTCAGAAGCCATTAAAATCTGATTTGTCTTCTTCACATACGTGATTGATTCCAGCGCTTTTCTAAAACAGACTACTTTAACTTTTATACTACAATTAACAAAGTCAATTGAAACACAATTCAAGTATCCCTAAAAACGTAAAATAGAATAAAAACCTACGTTGTAATCCTATATTGAGCTTGCAGTGTTGCTTTTGTTGGATGCCAAAACTTTAAAATACCTTCCGATCCAACAGTAAATAAAGTATCAAGCTTCTTTACATAAACCGCATCTTCAATTGGCTCAAATAACGGCAAGGAATTCGAAGCTTTGAATGTTGACAAGTCGATTTTAGTCATAGTCTGGTCTCTACTCAAAATTAACGCCAAATCTTGTCCGTCAAACTTCTTCTTGATTATCGACGTGATTCGGCTAAAAAAAGTATACTAAAAGGTGTCCAGCAAAATGATAACTAAATAAAGAAAATTTAACGTAATGTTATTACAGATACAATTTTTAATGCCTAAAAAATCTTACCTTGAATGATTCTTAAACTCTTTAACATGTTTTCCACCCTTCTGACCAACGTTAAACAATCGAACTTGTCCTTCTCCATACCCAACCAAAACAGAATCCTCGTCCAGAAATTCTATCACAGAAACAACAGACGGACCTTTAAGCGTATGTGTGCAAACGTTCTGTTTCAAGTTCCAAACCTTCGTCGTGAAATCAGAAGAACCCGTCAACAGAATCATATCCTGAACTTTGCAAACCATCACAGGTCCATTATGTGTTGTTCTAAACTGATGCACCAACACAGGTTGGTCAGGCTTTACAAATCGAAATTTCTTAATAACATCGTTTGAATACGCAATTAGTAATTGCAAATCATTGTCAAAAAGACAAAAACTTGTAATCTTCGATGGTTCATCATCTTCACCAATTGTGAATCTTAAAACAATAATTAGGTACGACTTTTTCGTCAAAGATATTTGCAGTAAAATGATATTATCCTACGTACCTAAACATCAAACATTAATGAAGAAACTTACAATTCACTCCCATCTTCAACGTTTAAGCCCTTGAGCAAGTTATTACAAGTAGATAACAAAGTTTTTCCATCAGCTGTAAATTGCAAATCTCCTCCAGTAAAAAATACTTCCAAAACTCGTTGTTTCCTTAGCTCAAATATTCCACTCATTTTACATTTGAATGAAGATCCCTAAAAACAAATAAATTAAAACTATCTAAAATCTGTTAAGTCAACATTAAACACTCGTAAAAATTGCAAAAATAGTTACTGCGTAACAACTAAATTTAAAAAATAGTAATTTAGAACATAGTAATACAGATCTTACAACTATCTCTGATAACCTGTTTGAAAGCTATCAAAATTAGGATAGAGAATATAAAAAGAAACAGACGACCTGAAAAAGTTATGTGTCAACCTTCTCTCTGTCGTTTTCTCCCGCAACGAAACAATTTCTGTGGCCTTCTGCAATTTTCTCGATCAATTTTTAATTGACTTTTCTCGTACTTTTAATGCGTGTGGATTGCAATATAAACTGATGTCATTTGTCGTTTACTTTATTTGTTACCTTTGCGACATGACTTTACTCTAGACGTCAATGAAACTTGATTTTGCTCGTTCTACACGATGAAATGGATGCCTTTGTGATGTGAGATAATTAAAGGGCTTTATAAAGTAGTCATATTTTTAAAAATGCAATAATTAAAATACATTGGTGCAATATATTACTGCTTTTGAGTTTTACCATTGTTTTTTGATGATTATGGATGACATTATTATACCTTCAGGTTCTAACAGTAAGTTAAACTAAAAATTATTTTAAATTAAGTAACATAATTAAAGTAATGATTTTATGGTTTTTACAACCATTTTACACTTTTTTATAGTGTATTTTGCTTAATTTAGGTGCGCCATCTACAATTTCATTCGACGATCTTCAAGAAATGGAGGCAGATCTTACCGTCCAGATGTTACAGAAAGTATTTTCTAACTTTGAATGTATGAGGAGAAACTCACAATTATGCGATGTTAGAATCAAGTGTCAAAATTCTTATTTCTTGGCACATAGATGTGTTCTTGCAGCTGCTATACCTTATTTTAATGCTATGTTCAGTACCGAGTTTGTTGAGACTGAAATGGAAGAGTGCGAAATTCAAGGTGTTTAACAAAAATGGAAAACTGATGCATATATCGAAAATTACAAAATCAAAGGTGTTTACAACGTTATTATTTTCAGAAATGTCATCGGACTGCCTGGAAGCTATAATCGATTTTGTTTACACCGGTAAAATTCACCTAACCATTCAAAATGTGACCGACCTGTTAGTGGCAGCCGACTTTTTCAATCTCGAACTGCTCAGCACGGAATGTGCCAACTTTCTAACGCTAAAAATTACGCATTACAATGTTCTCGACATACGACAAATGGCACTACGACACAATTGTAAGAAGGCGGTAAGAGCGGCCGATCGATTTATTCAACGGCATTTTGTTGCCATTTCCGAAACACCGTTGTTTTTGAAATTGGATTTGGAGCAAATTACCGAATTTTTGGGTATGGATGAACTTCATGCCGAGTCGGAAGAAGAGATATACCAAGCAGCCATCAGATGGCTGAAATATTTACCGGAAAGGAGAGAAGTCGCGTCAAAGTAAGTAAAGTTACAATGTTGTTGGGTATGAGCTACAATTGCCATAAGCTTGGTATAACGGTCAATGAATGTAGCACCAGTAATGACAATTGAGTAGTAATTTAAGGCTATATGGCATACATGTTGTACACAAGTCGAAAAAATACGATGATATTGTCTTCAAGTTGAGAAAAGGAGACTAATTTCATGTATTTTTAATATGAACTTGAAATTACAGTTGTTTGTACAAATTTTTGTGAGCAGTTAATCTGAAATGCTTAAAAGTTTGTCGACAACTTATGAAAATATGTCATAAAAATATTAAATAATGAAGATATGACAAGAATAACAAATGCAATTATTAAAAAATATTTGATAATATGAAAAAATTGTGAGAATGACATTTTAACCGAGTACTATAAGGAAGGGGCCCAACACGGTGTGTTAAGCGTTTTTTCAGAATTTGCATAACAGTAGGTTACAGTATCAATACTAGCTTCTGAAATTTTTACGACAAGATCTATCAAAACCGAAACAGCATAGAATGTTTGTCGTAAAAGTTTCAGGAGCTATTATTCATACTGTAACCTATTGTTATGCAAATTTTGAAAAAACGCTTAACACACCGTGTTGGGCCCTTTCCTTGTGGTACTCCATTTCAGATTACTCCAAAATGTGCGTCTAACGTTGTTGGATAAAACTTTCTTGATTGATGAAGTTGCGACGAATTCCATCATTCACAACTCGATTAGTTGCCGAGATTTGTTCGACGAGGTGAAGGAGTTTCATTTGATACCAGAACGACGACAAAAATTGTCTAAATTTCGGTTGGAGTCAAGACATTGTTCGGAGATACCAGGAATCATATACGCTTGTGGTGGATTGGGAATGAATACTGATTGTAGGCCGGCTAGCAAGGTTAGTATTAATGTTATAGTACTGTATACTAGTATTATTGGTAAAGTACTGTAGATTAGTATTAATGTTAAAGTACTGCAGATTAGCATTAGTATCAAAGTACTATAAAACATGGATTTTAGGCTGAAATGTACGACCCACTGGCCAAGAAATGGATGCCAATCAACTCAATGAACTCCGTTCGAACCAGAGTGGGCGTATCAGCATTAAATGGCAAATTGTACGTGATGGGCGGTTACAACGGAGAAGTACGGTTAAGTATTGTTGAAGTTTTTGACCCAAAAAGAAACGAATGGTCTAATGCCTTACCTATATTGACTAAACGATCAGCTATGGCCACTGTTGTGTATAGGGACAAGATATACGTGATTGGCGGTTTCGATGGAAAATCTTTGGCTGATGTGGAAAGCTACTCACCTATTACTGGAGAAAGAAAGTTTTTGTTTCCCATGAGGTCACCAAGGTCGGCCGCCGCGGCCGTTGTATTGAAGGGATGTATATACGGTAAGCATTTGGTTGACTATGATTCTAGGACTAAAAGGTTGTTTTTATGATACTATTTTATTATATTATACTAAATCAAGTTTTAAAACTCATATAGTTTTCTGTTGTCTCAATTTTTTTCTGTTATTATAGGTAAAAGGAATGTTATTCTATCTTAATATTTAAAATAAACATCATTTCAGTAATCGGAGGTCACAACAGCTGTGCAATTTACAATTCTGTTGAGAAGTACGATTTCCAAACTGGCCAATGGACTATTTTGAAGCCAATGAAAAAGCCCAGATGTCGACATGCGGCAGTAGTATATGATGACAATATCTACGTGATTGGCGGATACGATGGTCGAGAATTCCTTAGCTGTACAGAAGTTTACGATCCAGAAACCAACAGCTGGAAAGACGGTCCATCGATGAACTTGAAACGAGGCAGAGTTAGTGCATGCGTCAATGGAAACGCCATCTACGCGGTTGGTGGATATCACGGGGAAATGAAGTACTGTAGCATGGAGATACTCCAAATGCAGCCGGAACCCAAGGATTTGTTTAACAAGAATGTAAAGTTAGGTGATGGCAAGATGAGAAAACACGAGCTTGTTTGGCGGATGGGACCAAAGATGCAACTACATGAAGGTGGTGTAAGCATCGCTGTCATACCGATATCTCCGAAAAAGTTGTGCAGCATTAGTCAATGTGAGGAAGACGAAGAAGAAATGATACGAAAGACGAACGCCTTGAATTTGGACGATTCTGAATCAGAAGGATTATATCGATTGACAGAGTAAAACATATTATATTGTATTTTGGAGTAGTGTCAGATTTTATGTTGATGTATTGTCATATTTTATTTAAATTCACGACATCATTTTATATAGATGTATAGTCGCCTTTTATGATTTGCTTTTTGCCAATGATATTCAATAGTAAAAACAAAAGTTCTATTGCAATAATGATAGTCAACATTCCTTTGAAACGATTTAATAATTTGAAAGCTAGTCTGTGTATTTTGTATATGATAATAAACTTAATAATTTAAATAGATAAAACTAATTTATCAGAAAGTTTGAAATTTGATTGCAATAAAGGAAAGAAATCCAAGAAACCAAAAAAAACCAAACTTTTCCGCAGCCTGCGGAAACACGGCCGCAGTTAACAAACACGAGATCACATTTTCACAATAATTTCGAGACCAAAAACAATGTAAATTTTTCTTCATGTCGACTTTCGCCTGTCCACCGCCTTTCGACGAATACTATTGTCATAACGGAGGTCGATGTTTGGCCGATCCCACTAGCGAAGGCGGATTCACACCATTTTGTCAATGTCAAGCGAATTTTTCGGGTCCAAGATGTCAGAACACGTTCAACCCCAATATCTACGGCTTCGCGACTGTCGGCGTGGACAATTCGGTTAGGCAGTACACGTTTATGTTGTTGATAATGTTGTTGTTCTTGGTGATTTTTATGGGATTTATCTGGTATCTGTACAGGACGTAAGTTTTTTGATTTTTTGTTGAAGTCTAGGTATGATTTAGAATAAGATGGATGATAGTTGCTGTTTTGAACATTTTTGGTGGTTTTTTATGACAATTTGGCATATTACTTTGTGATTTACATTGCTTTTTGATTTGTTACCTAAAATTTTATTTAACAGAAAACGATCACAATTTTCTTCGAACGTTGGCAGAAATAGGAAAATTTTTGAGTTTTTAGATCGATTTCTTTAAAAACTTACAAAACTTATTTTAGGCGACAAATAGAAGACAACGAGACAGTGACATTTGTAAACAGCCGTCCTTTATGTTCAGACGGATCGATTCAAACACTGTCAGTGTGGACGGCATGATCTGTATATTTTTCACTCACTTTTTCTAACTACACTTTTATCAACGGACTTTTTTTAGCAGTTTTGCTTTTATATCAATCTTAATTACAATTTTGCCTCAATATTAGCTATAATATGTATGCTTTTACTTTAATGTAACTTATTATCAGAGTAGTTTGTCTCAATATAACTTATACTATCATTTCAAGGCTACTTTTAAGATTTCAAAACTTAATTTATCATATTCATCTTCTTATTCTTTACATCTTTTAATTGTAATGGCTAAAATCATTTGATTACTGTTAAATAAAATTTGTCACAGTATTTCAGCATTTTGCTGTTTTATGTAATTTGCTTTTACATACCTGATTTATATTGTTCAAAAGGCTAAAAAACACTCCAATAAGATTTTTGAAGTTACACGAAAACACTTGAAATACGATACCCTCAATTAATGTATGATGTCATTGTATATAAAATCAATTTATTAAACCTGTAGCTCAGAGTTCTGTAATAATGGACAAAAGACGTCTGAAATTACAGAGCTTTTATATAAAATGACACACCTTTTCTATTTCTACGTTTTTAATACCATTTTGTTATGACTACTCGTTATTTAACTTACAAAGACTCTCGACAAAGTTGTTTTACTCAAATTGAAACAAATTATGGGTAGTCCGTTTTGAGTGCACTTCAAGGTGAAACGTTCGTCTTTGGGTTGCGTTCCAATTCAATATTATTTTATTGTTTTTGTTTAGCCTAGAAAATGGCAATTGCATATTTTGGGCTAGGAATGGGGATTTCTTGAAGCTTGATATAGGCAATGGGAAAATTTCGGGGCTTTGCATTAGAAAAGATGCTTTATAAAACCTTTTAAACAATATAAAACTGGTTTTTGTAAAGTTTTACAGCTAAGCTAAGCTTTCTAACGACTAAATTATTTGTATGCGCGTTAAAATAAAAATTTTTTCCCAATTAAATTTTTCAAGAACTTTCAACAAACGGAAATTTTGCAGCGAATCTTTTGACAAACACTCTAGAAACTACAAGAAAAACCTGCCAAACTATAACAACCGCAAGTTTTAACCTAGAAAACAAATTTCCCAATCAACGTAAACGATCGTATGTTTTGTGCACACGAAAAAATTTCAAAAAACTTTAAACTGTGGTCAAAATCAATCTTAATTTTGGCGTTACAAACCACAACGTTTCGAAAAGTTCGTTCTCAAAAGTTACAGCAAACCGGCTAATTGTTTTTTGTCAAATTTTTCACCAATGTCGTTAAACGTAACGTAGACATAGTAAAGTACTGAATGATTCATTTTTGGGCGTTAGAAGGTGGTGCATTCCTACTGCAATTTACCTATTGTAAGGTATGGCCAAATTTTGAGGAAGTGTAGGAGGATGGAGGTAAAATATTTTAACACGTCAAGTCTGTGTTAAGTTTTGTAACGTTTGTTTGATTTCTCACGATTATACTGAAGAATTCGATGATTTTCAAAGAAATATCTCTCGAAAAATTAATGAAGGTTGATATATTCGTATCGGGCGATTTTTGATTGAACGATTTATGCAAACTTTCATTTCAAAGCTTCCAGAATTTTTTGCAAGTTTTTGAATTTAAAAGCTATGTTTACATATACTAAACTTAAGGTTAAAACTCAGTCTGCAAATATAAGCCTAAGCTTCAGTCTACTGAATAAATTAAACCTATCAATTCGAAGCCCGCTAAGCCTGAGCTTGCTAAGCTTAAGTCTACTCAGTTTAAATTTACTAAGAATAGACCTGCTAAGCCTAATCTTACTAGGAAACCGCAAATAATGAAAATCGAGTTATAACTAGTGGTATATATACGAACATAGAGCAAAAAAATCTAAGACTTATGGTGTAAAAATTTTTTGCCAACAATCTCTAGTTTTTGAGATATGGCAGGTCAAAGTTTGGTTTTTTAAATACTTTTCTCTCATGTTCGCATTTTGAGCGCAGAGCATAAGCTCTTCAATGGCAGCGAGCGAGTGAGCCCGACTTGGCCTCGGAAGCTCAAGGGTTCGGTTCCCGTCGGCTTCCAAAGGCTAAAACGCCTCAAAAATGTTTTTTGTTTTTTTCTATTTTAAAGTTAATAACTACAGTCTTAAAACTAAACATAAGTAACATTTTGAACATAAGAAAAAAGAATATAACAAAATTTAAACCTAAATAATTCATAAAAAAAGAAAATTTCAACAATAGTTATTCATAACATTCGTATTATTTCACTTTCACCGTTATGGTGGACATTAATGATGTGTACTTCACCATTTCTTGTACGTTACTATCCCAAAATTCGTTCATATTTTCATAATTTCCTGGCAATAAGATATCAGAGTCTCTCAACATTAACAACTTACTGTACAGAATTTGGAAAGAGGTCTCTTCTCTTCTAGTAGCTTTAGAAATATCAGTAACTGACGTCAACTTGACCACCAATAATATTAATGTCTACCATAACGGTGAAAGTGAAATAATACAAATGTTATGAACAATTATTGCTGGAATTTTCTTTTTTTATGAATTATTTAGGTTTAAATTTTGTTATATTCTTTTTTCTTATGTTCAAAATGTTACTTATGTTTAGTTTTAAGACTGTAGTTATTAACTTTAAAATAGAAAAAAAAAACAAAAAACATTTTTGAGGCGTTTTAGCCTTTAGAAGCCCACGGGAACCGAACCCTTGAGCTTCCGAGTCCAAGTCGGGCTCACTCGCTCGCTGCCATTGAAGAGCTTATGCTCTGCGCTCAAAATGCGAACATGAGACAAAAGTATTTAAAAAACCAAACTTTGACCTGCCATATCTCAAAAAACTAGAGATTGTTGGCAAAAAAATTTTTACACCATAAGTCCTAGATTTTTTCGCGCTATGTTTGTATATATACCACTAGTTATAACTCGATTTTCATTATTTGCGGTTTCCTAGTTAAGTTTAACAAGTCTATGTCTACTAAGCTCAAGTCTACAATGAACCCCCCTCCCCCTTTCCCAGAAAAAAAAATTTCGAAAAATGTTGAACTTGGTCCCCCCCCCCTGTGGATTTTTAGAAAAACCAAAGTCCCTGTCCGGCCTTGGGTCTAAGCCTACTAATTTTGAAAAAAAAATTGTAGCAATCTTCAATTAACCGTATAATTAGCCTAACTAGATAGTTTTAAAAGACATCTAGGTTGCTAATTGGTATTTGTGTCTTCTAAACAAAGCGGGGGCGAGTGGTTTCCTTGACCAACAACAATATTTTTGATACAACATGTTATAACGGGTGTATCAAAATACTAAACTTTCGATTAGGGCTTGTTTTGCTATTACTCTCCTCTTCCCCCCCCCCTCCTCTCCTTTGCTACCTTTTTCTTTTTGTTCTACAGCCTATAAGTGCATGTCTTATTTTAGCAAAACCTGTCGAACAGTTTGCCAAACTGAAGTTCAATTTAAAAAATATTTTATTTTAAAAACGATTGTTACACCGTTCGTTTTCAACAACATAACATTTTGTACCAAGTTCAGCGAAGGTTCAGTTCCGCTTCGAAAAAACAACCGGGGGAACTTTCTTGATTGAAGCGTGTTCAGAGTACGACGTCACGGCTGTAGTTTGTGTAATTGTGATTTGGTCTTGACTTTTAGAACAATTGGCTTCAATTAGAAGCTGATCATTAACGTATATTTTGCGTTTACCATAGCAATAGGTCCTTTATTTTGTCTTAAACCAAGCCTACTTAGTCTAATCCTATTATCTAACACTAACATAAGTTTTTTCTGAACTATTTTTTATCTGCCGTATTTATCAGTATATAAGCATACATTTTTTGTTATAAATTTTCATTGTTAAAATCCCTAAGCCTAAGCCTAAGCTAAGCCTAAGCTAAGCCTAAGCTAAGCCTAAGCTAAGCCTAAGCTAAGCCTAAGCTAAGCCTAAGCTAAGCCTAAGCTAAGCCTAAGCTAAGCCTAAGCTAAGCCTAAGCTAAGCCTAAGCTAAGTCAAAGCTAAGCCTAAGCTAAGCCAAAGTTAAGCCTAAGCTGAGCCTAAAGAAAAGTCTATAATGACAATATGCTGTGTTAATTTAGGGTTTATATACTCCTAAATTATGGCACATTAAAAGTGGTACCGCACACAAAAAAACCGTGCAAGCAGCCGCAATATTGCGTTGTGCAACGTTACTACTGACATTACAAAGAGCCCAAAATACTTACTTATTTAGCCTACTAATTATTATTTACAAAAATTGTAGTTTCTGGTCAAATTCGGGCGTTACCATCGATAGCTTGCACACTATGATTTTATTTTAAAATCTCATCACTGTTCTTTATTAAACGACCATTATCAAGGACGAATTCAGCGAGAATCTTTTCAGCCATTTTGTTTCGTATTTGGGGTTTGTGGCTTTCTGCTACTTATATAGGTTGAAACTTTGTGGCTTGTTACTACTTTTAGATGTACAAGATAGTAGTCTACTATTATTGATATAGGTATTGGAAGGACTAGGCTTAGCAATTTTACTGTTACAAAAGGAAGAAGAGTTAAAATAGCCTCATAGGTTTAAAAATTAGTTTTTAGGCTTAATATTAGGTGCCGACATAAAGAACCCGCCATTTTTTACAGAGAATTACAGGAAAAGTATGGCGGGTTCTTTATGTCGGCACCTAATAATAACAAAATTGGTATAAATAGTCGTTACTGTTATGACTGACACCGCTGTACTTTGCTCGGAAATTACCTTTTTGATTTTTTAACATTAAGTTTTCTAGACTAACATCAGATGATTTTTTTAAAGATTGAAGTGAAATGACTTTGATTTTTGTGATTCTTGGAAGCAACGTTAAAGTTTGATTGTTAGAGTGCAATTTAGGTTTTTAGGTGTTTTCTTTTTGCTTTAAAACGTTTTTGTTTTAATTTTTAAAAATTTATGAAAAGAAAGTTTGTCAAGCATAATAAGCTTGCGTTTATTAGGCTTAAGCTTGCAGGTTTAGGTTTAGGATTACAGGGTAGATATCCAACCTGCAACTCTCAGAATCACCTCAAAATTTTTATATGAATTCCTTGTCTACCAATAGTACCCATAAAAACTTTTAGCTCGCGCTTGTGAGTTTTAAATTTGAATTATTTTGGTTTTCCGCCAATTTGAAAAATTTGGCATTGTGTTTCAAGCACATTTCTCGACTTTCCAAACAAGCTACGCTTACAAATTTAAAAATTTAGGTTCATTTAAAAATATTCTACTTGTATATCAAAGAAAAATTCCTAAAATTCAAAAAATGGCAAAGTTATTGGCTTGAAACACAATGCCAATTTGGAGAGAAATTCAAAACGCAGTTTTTGATCTCGATTTTCTTGTGATTGATTGGAAAGAGCGATTTAGTACTTTGCTGAACATCTTATATTTAAATTGTCTTTCTGAAGAATAAGTTTGAAGTCAATCAGAGCGGGGGAAGGTCGGGCACCTTCATTGTTAGCAGGCTTAGGTTTTGGGAGATCAGCAGGTTTATTATCAGTAGGTTGCTGTTTGTTACTTACCAGCTTATTAAGCTTACTCTTAGGCTTAGTGACCCTAAGATTAAAAATTTCAAAAATTTTTTTTTAATTTAAAAATGGCTTTTCTACAAATTACCAATAAAGCGATTACCTTTTCTGAACGCTTAAATTGTTTATGTTTGTTTTTCACAAATTAGCTAAGCGATTAAAAATCGTTAATGTTTACATACCTTAATCACGTTTTTATTTTTATTTATCGCGATTGTTCAGGTTTCACACCTATAGTTTAAGAATTTATTTTTATTTATTTTGAGAAATTGTACTTTATATAACTGTTATGTCTTTGGTCGATTGCGCGATTCAAACTACAACGTAGACGTGAAACATTGCAAATTCCGGAAAGTTTCATAATTTTACGACGTAAACAGTGGAAAACGGTAATTGTAACCTTATAGATTAAACATTAATAGATCTTTAATTGACTAAAAAGTAAGCTTTGTGTTCAGTGTAATCGAATTCGAATATAAATACGGGGGTGATTTTTGTTGACTTTTTTTTGAAAAAAGGGCAAGTAGTGAATTTTTTTAAAAGACAATTTAAAATTTAAAGATTTTTAATTAATTTGCATTAGAAACGATGACTTTTTTTTATTTTATTGTAAAATTTTTTTGCTTATGTTTTACTTTTCTAAATCCACAATATATAAAACAAGCCTAAAAGCCTTACTTCTGCCTTACAAAAACTTGAAACTCATTAAATTCGTTTTATTGCGTTCCAACCTTTTCAATAACATTCCTTGGGTAAAATCACTTCACGTCGACCCCAAGAAGTCGTCTTTTCGTTGGTAATCTGGCGGTTTACACTTTGTTTTTCTTAAACTTGCGGTCTTTCATATAGAATAAATGTTTCGTTTAGAAACTATTGGCACAATATTAAACTTTAGGCTTAGTAGGCTTAAGCTTGTTGGTTTGCAGTTAGTAGAATTAGATTTTGTAGAATTAGTGATAGTAAGCTTAGGCTTTGTAGGCTTACAGTTAGTAGTCTTAGATATTTTAAAAATAGGCCTAGTACGTTTAGGCCTAGTAAAGTTATTCTTAGCTGGATTAGGCTTAGTGGTCTCGACTTCATAGAACTATAAAGCTTCGGTTTATTATTCAGCAAGCCTCATAGTACTGTAATAAACAATTGCCGGAGCTGCATAATCATTTAGATTAATATTTCTGATGTACCATGTTATATACATAATATTGTGATATAACAGAATAGCTTTAGAGAAATTGTCAGAAACTGTGTTGCGCAACTTTTTCTTATGCAATTTTATGGGTTTATATGATATTTGCCTCGATGTAAAAAGACCCAACAAATTACTGCGAGTGCTGGGATATGGTTTATTTTTCTGTACGGGACAACTTTTTCTCTGCGGAATATTATAGGTATATAAACCCTGAATACATGCAGAATAGTGTCATTATTGCTTAGGATTACCTTTAAGCTTAGCTTTAGGCTTAGCTTAGGCTTAGCTTAGGCTTAGCTTAGGCTTAGCTTAGGCTTAGCTTAGGCTTAGCTTAGGCTTAGCTTAGGCTTAGCTTAGGCTTAGCTTAGGCTTAGTTCAGGTTTAGCTTAGGCTTAGTTCAGGTTTAGCTTAGGCTTAGTTCAGGTTTAGCTTAGGCTTAGTTCAGGTTTAGCTTAGGCTTAGTTCAGGTTTAGCTTAGGCTTAGTTCAGGTTTAGCTTAGGCTTAGTTCAGGTTTAGCTTAGGCTTAGTTCAGGTTTAGCTTAGGCTTAGTTCAGGTTTAGCTTAGGCTTAGTTCAGGTTTAGCTTAGGCTTAGTTCAGGTTTAGCTTAGGCTTAGTTCAGGTTTAGCTTAGGCTTAGTTCAGGTTTAGCTTAGGCTTAGTTCAGGTTTAGCTTAGGCTTAGTTCAGGTTTAGCTTAGGCTTAGTTCAGGTTTAGCTTAGGCTTAGTTCAGGTTTAGCTTAGGCTTAGTTCAGGTTTAGCTTAGGCTTAGTTCAGGTTTAGCTTAGGCTTAGTTCAGGTTTAGCTTAGGCTTAGTTCAGGTTTAGCTTAGGCTTAGTTCAGGTTTAGCTTAGGCTTAGTTCAGGTTTAGCTTAGGCTTAGTTCAGGTTTAGCTTAGGCTTAGTTCAGGTTTAGCTTAGGCTTAGTTCAGGTTTAGCTTAGGCTTAGTTCAGGTTTAGCTTAGGCTTAGTTCAGGTTTAGCTTAGGCTTAGTTCAGGTTTAGCTTAGGCTTAGTTCAGGTTTAGCTTAGGCTTAGTTCAGGTTTAGCTTAGGCTTAGTTCAGGTTTAGCTTAGGCTTAGTTCAGGTTTAGCTTAGGCTTAGTTCAGGTTTAGCTTAGGCTTAGTTCAGGTTTAGCTTAGGCTTAGTTCAGGTTTAGCTTAGGCTTAGTTCAGGTTTAGCAATGTGAAAATGACGTATATAGGTCCAAAGCTTGGTTTATATACGATAAAGTGCGGCACATAAAAAGTAGTTTAGTGCAGAAAAAGCGTATACCTTCGCGTCTTTTAGTACCATATAGGATTATGTAATAAGCTCCTTCATCTGAGACTGAGGCTTAGTAAGCTGTTTGTTATCATTTTTTACTATTTTTTCGTGAATACTATTATTTTTTAAAGTAATATGCATAATATTATACATGTATGAGCAATTTTTTTACAGATTTCACACAATGTTAAAACTATTAAGTTTGTTTACCTTAATATACACAGTAAATGCTTTCACATTACATCCAGACGAAGAGTGGACGCATTTCGAATTGATTCCACGTTCAGACATGTGCGCATTGTGTCACAGTGTAATATCACACTTTCAAGATTCGAAATTAAAAGACCCTAAGGGATTTAAAGAAGTAGGTTTATATATTGTTATTTGTAAGCTTATATATTTTTTATTACATGTTTTTTAGAGGAATATGGGTACAGTAGAGCAAGATGGGGTTGAGTGTATAGAGCAAAGTAAATTTTGTTATAAATTTGTTTTTTTCAGGACCTTTTAATGTCATGCACGTTACTAAGGACTCCAGAAGACATTGACAAATGTCGTGACCAGATTGACGATGAGAAACTGAAAACATTGGACACAAAGTCAGTGGAACAGATATGCGAAGAACAAAAAATGTGCAAAAAGAACGAAAAACCTCGAGAGTTTCGAACAACGATGGAAATGAAAACACAAACACCTATTAGTGCCAATGTCGAAACGGCATTTTACACCAACAAACATGGCGACAGTAATGGGTACAAACAGTTCAATGGAGTGGAAGTCAATGGTAAATTTTTTTGAAAAATTAGAAAATTTCAAACAAAATTTTCAAAAATGTAAAATTGTTTTACTTATAATATTTACTTTCAATAAAACTCTGTTTTCAGCGCCTCTTCTGAGCACGATACTATTCTGCACGTTAGCAATTTTACTGCGGTAGCCAACGAACACTTCCTACCTTATATTTGACACAATTTACTGCAATTTGTACATTCATTGTTGTTAATCGTTATTATATTGAAATGAGTAGATGAAAATAAATATAAAATAACATTATGGTCCATTATTATTTTCAAAAACATAATAGTTCACAAAAGCCGAAATTGTTTGTTTTTAAAGTAATAAAATCAATTGTGACACTCCGCAACAATTATACTTTTTGGAAGAAAATTATTTTTGACGTAGAATTAGCTTTTTTAAGGTTATCTAACGTAAAGTAACTACCTTTTTCTTGATAATTCAGAATTAGAATTGGTGTTTGGGGTTTTAATTAGGTTCTGTTGTATTAGTTTGTCTTTTTGGAGCGTTTTCTAGCTGTTTTGTTAGGTTATTTAAGTAAAGCAGTCGATATTATGAAGGGGTTTTGCTTTTTTTCGATAGTTTTTTTGTTTACTGGGCGTTATAGCCGTTATATTTTGTTTTTCAAGTTAGTATTCTAGTGTTGAAGGTGCTAAATATTTAGTTTTAAATAGAGAATGTACTAAATATATTACTTTAGGTGTTGACTTGAATACATTGTGGATCGTGCATGATAACACATTCAACTCGCTTTACTTTATCATAAATTTTGATTTTACGGGTTTAATTGGTCTTTCCTCTATTCTCTTATCACTATAAACAACAACAGAATGGTATCTACACGAGGTTTGGTGGCTGTATCAGTGATCTTATTGTACTCCAGCACATTATATGGAATATATTTGAATTTCCCAGAGTTGACAGAGTAAGTTAAGTTTTTTAATATATTTTTCTGTTTTTAGGAAGGAAAAAGAACAGTTCAAGTATCCGAGGAATTTGGATGATGCTAAAAACCTTGGCAGAGTTTTGTCTAATTACAAGGACAAGTACTTCTACACTGTTTTGGCTGGAGTTACGTGTGTGTATGTAGTGTAAGTTATTCTTTACTATTTTGAATATTTTTTTTGATTTTTTAATAACCGTTTTGTTATTAAGTAAAAGCTTTTTAATATTTTTATAATAAAAATCAAATTTTTAGGTATCAAAAAACATTTTTTGATAAAATAAGTTGTTGTTTTGTCTATATTGATGCTATTTTAGAATATTTTAGATTACAATCGTTTGCTATACCCGGGTCGATCTTTTTAACCATTTTGAGCGGATATCTGTTTCCATTTTATGTGGCGTTGACGTTGGTTTGCACTGTAAGTTAATTTAAGGTTTTCTTTTTGTAAATTATAAGCCAAGCTTTATATAAAGTAAAGATTAAGTGTAGTAACTATAAAGTTTGTGTTTGGTTTTATAAAATGATATTGTTTTAGTGCTCAGCATGTGGTGCAGCCGTATGTTACTACCTATCGTATTCTCTGGGAAGAAACTTGGTGATGAAGTATTTTCCGGAAAAGCTGCTTTCTTGGCAAAATGAGGTGAGATTTAGGGTTATGTTTGAATGAAGATTTACTCTCTTTCATTAAGAAAAAAGTGCTTTTTTCGATAAAACCAAAAAAAAACTTTATGTTTAGGTAATAATTAGGATAAAATGGTTAACAGAAACAACAAGTGTTAAGAAAACGAATTTTAGATTAAAAAACACCAAGACAACTTATTAAACTACATAATCTTTCTTCGAGTAACTCCAATTTTGCCAAATTGGTTTATTAATATTGCGTCTCCTGTGGTTGATGTCCCCATATTGCCGTTCTTTTTTGGCACTTTCTTTGGTGTAGCGCCACCTTCGTTTTTGTTCATTCAAGCTGGCACTACTCTACAACAAATGACGAACGCTAATGTTGTGTGGAGCTATCAGTCGGTGTTAACTTTGGCATTTTTTGCGTTTTTGTCTATTGCTCCAATATTTTACAAAAAGCTGAAAATTAAGTCTGAATAAGGTGGTTTTTTATAAATTTTTTACTTATTTTAAGTTGAAATACATTTTTGGCCATTGGAAAGTTAGAAAACTAAAATCTGATTTAAAGTAAGATATGGATAATATTTGACTTTAAATAGTGGATAACATGAATGAAAGATCTTTTAAGTTTTTTTGTGTTTCCTTTTGGCATGAACACTTTATCAAGGGTTGTTTAGTAATTGTTTTACTATTTTTGAGATTAAAAATGCTTTATTTTCACTTTTTCTACAATAACTTAAAGTATGTTTTGGATTAGTACCAAAATTTTAATAAAACTCACGATTGTCAGTTATTTTTTAGGCTTGTGATATTACTTTAGCTACTTTTAATTTGACTTGAGGCTGTTCTTTTACTGATGCTGTTTTTTCAACATCTTGATGATATTTTCTACAATATAATGTTATTTTGTCAATAATTGTCACCTTTTTTTCATTTTTTGGTAATTTTTCAAGGACAATTTGAATATCTTACAGTTTCATGTTGTGTCAACGAACCCCAAGCTTGTTATTTTACAATAAAAACCTATGTTTGGTCGTTTTAAACTAGGATAATCAACGCAAAAACGAACGTAAGATTTTGCAAAAATTAGTTCCTAAAACATTCCCGAATTTGGGAAACTCGCGCACTGATTTGGGTATTTAAATCTTTAAAATCACGATGGAAAACCCGCGACCTGAATTTGCGACGAAAAAATGGGGGAGAAAAAGTGTCTTTTTAGGTATTGAACTGTCATTTTTCTGTTTATAAAATCCGTGTACCGTCGAGAGTCTCGACCGAACGGGATGGTTATGATGATTTTAGGGGATTTATAATCAAAAGGTTAGGGTATGAGGGAGTTAAAGGTTGAATAAGATAATGTAAGACAGAGTAAGTGTTTTACAGTAGGGTAGTGTGCTCATTGTCTTACCCTACCAGGCAAATAGGGTTGTGTCCCATATCATATAGCATAGTAGGGTAAGGTAGAGTAGAGCGGGGTAGAGCATGGTAGGAAAAGGTAGGATAGCAGGTGGTAAAGTATAGTAGATATGACCACTCGGGTAAGGCAAACCATTATAATTAAAATATTTTGTAAAAATTGCTTATGTAAGCTCAAGTATAAGATTCTCACGGTGATTTTATTGTAGTGAAAAACCAATAAACTGTCGTATTCAAATTCCAGTAGCCTTCCGACTCGTTTTTAGGCACAAGAGCCGGTTTTGCGAACGGTGTCATAAACGAGAAGATTCACGGCTTATAGATCATCCTTAGATTTGTATATTTTTATGGTTTTTTGAAAAGTAGACGGGGAGTTTGATTCAAAATTTAATAATTGTGTATTAGGGATATCACTTTGTTGGGTAGGATATGCTAAAATATTGTAGTAGGGAAGGTAAGCAAAGTAAGTTATATCATGTAAGAAATGAATTTTGGGTTTAGCACACTACCTTAGGCTTTGCAATTTCAGGTTAAGTACGCGTTTTAGTTTCACGCAATTTTAGGTTTAAGTACACATTTTAGGCTTAGGTACGCATTTTTAGGTTTAGATACACAGTTTAGGCTTAGGTACGCATTTTTAGGCTTATACACGCATTTTTAGGCTTAGGTACACATTTTTATCTTAGGTACACATTTTAGGATTAGGTACACATTTTTAGGCTTAGGTACACATTTTAGGCTTAGGTACATATTTTTAGGCTTACACACACAGTTGTAGGCTTAAACACACATTTGTAGGCTTAATCACAAATTTTAAGCTTAGGTACACATTTTAGGCTTAGGTACATATTTTTAGGCTTAAACACACATTTTTAGGCTTAATCATACATTTTAGGCTTAGGTACACATTTTCAGTCTAAGGTACGCATTTTTAGGATTAGGTACGCATTTTAGGCTTAGGCTTGACAATTTTAGGTTTATTGTTAGGTACGCATTTTAGGCTTAACAATTTCAGGTTCACATTTTAGGCTTAGTAAAATAGGCTTCAGCAAGTCAGTACACCACTGGTTTCTTAGCATAATATGCTTTTAAATTCTTCAAGAATTTTTGGCATTTGCACGGTGCAAGAAACGTGACAACCGGTTTGTGATAATTGCTTTTCTGGAAGGTTGAAAGAATAGGGGGGGGAGATAATAGCGATCAAAAAGATAGGTAAAAACGGAAACCGTAAGTGAAAGTCGGTCACTTGAAAATCCCGTTAAACAGCGATTTCATGTCATCCTCTGATGGGGTGGTTAGTTGTTTTTTGTTGTTTATGGCATTAGGGGTGTTTTTGGTACGTTTTACTATAGAAAAATTTTTTTAAAATGATTTTAAAAATTTTTTGAGTTATCAGTTTGTATAAAAAGTAATGAGCTACTGAACTCCATATAAGCTAGTTGAAATAGCTCATTACTTTTTATAAAAGCTAATATTTAAAATAAAAAAAGTTTTTTAAAATTTGAAATTAAAATGTTGATTTTAAGAGAGGAGGGGTTGGATAAGGGCAGGGCCAAAAAATGAGCTGATTCATAAGTTTAAAATCCCTAGGTCACGGTATAAAAGGTACAAGGCTAGGTTTTTAAAAATACTTCCGATTTTACGTAATTTTCGCTACTGCTTAAGGAGTTATTTACTCACGTTGAATTGTGACTCATTTACCTCACACGCGCAACCTCAATTATCGTGTTTTTACTATGCAATAACGTAAAATTTGTCTGGTTTTGACAAAATTGTAGTAAAACTTTTAAATTTTTGAAAATTTAAAGTTTTTTTCTAAGTGTACTGTAATTTTTTAAGTGTACTGTAGTTTTTGAAGTGTCCTGTAATTTAAAAACTATTTAGCCTACGTTAATATGCGTTGAACTACCAAAACATTGTCGAATGATTGCCAATAATAATAATATTCAAAAATGATATTGGAATGGATTGGAAGTTATGTTAAACTGCCTTGGCTAGCCGTGACTTTGTTAATTTTGTACAGTTTTCATGAATTTTACTGGAAACGGAGGAATTTACCGCCCGGACCGGTGCCTTGGCTGGTCGCTGGGAATATGATGGAGGTAAGAAAGTCTATCTTACCTGATGCCCTACTCTACTCTGCCTTACTTTACCCTACTCTACCCTACTTTACCCTACCCTACCCTACTCTGCCCTACTCCACTCCACTCTACCCTACCCTACTCTATATTCCCCTACCTTAAAATAATATTATTTTAGGTTCTACTAAACCCAGACATAGACAAGCTGTTTTTAAAATGGAAACAGCAATTTGGTGGGATTTTCACATTCTGGATCGGCCCCATTCCTATGGTTATGGTAGCCGATGTGTCATTGCTCAAAAAGTATTTTGTAAAGTACGGTGATGTCTTCAGTGGACGGTGGCGGAATTTTATCACGGATCACATGCTTGGTAAGGGTGTTTTACCATGGAACTTCAAATTTCAAAGGAATTTTTAATGGAAGTTTAAATTAAAATTTTTTGTTACCTAAAATTAAAAATTTTTTTTTATGAACGATAGATCGATTCACATTTCACAAACATCAGTTTCAGACGGCTTTAACGGTGTAGTCCAAACGGACGGTGAAAAATGGCGTGAACAGCGACGCTTCTCACTTCACGTTCTTCGTGACTTTGGCTTCGGCCGTTCCTTCATGGAAAACAAAGTTATGCGAGAAATCGACCGGTTTTTGGAACATTTGGACTTGGCAGTCGATAAAGATGATGGTATTATCGAACCAGACAAACTATTGGGTGTTTGTGTTGGCAATATTATCAATGACATCTTGTTTAGCAAAACTTTTGAGCATGTAAGTTAACTTTTGACGTTATTAAAAATTTTTGAAAATTTTAAATGTAATTTTTTTAATTAAAAGATTTAAAAAATTAATTTTAAAAGTTTTTAATGTATAATGTAAACCCATTTTATAAGTTATTTATTACCTAAAAGCGGCCGGAACAAACGTGACTCCGTGGCGCAACGGTAGCGCGTCTGACTCCAGATCAGAAGGTTGCGTGTTCGAATCACGTCGGGGTCAAAGTCGTTTTTTGATATTTTTGGTGTTTTAAAAGGGTAAATTGATTATAAAAAGTATTTTAATTTTGAAATTATGGTTTTTTAAGTAAATCACAGTAATGGTTTTCAATATTTCTCAGTGTTATATTATGAAAATACGCGAAAAACTTTTTGATTAAAAAATTTTTGGTTTTTAAAATTTATTTTCAGACAGACGAAGTTTTTCTAGAAATGCAACATGTTTTGGATCAACAATCTCAACTTGTCACAAAACCTATCAACGGCCTATATCTTACTCTACCTTTTACTGTACACATACCATATATCAATTCATCGTGGTTGAAATTGACAAAAGTTCGAGACACTTTTTGGAGGTTTTTGGACGTTCAAATTCAAGAACATCGACAACGTTTCGACGAGCATTTGGCACAATGTAGAGATAAAATGGCACAAAATGGGAACGGTTTGAAAAAATGTGACAAAAGGCTTGGAAAGGGAGATTCAGCATTGTGTGATGGCAAAAATGGTGACAAAAGCGATTCAGATGAGGATTTTGAGATGATTCCATTAATGGACCATCGATCAGATAATGAAAAAGTGCGAGGAAATGATGCAGAAACGACCGAAAAAATATCTTTACAAAATGATGACTATTCAGATGACCCAAAAGAGAATGATTTAGATGACAATAACGATGTAAAGTACGATTACCCAGACTCAGACTTCACCTATGTTTATATGAAGGAAATGCATCAACGAAAGTTCTCCGACGATCCGGGATTCTTCACCGATATTCAGCTAAAAATGCTTTTACTAGACCTATTTTTCGCTGGTAGTGAAACTACCGTAACCACCGCCAAATGGGGCCTAGTCCTACTCATCAACCATCCCGAAGTCCAGAAGAAAGTACAAGAAGAACTGGATTTGGTACCAAATCGAGTAGGTATGGAGCATCGAAATCGTCTAAGTTACCTTCAAGCTACAATTAGTGAAATTCAACGCATCGCCAATATATTACCCATCAATCTACTTCGTACCGTAACCGAAGATGTCAACATTGATGGGTACCATTTTGAAAAAGGCACCATGGTACTGCCACAAGTGTCGATTTTGCTGAATGATCCGGAGCATTTCGCAGAGCCGGAGCATTTCAAGCCGGAGCGATTCCTGGACGAGAATCAGAATCTGCGACGCTACGATGCCTTCATGCCCTTCTCGATCGGCAAACGACAATGTTTGGGCGAGAGTTTGGCTCGGATGGAGTTGTTTTTGGTTTTTGCGAATCTACTTCGAAATTTTGAATTTGAAAAATGCCCGGGGGAAGAAGCACCGTCGAAGCGGCGGATTCTTGGGCTCACGGTGTCTCCGCCGAAATTTAAATGTAAAGTTAGGAGACGGGCGTGATGCTAATGTCCTAACTATATCTTTTGTGAAAAGATTCATAAAATGACCCATATCTCATGTATATATCAATAATATACATATTGTTTTTGTCTTTCGATCTGATACTCCTAACACTATATATTCAATAATCACAGTAATAAGTTACAAATATATATACTACTTTTAAACTATTTTCTTACTAATATTACACTTGTTCTCCTTTAAAATTTCGAAAATCTTCATTAAAGATGCTCAATTTGATTAGAAAATTAGTCTTTTCCCAAATATTTTACATTGAAATACCGTATTACCTATAATAAATAATTTATCATGTTAAAAATTTTATTAAATATCACAAAACAAACAAAGTAACCAGTATTTTACATATGAATTTTACGGTGTTAAAAATTCTTGTCGCCATTTTACATTCATTGCCACGATAAAAAGCGACAAGACTTTTTGTCACCCTAACACAATACTTCAAATTTAAAAATTTGAAATCCAACTTTACAATATAATCCATCCCTGCCTATCCGACACTTCACTACCCTCTACACTTTGATTTGGTTGATTTTTTCGGTCGAAAAGTCCGACCGCAGCTTCAGGAACTTTTTCAAATCGGCCGACGTTAGAGCTTGGCCTTGATGAGCGGCCGAATCGTGGAAATAAGCGACGGCTTCGTCCAGTGTGTCGAGGTTCAGTAGGCCTACGATTTGGGCTAGTCTGGCGGCTTTTGAGCGAATCGACCAGCCGGCAATGTTGGTAAAGTACTCGGTTAGGGAGCGGGTTTCTCTGTCCAGCTGTAGGGCGCCATTACGGTTGAAATAGAGTTGTAGAATGACGGCTTCGAGTCGGCGGCCGGTTTCGGCCATTATTGCTCCCAGTAGCTCCTGAAATTCAGTTTTTTGAAACGTTTTTATCTATATTGAAGTAGTAAGCTGAATTTTCAAAAAATATTTGTTCTCTCGGCCAAAAACCTTAAATTCTACAGATTTTTAGACCGACAAAAGTCTGTTTCTAAAAACTTTTTGACCACTTTTAACTTACATTGTAATTCTCTTCAGTCAACACTTTCTCGAATGGTGCTATCAGTTTGTCCGATTGAGCAATGAAATTGGCCATAAATGGGTCGTTGACCTCGAATTCGGCAAACTCATCATCGCTGATTTCGTGATTGAAGTTCAGATAGGCATCCGCGCTGAAAATGGCATTAAATAAAAAAAAAATTTTATAAAAATTTGCATTAAAAAATTTTTAATTTTTTTACATTAGACACGACTTACTTGCTCTTCAATTTCGGTTTAAAAGCCGAATCCACCAGCTTCCCTATTCCAATACTAGCACTTTGGCTGAACTTCTTGCCAAGATCGTCAAGTTGTGCTACAGAATTGTCCAATTTGTGTTTCTCGTTCTTCGACACTGCTCCCAAATGTCGTTCAAACTCGTCTTTCAGGCCTTGTTTTAGTGTTGACAAGAACTTTACAGCTTCGGCCATGTTGTTCAGGGCTAAAAGGAAAGCAGTGCGCTGGGATTCTGGGCCAGCTTCTGCTACGGATTTACCGTGCTGTAAAACGTTGTAGGCAGTTTGGGCGGTTTGATAGGCTTCAGCCGCGAATCCGACACTCGGGTAGCCGTTATGAAACAAAATTTTTTAAAATAATTCGATTTTTTACTTTAATATTTAGCTTCCAGGCTTAGAACTTTATTTTTAGGCCTAAATAGGCTTTTAAGCTTAAGATATTACAGCTAGACTAAAATTTTAAAAATTACCTTGATAATCTTGTTGATGTGAACAAAAAAGTCGGTTTCCAGTAAAGTACACCCATTGTTCAACATGGCACAAACACAATCCACCGACGACGATGTGATAGATCTTCTGATGCTTTTCCTCACGATGAAGAACACGTCGTCCAGTAGTGAGGTTGTCAATGCACCTTCTTCCACATCCTCCATCTCGATGCCCTTCTTTACGGATTCCGTCATATAGTACTGCTCCAAGAGTACGTACTTGCCCAGTATCTCTTGCATTTTCATGCTTAGTTCGGAGCGATTCAAGAGGGCATCTAGCTTCTTGTTTCGTTCTTTTTTCAACAGTTTTTGCTTTTCAGCCGCTGCTTTTAACTCTTCTTCGGATAGTTCGTCCATGAATACTGAGTCGGCTACGGCTTTAGGGCTTAATGGAGGTCCGTCTTCGCCGGATTCGCTTAAGGGACGATGTGCTTCTCCCAGACGTCGTTTTAGGAATCTCCAGTAAAGCTCCGTTCTTGTGTGCATAATCGTGATTTCGGCCAATAGAACGTCCAGATCGCGGGGTTCAATTTTGTCTAAAATGTAAAAAATCATTAATACCTAAGCCAACGATTCTATCCTAAGCCTAAAAATCATGTTTTAAGCCTAAAAATCAATTTCCAAAAACTTAAAAACTAAAACATACCAGCACACTTCCCAGCAGTTCTCATGTACCCATCGACCACCCTTATCTTCTCATCTAACTGTCTTTTCATCAAGAATGCGGATATGATTCGAATCGACTGTTTATCAGCCTCAACTTCAATGATCTCAATCAAGTCCAACAACTTGTCAGGTCCATAGAAATTGTCGATAATTGGTTGATATGTTTCAATTAATCTGGCAATGTGCTCCAACAACAAAGTGAGAGTATCAGCGTACAAAACATTGATTCTTTTATCATCCGTGCCACCAGCTTGCATCAATTTATAAAATTCATCGCCGGATTGGCCAATCTTCTTGTTTAGGTAACTTCCGAACTTTCGAAGACCGGTTGAATGGTCGTTTATCATGGGGAAGAGCTTGAAGTATCGTTGGATTGACTTTTCATCGGCCGCGGACAAAGACTCATCAAACTTTTGTTCAATTATGGTTTTAAGCTCGGTTTGGGCAGTTCGAAGGATTTCGTAGCTGTGTTTCAAAGACTGGCCTGGCTCTGAAAATCAATCAAAATATTAATCAATTCAAAATATTAGCCAAGCTATGCCTCAAATTTATATATTGCTTCATATTTACCCAATAAACATACTTTAAACCAACTAAAAATGCCTATTTTGGGCGCAAAAACCTACCTTTAGCTCCAACATCTCCAACCCTAAAAACGGCCGAATCTAAAGTCAAGAACCTGTGAATATTCTGAGCAGCTTCATCGTAATCCTTCTCAACCATAGCTTTCTGAACTCCCTCTGCACATGTTCTCAAATCCCTCAAATCATTAACAAGTTGAAGACATTCAACTACACGACCTTTAGCTTGATCCAGCACTGCCACCTTCTTACTGATGTTATCGGCTAATGTTGATACTGTATGGAGACTTGAATTTAATTGTTTTGCATCGCTTTTCATACATTCGTTTAGACTGCAGACTCGTGCTATCGACTGATCGAACGACTTTAAGAACTTTTCGGCTCCTGAAAATTATAGCTTATTTAGACAATGTTAATATAGAATTTTCAAAAATCTATACAGAGAATTATCTAAAATACATAAAGAAAAAAATGAACAGTCTAAAAAGAACGTTATGCCAAATTTTAAGTTTTTCCGACCATTAGTTAGTTCAATATAACAAAAACTGAACATCACTCCAAAAAATCATGTTGATTACCTAAAAACAAAATAAAAAAAAGGAAATCGTACCTCCAGGGCCAATAGCAGTGTCTATTTCACGTTGTACTTCCTCTAAAAGTCGATCTTCCTTCTGTTTCGTTATCTCCAACTCTGCTCTCAGTTCTGCCAACTCTTGGCCAAAGTTAAATTGCAATTCCAAGCATGACTCCAACTGTTCTTCAACTTTTTCATTGTTATTTGACCAAATTAAACGTTCCTCTTGCTGTAAATATTAATTTTAAAGGTTTAATTTAACAAATGAATCCTATTTCTAAGCCCTGAACGTATAAAACCTATTCTTTAAAGCTAAGAAAGTCCTTTCACTCTGCTTTATAGCTCAAAAAAATGCCAAAGTTCAGCAATATTATAACTGAAACATAATGAAAATAAAAAAAAAAGTTACTTCAAAGTAATTTTCAGTGTCCATAACATCAGTTTAGCACATTTATTTTGTAGATTATCTTTGGAAACAACAATAAATTCGGTTTTGGAAAAAGATTTTCCACGATTTTATGACGTGTTGAAACAGAATGCCAAAACAAACGAAATTTGCGGAAAAAAGTATTCTTCAAACTTCATTCAATGTTAAAAAAGGTTAAAAATTGTCATAATTATGTCAAATTTCGATATTTTTGAAATTATAATTAGAATTAAAATCCAAAATTACAAAAATTACTAATTTTCTGAACTCATGTTTACTTTTTTATGTTATCGTGCATCGGTTATTACTTTGTTATCTCCAGTTCCGGTTTACCTCAAAAAAGCTGATAATTGAATTCCAAAAACCTTGTAGTTAAAGATTATAGAAAGTTTGACATTTTACGATGTAGTTTTAATTAAAAAGGGACTTTTTCAAAATTTATATTGTTATTGATTAACGGCTGAGGGAAATGGCATTTAAATGTCATGAAATATTATATTTTAGAGCTTTTGATCATTGTTTTGTAAAAACTAAAATTTTATAATGGTTTAGGTGTGTTTCTGTTGTAAACAACGTTTTTTTTAGTTTGTAAAGAAAGTTTTTGCCGTTTTGTGTTTTGTAAAGAAAGTTTTTGCCGTTTTGCGTTTTGTAAAAAAAGTTCTTGTCATTTTTTAAAAACGTTTTACAAGTTATAGGTTTTTAAAATGTTGGACGAGCATTGCAAACCAATATTTACATACGATGGGCAGGGTAAATTGGTGAGAGAACGTGGAATGTCATGGGTCTTGACTGGATTGTTTTTGTCAGGAGAAATGGCTGGAGCTGGTGTTATTGCGCTACCTATTGCTGTTAGGTCACTTGGTACTGTCTTTTTTTATTTTTTTTTGATTTTTTAAAATTTTTTTAAATTTAAGAAATTTTTTTTTAAAATTAAAAAAATTTTAATTTTTTTATTAAATACTGCCATTTTTTACTAAATACTGCCATTTTAAAACAAGAATTTTGAAGGTTTCTACACTGGTCTACTATTTATGGCATGTTCAGCCTTAATGGCCACATATACCGCTACAATACTTGGGAAATCTTGGTTGATACTGCAAAAACATTGGCCTATGTATAGGTACCATTGTAGAGATCCGTATGCGCAGATTGGCTATAGAGCATATGGTACTTTTGTCAAGTAGGCTTTTAACACGTTTTTAATTAAAAATTTTTTATTTTTTTAATTTTTAAAAAATTTTAGAAGATCAGTGGAAATTATATTGAACATTGGGTACTTTTGCTGCGCCGTGCTACTATTGGTGATTGTGAGTAAGAACGTGAACGATGCTGTGAAGCAATTCTTTAAAGTTAATTTTGATTTTTGCTTCTTGGCTGTTATTGTCACTGGCGTTATTACTCCGTTTTGTTACCTAAAATCGCCGCAGGAGTTCTGGTATGTCATCGGGCAGGGTAGAGTAAAGTAAAATAAGGTAAGATATGGTGGGTATGGTAGAGTATGGTAGGGTAGGGTAGGGTAGGGTAGGTTAGGGTAGGTATTGCAAGGTAGGGAAGGTATTGCAACTTAGGGTAGGGTAGAGTACACGCTACAGTATTCTACTTTCAGGTGGGCGATTATAATAGGTATGTTATGTACCCTAACAGCGGTATTACTATCAATGGGCGGAGTAATATCAGATATGGAACTGTGTCAAGATACATTAACCGTACCTGACTTCAACGTCATGAATGCCTTTACTAGTATGGGCAGTATATTATTTGCCTATGGCGGGCATGCCTGTTTTCCTACTGTACAAAGCGACATGACAAGACCGTACAAGTTTACGTACTCAAGTGTACTGGCTTACACTTGTAAGTAAAATACATAAAATTTTTGGCAAGAACTTTCTTTACAGAGCAAAAAATGGAAAGAACTTTCTTTACAAAATAAAAAATGGCAAGAACTTCCTTTACAAGACAAAAAATGACAAAAACTTTCTTTACAATACAAAAAATGCAAGAACTTTCTTTACAAAACAGAAGATAGCAAGAACTTTCTTTCCACGAAACAAATTCTAACTTATCATTTTAGTAATGTCATTACTGTACTTTCCACTGAGTATCGTGGCTAACATGGCTTATAATAATAATTTAAACTCGTCGGTTATTAATAACCTTCAAATCGACTGGATTCAACAAACTGTCAACTTACTAATCACGGCACATTGTATGTTTGCTGTGATTATTGTGATCAACCCAGCTATGCAATCGGCCGAAAATTTTTTAAAAGCGCCTCAGGGTACGTTTTGGATTTTTTGACTTGTAAACAAAATTCTTGCCATTTTGTGTTTTGTAAACAAAGTTCTTGCCATTTTGTGTTTTGTAAACAAAGTTCTTGCCATTTTGTGTTTTGTAAAGAAAGTTCTTGCCATTTCTTGTTCTACAAAAAAAGTTTTTGCATTTTTTACCTGTAAAGAAAGTTCTTGCCATTTTATGTTTTGTAAAGAAATTTCGTGCCATTTTGAGTTTTGTAAAGAAAGTTCTTGCCATTTTTTGCTCTGTAAAGAAAGTTATCGCCACTTTTTGTTCTGTAAAGAAAGTTTTTGCTATTTTTAGAATTCGGCGTGTCAAGAGTAGTGATACGATCAGCATTAATGTTAATAGCTCTAGTAATAGCCGAAACATTTCCTGAGTTCGGCCCATTAATGGGACTACTTGGTGCTACCGTAGTTAGTACCACCTCATTTTTGTTCCCCGTACTATTTTACATCCCACTACGAGAAATGGATCAACAACTGTCAAGAAAACGATTAAATTGGAGTATAAACAGTAAAAACAGACGGATTAGTGTCATTGAAGATGATACTATTGGTACTAAAAGGTTAAACTTGACTCCGGTTAGTTCTTTTAATAATGGTCCTACTCGTGCTCAAAAAATACAACCTGTGCCATTTGGTGATGCACTTAACAAAATGCCAAGACGAGAGCTTGTTATACTGTTTTTCATATTTTGTAAGTTAAAATTTATGTTAGGCTTATGTTTTAGAGGCTTAAACTTAAACTATGGCTTTAAAAAATCAGTAGGCTTGTAGGCTTAGGCTTACAAGGAAAGTACCCAACCTGCCCCGCTAGAAATCGGCCCAAAATGTTAATATAACTTCTTTGTACCACCAATAGTACCCATAAAAAATGTTAACTAGCGCTTTTGAATTTTAAATTCAAACATTTGAGTTTCCCGCCAATTTAGCAAATTTGGCATCGTGTTTCAAGCACTTTTTTCGACTTTCCAGACAAGTTACGCTTACAAATTTTAAAATATAGTTTCATTTAAAGGTATTCTACCAGTATCTCAAAGAAAAATGATTAAAAATCAAAAAATACGTTGAAACACAATGCCAATTTGGCGGGAAATTCAAAACGTAATTTTTTAATATGATTGCTTTGTAAGGAAAGTTTTTGCAATTTTTTGCTTTGTAAGGAAAGTTCTTGCCATTTTATGTTTTGTAAAGAAAGTTCTTGCAACTATTTGCTTTGTAAGGAAAGTTTCTACCATTTTATCCTTTCTAAAGAAAGTTCTTGCCATTTCATGCTATGTAAGGAAAGTTCTTGCCATTTTTTGCTTTGTAAAGAAAGTTCTTGCAATTCTTTGCTTTGTAAGGAAAGTTCTTGCCATTTTTTCTTTTGCAAAAAAAATTCTTGCCATTTTTCCTTTGGAAAAAAAGTTTTTGCCGCTAGTTAATGCCATAAAGCCAATTTTCAGTGACATCCTTTGTGATAATGATAGTATCGACAATATCGGCAACCCACGATTTGGCCACGGCTTCTTTTAAAATGCCCTGTTATCTACGTTGGCTACGTGATTGGCCACAGACTTCTGGGCCGGTAACTCCAATCTACTGTTGTGGTACTTACTCTAATATAAGCCGTGGTGGCTGTATACGTAAATAAAAATAAAAATGATTACAAGTAAATGGACAACATCGTATTATGTATCAATAAATTAAATTTCAAAGTTGGAACATTAGTTTATGGTAAAATAACTTTAAATACTGTATTATGAAGACTATAGTACTATAACATGTAGTTTAGTGGTCAAAAAGGTTGCTTTTGATGCACCTTCCGTCCAGCGTGATATTTGAGTATTTTCCACAGCACGTGATCGGTGTAATGTTTTTGGGCTTCTCCCAGTCCTTGATCCACCTCAAATAGCACGGCATCTTAAAGGATACTGTAGCCAGGTCTTTTGATGCAAATATTGTCGCTGTTACCATTACAAAGCACCCGATTACTGAAAATGACATTACTTTTTTGTAAACTTTGTTTATAGGAAAAAACTTTCTTTACAAAACACAAAATGACAAAAACTTTCTTTACAAAACAAAAAATGGCAAAACTTTTCCACCTACCAAAAATAAGCAAAATGGGCCCCGTATGATACCATTTCGTCTCTTTTAACGTCTCTGCTATTGTAATTTTCTTCAACACATCATCGCTGGCTGTTGACGTCGAATCTTCGCTCTCCTCTGTTTGTACCGTACTCATCCGATACTCCAGGATATTCAACTTTAGGTAAAACATCGCCGGGAAGAGGAATGAGGTTGTGCAGACCAAAATGCCTCCGGCAATTCCCATCAATGGCCCAAATTCGGGAAAAGTTTCGGCCAAACATACGGTCAATATCATCATACCTACACGGACGCATATACGATGAGGTCCAAAGTCTGGAAGAGGCAAAAACTTTGTTTACACAACAAAAATTGACTGAAAATGTGTAAATAAAACATTAAATTGCTCTCACTTCCGCAGTAAGTGCAAAACGACCAATTTAAAAAATGAAAGTTGAGTGGAAGATTTGTAGTGTAATTTACAATAAAAATCTTCCACTCAACTTCCATTTTTAAAATGTCTTAGGATGACCTAAAAACACGTTTTTGACACTTTTTAAAAGTGGAAGTTCAGTGGAAGATTTCTAATGTTATTTGCACTGAAAATCTTCCACTCAACTTCCATTTTTAAAATGTTTTAAAATGACCTAAAAACGTTTTTGACACTTTTTAAACTTGGAAGTTGAGTGGAAGATTTTTAGTGAAAATTGCACTGAAAATCTTCCACGCAACTGCCATTTTTAAAAATTGCTAAAATCATGTTTTTAGGTCATTTTAAAACTTTTAAAAAGTGGAAGTTGAGTGGAAGATTTGTAATGTATTTTGCACTGGAAATCTTCCACCAATCTTCCATTTACCAAAAAGACCCAAAAGCTTGCACATAATTTAAAAATGGCATAACTCACTATGAGGAAAGTTGAGATACTCTTCGATAGTCTGATTCACAGGATTCATGACCAAAATGCAGGCTATCATACAATGAAACGTGATAAGTAAGTTGGCAGATTGTTGAATCCAAACGATTTGAAGGTTATTGATCACCGATACGGATACGTTGTCGTTGTAGGCAATGTTGCCGAATAGCGCTATTGGGAAGTAGAGCATTGTAATCACTAAAGATTTTTTTGTAAAATACGTTTTCAAGTGTTGTGCTTTGTAAAGAAAGTTCTTGTCATTTTTTGTTATGTAAAGAAAGTTCTTGTCATTTTTTGATTTGTAAAGAAAGTTCTTGCCATTTTTTGTTATGTAAAGAAAGTTTTTGTCATTTTTTGATTTGTAAAGAAAGTTCTTGCCATTTTTTGTTATGTAAAGAAAGTTTTTGTCATTTTTTGATTTGTAAGGAAAGTTCTTGCCATTTTTTGTTATGTAAAGAAAGTTTTTGTCATTTTTTGATTTGTAAAGAAAGTTCTTGCTATTTTTTATTTTGTAAAGAAAGTTTTTGCCATTTTTTGTTTTTTGTTTTATAAATAAAGTTCCGTTTATCCTTCCCTCCTCAACTGTAAACAAAGTTCCTTACTAGAATAAGCCAACGCAGCCGAATACCCAAATTTGGTCGGTTGTCGCATGTCATTCTGAATTGTAGGATAGCAAAAGTGACCAGCAAAAGCTAATAGTAAGTTGCCAACATGCCCAAACGCCCTATTGTACTCCATTGCAGGTACGCTGAACGTGTCTTTGCAGTACGGTATGTCATGTGCTATGCCACCCAAAGCCAAAAATACTGCGACAAATGTGCATAGCATACCAGCTACGATGATCCACCTGAAATTAGGCTTAATTGATAGCTACTTTACACTACGAAATTGCGCACTGAAGCCTACAACTTTGTGATAAGCCTAAAATTTAACTTCAAGTCTAAAATTGCGCAAGCCTATAACTTTCTTCTAAGCCTAAAATTTAAACGTAAGCCTAAAATTGCGTAAGCCTAAGATTATGTCCTAAGCCTAAAATTTAACCTCAAGCCTAAAATTGCGCAAGCCTAAGATTATGTACTAAGCCTAAAATGTGTACGTAAGCCTAAAACTGCATAAGCCCAAAATTGTGTGTCTAAGCCTAAAATGTGAACGTAAGCCTGAAATTGCGTAAGCCTAAAATGTGTACCTAAGCCTAAAATTGCGTAAGCCTAAAAATTTGTGTTAAGCCTAAAATTTAACATCAAGCTTAATATTGCGTAAGCCTAAGATTATGTGCTAAGCCTAAAATTATGTCCTTAGCCTAAAAATTCTCCTATCTACCTAACCTATCCATAAAAAACAAATAACCTACCAAAAGTCCTGCGGGGATTTGAATAAACAAAATGGTGTTATAATGCCAACAATACATATCACGGAGAAACAGTAATCAAAATCGTACTGCCAAAATTGTTTTATCGCATCTGACATGTTTTTAGAGCAAATTACCACCAAAATAATCACCGATCCGTACGTTCCCAGGTTCAAAATCAAGGCTACTGTAGTTCTGAAAAAATCAATAAACTTGTGACACTTCGTTTAAAAATCCAATAATTTTTGTGACATTTCGCCCAAAAAAATTTTTCGTCATTTCATTAAAAACTGTTCTCGTACTATTCTGTTTTTAAAACATTTTCAGCAAAACCAATAAATTTGTGGCACTTCGTTTAAAAATTCAATATTTATGTGACATTTCGGCCACTTACTTCATCCAAGCTCCATACGCTTTGTAGCCAATTTGGGCGTACGGATCGCGGCAATGTCGTCGATATTTCGGCCAATATTTCTGAAGAATCACCCATGATCGACCAAGTATCACCGACGTATACACACACATGCAAGCGGACAGGATTATCAACAATAAGCCAAAGTAGAAGCCTAAAACAAGTTTAAAATGTATAAAAAATCATATTTTGGCAAAAAAACTTCTCAAAACGAAAAACGGCAAAAACTTTCTTTCCCAACCAAAAATCGGCTAAAACTTCCAGCCAAACCACCCTTACCGAGTGATCGCACCGCCATTGGAAGTGAAATAACGCCAGCTCCAGCCAATTCCCCAGCCAGTAGTAGTGCTGTTAGTACCCATCCCATTCCGCCCGGTTTCTCCAGAAAATTAGGTGGCGCATCTGTGCTTGTCGTAGTGGGTGTTTTTTTGGTACTCATCGTGCTCTTCCTCGACTTCACTTCACCCATACCGGTGAAAAGTCGTGGTAGAAATGAGGAGAATTTCATTCGAAAATATTTCGAAATTATGGGAAAAAATTTTAATTTTGCAGTTTTAAAGTATTTTTTCAACAAAATTCGTAAAACAAACGCGTAGGACAAGCTTAAATAAGCTTAATTACTAAGTATAAGAATGCTAAGCGCAAGCCTACATAAGCTAAGACCAATCCTAATAAATCAAAGCCTACAAAACTTAAGCCTAAGCCTACTAAGCCTACAAAACCTAGCCTAAGCCTAATAAGCCTAAGCCTTCAAAACCTAAGCCTAAGCCTAATAAGCCCATACCTACAAAACCTAAGTCCAAGCCTAGTAAATCAAAGCCTACCAAACCCAAGCCTACTAAGCCAAAATCTACAAAACGTAATCCCAAGCCTACTAAATCAAAGCCTACAAAACTTAAGCCTAAATCTACAAAGTCCAAACCAGCAAAACATAAGCCTAACCCTAATAAATCAAAGCCTACAAAACCTAAGCCTACTAAATCAAAGCCTACAAAAACCTAAGTCCAAGCCTACTAAATCAAAACCTAAGTCTACTAAGCCCAAACCTACAAAACCTAAGCCTACTATATCAAAGTCAATAAAACCTAAGCTTGAGCCTACTAAATTCAAGCCTAGAAAACCTTAGCCTAAGTCTACAAAACCTAAGCCTAATAAGCCCAAGCCTACAAAACCCAACGACCTACCAAGTCAAATCATAACAAGCTTTTTGTAAGCAAAAAAAATTTAAAAAAGAATTTTTACAAAATGCTGTTTCACATAACCTTTGCGGAAGTCTCATGGTAATAAACAATCACCAAGATGACATTTCAAAAATTTAAAAAAACAGTTAAAATTTAGTGAAGAAAAGTTCATAGAAAAACTAAAAACCGTTATTAAAACGATGATTTACAAAGTGTGTTTATTGTTGACCAGCGTTTGTACTATGACAACAAATGACTTTACTTTGATTAGTAACAGGTATAGTAAACGCAAATAACTTAATAACCAATTATTAGGTGCCGACATAAAGAACCCGCCATTTTTTGCAAGAAATTGCAGAAAAAGTATGGCGGGTTCTTTATGACGACCCCTAATATATCAGGATGACCCAAAAGTAGCGGGACATCATTAGTTAAAAAATAAATTAAATATGTCCCGCTACTTTTGGGTCAACCTAATATTTAAAATTTTTTCAAAATCTATGAACATTTCGACCGATTATGCATTAAAAATCTTCTTTTCTCTCGGGTATGCTGACCAACAATTTTTCTTCATTTTCAGCTATCCAAAGCTTCTTAACGTCGTGGCTGGCATCTGTGAATTGCAATTTCACCGTGATTTCAGTTAGCTGAAAGGCATTCAATTTTCAAACAAAAAACTTCGTTTTCATCCCAAGAAACCCTCAAAAACATCCTTTATAAGGTGCCGACATAAAAAACCCGCCATACTTTTCCTGTGATTTCCTGTAAAAAATGGCGGGTTCTTTATGTCGGCACCTAACACAATCCCAAAAATCATCAAAAACTTTCTTTCCAACCGCAAAAACCTTTAAAAACTTACCTTTTTGATAGTCAACAAGAAGCGTTCTTTAAAATACGTGTCCTTATTCACATTGACCTTCCTTTTATCAACCAGAAAGTTATCGACCGCTTTGTCCGACTTCACAAACACCGAAATATAAACAGATTCAATGCCCTTCGGGTTATTTGACTCGATAACACCTTCTACAGTTAGTGGAAGTTGTCTTGAAGTGAGTTGAAGATAGGATTCGTGCTCACGAGGTTGCGGTAGTATGTTGACACGGATCGAAGTTCTCCATAACTGTTGGAAGAAAAAGCGTGGTAATGACAGAAAAGGGTTCGCTAGATGGTGGAAAATGTCATTGAAGACTTGGAGATTCTGAAAAATCATTTTTTAAGTAATTTAAAATTTTTTAAAAATGAAAGTTGAGTGGCAGATTTTCAGTGCAAATTACATTGAAAATCTTCCACCTAACTTCCACTTGAAAAAACGTCATTTTCATATTAAAAAATTCATTTGACATACAAAGATAGCTCTTTTGCCTCACTTAAACCAATATTTTATACATTTCCTTACCGATTTCCAAGCATTCAACCGTTCAGATATTGTTCCTGTGACCGGCACCAGACATTGATTACCTTGTGTTATTGCCCATTCTAGTACTTGATCTAGTTTTGCATTCGTGACATTTTCAGCACTTTTTGGGAAGAGATCAATTGGTCTGAAAATTTAAAGCTTATCATTGAGGTATTGCATGAAAAATGAAGATTTTTTATCAGAAATAGCCATTTTTTGGAATTTTTGACTTAAAAATCACAAAATTTCAAAATTTTATACTGATAATAAGTACTATTTTCATTCTTACGTCAATTCAACTGTGTATAATCGATCCAGAAGCATTTCACATATTTGAGCATGTCTTGCCAGTAACTCCAACTGACATAATGTATGAGGATCGGCATCAAACGAACGTTGTTGTAGCTGCCTCCAATGTTCACGAACGTTTTCAAATTCTTCTCGAGCTTGTTGAATCTAAAGTAAGGTAATTGTTAAGCTATTCGTACCAAAAATGCAATAAAGTTTAATTTTTTTTAAATTTTTAAAAATTTTCAAAAATTTTTAAAAAATTTAAAAAACCTTTTAAAGTTAAAAAAAACCTCACATCAGGTACCACATATTCCATATGAGCAGGTCCGAACGCTAATGGGTCACTATCCAGCAAGATATTCATGAATACAAATACAGTATTCGTAGCTTCGAATAGTTGCGAAATGCCTTTGATAAAGGCTACTGGGAATGTGAAATTGTGAGAATTTGGAGAATTCTTGGCTAGGGGCTAAAAATAATTTTAAAAAATCAAAAAAACCTAACTTTTTACGCAAAATTATTAAGTTGAACTAAAAGTAGGAGACACTTTGAATTTATTTTTCAACTAAAAGGTGTCCCACTACTTTTGGTTCAACCTAATCAAAAAATCATTATTAAAAAATTTTAAAAAATTTGAAAATTCAAAAACATACCAAAAGTAATAAAAGTGCATGATTTAAAGATTGCCTAGAGCTCCTCAAAGCTTGGGAGTTGACATTTTGTGGTAGTTGCGCACCGGCGATAATAGTTATGGCCGCCAAGAAAGCCGACGTTTCCACCGTTTGACACTAAATTAACATATAACCTTAAAAACAAATTTAAAAATTCTGTTAACCTTCAAAAAATCTTCAGTTTAAACCCATATTTCAAATCAGTATTCACTAAAACGCCATACCCTATCCTGAATAACCTCCAACGCAGGGAACGCCACAGCCGACCAGCCGCCGTACCTAAAGCCATTCCTCGCAAATTTATACGCAAAATAAGCCAAGTTATCTTGTTTAATCTCAGCTGTCACTCGTTCCACCAGTTCCACCAACTTTTCTTTGTTTTCTTTGACTGGTAATAGAGCTAGGTTGAAGATGAAGTCTGACTGTTGGTTAAGTTGTCCATTTGGTACCGTTTTCAGACGTGATAAGGCCCATTCGTTTAGTGATTTGGCCTTCCATGGAATTGCATCTACAATGGCATTCAAGGCTTCTAACACCAATAATGAGTGGGGTTTTTCGTAGGAATTGGAACCCTGAAGGTATGAATTATCGGCCAAAAATTAGATTTCTAAAAAAAGTTTCATTTTCATTAAAGAAAATTTAAAAATCCTCATTTCCAATGAAAAATCCAACAAAATCTTGACTTCTAACACAAAACCTTCATAAAAAACCCTAAAAGTTGCCCATACCCACCTCCTTAAACAGATCAATAACACTGTCGTCTTCAACAAAATAACTCGAACAAGTGCCATTCCTCAATAACTTGATTATATTCCTGTAGTATCGTGCTTTTTCCCTCTGTGACACGATTAAAGGTTTTTCATTCAATTCGTTAATAATATGAAGTAATGTAGTTCCAATTAAGGGCTTAATGCCTTTAATAAATTCTTCAAACTTTCGCGGAGGTTTGGCGGACAAATCCAGTAACAATTGGACTGTTCGTAGGCGAATTAAGAATTTTTCATTGCTCAGAAGCTCCAGGAGGTTTGGAATGACTTCTGAAATGAAAAAATGATCATTTAGAATGTGACCGTGCCGTGAACTGCAAAAAAATTTTTGACTCATGCCCCCCCCCCTACATCTATTATAAAAAACTCACTTGACCCTCTCTCCAAACCCAAAAATTCCACCTTCCCCCCCCCCCCTTACCCCGAACACCAAAAAAAATTCTTAACCCATCTTCCACTTACCCCCAGTAACATCAGTATGAATCCTATGTGACAGCAGTGTCATACAATCCAACCATAACGTTATACTTTCGTAGAATCCAGAAGCGACCAACGTTGTCAGCACATCTCTTATCGTCACGACTTGTTCTGTCGTCCAATGTTGTGGATATTCAGCTAGCCTAGTCAAATTGGCCATAAATGACATTGTAAATCGACGACCCTTGATAAAGTTGGGCATTTCTGATAGTAATAGGTCTATCTGAAACAGTCATTTTTAAAAAATTCTGCTTTGTAAAGAAAATTGTTACCATTTTAGGTGTTGTAAAACAATTACTTCCTCGTTTCCAATGCCTAATCATCTAAAAATCATACCTGTTCATTGAGAGCCAATCCATTTCTGACAGCCAGCTCTGTCAATGCGTTTAACACCACCAAGCTGACTTTCTTATCCGGATTATTGTGAAGTAGAGATCGACCCAACTCCATACATTGTCTGGTTACTACAATATTCTCTTGAAACAATGACAAATCATCCATTAGACGAACTTTTAGATTCTCTTCGGTTTGAGTTTCTGCCACCATGTCACCTATCTTGTCCACAATTAGCGACGAAAATTCACTAAAAAAATCTCTTTTAAATTCAAATTTATTAATTTTAATACTAAAACTTTCTTTATAACCCTAAACTTACGCTGAAAATTTGCCAAGATGCCCAACAGACACTATGGCAGCTGTGAGTTCAGTGAGATCAGTACAATCTGCTCCTTCTACCAGTAAGTGATGTACCTAAAACATCTTTTTTGCTAACTTTGTTACCCAAACTACAAATTTTTCCTAAATAAGTGTCATAATGTACACATATTAGATTGAACCAAAAGTAACGGGACAGTTTCCATTTATTTTTCGACGAAAAAGTGTCCAGCTACTTTTGGTTTAACCTAATAGATGCCTAAACTTTCGATCCTTCCATAAAAATCCCATGTTTCATATACCATTACCTAAAATCCAACAAACAATCAAAAAACCGTACCTTTTTGTTAGAATGCACAATAGGAGCAGCAGCAGCAAAGAACAACATCGTTAAAGCTCGACTCTTGTAGTCATTAGAATGACTGACTTTCATTACTTTTCTAACAATCTCATCTCTCGAAAATACCACTGCCAAGTCGACTCCACATTCTTTTAACAATTTGACAATTCTCAGTCGAATCAAATTCAACGGATGATCCATTTTGACCAACTTTTCGCCATTGAAAGCGTCGGCCAAACGTAGTAGAAGAGCATTGACGAATAAGGGAAATGGGTTCTCCCTGATAGCTTTTGGACATTCTGCTATTGCTGATAGTTGATCAGACAAATTTGAGCTTTGAAGAGCTTTAAGGATGTAATATTCATTAAGAAAAACCTTTGCATTCAATAAAAAATATATTATACACAAAATACTTCGAAAAATAATTTTTCCAACAGTAATTTACTTGTTAGGCACAAGGTATATGCCCAAATGTCTTGAAAATTCAGAAAAACACAAATAATATAAGTTTAATTAAAATGGAAAAATTTTTCATAACTAATTTTAAAAAGATTTAAACTCCTGTATAAAAAATCGTGCGTTTAAACTAAAATTTAGTGTTACCAAAAAACCGAAAATCTTACTCTCTTTTCAAAATTAATACCTAAACCAATAAAAACAATATAACAAAACTTACCTCGTTCAATTTGAGTTAAAGTATTCATTTTTGCATGCCATAAAAGGTTTGTAATTTGGTTTACGTTATAATATTTCCCTAGCTAGGATTCTTCAAAAAAAGACTTTTCCGTATAAAAAGGCCTATAACAACGACGCTGGTCGCACGCTCACATGATTTTGCGGACGCACTTCGAAAAAAATGGTCAAGAAAAAACATTTGGATTTTTATTTTTTCCAAATATAACTTTGTCCAACGTCAACTATGTCTATTCCCAAAGAAGTAGCTGCCGAAGCAGCTGAACAACATGATAAAGTTACTATTAAAGTGTCATTGCAGCTGGATTTAGTATATACAAAAGGAGAAAATCCCATTGATACGGCGAACCATTTTCTGTCGGTAAGTTGGTATTTAAAATAGTTGGTTTAGTAATTTTGTTTTTATTGTTAATTTATTGGTATTTCTTGATTTTATAATTATATATTTTAGTAAAATATTTGGCCCAGATATTTTAGCTCAATAGTCTAGTTTATTAATTAATACAGTAGCAGAATACAGTAGCAATACAATTTGATAATACAGTAATATAGTAGAGTAATACAAGCTTAATTTTCTTAACTCTGCTCCGTTAGACTCCTTAAACCTTCAGACCTTCTTAGACCTCTTTAGACCTCTGTTGATTACAATTTCTGATGGCTTTTATACAGCTTTACAAATTTCTAGAATATTGCGAAACAGATAGAATAGATTGCGAAAGAAAAATATAAACAACTTTTTATAAACGCAAAAACTTTCGCTTCTTTTCGAGAAATTTTTATCGCTATCATTATTAATCAAATCGGCGAAAGAAAGGACCAAATTATAAACAAAAGTAGTTTCTAGTTTAAGTTCTTTGTGTTTTATGATCAAACACAAAATTCCCCCCACAGACTAAGATGGTCGTATTGATTCTAATAACGAGCTTGATCTTACTTCGTTGGATCCATGTCTTCTGATGTTGACGCTGGGGCTGCCTTGTGTATTATATGTGACTAAAGGGATTATTTCTGGTCTGGTTCTCGTATTCGTTGCTGGTTGTCGTCGGCCGCGTAGGTCTTCTACAAAGGCGAAGAAACGTTGATAGGTCTCGCACATAGCCGCTAATGTCACCCATATAACCCATACTCTTTTTACATAGTACCATACAGTAGCCATCCATCCAAATTCCAAAAGTTCTTCCAAATTGTGATGTTGCATGGCGTCTTGGTCGTGTATAAGGATGTGAGTCTTTTTTTCCGTAGCCTTTTCTAGTTCCCTTAGTAGTAATTCTTGTTCAGTGTTTGTATGATGTACAATCAAGTCTCGGAATATGACTTCATTATCCAAGAAGGTAAATGATTGATCTTCGTTTTCATCTTTAACCAAGTTTGCTGATTGATTTGTAGATGTTGAAAGTTTCCCGGTAGCCCGATCATACTCATAAACAGTGTCGTTTAAAGACAAAAATATGGTTGGTCCACATGTTGTTTGGTTTGGTGTCTTTTGTGGCTCACTAAGTATATGAGTAGTTCTATCCAAGCTGTATGTCTTCTTAAGTGTCTTGATGTCGACTAGAATAGAGCATTGGTTTGGGTTTGGTATGAATGCATACTCTTCTGGTTTCAGTGCTGTACACATTTCAATTTCCATAGTATCTTCACTTAGAGTTCTCGCAATGATGTTTCTTCTTTTTAATAATTTTCTCATTAACGTAGTTGGATTTTGGCTGATAAGGTTTTGAAGATATCGGGCATTTTGACGTTGTATCGCGCACATAGATCTGGCAAGATGTCGTAGTGTTTCTAGTTGATGATGTTCGGAGAATTGAAGATCTGCTGTCTCTTCTTCTGAAGCATCCAGATCTCTCTTGGGTCGAGGAAAGCGTCTTAAAAATTCATCGACTTCGGCTTGAGGATATCCTTGGGCTATCATTTCTTCTCGAGTTTTCCCGTGTCTAATCATTGCTATTAGACCAAAGGCTTGGTTTTTGTTTCTTCGTACATCTGTAGACGGTGTTGTTGTATATGTTGTCGTGGAAGTTGACCGGGGGTAAGTTGTCGATTGAGTTGTGTATATTGGTTTGTATGCTTGTGTTGTTGGTGAGGTTGTTGAAGTTGGCCTAGACGTAGGCGTTGTCATAGGTAGCGCTTTTCGTTGTATTGGACGTGCTTGATGTTGTGGCATGTCTCGTATTCTACCGTCGACGTATCTGAAGGCTAGTCCCTGGTCTGTGACAGTAATATCTTGACCACAATTCTTGACTGTGTTACTACTGTTAAATGTTAACATTAGATGTCGAGCATCAATGATAATACTATCTCCTGTGCTGATTCCAATCCCTTTATAAGCACTGACAAATTCACATGACTGGGTGCTGTTTGGTTTCCAAAGTACTAGCTCGTTTTTATCCGTTCTGCATTTTCCAGAATTGTAGTTGCAGTTTGAGATGTCGGCCCTTGCTGTACTAGCTTTTCAGATCCGTAATGAGAGAAGATTTTAACATCAATCAGGATACAGTTTCGTTTGATGTATTTGTCAGCTCCCGTTAAGAAGGATTGAAATCTATTTGGAGGATCAATTGGTATCTCGTTGGTAGTTGCCAAAAATGACTTCTTTCTTGACAGCGTTCCGTAGTCGCACTTGTGCTTTGTGATCATCTGTTTGCACTGTTCTTCTGTCATGTCTTCTGGATCGTTCGGTTCTTCTTTTACCACTGGAATTCCACTCAAAGTAGTATACTGTGAGACGGTGCTTTTTAACAATCTGCATATATATCCTTGAAAGTGATATTCTATAGTATTCCTTTTAAAAACCTCTACATTTCGAGGTACTCCAACGTTTCCTTTTGTACCAGTTCCATAGTTACATGTAGCTATTTTTGGTGTCTTCCAAAGCGTTCTGGCTTTTCCGTGGCAGATCATTGGTTGTTGGGCTTGTACTGCAGTGAATAATAGACACACTATCATAAACATGGAAGTGTAGTCGATGTTTGATGTTCTCTTCTTTCTTTGTCTTGGGGGTAAGGCTTTGGCCTTCTTTTCTTCTTCCACGATCTCTTGTTTTGTCTTAAATTCCAACTCTTCCTCGTCGATGGTGCCACCGATCTCTAATGGGTACAAAACGTTGACTGCACGAATAATGACTTTTCGTGCTGGTGTGAATAGTTCACAATCCCGAACTGTCCCATCTTTAGTTTTTATGACTTTTCTAATGCGGGCCAGCTTCCAATTTCCTCTTGGAGTTTCTGGTTCTTCAATGAGAACCATTTCTCCGACCAGGGGAATTCGTTGAGGTTGAAGCTGATTTGAACTTCGATCAGCCAGAGAGTTCAGGTATTCTCTTTGCCACAATGTCCAGAATTTGTCCAGTCTTTGGTTGAGCTGGTTGTTTTCTTTGCGTAGATCATCAATTTTTGTGTTTTTCAGTAAGAAATCTGGGTCATTAAGGTCGTCGTTGGCAAATGTTTGAATTCCTTCTTCGTAGCTACAACCATTTGGTCGCATGGGGTTGATGGGACGGAGGATTTCGAAGTTGTCTACATCGTCGTATAATGGTAGAATTGGACGATTATTTAACGTTGATTCGATCATGATTACTAACGTCTCCAACTCTTTTAAAGTTGGTCTTGATCTTCCCAACGTCCTTTTTATGCCTTGCTTCAAGTTTCGATTGAGCCGTTCATATGTCGATCCACGCCACGGTGCGTTTACCACTGTGTGTCGCCATTGAATCTCCGTAGTTGCCTTATATCTTTCCAGAATTAGTTTCCGTGCGGCTACAAAATATGGAGCTTGATCACTGAGTAGATAGCTTGGTACACCTCTTCTACTAAAGAATTTTAAAATTCCATTTACAACGTCCGTGGTGTTTGTGCTAGTTAAAAGCTCCATGTGGACTCCTCGGCATTTTAGGCACGTAAACAACAAGATATAGCCAGGTCCATCTGTCGTTGTAAGCGGTCCACAGACATCCAAACCACAGAAGTCAAATGGCTTTCCAATTACAGTGCGAGATGATGGTAAGGTCGGGAAGATTGGTACGTCGAATGGCTTGGCATTGTATATTCTGCACTTCACACATTTTTTAACACTTGTCTTGACAAATCGATAAGAGATATAGAAAAGATTTCTGATGTCGGTAGTAGTTGACAAGGCGTTCTGATGGTGGTTCATCTCGTGGTAAAATTGTATGATTTTACACGTTACTTTACTGTCGGTCGGTAACCAGATAGGATTGATAGCATCTTGTTCACGCTTGGAATTGCTTAACCTTGTGTCCATTCTCCAGACACCTTCAGCATCTTTCTCTAGTCGTCGTCCTTGAATTATTTTCTCGCTGGGTGGATAGCTTTCTTGTTCTAGGCGGACGATCCTTTTGGCTGCTTCTTGGTATGTAACTGGAATTGGCGGGGTGTTTGGCCGTATTTTTTTGATGAATCTGAAGATTGTTTTAACAGTTGTAACCATTTTTTGCCATGGCAAGTCACGCTCGACTAAATGTTGTTCGATCTTCGTTGTTGCTATCTGAAGTGTCGTTGATTCCGTTGGCTTTGATGATGGCAATTTGTTAATAACAATATCTTTTGGCCAATGTTCTTTAGGGTATTGTAAAAATTGTGGTCCATGCCACCATAGATCACTGTTTTTTAGCTGGCTTAGGGTTGTTCCACGGCTGCTTAAATCAGCAGGATTCTGATCTCCAGTTACAAAACGGAATTCCATGGTTTCTCGGTATTGTTTGATCTTCATCAGTCGGTTGCGAACATAAATCGAATTATCTTCTGTTTTCAAAAGTTGTTGAAGCGCCACTTGACTGTCGGACATAATAACGATGTCTTTAATTTGGTCGATTTCGGTTGACACAAATTTTGCCACTCGTCCAGCTAGTTCGATTGCCGTTAGTTCTTTGCGTGGTATCGTAAGTGTTGGTTTCTTGGTTGATGAAGGGAATAACTTGGCTTTTGCAAAAATCAAATTAGGCATGAGTTTTTCTCCAGTCAGGTAACATGCTATACCATATCCGTAGTTGGAGGCGTCGCAAAATACGGCAAGAGTCAGTTGCGTTGTCTTCAATGATACAAATCGCGGTATTGTAATGCTATTGTCATCAATTTGCAATGATCTCCATTCTTTTTGTAATCCTTCGCTCAGCGGAGTGTCCCACTCTAGGTTATGTTCCCATAGTCGTTGCACAAACCGTTTCCAAGGAAGTAATGCTGGTGATAGTATACCTTGGGGATCATATTGTTTTCCCAATGCAGATGCGACTGTTCGTTTTGTTATTGGACCATCGTTATTGATTTTTACCAATTTAATTTCCATTTCATCATCGTTTAATCTCCAGTTATGGCCTAGTATTTTAGTAACGTCTTCTGATGTGTCGTTGAACGTCTTCTGTACTTTCTGACTATTTGAGTAGTATTCACGAAGTTCCATAGATGCTTCTGAGAATATTTGCTTGGTACGTAGACACTGTTTTAACAATGCATCTTCATCATCGGCCGTTTCCATAACATTGTCAACATACGTATTCTTCAGAAGCTCTGTGCCTTCTCGGTATTTTGACAAGTGATGTTGAAAGGTAAGCGCTAGAAGGCATGGCGAAGACGTATTACCAAAGATAACACGGTTGAAGCGCCAAACTTGAATATTGTCGTTTCTTAGAGGTTGGTCCCAATGTTTTGGAGTTAAGACCCGTACGCAGTCTCGTTCTGATTCTTGTAGTTCAATCATCAGGAATGCCTGTTTTATATCCGATATAGTTACGTATTGACCAATTCTAAACCGTAGAAGCATTCCAACCAACTGCGGGAGTAAAGTAGGTCCTTGGTGCATGGCATCGTTTAGTGAAGTTCCAGATCGTACTTTAGCGGAGCAGTCAAAAACAATTCTACACTTAGTTGTGTTTTTGTTTGGCCTGAATACTCCAGAATGGGGTATATAAGATACGATGTTGTTTGTGGTTTTGTCCGTAACCTTGCTTATTATTCCCTGGCGTTCTTGATCTTCTAGTACTTCCAAGTAAGCCTTTTTCTTTATTGGTTCTCCATCCAGCTTCTTCATCAGAGACTTGAGTCGATAGAAGGCCAATCCAAAGTTCGTCGATATATCGTTTTTATTTTCTTTCCAAAGCCAATTGACTCCATATCTCTTTGTCTGAGGGTTGTAAATAATTTCATCGTTGAATCGTTGTTTAAGGACATCGTTCCAACTTTCATTTTTGTCGTCTGAGATACCAACTCCTTCCAGTTGCCACATGTCTTTTACTTGAGATTCCAAATAGTCATCTATAGACTTTGTAGACATGACTGTTACAGGGTTTGTGGTCACATTTGTTGGCTGTTCCATAACGATATCGCCTAGTTCAGTTTCAAAACAATGTAGTTTGTCGTTGATCATTGTAGAGGTCGATAGTAAACTGAACAAGTAGTTCGAACCGATTAGTAGCTGCGGTTTTACACTCTTATTAATGTAGTTACCATCATCTTGTTTTTCAGCATATGTGATATCTCCAATGATTGTGTCGTTGGCCATAAGTTTGAGTTTTTGACCGTTGATGACAGCTTCAACTTCGTCTACATATTCTTTTACTGTTGAAGATCCAAATCCTTCGATAATTAATGGCTTGTTAATATTGAGGATAGATAGTTGAAGATCTTTGGCCGCCTTTTTTGTGATGTAAGTAAGCTCGGAACCGCTGTCTAGGAAGGCATGTAACTCCATTTTATAAGTCGTTTCTGGGTTTTGTACTTGGACTGGTAGAACTGGTAGTGTAGGTCCTTTTACTTCCTGTTGGTTTAAAGCACAAGATACCTTTGTTGATGGTGTTTGGACTTCTGACTTTTCACTTGCATTAACTATGGGGAACGTTCTTGTTTTTTGTATCGGTGTGAAGTTTGTATTCCTTGGGTTGTTGTACCAGTTGTTGTGTCTTGTGCGTTTGTCTGGAAACTTAGATGGACTGTAGCCTTGACACAGAAGATAATGATGTTCTCCAGAGCATTTTTTACACGTTCTGTGACAAGAATGAAGTTTAGTGAAGTCTTGAAGACATTTGAAACATTTCTTGTCTTCTACGAGCTTTCGCCTTCTTTCTTGGGCTGTTGGATATGATGAACATTGACTGCTTTTGTGATTGAATCGTCCACAAAATAGGCAAGAAAACTGTGTAGGTGTTTGGTTGATCATCGTGAATGTTGTTGTACGGTGTTGTATTTCCTTTTGTTTGAGCTCTTCTCCTTGTTGAAGAATGGCGATTGCTCTTTCGATTAGAATATCATAGGTCCAGTCGGTTTCCATTCGTTTCCAATCCATTAGACGAAGTTTTAAAAATCTAGGTATCTTCTCCATAATTAAAAATTCAAACTGTTCGTAGTCGATTTCGTGTTCCAAGTTCTTGAGTTGTTGTCTCAATTGATCCATTTCCAATACATAGCCTTTCACATGTTGAGTAGAATTGTTGGTAGGTTGAAGCGTGTTGAGTATTTTGATGAGGTCACGGATTATCACGTCGTTATTACCGAAACGTTTTTCTAATATGGTCATTACTGTATCATAGTTCTCATCTGTGATTGAGAATGCTCGTACCGAGTTGAGTGCATCTCCTTTCAGTTGTCCAATCAAGTAAGACATCTTTTCGACCTTTGTGATTTGTTGGTTATTTCCAATTGTAGATTTAAAAAGTGAGATGAACTGTGGCCAATTTTGTGTTTGTCCGTCGAACGATGGGAAGCAAATACTAGGTAGTTTGATTTCCATTCTTGTTGGTGCTTGTGGAGTCGCGTTTCCATTTGTAGACGTTGTACTCATGCTGGTTCTGGCCAATGGTGCCAATTGTATTTCTTCTTCAATTTCTCCGAGTGCTACTTCGGCTTGTTGCAATTTATCCAATATTTTATTCCTTTCCACGTACTGGTCGAAAATCTTCTTCTCATTGTTGTTGTCGGTGTCATTTAGTTCTTTTACTAGATTTTTCCATTCGTCTAATTTGTCGCGGACGCGGGTTGCTGTTTTCTCGAGGGCTTTACATCTTATGTCGGCTTTGGCCTTGTATTCGTTGGCCTTAAAGATTTTGTCGTGCGTTGAATCTGTAGAATTAAGCGTGAACTTCCCGAGTTCTATAACTGCCTTTGTTTGGCGTTCCAAGGTCAGGCTATCAGGGCCAAGTAGCCTTCTGATAAAGCCAGATTTACTTTCGAAGTCTACCATAGTGTTTTTTACAGTAATCACCGGCTGAGCCCCCACTAAAATATTTGGCCCAGATATTTTAGCTCAATAGTCTAGTTTATTAATTAATACAGTAGCAGAATAAAGTAGCAATACAATTTGATAATACAGTAATATAGTAGAGTAATACAAGCTTAATTTTCTTAACTCTGCTCCGTTAGACTCCTTAAACCTTCAGACCTTTAGACCTTCTTAGACCTCCTTAGACCTCTGTTGATTACAATTTCTGATGGCTTTTATACAGCTTTACAAATTTCTAGAATATTGCGAAACAGGTAGAATAGATTGCGAAAGAAAAATATAAACAACTTTTTATAAACGCAAAAACTTTCGCTTCTTTTCGAGAAATTTTTATCGCTATCATTATTAATCAAATCGGCGAAAGAAAGGACCAAATTATAAACAAAAGTAGTTTCTAGTTTAAGTTCTTTGTGTTTTATGATCAAACACAAAATTAGCAATATAATCTTCCTATGTCTTACTTGAATGAAATTGTCGACTATATCAATGCCGATCCCTCTACTGGATGCAGCCGTTACGTTCCAGAACAAACGGCTTCTTCGAGTGGTAATCACAGTGAACCATTCACATCGGGTGGACGGTACATTCCAGAGCATAGTGTTGTGAATACTAGTTTTGGTAAGGTTTTCTTCAATTTTTTGATTTTTTTAAAAATTTTACTGTAAAAAGTAAAAACTTTTAGGTATTTAAAAACTTCGATATATTGTATGAGTAGTAGTTAAAAATTGTCATTTCTAGGCGGTGGAGATTCATACACCTCAGGCGGAAGATACGTTCCCAGTCAAAGCGCAAGTGATTTGTTACCAAATGCATCATTACCGGTTGACAAGAAAAAACCAACGTCAGAGTTAGTACCGATCAAAGACCTCATCTTATTTTCTGACAAAGCTGATCAAAAAGCTATCGACGCTTTGAAGAAGGCCAATTCTGAAGTTAGTGCTGAGTTTGAGCTGGAGGAGCCAAGTGTTGGTAAGATTTCCTTCAATTTTCTGATTTTACAAGTTTTTGTAAAAAATAAAAAATTTTAGGCATTTAAAAACTTTAAAAAAATAAAAATATATTCTATGAGTAGTATTTAAAAATGTCATTTTCAGACGGAAGATCTAGTCCTAGTCCGAATCCATCTGGAGCCAATACTGCATTACTGCGACGTATAGCCCAGATCATTCAACCATTGCAGAATGAACTAAAACAGAAGTTTGACGAGGAGAGGAAACAACGTTTAGAAGAAAGGAGACAGGACGATGAACAAAGGAAGATTGATGTAAGTTTTTACGATGGACGTTTAAATTTTTTTGTTTTATTAACAAGGGTAGCTTAAAACAAGGTTTGCGATAGAATCGAACATGGGTCAAACAGGGGCGGACCATGAAAAAAAATATTTTTTTTAAAATCTCATTTTGCGACCACAGGGTCCTATTGACTAGTAATTCAAAAATGCAAGAAAAATTTTTGATTTTGGTTTACTGTAGGTGTACTGTAGTTTTTAAAGATTTTATGCAACTTTTTAACTAATTGACAGAATTTCACCGGACTTTTTTTAAATGATAGAACACGTCAAAATAAGTAATAATGCTGTTGACAAGTTTTTTTGTCCAGAAGGCATCGAAAAATTTAAATATTTGCAAAAAAGTACACGGCGAGCCCACTTTCATTTATTTTCTAGACGAAAGTGGAATCGAAGGTCGGAAAAAAAGCACGCTTTTAGGTCGCTTTGAGGTTTACAGCGATATAACTGTTAAACGATAAGAGGTATTATGAACAAAACAAAACTAAAAAAAGTAAGTAGTCATTCTACTTTACTTTGTATTAAAAGTTTTTTTATTTAAACACAGGTAGCTGTACGTGAAATAAACGAAAAAAAAATTTCGAAAAAATCGGTCCACAGGTAGCTGTGGACCGAAAAAATTTTTCGGGTCTCCCCTCCCCCCCTCCCTCGAAAAAACCGTAGGGACCCTGGTTTGAATTACTGTAGATGAGCTATAACTGTAACAGTTTTAAGCCAATTTTTCTAACAAGGGAAGTGTCTCACCTCATTCCGGAGATATGAAACGGGACTAGGCTCATTTGAAAGCCTACTTGAATACAAATTTAACAAAAAAAAATTTAGCTGCCAAATAAGCCCCTAAGGCAAGTTATGACGGTTTAAAAATTTGCAGTGCTTTCCTTTGTTTGAGTTTGAAAACGATGAAACCGATGATTCGGTAGTTCAGTGGTTAGGTGTTGGGTTTAGGGGTGAAAGGAGAAGGGTTCAATCCCTGCCAATTCGTTTTGCTTTAACAGCTTCCAAAAAAAAATTTTTTTTGGTTTTTATACTATACAACAGTGAATAGACTAGTTTTAATCATTTGAATACAAAAATTAAGCAATTTGACAAATTATTAAGCTTTAAAATTTTTTGGAAATTTTTCATCTTCTGGAAAAAAGTTGAGCAACCTATCACCTGGAATAACGGAACCAACAGCAAAAGTAACTTTATTTTCCCTACTTTCAGAAAATTTAACAGCTTCGGCGTCGTTGTAAGACAGCTGATAATCAGGGAAGTGATAAATGTCATCAGTCTTGAATATGTCAAACCAATCACCATTGGTGCGTCTACTCAATATACATATTCGAAAAATTTCCAAAAAATTTTAAAGTTTAATAATTTGTCAAATTGCTTAATTTTTGTATTCAAATGATTAAAACTAGTCTATTCACTGTTGTATAGTATAAAAACCAAAAAAAATTTTTTTTTGGAAGCTGTTAAAGCAAAACGAATTGGCAGGGATTGAACCCTTCTCCTTTCACCCCTAAACCCAACACCTAACCACTGAACTACCGAATCATCGGTTTCATCGTTTTCAAACTCAAACCAAGAAAAGCATTGCAAATTTTTAAACCGTCATAACTTGCCTTAGGGGCTTATTCGGCAGCTAAAGTTTTTTTTGTTAAATTTGTATTCAAGTAGGCTTTCAAATGAGTCTAGTCCCGTTTCATATCTCCGGAATGAGGTGAGACACTTCCCTTGTAAAATTTATTTAAAAATTCTGGGCAGTCCTAGAACTTCCTGTCGATAACCTATAGAAAATGATGTCCAAGGACTGCTACCTCTGCTAGCAGCTGCTTCTATTCCTCCCTTTACCTTTTACCGTATTCTTTACTATAGCTTTTGCTATAGTTTTCAGTCAAGGCTACGGTAGACTACAGCGACAAATATAGTAAAAAGGTAGAGGTAGGGATAGGATTAGAGGTAATACTGGGAGTAGGGTAACATAGGGTAGGGTAGAAGTATGATAAGACTAGGGGTAAGGCAGGTTAGGTTAGGACGGGTCAGGGTGGGATTAGAATAGAGTAGGGCTACCAATTGGCTAGGGGGACCTATTCTCCCGGGAATCAATGCTTCTGTGGGGACCTTTGCCCGTAACGGGTTTAGCGGTTCTAATTGTACTAAACGATAGTGCGGCCACAATAGTGAAGAAGGCTTATAAACGTAGACTACGTAAATATATTATAATTTATATTAAAGGTGAACTTTTTTATAATTTTTGACAAATACTTAAAAGCACTAAATTTATAGGAACGAACAAAAAAGTGCGTCCTTCTTTGCGTGGTAGTGTGCGCCTTTGTTGGAATCTTCATTATTTGGTTTTGGAAATTTAATCGAAAGTCATTTGGATTTTGATCATTAGTTAAAAAGAAGAACTGGTCGAGATATCGAGACATTTATCTACACTTTTTTTGATACTACATTATCGGAAGCCTGATAGACGAGAACCACTTTAGCTGAAGTTCGACTTTTACAACAAAAAGTGGAGGAACTCTAAATGAAATTTTTTATTCTGAATATAAAGGAATGGGAATTATCACTGATAAATTTTCTAATGCACTTTTAGTCTTAACTAGATGTACGGGAAGGTTTGATTGGTCTATCAGTTTGTTAATAGTCTTTAACTTTACTAGAGTTTATTTGCTTTTACTAAAGCAAACTGATCTCAATTAATGTACTATAATATAACCCCTTGACATATCAAACTGTCTCGAGGGGTAGGGTCAAGTAGGGCCAAAAGGGTCAGGAATGGGGTCAGGTAGGGCCAAAAAGGTGAGGGGTAGGGTCAGGTAGGGCCAAAAGGGACAGGAATAGGGTCAGTTAGGGCCAAAAGGGTCAGGGGTAGGGTCAGGTAGGGCCTAAAAAGCCAAGGTTAGGGTCAAGTAGGGCCAAAAGGGTCAGGAATGGGGTCAGGTAGGGCCAAAAAGGTGAGGGGTAGGGTCAGGTAGGGCCAAAAGGGACAGGAATAGGGTCAGTTAGGGCCAAAAGGGTCAGGGGTAGGGTCAGGTAGGGCCTAAAAAGTCAAGGGTAGGGTCAGGTAGGGCCAAAAAAGTCAAAGGTAGGGTCAAGTAGGGTAAAAAAGTCAAGGGTAGACTTGGGTAGGGTCTAAAAGATAAGGGGTAGGGCCAAAAAGGTGAGGGGTAGGGTCAGGTAGGGCCAAAAGGGTCAGGAGTAGGGCCAGTTAGGGCCAAAAGGGTCAGGGGTAGGGTCAGGTAGGGCCTAAAAAGTCAAGGGTAGGGTCAGGTAGGGCCAAAAAGGTGAGGGGTAGGGTCAGGTAGGGCCAAAAGGGTGAGGGGGTAGGGTCAAGTAGGGTCAGGAGTTGGGTCAGGTAAGGCCAAAAGGGTCAGGGGTAGGGTCAGTTAAGGCCAAAAGGGTCAAAGGTAGGGTCCGGTAGGGCCTAAAAGGTGAGTGGTAGGGTCAGGTAGGGCCAAAAGGGTCAGGGGTAGGGTCAGTTAAGGCCAAAAGGGTCAAAGGTAGGGTCCGGTAGGGCCTAAAAGGTGAGTGGTAGGGTCAGGTAGGGCCAAAAGGGTCAGGAATAGGGTCAGTTAGGGCCAAAAGAGTCAGGGGTAGGGTCAGGTAGGGCCTAAAAAGTCAAGGGTAGGGTCAGGTAGGGCCAAAAGGGCCAGGGGTAGGGTCAGGTAGGGCCTAAAAAGTCAAGGGTAGGGTCAGGTAGGGCCAAAAAGGTGAGGGGTAGGGTCAGGTAGGGCCAAAAGGGTGAGGGGTAGGTTCAAGTAGGGCCAAAAGGGTCAGGAGTTGGGTCAGGTAAGGCCAAAAGGGTCAGGGGTAGGGTCAGTTAAGGCCAAAAGGGTCAAAGGTAGGGTCTGGTAGGGCCTAAAAGGTTAAAGGTAGGGTCAGGTAGGGCCTAAAAAGCCAAGGGTAGGGTCAAGTAGGGCCAAAAGGGTCAGGAATGGGGTCAGGTAGGGCCAAAAAGGTCAGGAATAGGGTCAGTTAGGGCCAAAAGAGTCAGGGGTAGGGTCAATTAGGGCCAAAAGGGTCAGGGGTAGGGTCAGGTAGGGCCAAAAGGGTCAGGGGTAGGGTCAGGTAGGGCCTAAAAAGTCAAGGGTAGGGTCAGGTAGGGCCAAAAAGGTGAGGGGTAGGGTCAGGTAGGGCCAAAAGGGTCAGGGGTAGGGTCAGGTAGGGCCAAAAGGGTCAGGTGAGGCCAAAAGGGTCAAAGGTAGGGTCAGGTAGGGCCTAAAAGGTCAAAGGTAGGGTCAGGTAGGGCCAAAAGGGTCAGGAGTAGGGTCAGTTAGGGCCAAAAGGGTCAGGGGTAGGGTCAGTTAGGGCCAAAAGGGTCAGGGGTAGGGTCAGGTAGGGCCTAAAAAGTCAAGGGTAGGGGCAGGTAGGGCCAAAAGGGTCAGGGGTAGGGTCAGGTAGGGCTTAAAAAGTCAAGGGTAGGGTCAGGTAGGGCCAAAAAAGTGAGGGGTAGGGTCAGGTAGGACCAAAAGGGTGAGGGGTAGGGTCAAGTAGGGCCAAAAGGGTCAGGAGTTGGGTCAGGTAAGGCCAAAAGGGTCAGGGGTAGGGTCAGTTAAGGCCAAAAAAGTCAGGGGTAAGGTCCGGTAGGGCCTAAAAGGTCAAAGGTAGGGTCAGGTAGGGCCTAAAAAGTCAAGGGTAGGGTCAAGTAGGGCCAAAAGGGTCAGGAATGGGGTCAGGTAAGGCCAAAAGGGTATTTTTTTAAAAATATTTTGGATCGCCCATAAAGAAATCGCCCTTGAAGAAATCGCCCAAAAAAATCGCCCATAAAAAAAATCGCCCCTAGGTGTGCGTTACGTAATATTTCCCTAGCTAGGATTCTTCAAAAAAAGGCTTTTCCGTATAAAAAGACCTATAACAACGGCGCTGGTCGCACGCTCACATCATTTTGCGGACGCACTTCGAAAAAAATGGTCAAGAAAAAACATTTGGATTTTTATTTTTTCCAAATATGTCCAACGTCAACTATGTCTATTCCCAAAGAAGTAGCTGCCGAAGCAGCTGAACAACATGATAAGGTTACTTTTAAAGTGTCACTGGACGATTCGGGTCGGCAGCTGGATTTAGTATATAGAAAAGGTCAAAATCCTGTTGATGCGGCGAAACATTTTCTGGCGGTAAGTTGGTATTTAAAATTGTCGGTTTAGTAATTTTGCTTTTATTTTTTAATTTATTAATGTTTTTTTATTTTATAATTACGTATTTTAGCAAAATAATCTTTCTATTTCTTACTTGAATGGAATTGTCGACCAAATCAAGACCCATAACCCGGAAACAAAGAATTTTGAGCAGTATAAGTCAGCCAAGCCGGTGGTTTTAAAGCCAGTAGTAAGTGTAAGATGTGTTTAACAATTAGTAGTGTTTTTAATGAAGAGTATAATTTTTATTAAAAGCAATATATTTTTTTAGAAGGCAATATATTTTTTTAGAAGACTACGAGTTCGAAATTTCAACCTCAGAGAACACCACATTCTTCCTCAGCTATAACGTAGGTGAAGACCCGAACATGGCTGCTCAGAGGTGTTGTGAACAAAACAAGCTTCCTGTCGCATTTATTCCGCGATTAGTACGACAAATACAAACGAACGCCCGATCTCAAGGGTCTTCAAGGAAGCGCTTACGCTGATCCATCTACTGGAGGCGTCCGTTATGTTCCAGGACAAACGGCTTCTTCTAGTGAAGACTACGGCGACCCATTCACATCGGGTGGACGGTACATTCCGGGTCAAAGCGCTTCGAACACTAGTGTTGGTAAGATTTTCTTCAATCTTACGATTTTATAAATTTTTTTAGATGTTTAAAAATTTTGATATAATCTATGAGTAGTATTTAAAAATTGTCATTTTCAGGTGGTGGAGACCCATACACTTCAGGCGGAAGATATATTTCTAATCAAGACACAACTGATCTTGTACTAATTGCATCATTACTTGAACTTATGAACAGGATCGTTAATGAGTTAATGTATCAAAATGAAGAAATGAAGAAGAAGATCTTTCTAAATGAAGAGAGGCGGCAACAAAGAAAAAAGGACGTAAGTTTTTACCATGGACGTTTTAGACATTTTAACTTATTTTGTTTTAGTAACAAGGGTAGCTTAAAGTTTTAGTCAAATTGAAATAGAATATAATGTTTTAGTGTGGATTACTGTAGATTAACTATAACTGTAACATGTTTTAAGCCAATTTTTCTAATATTTATTTAAAAATTCTGGGCAGTTCTAGAACTTTCTGTCGATAACCTATAGAAAGAGATGTCCAAGGACTGAAAAAGTTGAATTCAAAGCTGCCGTAGGGATGGCAACAGGTTGTTGATAAAAATGGTACATATATCTTTGTTAATTAGGTGCTGTTGCTTTTTTTAAATATTAAGTTTTAGTAAAACAAAAGGTGGCTTAAATCTTTTGCAGGCACCTAATATATAAAAAAAATTAATACCCTACTCCTAGTGCTAGGGTTAGTGAAATCTCGGGGAATGCGTTTTCGGGGAGTACATTTTCGGGGAGGAAGTTTCGGGGAATGGTATTTTCGGGGAATTTAATTTTGGGCAATTTGTTTTTGGGGAATAATATTTTCGGGGAGTGAACTTTGGGGGGAAAATTTTTTTTTAAATTTATTTTGATATAAATTTCTAAAAAGTTGATACTGTAAGTTGTGAATGACTAAAAATAATTTGGTTATATTAACTATATTATTAATATATAATGTATAACTAATCTCAAACCAAATAATGTAGTATAACTTGTGGTAGACTGAATCACAACCTGGCTAAATCACGTTGACTGAATCACATACTGACCGAATCACATGTGCCTTTATGTATTGTGAACGTTGACATCGTACCGTGAACGTTCCTATGACACATTTTTGTATACTTATAATGTAAGGTCGCATGATAAATAGAATACCATGAACGTTATTGTACCGTGCCGTGAACGTTCTAATCTTACTGTTTTTTTAATGATTTAGCAAAATATCAGACAGTAAATGTAAGATATCGTTACCATGGTACTTCAAACAGAAACATTAGAACGTTCACAGCACGGTACGATAACGTTCATGGTATTCTACTTATCATGCAACCTTACATTAAATAAATAGAAAAATGTGTCATAGGAACGTTCACGGTACGATGTTCACAATACTTAAAGGCACATATGATTAGATTAGTTATACATTATATATTAATAATATAGTTAATATAACCACAACTATCAGTATCAACTTTTTAGGAATTTATATCAAAATAAATCTAAAGAAAAATTTTCCCCGAAAAGTTCACTCCCCGAAAATATTATTCCCCGAAAACATATTCCCCGAACTTACATTCCCCGAAAATACCATTCCCCGAAACTTCCTCCCCGAAAATGTACTCCCCTGAAACGCATTCCCCGAGATTTCCCTTTCCCCTAGTGCTACCTCTGATCCTATTTCTACCTCTACCTTTTACCGTGTTCTTTATTATAGCTTTTGCTACAGTTTTCAGTCAAGGCTACGGTAGACTACAGCGACAACTATAGTAAAAACTACTAAAGGTAGAGGTAGGGATAGGATTAGAGGTAATACTGGGAGTAGGATAACATAGGGTAGGGTAGAAGTATGATAAGACTAGGGGTAAGGCAGGTTAGGTTAGGACGGGTCAGGGTGGGATTAGGATAGAGTAGGGCTACCAATAGGCTAGGGGGACCTATTCTCCGGGAAACCAATGCTTCCGAGGGGATCTTCGTTCGTAACGGGTTTAACGGTTCTAATTGTACTAAACTTGAAAGTGCGGCCACAATAGTGAAGAAGGCTTATAAACGTAGACTACGTAAATATATTATAACTTATATTAAAGGTGAACTTTTATTATAATTTCTGCCAAATATTTGAAAGCACTAAATTTATAGGTACGAATACAAAGGCGTGTCCTTTTTTGCGTGTCTACCTTTGTTGGATTTGTCATTACTCGGCTTGGAATTTGGAAATTTATTTGGAAATCATTTGGATTTTGATCATTAATTAAAAAGAAGACCTGATCGAGATATCGAGACATTTATCTAAACTTTTTTTAATACATGTACTACATTGTCGGAAGCCTGATAGGCGAGAACCACTTTAACTGAAATTCGACTTTTACAACTAAAAGTGGAGAAACTCTAAATAAAATTCTTCTTTTAACTTAAAGAAACGTTGGAATTATCACTGATAAACTTTCTGATGCACTTTTAGTCTTAAATAGATGTACGGGAAGGTTCGATTGGTCTATCAGTTTGTTAATAGTCTTTAACTTTACTAGTGTCCATTTGCTAACATGTGAAAAATATCATAAGAACCTACAACAAGGTTTTGCCAAGATTCATTCATTGGTCAATGCTGATAATGTCAAATCAACCGGATCTATCTTCGAACTTATCTTAAAAAGTATGGAAAAAGCTTGATTTTTAGGTATAAATTTTAACTATATTGCCTTGTTTTTCATAGAATATGTGAATTATAATGTCTCTTGTTATTGTAAGGTTAAAAGTTAATTTTTTTTTGATATATATACTAAAAATTTGTTCAGCACGAGCTTCGTCTATTAGCCTCTGCATTTCAATTTTGTCCTAAAAAGTGAAAATTTAGGTAACAAAATCCTCATTTCAAATGCAAAATAATACTTTCAAATAAAGCACTATTTGTTTTAGACTTTATAGGTAGGCCTTTTACATATACTGTACTTAGTCTTGATTCTTATTCTAATCTTAGAATTTTGTTTTAAAAAAAAAGTTGAAAATTAAATATAAAAAACCTAAAAAAGTGCACATTATACTATATTTTTGGATTAAAAATATGAAATTCATCAATACTATTTTGTGCTGTGTATTATTTTGATTCCTTCAATATTTTCATTACAAATTTACATAGCAATTTGTTTTAAAAACTTCCAAGACGTGGTATTTAAAACTTAATATTCGTTCTTTTTCATCATTTGTTACTTTTAATCTCCGACTATAAACAAATGTTCAAAGACCGTGCCAAAAGCCGAGAGTATATTTGTTGTTGGCCATTGTCACGAATTTGATCACTTTATACTTATTTTAATGGTTTTAAATAGCATTTACTTGATTACATGGGCGTTTTGGGAAGAGTAATGTAAATAAGGAGTGATATTGAAGCTTAGATTAGCGGGAAAGTACCCTACCTACCCCGCTGAGAATCATCTCAAAATTTTTATATGAATTCCTTGTACTACCAATAGTACCCATAAAAACTTTTAACTCGCGCTTTTGAGCTTTAAATTTGACGATTTGGCGGGAAATTCAAAATGTAATTTTTTGATCTCGATTTACTTGAGATTTCCTGGAAATCGCGATTTAGTACTTTGCTGAAGATCTTATATTTACATGATCTTTCTATATAAAAATTTCGAAGTCAATCAGAGCGGGGCAGGGGTAATTTCCTTGTAAAAAGTGTCTCACTACTTTTTGTTCAAACTAGGATTATGACAAAGCAAAGACAGTTTTGTCCTGAAGAGCAAGTGTTAAAGATAAGGTATAATACAAAAAGCAAGGAAGTGTTGTGTAGGGCTAATTTTTAAAGTTTTTAATGCTTGAATTAAAGTTTTGCAGTTTTATTTTTTTTGCGCAAAGAATTAATCAAAAAACGTCTAAGCCTGTGACATAATTCGTCAAAATGGGCCCTAAGGCATTGTTTTTTTCGAAGGAATTAAAATTGAAACTTTTACTATTCTGTTTATTGGCATTCGTAATTGTTTATTCGGAGTGAAATGTAGATAATGGCATTTTGCAAGTGTAAAACTTTTTCGGTGCCTAAGCGGTTGACCTTTGCATTGGAAATGAAAATTTTTAAAAATTTTTTGAAATTTGAAATTTTTTTAAATTTTACTTTTTTTGAAATTTTAATTTTTCTTTTGAAATTTAAAATTTTTTTTTGAAATATTAAAATTTTGATTATTACTTATACCAAGCAACAAAATAAAGCCAAGGCCAGACCTTGATTTCTCGACAAATCGGCTTAGTTTAAGGTACTTTTAAGTATTCATGGAAAGCTGGATATTATTATCAAGGAAAACAATCCAACTCTCCTTATGGATTCAGTTTTTGTAAACAAAATTTCTTGTAAATAGGCCTAAAACATATTGTTTTTAGGTCCGGGTAACGGAGAAAAATGGGTTTCGTTTTTAAATTTTGGCTTTTTGGGGGAAGTGGGGATTCGAGTAGGGGGGAGTATGAAGGAGAGGGCTGTTTTTGTCATTTTTAAGGCTAAAAATGAGGTTTTTTTTGTCATTTTTAAGTTTACGATTAGGTTTTTGTTTAATTGTATGGCTCCAGCTTACAAGGAAAGTACCCGACCTGCCCCGCTCTGATTGACTTCAAACTTTTTTTACAGAAAGATCGTGTAAATATAAGATCTTCAGCAAAGTACTAAATCGCTCATTCTAGTCAATCTCGAGAAAATCGAGATAAAAAATTACGTTTTGAATTTTCCGCTAAATTGGCATTGTGTTTCAATCTTATAACTTTGCCGTTTTTTGGCTTTTAACAATTTTTCTTTAATATACTAGTAGAATACCTTTAAATGAACTTACAATTTTAAATTTGTAAGCTTAGCTTGTCTGGAAAGTTGAAAAAAGGGCTTGAAACATAATGCCAATTTGCCAAATTGGCGGGAAACGAAAATAACTTAAATTTAAAACTCAAAAGCGCAAGCTAAAATTTTTATGGGTACTATTGGTAGTACAAGTAATTCATATAAAAACTTTTGAGTTGATTCTGAACGGGGTAGGTAGGGTACCTTCCTTGTAAGAAGAATGGGTTTGTTTTTAAATTTTGGCTATTCTTGGAGGGGGGGGGGGGGTGATTAAAAATAAAACGTTTTTAGGTTTAATTGCTCTTAGGCTTAAAGTTTCTTTACGGCTCAAAAAATATCCTTTAAAACCTTTGTTTCATAAAAAATGGCGTAAAGCTTCCAAGTCTCCCAAAAATTAGCCGTCGGAACATTGGTGATGATATAATAGATCAGAATTGTCCGAGAAGATAATAAAAAAATGGGAAACTGTTCTCAATTCAATCTCAACAGCTGACAATCCTTCTGCAACGTTCTTTTTTTAGGCCGCTTTTTACGTCCTTTAGGCTTATGTTGAAAGGGCAGCTTACGTTTCAGCAGACGTGTTTTAATAAGAATGGTACTTTGTAATTGGGTTTTTTAACGTTTGGGGTGTTTATTGCCTAATTTTTAAGAAAAAAAGCGTTAAATGTTGACAAACTGTATAGGATATCATGATCCTAATTTGCTCTAATATAGAAGGAACGTTTGGGCCGACACAGATTGCCAAACTTTTCGGTCTTTGACGGTCCGGTCCCGACGATAAAGCAGTCCAGTACAATCAAAAATTTAAGACCTGCAATCCTGATTTTATGACCGATAGCCACTTTTATACCATATACAATATTGCGCGACGAGTGAGCTTGCTCCATTTTTGTGCGCGGTACCAAATTTTATCTGCCATATTTATGAGTATATAAACCCTAGCTCTGCTAGTTACAGCTGCATTATTAAGATATTACTATGCCTAGGAAAAGCTTAAACTTAAGCTAAGCCTAAGCCAAAGCTAAGCTAAGCCTAAGCTAAGCCTAAGCTAAGCCTAAGCTAAGCCTAAGCTAAGCCTAAGCTAAGCCTAAGCTAAGCCTAAGCTAAGCCTAAGCTAAGCCTAAGCTAAGCCTAAGCTAAGCCTAAGCTAAGCCTAAGCTAAGCCTAAGCTAAGCCTAAGCTAAGCCTAAGCTAAGCCTAAGCTAAGCCTAAGCTAAGCCTTGATTGCCTCGCAGTCAAATGACGCAATAGATTACTGCGAGGGCTAGATGGTCATTTTTCTGTACGGGACCGCTTTTATCTGGCGTAGTAGAAGAATATATAAATGTATAAACTCGTGTCTAAGCCTGTTATGTTTTTTTTGATGTTGCGGGTTATAATAGTATATGTTTTGCTTTAGCCTACTTATACCTAATTGTAAGGCTAGGGTCCTAGCTTGACCTGCTTTCCTATACCTACCCCCCCCTCCTTTTGTTATCTTCCTTGCTTTGGCATAAGCCTAAAAATAGGTTTTTAGGATGGGCATTGATAAGCCTAAAGATAAGCCTAAGTGTTTCATAATGCCCCATTCTAAACAATTTTAACTCTTCTAAGATCAACATTTTGTTGTCTAAACAGCCAAAAAAACATGCAATATTGTTTTATGCGGTATTGGGTTTCGGCTATAATCGCTTTTGTTACTCTTTCTGTTTGGAAGTGATTCGAAACGTCAGTCCGGGAAAAATCTTAAAAATGTCTTTCGAAGGCACTTTTTGACTTTTCCACCCGGAAATCGTTCTAAATTGGCCGCACGCATTTGGTCTAATTCGAATGCTCGTACATATTACATTATACTATACCATGTTTGAAACATATACTGTTTCATCATAGTATATTACGAGGAGGGGGGAGGGGAGGAGAAATTTTTTTTTCTTTTTGTGAAATTTTGCTGTTTTATGTTAAAAATGCGGTTTATTAAGATATAACTAAGTCTAAGCCTAAGAATAAGCTTATGTCAAAGAATAAGACTATGTTGAAGCCTGCGCCTAAGTCTAAGCTAAACCTAAGTCTAAGCCTAAGCATAAGCTGAAGCCTATTCCTAAGCTTAAGTTTATGCCTAAGCTTAAGCCTAAGCCTATGTTTAAGCCTAATACTAAGCCTAAGTTTAAGCCTAATCCTAAGCCTACGCCTAAGCCTAAGTTTAAGCCTATACCTAAGCCTAAGTGTAAGCCTAAAAATTGTGAAATTGATTTTTTTTTAATTTTTGAATTAAAAATGATTCTATAAATTTTTTTTTAAACTAAAAATTTAAAAAAATTATTTTAAACTGCCATTTTTAAAAATGACCAACCCTTGACCTTGTAAACACATTGTTTTGTCATTTTCCGTATTTGCCCTGTAGGTCAACAGCTGTTACTATTTATAAAAAACAAGTAATTTCCCTAACAAATAAATTGATTGGAGCTTCTTGGAATTCCCACTATAATATTAGGCTTGCATACTAAACGAATTAGTGCTGTAGGCAATTAGTACAAGTATTAGACGTTATAGTGTTTAAAAAAAAAGGTTTTTGTAGAACAGGGTAGGTTATGGAAGGGTAGGGTTCAGAAGGGTAGCGTAAAGTATAGTAGGGTAGGGGTGAAACACGGGCCGTGTAGGCGCGGCCCTACGATCGGGTTGGACCAGCCTTGAGATAAATGTACGTCGGGCCTGAAAACCAAAATTTGGCCCAGCCCGAACAAGAACGGTCCGTTGCATGTAAAAAAATTTGAGTCGGGCCGGGCCAGTCTGAAGTAAAAATGAAAACGGGATGGGCCTCAACCTTGGCCTCTAAAGCAGGCTCGGCCCGTCCCTCACCTCTAAGGAAGGGTAGGGTAGGGTAGGGTAGGTAGGGTAGGGTAGGGTAGGGCAGAGTAGAGTAGAGTAGGGTAGGGTAGGGTAGGGTAGGGTAGAGTAGAGTAGAGTAGAGTAGAGTAGGGTAGGGTAGGGTAGGGCAGAGTAGAGTAGAGTAGGGTAGGGTAGGGTAGGCTGAGGTAGGGTAGGGTAGGGCCTATTTTTCTACCAAGATGCAAATGCTACAGATCCAACATTGGCTATAACAAACTTTGGTCTTCTATGACATTTTCTTCCCAAACTTACTGTTGTTGCTGTCTACCAACTTTACTATGTATAATCTCAAATTTACTGGTGTATAAAATTCAATCCAACCTCTTTTTTCCCTACAAATATTTTTTTCTCTGTGTTTGGAGTTTTTGTTAAATTGCGCGGAAATTAACGGCCATTTAAAATAAAATTTTTTGGCCATTCGTTTTTGGGCCATCCACTTTTTTTGGGTCCCTCAGGGGATAATGCTCGTATCTGCAGTTGTTTTGGTAATTAAACAAGATTTTTTAATATTAAGCGCGTGTTTGGGATGTTTTTGATCTTAAATTTCAAAAATTTTAAATTTAGTTTTTAAAACTTTCGAAATTTTAATTTTTGCGTTAAAAACGCGGTTTATTAAGATATTAGGTTGAACCAAAGGTAGCGGAACACTTTTCATTTATTGTTCAACTTAAAAATGTCTCGCTACTTCTATTTTAACCTATTATAGCCTACGCCTCAGAATAAGGCTAGGCTTAAACTTACGCTTAAACCTAAGCCTTAACCTGGCTCTAAGCCTAATCCTAAATTTAAGAATAAGACTAAGCTTGAGCATAAGCCTGACCTTACTAAGCCTAAGCCTATAAGCCTAAGCACAAGCCTAAACTTACTAAGCTTAAGCCTAATCCTAAGCCTAAGCTTAAGGATAAGCCTACGCCTAAGCCTAAGCCTAAGCCTATTTTAACATTTTTTTTCACTTTTAACTGATTTAAGAAAAATTTTAAATACCTTTAAAATTTTTCTCTTTAATCATTACCACTGTAACACAACTATCCATTAAATACAACTATTTTACGCACTTATTAATGTAATTGTTTTTGATATTTGCCCATTTTCCGCGCCGTTTACAACTTAATTTTATTGTTATGCCCTGCGGCGTTTTAGGTGCCAAAATCAACAAAACTTGCGGAATAAATGTCACATCAGCTGGACTTGACCATACATTGGCTATTCGTGTAGAAAATGAACTACTTGGCCGTTTTATGCAAATTTCTGGTGTTCAGCTGGATTGGGGTGCACAGTAAGTTCTGTGAGTTCATTCTTAATTGGTTGAAGTTCGACAAAGTTTAACATTTTGGTGTGTTTTTTGAATTATTGGCAGTAAATTTTTGATTTCTTAATATCTTTGGCTAAACCTTTTTTTATTTTTGCTTTTTTTAATTTTCATGTTTTCGTGGTGGGACCCAACTTGGGTTTTAAAATTTGTAGGATTTTATAAATGTGTTATAACAAGCCATTTTAACTACTTTTTATGCACTTTTCAGCAATAATTTTACTTTTTGCAAAAAAATGGGTCCCACCACGAAAACCTGAATTCTTCGAAAAACGCTATTTTTGACCAAAACTTGGTATAAAAATTAATGACGCCTTACTCTCAATCACTTCCGACTATTTTCAGATGGTGTATCAGACAGTTTAGAAGCGGGTAGTGGCGAAGATGATCTTTTCGAAAACCTCGGATTTGAACTGCCGGCACATTATCGACTAGAACGGCACCTGATGAAATACTACAATAACAGGATATTACCACGACGAAAAGCGGCTTGGTCAGTAAAAGTCAAATTCCGAATAGCATTGTACCAGATTGTGGAGGTGAACGAACCACAACAGTACGTCATACTGAATTCGTGGATCGTGGAGAGTTGGAAGGATGACTTCTTATATTGGGATCCGGTCAAATTTGAAAATATTACCGAAATTATACTGCCGGCTGAGAATTTATGGACTCCTGATACTACACTTTACAATTCGTAAGCCATTTTTGTTTAAAACTTAAGCTTAAGCATGCTAAGCCTAAGCCTACTAAGCCTATGCCTACTAAGTCTAAGCCTATTAAGCATAAGCCTACTAAGACAAAGTCTACTAAGCCTAAGCTTACTAAGCCTAAGCCTAATAAGCCTAAGCCTAAGCCTACGCCTAAGTCTAAGCTTAAGCCTAAGCTTACTAAGCTTAAGTCTACTAAGCCTAGGAATACTAAGCTTAAGCCTAAGCATACTAAGTCTAAGCTCACTAAGCCTAAGCTTGCGTCTACTAAACCTAACTTGACTAAGCCTAGGCCTAGTAAGCTTATGTTTACTGAGCGTAAGCCTAAGCTTAAACCTACTAAGCCTAAGACTACTAAAATTTGATGCTTATTAAGTTTAAGCCTGCCAAGCCTAACTTTAAGCCTAAGCTTAATAAGCCAAAGATTACTAAGCCCAAAAGGTTTAAACCTAATCAAGACCTTAATTTTTTTTTTTCATTTTAGGCTTCTGATGGACGACGCCGAATCCCGTCGGATTCAGTCGATCAAAGTGACAACTCTACCTCATCGTCATACTGCCCAAATCGAGTTTTTATACCCAACCTTGTACAAATTTAGTTGCACATTGGACTTGAGGTTATTTCCGTTTGATGAGCAGGTAGGTATTTCAATGTTTTTAAAATTTTAAATTTAAAATGGCAGTTTTTTGGTTTTTTTTGTTTCGGAAGAGGGGGGGGGGGGGGTTTCGGCCGCTTAAAACTGGTCTAAAATACAAAAAAGGTAAAAAAAACATAATCAATTATGGATATGAATTCAAAAACTCAAAAAAGCGAGCTTTTACTTTACTATTTTTAACGTTTTATGTTTAAATTCCCCGAGGGGATTTAAATAACAAAACTGAATGTCGCGTTCCTTTGTCGTGTTCCTTGACAGTTGACAAATATACTGAAACGTATACGATTTTACAACAATTCAAAATTATTTATGCTCAAAAAGTATAAAATTTCAAAAAAAAATTGAAAAAAAAATTTAAATTTAAAAAAATTTTAATTTTGCAAAAACTTTGTTTACAAAGCATATTAAAATTTCTTTTTTGGCGAAGCACTGAAATTTTTGAAGATTTGGATTGTCATTACATTTTAAGGTAAAAATTCTAAAGATGAAGATTAAAAAATTGTACTTTTAGTTCTGTAAGCTGACCTTTGGCAGCTGGACCCATGATAACAAAGCGATTGATTATCACCCCAATAATGGAACTGATGCGGCAATTGGAGTTGAAAATTGTATTGAAAATGAAGAATGGAACATTATACAGACTTCTGGTAAGATTAATATCTTTTATTTCAAATTTATGGTCAAATTTTCGGTCTCAACACGAAAGTTTCTCAAAATCTTAGCGTCGTGTTTAAAGGCTTGAAAGGTAAATATAAAAGCGAAAAAAGTTATTTACATCGTATTTTACAGTATCTAAAACACTTTAAAATTTTTTTTTCAAGTTTGTGATCATTTATTGGGTCCCACCACGAAAATTTCCTAAATATCGGCCTTTTTTAAATTAAAACAAAAACGAAATTTCAGTGTCACGAATGGAAAGAAAATACCATTGTTGTCCAAATAACTACACGTTACTCGAGTTTTACATCTTGATGCAACGAAAACCATTGTACTACGTTACCAACCTGATAGCACCAACTGCCATCATTACTTTCATCGCTATCATTGGATTCTTTTCTTCAGCGACTGTTAATCAAATTAGAGATGAAAAAATCACACTTGGTATTACCACGGTAAGATTTTTAGTTTTTAAAAGGTAAATAAGTGATAATTCAAGTTTTCGTTGGGAGACCAAAAATGAAATTTTTTAAAAATATATTAAAGTTGAAAATTATACGTATTTCAGCTTCTTTCAATGTCAATTTTAATCTTCATGGTATCTGATAAAATGCCATCTACATCATCTTTTGTACCACTTATAGGTAAGTGCTTACTGTAATATATAATACTTAATATCATTCTTTTAAATTTACTTTAGGTAGTCCTACAGGGTAAAAACGGCGTTATTATGCCAAATAAACAATAAAATAACATGTTTTCAGGTTGGTTTTACACCTCCATGATGTTGCTGATATCACTTGGTACCTGGGCGTCGGCGGTCGTAATTTCAGTTCAAAAGAAGGGTATTATGGGAAAACGACCGCCAATGAAGACCATGAGATGGGCTAGAAAGTTGGGCAGTATTCTTCAAGTGGAAATGCCATTACTTATGAAACAGGCTTATGCGCTTAAGGCTAAGGTGAGTACTGTAACATTTTTGTCGCAAAAATACATTTTTAAGTTTTGACGATTGGAGGTCACACATGACGTATTTACCCTCAATATATGTGTTTTGTGGCTTGATTTAACAGTACTACCCATTAATACTAACAAAACTTTCAGCGGCGGACGACATTTTTCACACTTTTCAATTCAAACGTCTTTGGAGGAGCGAAAAAACAGTCGGCGGAAGAAAAAGAGGTAATAATGACATGATTGATAATTTTCATAACATTTTAAAGGTTAAAATACAAAAAGAAATAGTGAATTATGTCGAAAAAGGCCAAAAAGTACCAAGCCACCTAGGGGGATCGAACCCCTGACCGTTGGATTAAAAGTCCAACGCTCTACCGCTGAGCTAAGGAGGCTCACGCGCACGATTGCCTTATTATTGTTTGTGAACTTCTTTGGAGTGATTGAAAGGAGAGATAATCTGTTATTAGTGGTTTTAGAGTGAATGTTAACATTTTTTAAAACCTAATTTTTATTTTTTTTTGTTTTAAGGTCTTCACTAACATTCTTTGTGGATTTTTACTAATTTCAACCCGATTACTGTTATTTTTATACTAAATCTAACAATTATTTTGCTGTAAAACAATAAAAAATAATTTTAAAACTATTTTTAAAACATAAAATTATCTAAATTTAAATTTTCAGCAAGAAAAAATCATGAAGCAAGCGAATGCCAACCGAAGGCCGTCGTTTTTCACCCGATCATGGCAAAAATTGAGTAATTCCCGATCTACCACGCCCATTACAAACTCAACTCTCCTGCCACCGCCTAATAGTGACAGTGCTAATAGCGGATTGACTAGATTAGCGTCGTTTCAAAAAAGTCAACAGCCAACAATGGAGCTATCCACCATGTCAATAGGTTGGTTTAGGCTTGATGCACGCGGAATAACAATTTTGTTAGGCTTATTTTTGGTTGAGATTTATTTTTTTAGTCTTCTTGAGTTATAACTAGCATTTTTAACATATTTTTAGTTTTTATTTTGTTACATGACTTGAAAAAATCAAAAACTTTGTTTTTAATACCTAAATTAGCAAAAAATGCCTTTACAAATCAAAAAACGGCAAAAACTTTCTTTACAAGACAAAAATGGCAAAAACTTTCTTTACGAAACCGAAAATGGCAAAAACTTTCTTTACAAAACTAAAGATGACAAGAACTTACTTTACAGAACAAAAAATGGCAAGAACTTTCTTTACATATCAAAAAATTACAAAACTTTTTTAAAAATTTCAAAAACTTTAAATTCTTCAAATCCACCCAATTTCACCAGCTTTGCCACACTAACACTCACAGTTGCCGTGCCATTACACTCATTCCCTCAGGCTTTGGTTGCTTTTTACTCTATCGCTTCTCATTTCCGTTTTTTCTTTGCTCAAGGTCTTCTGAATGCTGACGATCTGAGATTCGCAGATGAAGGTGATGAAGACCTGACACTGGACGAATGGGACCCATCCACACCTGGTCCGCCGACGCCAACGCGGCTTCAGCCCAATGGTTCGGTTTGGCCGCCAACTGCGCCCGAAAGTCCGCCGAGGAGGTCACAGAGTACAGTAACAGCGCCTATTATCAGGAAAGGCAGTAAACGACCGGCTATTGTACCTGAGTTGTCGTTGGATGGGAGTGAGTTTAATTTGTTGTATGGGTATAGAAAGGCAGGGCCGGACGGGCATTTTTAAGAAATGGGGGGGGGGGCGCTCGGCCTTGTAGGAAGGTATTATGGATTACTGTAATTTGGGTTAACGCATAGTCGGTTAGGGTAGGGTAGTGTAGGGTAGGGTAGGATAGGGTAGGATAGGGTAGAGTAGGGTTGGGTAGGGTATTTTGTTTAAATCTCCAAAATTCCAGACCCAATGATAACCACACCTCAGGGCAATCAGCGAACACTGGCTGAAATCGAATACGATTGGCTAGCTGAAATTGTGGAACGAGTATTCTTGGTCATTTTCATTATATTGTTTTTGTTTTGCGCTATCGGTATCAATTTCATTGGCTTCTACCACTGGATGAGGACACAAATTATAGACACGGTGGATGAGTAACACCCGGTGACAGTTTTTATGTTGTTATACATTGATCTCACATCATCAACTTTTTGGTTGTATTTAAATAAACTTGTTTTTGAATTTTTGCGAAGAAACTTTGTTTATAGCACAGTAAATGGCAAGAACTTTGTTTACAAAACAAAATATGGCAAGAACTTTGTTTACAAAACAACAAATGGCAAGAACTTTCTTTACAAAACAAAATATGGCAAGGACTTTGTTTACAAAACAAATAATGGCAAGAAATTTCTTTACAAAACAAAAAATAGCAAAAACTTTCCTTACAAAACATAAAATGACAATAATTTTCTTTACAAAACAAAAAATGGCAGGAACTTTCTTTACACAACGAAAAACCGCAAGAACTTTCTTTACAGAACAAAAAATGGCAAAAACTTTCCTTACAAAACAAAAAATGACATTTTCAAATCACAACAACAAAAATCTATAAATCTATATCAAAATAAGTAAAAAATTTATTTTTTTTTGTCAAAAGTACCGGTAAATATACATTAACAGGAGATATGCGAAGTTGGGGTGATATGAAAGAAAGTGGTGGGTAGTACCCGTGTTTGTGGTCTTAAAGCGACAATTGGATCACAAAATAAAGAGATTTTAACTTACTACATACAATCTACAACTACCCTACGATATTAGAAAGACGACTTTTTGAGAAATATACAGAAGTGGTTGATTTTGCATTGGAAATGAGGATTTTAAATTTTTTTGTTTTTTAGGTAACATTTTTAAAAAATCCTTGCTTCTAGTGCAAAAAAAAATACAAATTATAACTAAATTTTCGTTATAGTACAGAACAGTATCGTTTTTCGTACTTTACAGTACCTAGACATGAGGAACGGGCTGGGTCGGTCCTGAGCCAAATTTAGGCCGAACCGGGCCTGAATACCAAGGCCTGGCCGAGCCAATCAATATTTTGATCTAGCCGGGCCTAACATTCAAGCCGGGCCCGTTCCCCATGTCTAGCAGTACCAAAAAAGAAAATACAGTATCCTACAGTACTCTAAGGTCCGACAGTGTCGACTCCGTTGAAAAATTCAAAAAACTTTAAATTCAGATGAGCTTCGACGTTATCACTGAGTGTAGCATTCTTTTCCTCTTCAGATACACAAATCTTGTCTGTTCTGAAGGCTTCCCTAGGCACGAACGAATCTACACATCCTTGAGTAGTTTGATTGTAGCGTTCTGTTTGGTGCTCTGACTCGGATAGTACTTGTTCTTGGCTGAAAATGTACCCATAACATTCATAAACAATGTTTTAAAACTACGGTAAACCATCTAAACCTACCGTTTTGGATCAACACAGACATAATCATAAGCATCGATAGCACGCCACAGTTTGCCAGTACGACATGAGTTAGCACCAACAGTGATGGCGTCAGAGTAGAAATGTTGTCGTGCTACTTGTCGTCGTATATCAGATATCTCAACATTTCGTACTTTTTCTAGACAAACATGTTCTACACCAGCAGTGGGTTCTCGTAATCGACTGGTCAATTCACCTAGTCGACATTCTGTCTGAAAATAGTACTGTAAGGTTTACAAAATCAGTACTGTAAGGTTTGTAAGAATAGGAATTTGTACCCTACCCTACTCTACAGTACCGTACCGTACCCTACCCTACCCTACCCTACCCTACCCTACCCTACCCTACCCTACCTAAAAAAGTTACAGTAATCCATATTAGACAACTTACCGGTGAAAAAGTCGAGCTAATGGTAACATCAGCATCAGTAGAGTATACTTTCTTAACAGTAACTCGAAGTACTTGATAGCCATTCGTAGTAAAATCGAGGAATTTTACCCACTCTGTACCTTCGGTCAGCTCATAGTAATCCTTTTGAGTTACCAACACACTATAGTAACTCTCGCCAGCACGTTGTACACGGTGAATCAATATTGAAGCCTAAAACATGCTTATCATGACTTTAAAAGGCAAAACATACCTGCTGAATGCCTCTGTCATAATTATGCGGTGTTCTCAATTCCACAGTATAAAAATTCCTCGAGTTACTACGGTCATACGGTATCATAACAAACAACCATCCTCGTGTAGCGTTATGTGCTACACTAAGCGACGACAATCTCAACGTGTAGTTCTGTCGCCCATCTCTGCCGAAATATAACATACGATCCATAGGTAACCATCCCAAAAAGTCTAAATGAGCCCCATTCAGGCCAGGCCCAGCCATACCGTACTTCGACGGGTGCATGAAAGCATTGGCCGTGCTCATCAAGTCGTACCTGTCATCATACTCGCCATTCAGAGCGTACTGGAACACCTTCTTTTGTCGATCGCTGTACGAATGACCGATGAAGAAGGAGTGTACCATCTCGTGCGTTAGTACACTTGTATTCATTAGCTGTGGGGTTAATAGTACTCCATATTGTTTGTCGAATACTGCGTTAGTACCACCGTTTACTATGGTGATTTTTTGGCGGTGAGGAGCGATGCCATTTCGTTCGGCTTCTTTTATGCACAATTCTTTGATTTTGTCAAAGTACTGAAAGTAAAAATGTTTGAGTAACTTCAACTCCAACAAGAAAATTTTAGGCTTATTTTAGGCTTAAATTCAATAAACAAAAAAAGCTTTTTTAGGCGTATTTTCTTTGTTATATCATTTAAAAAATAATACTTGTTTTGAATTTTAAAAGAAAAATATTTTAGGCTTATTTTAGGCTTAAATTCAATTAAAAAGAAAAAAAAACTTATTTAGGCTTATTTTCTGTCTTTTATCATTCAAAAACTAATATTTTATTTGAATTTTAAAACAAAAATGTTTTAGGCTTATTTTCATTAGGCATAGGTTGAATAAACAAGAAAAACAATCTTTTTAGGCTTATTTTAGGCTTAAATTCAAGAAACAAAAAAACACAATCTTTTTAGGCTTATTTTCTGTGTTTTATTATTCAAAAAATAACACTTTTTTTTAATTTTAAAACAAAAATAATTTAGGATTATTTTAGGCTTAAACTATAAAATGTTAATTATTAAAATATAAAACTAAAAAAATGTATATCACACTAATATCTTAAGCCTAATAAAAGTTAAAATCCTGACTTGTTACTACCACCCGCTAAATAAATTAAACCAAACAGCATTATTAAAACTAATTTTAAAAAACTCACCAAAAAACTGCTCTCGCTGCCAAGCGTAAAGCTGCTCTGAATCTTGGCCAACGCCAGAATCTCCTTCTGCTTAAACGGCAACTGTAGCCATCCATGAACTTCACTACCTTCAATCGTATATACACCATTCGAGACTTGTTCAAAGTAGCTCTTGATGGAGTCGGGATGATCGCCCATTATCCATTGTCGTACCCATTCCTTCGTCTTGGGTTCGTAATTCGGCTGATCCGCAAATTTGCATAAAATCACGGTCCATGGTTCGTTTGTGCGACGAGGAATGGCGTGGACTGAGATCAATGAGAGGAGTAATATCACCGAGATGAACATCGAAGAGCTGCTTGACGATTATATCCTGTACATGAGATACTGTAGAGTTGTGGTGTGAGATGGTTGTCGCTTTAAGCCTAAAAAATTGAAAGTTTGTAAAAAATATAGGTTTAAAGGAAACGCGATAAATATATAGATTTCATTATAATAGGCTTAAGCTAGCTAGGCTTTGTAATCAATGGATTAGTAGCCTAAGGCTTATGAACGTTAAACTTATTTGGTTTAGGCTTAGTAGGCTTAGGCTTAGTAAGCTTAGGCTTAGCAGGCATAGGCTTAGTAACCTTCGTCTTAGTAGGCTTAGGCTTAGTAAACTTAGCCTCAATATACTTAGGCTTAATAGACTTAAGCTTAGTAAGTTTAAGCTTAGTAGGCTTAGGCTTAGTAGGTTTAGGCTTAATAGGCTTTGGCTTAGTAGGTTTAGGCTTAGTGGCTTAGTAGGCTTAGGCTTAGTAAGCTTAGGCTTAGTAAGCATAGGCTTAGTAAGCTTAGGCTTAGTACGCTAAGGCCATGTAAGCTTAGGCCTAAAACTCACCATTTTTTCTAAGCCTAAAATATCGCCTTTAAAAGTGCAAGTAACCAACAGCTGAACCCAAAACCAAACTTTAAGTCCGAAACCAAAAAACTTTTACTTTTTAAACAAATCCATCTTATACAACCTTTGCAAACCATGTTATCGCTTAAACAAATCTCCAAAAAAGTTCGTAACTTGAATTACATAACGTTTTTTGACATTCTGAAGAAAAGAAAAAACAGCTGGAAGTATGTAAAAAATTACTTTCACTTAACGGTCACATAAAGTAATGTCAAGGTAGAAGCGGAGGCACAAAAACGAGCAAAATCTCACCTTTTCTTAAACAGAGTTATGTCTAGACTTAGAAGTTTAAAATTAGTTGACTTAAGCTTAGTAGGCTTAGGCTTAGTAAACTTAGCCTCAATATACTTAGGTTTAATAGACTTAAGCTCAGTAAGTTTAGGCTTAGTAGGCTTAGGCTTAGTAGACTTTGGCTTAGTAAATTTAAACTTAGTAATTTTAGGCTTAGCAAACTTAGGCTTAGTAGGCTTAGGCTTAGTAGCCGTAAGATTAGTAAGCTCAGGCTTAGTAGGCTTAGGCTTAGTAAGCTTAAGCTTAGTAGGTTTAGGCTTACTAGGCTTATACTTCGTAGGCTGAAGCTTAGTAGGCTAAAGTTTAGCAGGCTTATATTTAGTTTACCTATATAAGTTCAGTATGCTTAACTTAATAAACTTAGATTTGATAAACATTGGCTCAGTAAAAAAAGTTTTAAAAAATAAAATTTTAAGTGCAAGATGCACCCAATCCCCGATTAGTAACAAAATTAGGAGACAAAGGAAAAACAAGGTTACCCTTTCTTTTTTTTAATTAAAAAATAACATTCCAATCCTGAAAGGCTACTTAATCGGCTTTGTTTTAGCGAATTTCTAAGCCAATTTCGATTTTTTTGTATGGAAAAATAACAGTAATAACAGAGAGATTTCAGGATTGTGAGAAAAAAATGTTTACACAGGTCAGTGGGGCAAGAATTTAAAATTAAAAAAAAAACTAAATTTAAAAATTTTCAAAAATTTTAAGTTTTTTTTTAAAACCAGCTAAACTACCGTTCGTTGTAGTTCAATTATCTAAACAATTTCCCAAAGAATCCCAAAAATTAAGAAAAAACGTGTTTCATTTGACCGTTCGAAACCCGCTTCTCACCCAGCTTACAATAGCGAAAAACACTCAGAAACTCACCCATACCATCCCCCTCCTTTTTTTTGTTCCCCACCTTTAAACCACACCTCCCCTTAAACTATTCTTACTTTCCTTTTAGCTAAACTACCCTACCCTACCCTACCCTACCCTACCCTACCCTACCCTACCCTCCCCTACCCTACCCTACTCTACTCTACCCTACCCTACCCTACCCTACCCTACCCTACCCTACCCAACCCTACCCTACCCTATCCTACCCTACCCTACCCTACCCTACCCTACCCTACCCTACCCTACCCTACCCTACCTTACCTTGCTTTAACTTTCTCTACCCTACCCTATCTTATCTACATTGCCTTAATTAATTAGCTCGACACTACCGTACATTTCCCCGCTTCCCCTACCGTGCTCTTTTCTGCACTAGAATACTCTACCCTAGCCCCTACCCGATCCTATCCTACCTTCCATTACCATCCCCTACATGCTCAGCTTTTTCTTCCCCTGCTACTCTTTTAGTACCTCCCCCCCCCCTCCACCCCGTTGCCTCGTTGTTTTCACCTCACCCCTGCCCCGACTCCAAAACATCACCCACTGTGCGTTTGCACCGTTCGACGTATGGCGTAACATGTTGACAAACATCATCGTAAACACGATGTCGTTTATGATCGTTCACAACATTTCTCTACGCTGTCAGTCGTTTTTTCGCCAGATAAGAGCGCCGAAAATCAGATGGCGAAGTTGGGGAAGAGAAGGAGAAGATGAAGATGGATCTCAAGGAACTGCGGGCTTTTTTAGCTGCGGGGGTAAAATTGTGAAAGCTGGAAAACACCTACCTAATAAAATCATGTGTAAATTAAACAGGGCGAGGGTGTTCATGAGTGATTAATGAAAAGATTACTTTAATGACTTGTAAAGAAAGTTCTTGCCATTTTTTGTTTTGTAAAGAAAGTTCTTGCCATTTTTTGTTTTGTAAAGAAAGTTCTTGCCATTTTTTGTTTTGTAAAGAAAGTTCTTGCCAATTTTAGTCTTGTAAAGAAAGTTATTGCCATTTAAACTTCAGTAAAGAAAGTTCTTGCCATTTTTAGTGTGGATCAACCACACTCACGCTGTCCAGGAAATACCGACGCACGATCCTAGATTGAACATTGTGTAGGATGTAGTCAGGCCCGATGATTAGTTGGAGCGCCACCCACGGCTCATTTTCGGCCAGGAAAATTCTTTGTTTGGTCGGAGGCTGAGGCGGGGGTGGCTCCAGCTCCGTCATCTGAATGTGGGTGACGGAAGCGGCTTCAGCTGATAGAGCCGGAGAGCAAAATTTTTGGTAGTGCTCCGGCTCAATTGAACTGATTGTAAAAATACCTTGGGGCGGGGGCAGGATGGTGTGTGGTGAGAGAAGTAGTGGCAGCGGGTTAGCATAAGCCGCCGCCACCACTATGGTTGCCTTGTTTGTTGCCTTTATGCGATCATGAAGACTGAGCCAATTGGAGGGGTCAGATATGTACAGTATCTGGGCGAAGGAGGGCACGTAGCTCTTTAGCTTCGTGGCCTGTGTGACATCGTTGACAATAAGCACGCTGTAACGTGCAATATCCGGTAGTAGTACCGGCAAGTTCTTGCCATTTTTTGTTTTGTAAAGAAAGTTATTGCCATTTAAACCTCAGTAGAGAAAGTTCTCGCCATTTTTTATTCTGTAAAGAAAGTTCCTGCCATTTTCTGTTTTGTAAAGAAAGTTTCTGCCGTTTTTCATAAAAATTAAAAATATGTTTGCCTTGTAAAGAAAGTTCTTACGACATAAATTTTAAAATTGTATCCTCCTTTCCATCCCGCAATTGAGACCCTTCCCCACCCCCTATTGGCCCGACACAACCACCAGCTTCAAGAAAAAACCAAAAAAAAATCAAATCAACCCGACCTGCTAAACCCAATTCCAGACCGACCAAAAGTTCACGTAATTAAAAAATTTGCCGTTATGTTGTTTTTACAAATTGTGTCACATCACGCCTATTTTATCATTCCCGAGAAAACGGTCACACTCCAGAATCGACCGCTTTCGGGTCAAGGTCGGGATCCGGAAATTCTGTCGATTGTTTCGGAATTCTGTCGATTGTTTCGGAACATTTCCAACCCTCCGGGCTTTGTTTGTTTTTACGCAATTTCGAAAAATTTATTTGAAATTTAATGAATTTGGCTTTGTGAAAAGTGTTACGACGCAAAAAATGATAAAGAGTAACAAAAACGACAAGGTTAGGTTAAAAAAAGACAAGTTTAGGTCGACAAATTCGAAACCACAAGTTTAGGTAACAAAAGAGGCCGTTTAGGTAACGAAAGAGGCCGTTTAGGTAACAAAAGAGGCCGCAATTTTTTATTGTTTAGTTAGTTGAAATAATTTGAAATTAATTAATTGGCTAGGAAATTGTGATATCACACTAGAGAACTAGAATTTCAAACAAAAACGCGGAAGTCACATAAATTATGACAACACGAGAATGAATAAGTCACAGAACGTTTAAAATAACATAATTTACCTTAGATAGTTGAGAAATCAAAACTACTTTTAACAGAATGTATTGCAAGCCCATAATACGTATTTTTGCGACATTTCAAGCCATTTTGACTACTAAGTTTTAACATACACCTAATTTACTGCAACTCTTCCGAAATTTTGGTTTCTTAGGAAATTTCACTTTTTCATGCCGTTTTTCAATCAATAATAAAAAAAATCAAAAATTTTAGTTAACAATTTTAAACACAAGTCTAAAATACATATTTTTTAAAAATTTCAAGACAGTTCAACTATTGCGCTTTGAATTATAAGCTAATTACTCTAACAACACCTCCAATTTTTTAAAAAACTTCTTTATAACTTGTCTTAACCGTAAGAAAAACATAAATAAACTCTAATATAAATAGTAAATATAAAGAAAACCCAATAAAATTTTAAAATAACACTTTTCGTGAATGGAAATTTACTGCAAAAAGCGATTGATTCCTTTATGACAATAAAATAAATTACTTTGACTTGTGCGAAACGCCATGTTTTTTTCGAGAGGCAAAACACGTTCCGCTGGAGAATGCCGACCGAGATCGTGTAAAAATTGAAAAAGTGTTGGATGAGTTGTTAGAAACAACAACTTTTTGGGTATGAAAAAGGTTTTAAGTGTATAATACGAAAAATAGGACGGTAATTACTGTAATTACAATTTTTTACTTTGCTTCACAGCAAAGATTTTGCTGCAGAAATAAGATTTTATATAGGTCTTGCTTCAGAAAGCAGTCTTTTGTAATTTTGCATTAAATTTTTGCGTTTTCACGTAAAAAAAATTTTTTAAATCTAATTTCAGAACGATTTATTATTAAGAGATACAAATATAATAACTATTAAATTACATTAGATAACATTGGAATCATTTGCGGTTTCGGCGATCACCGTCAGTAGCCGTCGGTGGGGGTGGAGGGCCTTTTCGGTCTAGCTCTGTCAAATACTTTTCGAGCAATCGTTCTCGTTTGTCCGGCTCCTCATTCAGGATTAAGTATCGTTTGTCGTTCTAAAAAAGGTCGTTATAATGTCATAATATCCAAAAAATTTTATTTTTTGTTTCGTCAAAATGATTTTATACTAAAAATACAAAACTGTCCAAATCCTAAGCAAAATCCAAATCCTTACCTCCAAAACAGCCAGTATATCTTTGAGATGCTGCTCATTTTCCTGTATCATTTTCTGTGACTGATAAGTGATGATTTTAGTTTCCCTTAACAGCGCATCAAACTCTTCGTATATCTTGTCCTTCTGTCGTAGTGCCCAATCGTTAAACTCTCTTTCAGCTCGTCTCTCACTTGATATCACCTTTTCGTACCTTTCATCCGTCTCCAGAATCTTTCTGGCGTCTCTCCACTTCGTCCTATATGTAATATCTTCCTTTTCAGCTAGCAATTGGAAGAATTGTTCTCTTCGTTTTCGCTCCAAGTTGTGAGTATGGTCGGCAAACAAGCGTTCTTTGGTCGATTTCTCTAGTAGATCCAGCTCTTCGTACCGTGAGTCCTTCTTTAGGAGTTTGCGACCATCGTGGTATGAGAGATCAGGGTTCTTGATGATATCAATAAGCATGTTTTGGAATAGTTGTTCTTGTTCGTTGTGTTTGTGACGTTCGCTTTCTTTCGTTCGTTCCTTCATGTGTTCTCCCATTTCTTCGGCTACGGCCTTCTTTCGTTCTTCTAGGGCTTTTTCTGTAGCCGACAGTTCGTTGTTGTCACCGTCATCTGGTGTTTCGCCTTCTTCCAGCTGAAAATTAAAACTTTAGTTTTAAAACCTTATTTTAAAAACAAAAAATCCTGACGTTTAAAGAAGAATCTTCAATGCCGATTTAATTCAAATCTCCAAACACCTACCTCAACCTCATTATCACCTAACGTAGCAACGTAATCTCTGAACAAGTCTTCTCTTAACGCACTATCCAGATATTTATGCTTATATCTTTCATCTGAATCGATCTTCCTTTTTACGTGAGACCATCGTGACTTTCTGTGTAGATCGGTTTGTTCCTTCAGAAGTTCCTTGAACTTTTCTTTGGCTATATCTCGTTCCTTTCGCTTTTCCTCCTTTTCTTTTTTATAAATTTCTGCTACAAAGTCTTTGAACATTTCCTCGCGGTCGCGCATTTTTTCGACCGCTTTGAAACGGTCGTCCTTGCCGTGCTTCGATGAGAACGATGTGAATGTTGATCTTAAAAAACAAAATATAAAATAATTTGTTCAAAAAACTGAAAGCTGAATTGCTAACATGAAATTCAAAAAAATATCCTCATGTGTTACCTAAAACCTCAAGAAATGTAAAAAAATTGAAAAAACTTACTTTCCATGCAATTCTGATTCGTCCAACAACAACTTAAACTGTTCCTTTGCTTCTTTTGCCTTCTTTTTCTTTTCCGCTCTCTCGATTTCAACCTTTTCTTTTGTATACGCTTCAAATGCGGCTTTACGTTCATCTACAGCCAATAACAAGTATCTTGGGTCGTAGATGATTTTAGACAACTCTCTTTGATACGTTGATGATGCACTGACTTCTTTTTCTTCCAGTAGCTTTCTAAACATTTGTATCCGCTCTTCCAATGGGATTGCAGCTCTTTTTTCTCTGGCTTCAATTTCTGCCTTTATTGCTGGATCTTCTTCCTTTTCCACCGGCTTTCGCTTTTGTTGTTCTTGTTTCTTTTGCTCTTCTAGACGACGTTTTTCTTCGGCAATCTTTTGGGCTCTGGAAATATACTTTCTATATGTTAGCTTGAATTCTCAACATTCATTTTTATTTTAAAAAGCCCATTTTAGCTGTTAAATCTCAAAAATCACTAAATTTTTAAAAACTCACTTTTTCTCCTTTCGACTCTTCTTCTTGACCGGTTCTGAACCATCCGAGTTATCACTATCGTTGTCATCATCATCTTCGTGCATTTGTATGTTATTTTCGGTATCCGAATCCTCATCTGACTCCTGTTTTCGTTTTTGATCTGGACATTTGGCCACTAACGCATCCACATCCGACCGGTTGTAGAGTTCAGGTGGCCTTTCCCACACTGAGACTCTGGTTGATGGATTAAAGAAGAAAACGCGTTTATCGCTAGTCCAAACAACGCACCATGGAGTTCCGGGTACGGCACTAGACGAGATTGGTCGGCCTTTGTCGTTGTCGCCAGCCTGTTTTGGGGCAGCTTGCATTGGTGCTACCTGACCCATTACTGGTGCTAGTCCTTGACCGGGCATGGGGCCCATGCCTGGTGGCATACCTTGGCCTGGTATTGGCATACCGGGCATGGGTAACCGAGGCATTCCTGGTGGACCACCGAATGGTGCCCCGAATGGTCCTCCAAATGGAGGTCTTGGACCAAACATGCCTGGAGGTGGAGCTCCGAAACCGGGGTTGAACATGCCTGGATTAGCGTTGATGGGCATGGCATTCGCGTTCGAACCGGCGGGTGGAAAAAGCTTCTGTGGGGCCGCGGCGGCTAAAATTAAAAATTATTAAAGATGCCGTTGTAAATTATAACTAAGAGTTTTAAACCATGATATTACCTAAAAGTCAATTAAAACAATCAAAAACTTACGTTTAGGCTCATTTTCTTTAAATCCTTCTGGTTTAGTCCATGTTGTTTCTTGTGTTACCGGGTTATGATAGTACTTTTTGCCTTCTGGCGTTGTATATTCTTGCCAAGGATTTTCGGGTCTGGGCGGGAAATTTCCGGGAGGAAAACCGTTTCCAAATTGGGGATTGAAATTTGGTGGATATCCTAAAAATATATATATTATGTAAAAAATCTTTAAAAACTAGTTTATATCAAGTTTTATATGACATAATGACCAGAAAAAGTGAGTTATATTATTTATCTTCAACTGGAAAAAAACCAATATTCATTTTTGTAGTTTATGACTTAGTTTTACAAAACATCCTTCCCGAAATACATTAATATAACGCACTTTTCCCGCACTATTCAAGCTAATTTACATTTACAGTAATAAGAGTGGGTGAGCATCTTCTTGATCCTTCTAACGAGCCATCTGATATCGTGTGTCCAATATAAACCTAAGGACGCGGAAAACGTTAGAATTAGTCCCAAATACATTAAAATACCTACTGTTATAGATACTGACATTCCTAACTCTTACTATTAATTTTTTATTTGTTTTTAATATTTTATAGTAATTTTTGCTTACCTTTGCTGAAAAAGACATTACAAAACAAAATTTTGCACCAAAGATATACAGAATTTTTAAAACTTAAATATTTTTACAAGTAATTTTCCAACGCTTAAAATAACATTATCCCCAACATAAGCAATTACAATACAAACAAAAATTAATTGTAGTGCAACGTACTGTGAATTCTGACAAAAGAAAACCTTTACCGACATCCATGAGATACGTATAATCAAGCGCAATAGAATAAAATGCTCTTAAGACCTAAAACAACATTATTAGAGCTTACCTTGCTTAGCCTGTTGTTCTTTCTCTTCTTTCTGACCTTTTTCGATCAATGCTTGAAGTTCGGCCTGTTCCATTACTACAGCATCTTCTGGCTTTTCCCATACTGTCTCCCTCGTTATAGCGTGGTAAAAGTAAGATCTTCCATCAGATGCCTTCGTTTCCACCCATAATTCCTTATCCTGTGGCACTCCAGCAAACTAAAATGATTTAATTTAGATCGAGGAAGCAAAAACCCATCTTAAGAAAGCTTTAGAATCAACAGGTCTAATAACAACATCAAAAACATCCATTAAACACCTTATTTACCTAAAACAAAAACAATAAAAACGAAACCCTTACCCTCTTTAATCGTTCAGCTTGGTCAGCAGGACTTGGCCGAGGCGGTGGAGCATTCATTAACGGCCTGAAGCCATAAGGAGCAACATTTCCATACGGCCTCGGCCCACCTGGGGCTGGGAAGAAGGATCGGTGATTCGGAAACCTTGGCCTGAATGGTTGTTGTGGGACTTGGGACAAAGGTTGAGGTTGTTGCGCTGGGACTTGTGACAGCGGTTGAGGTTGAGATTGTAGAGGCTCTGACGGTGAGCCACTAAAAGTAAAATTTAAAGTAAAAATTAATCCAAGCTTTGTGAAAGGTAATATAGTTTTAAAAATTTATATTGTTCAGCAACCCTTACACAAAAAAAATAGCTTTAAAAGTTCAATTATAGAAATTTGTTACCTAAATTAATGAAAATCATGAAAAAATACCCAAAAAAACTCACTTTTCTTGTCCGTTAGTCGTCGGTTCAGCTTCCATCACAGTATCCAGAGAAACCTCTTTCCTAAACAAACAATATTAAGGTAGACCCAATACAGCCTAAATATTAACACAACATCGAAGTTAACCTACAATTGGATCGCCATGGTAAATTAATAATGAATTATCAAACTATCTGCATATATTTTTATATTACCAAACGAATATCTCTGTATTTTCTCCACACAGAAATTGACGAAATATTTTTTATCGCAACGCTGTATAAACAGAATGCCAAGCACCAGGCATTTCGTGGCGGGAAAGATAACTTTATGTAATGTAATAATTGATAAAGCAATCATACGGCTTTGTGGGTCTGTATTTATTTTATAGTTTATTTGAATAAATCCAATCTTGTGTCCTTTAGCAAAAAATTTATTTTAATAATTTTTTCAACAGCAACAGTAACAACGATATTATTATACAAAGGGCAGTGAAAGACATCAACAATAAGGTATTAGAAATAATGATTAACTATCTGATGTTTCTAGAATATTTTCAGGCATTTCTTCATTTTCAGCATAGTTTATGCTAACAGTGGAGTACATAGGAAACGTTGGTGCAAAGTCTTCTACAGTTTTGTTTGTCACATAAACTTCGTCTTCTCAGCTATCTTCAAGATCGTAAGGTACCAAAGACTTTCTAGTTGCGACTGACGCATTATCACCTTTTTCGACTGCAATAATGCCTTGATTTTCGTACATTTCAGTAGTAATGCCATTTCTTTGATCGTCTACAATACTGTTGTCATCTCCATTCTCACTAATGCTCTTTGTAACTTCAAAAATTGGGTTTACAGATATAATATCGCAAGTAAATGACGGTGATATTAGTTGATCTGGTAACGTCAGATTTCGATTTTCATCGAAGGTAGGAACACTTGTTTTAATTTGAAGGCGTTTTGCTACATAATCAACGTTCTGACTGGTTTTTAAGACCGTGTTGTCACCATTTTCCGTTTTACTTCGTTTCCTATCCTTCCGTTTTACTATCGTACCTTCTGGAATTAAAAAATATAAGAATAAGTATCATTTAATGGTAAAAGTAAGTAAGTATATATCAAAGTGTTTTACAAAACTTACCATTAGCAGCCACCCGCTTTAGCCGGAAACCAATAGATTCATCATCAACATCTTTGACAGGCGGCATTGATCTTCGTGTTGGTACATTCTTTTTTAATTCAGGGTATGTGTACTTCGAACTACGCCAGTCCTGGTTTGAAGCATTTTTAGAACCAGGTTTCCTGCCCACCTTTGCGCGCCAAATTTTACAACAATGGCACAAAAACTTTCCATCAGAATTCGCAGAATCATGTATTTTTTTAGTGTTAGATGGTTTGGCGAGATTTCTTGTTTTAATCACTTTTCCAAGATACACCTTTTCATGTCCGTTTTTCGTTATTCCAGCGTCCGTTAAATCAATACATTTTTTAATTGGGTCCTGGAATGACAAATACGTTGTAAGTTGGAGAAAAAAAAACATTAATTTTTAATTTTTGTTAGTACTCAAGGAAAAGGATTGTACTAAATAGGGAATAATAAGACATTTTAAATATGTAGGCTAATTTTTTAATTAAAAAACTTACAAATCCCGGAAGCTTTCGACACAATATAACATTGTTTTGGTACTTCCAAAGCCATTTTGGTCCTACTGGTGCCATCAAGTTATTTCTTTAAATAATAAAAAAAAATAGTGCAATTTTAAGATTAAAAAACTTTCAATTTAAAAAAAGTAAACGCTGTATTTAAAACAAAAAATGGTAACGCGTAAGGAAAGAGAAAGCATTATTTATACGTGAAAAGAAAGGATCAAAAAACCAATGTTTGGCACTCGCATTTGTTGCGAAAACCTAGAAAATTATACAGAATTAGTGCGTTTAAAAGTTCGCTTTTTTTTGTGACCCCGCAATGTCACAAAAATCGAATTGTACATAATAGGTGCTTTATATTGATCTGAATTTTCGGAAGATGACGATAAAAGATAATATTATTAAAGGATCAAGACAAAATAAAAAACATTGATTTTAGAAACGCGATACGAGAAATGTTTGTTAAACCAGCGAATCAAGCTATCAGAATTAGGGCGGTAGTTAAACATAAAACTTTGAAACGTGAATTTATCTGTTAATTAATTTAGGTATGACATTTTATTTTTCATAAAGATAAACATAGATTAAATTCAAATTCAAATAAGAATAATGAACTTTAAACTTCTTTAAAACCTTGTTTTGAAATAGATACGTTTCATAGTATAAAGTGTCTTTACAAGACAATTAAAGAAAGGACGCAGCTGTGATCACAAATCGTTGGAAAGCTCAGAAAAAAAAGATCGACAAGAACTATAGCTATAGACTATAAAAGCACGAAAGTAAACCTAAAATTTTTGATTTTAGGTGAAGTCAAAAATGATTTTTTATAAAAGTTTGCCACCTGAAGTAAGTTTACAACACTTTTTTATCCATCGGCATTTGCACTAATAAGGATTAACCGCATTAATATCTGCGTTTTTAGTTACTTTCTATTTTTAGCTATGGCTACGTGTAATCGATCATATAGAAAACATGGAAGAGTTTTGTAGGGTTGCAGCACTTGATAAGTCATTCTACCGACTAATAAACACTGACTTTCGAAGTCTGTGTTATAAAAACTTGGTATACCGTCTTCGTGGTGAAACCTGGGCAGAAGCTTTTTCGCTGTAAGTTTAAAATAAAACATTAAGCTTTTTTCTTAAAACAAGGTTCGCCCAAGAATCAGACATAAGCGATGAAAAATTTCAAAATATTTTAAAACCTTTTATTTTTTGACAAGAGGTAGTACTTAGGCATAGAATAGCAAAAATACCAAAAAATTTTTAAAACTTGAGTTACTGTAGGATTACGGTAGGACTTAAACTTTTTTTGTAACTATTCTACTAAATGTCAGAATGGAATGGGACTTTTTTTAAATTGTTTGTCACTATAAGACCATTATTTTATTTGTTGACAACTTTTTTTTATTATGGCCGGAAGGCATTGAAAAAAATTAAAATTTGCAAAAAAACATCAAAATTTTAAAAAATTTAAAATTTCTCGAAAAAAAACCACGATGTAACAAACTTTTGACAACAGATTATGAAACTACATGCTATTGCGGTTCTAATGACACCAAGCTTGGGTCATAATAGCGGGGCCTGCGGTCGCTACGAATTTTCAAAGTTGACACCCTAAGGTCATTTAGCATAAAATTTGGCTGTAATTTGGTTTAAAATGGTTACAAAAAATATTTTTCCACATTTTTTAAGTTTTTAAGAGTTTAGAATTTTTTCGATTTGTATTGCCTCAGGAAATTTGAAATTAAAAAATTTGGGGCCATACTAGAGAAAGCACCCAACATAATAAAGGCACCCACTAATGGTTCTAAGCACCCAACAATCTTTATTCAAATTTTATCATTATGAAACGTTGCGCTTTCGAAGAGCGGTGTAGAAGTGTCCAATTCGCGAATGGCGATTGTTGTAGCGAAAACTGAAAAAAATATAATAAGATGTAGGGCTACTGTAACTAGATGGTTGGCTACTGTAACTAGATGGTTGGCTACTGTAACTAGATGGTTGGCTACTGTAACTAGATAGTTGGCCACTATAACTAGATAGTTGGTTACTATAACTAGTTAGTTGATTTTTAGCTACTGTAACTAAATAATGGGCTACTGTAACTAGATGGTTGGCTACTGTAACTAAATAATGGGCTACTGTAACTAGATAGTGGCTGCTATAACTAGATAGTTGGCTACTGTAACTAAATAATGGGCTACTGTAACTAGATAGTTGGCCACTACAACTAGATAGTTGGCTACTATAACTAGTTAGTTGGTAGTTGGCTACTTTAACTAAATAATGGGCTATTGTAACTAGATAGTGGCTGCTTCAACTAGGTAGTTGGCTACTGTAACTAATTAGTTGGCTATTGGCTACGGTAAATAAATAATGGGCTACTGTAACTAGATAGTTGGCTACTATAACTAGATAGTTGGCTACTGTAACTAAATAATGGGCTACTGTAACTAGATAGTGGCTGCTATAACTAGATAGTTGGCTACTGTAACTAAATAATGGGCTACTGTAACTAGATAGTGGCTGCTATAACTAGATAGTTGGCTACTGTAACTAAACAGTAGGCTACTATAACTAAACAATAGGCTACTGTAACTACGATAACTTTAATACAATAGTAAAATCAAATCCTTAAGTCAATACTAAATTCTTACCTGTTATCCATCTATATAGCGTAGTAAAAGTCTTCATAAACTCGATAGAAGATGAATTCTTTGAAGGTGGTTGATCTTGGCCTAGGTTGTCAGGTTGCCGATGGATCCATGATCACTAAGGTCAGATTCCATGCTGACCCGACCGTCTCACGCAGTCGATAAAATATGAATGACCGTTTTCAAAAAAGGAAAAACAACAAAATGAAATTGCAAGATTGTGCAAAATTTGAATATTTTTGGGTGCCTTAAATAGGATAAAAATTGGGTGCTTTCATTAGTAATACTGGGTTATTTCTTTAGAGTAGCGCCAGAAATTTTAATTTTTATAAAATTATTACGTTTGCTTGTATAAATTGAAACGTTTGCATTTGTATTTTACTAAATAATATATTTTTGAAGCAGTACTTTTATTTTAAACACTTTTTTGTAGTTTTAAAAATTTTATTACTATTCTCTGTTAAAAATGTGTGATTAGTTATATAAAATCGCTAATAGCGCCTGTTGTTCGGTATAAGGTTTGATAATTCGTCATCTTCATAAATATCTTGCAAAAGCTCTTCAAATTCATCAGGAAAAATTGGTTCGTTTTCCATCTCCATAACCATGTCTTCTTTCGATACATCTTCAATTATATTACGCAAGTGTGGGGTTTCGTCTCGTTTTGGTTGATGTCGTCTCTTTTTTGAACCTGTATGTCTCTTTATAGAAGCTAGCTTTGAAAAATAGTAACCAATCTGTCGCCAAGTCAATACGTCTTCTTGTGATAAAAGTCCTCTTTGGTACTCCGCTCTCATTTCTTTTTCAACGTCGGATCCCATTTTTTCCCGTTAATTCCTTCTTCAAACAACTTGTTTAGGTAAGATATAGCTTTTTCAGTAAAGCGCTTTGTAGGCTTTCGTTTTTTTAATGCCCACCTTTCTGCCATTTGAGAATATATAGGGTTGTCAAACGTAATAATTTCGTCTTTTATGCTCGCTAATATATTGTTAATGTCCATGTCTTCAAGCTTATCTTTATACATGTTTAAAACATTGTCTTCCATCGACATTTGTAGCGGAGCAGTTTTGTGTTTACCGACTAATACGTGTTGCCGAACGTTTGCATATTTTTGAAATACAGCATTACAAGTTCCTTTTGGACAAAGGGATAGTAGTTTCGTCCAGAGTTTAGTTGTATGTTATCATAGTCGATGTTCAGCTCATTAACTTTAGTAAAGGTTACATCTTCTTTAACGTTAGAGGGATTACTATACTAAAATTCGTCGTAAAAATTTTAGAATGTCCAAAAATATTTTTTGTAACCATTTTAAACCGAATTACAGCCAAATTTTATGCTAAGTGACGAGTGTCAACTTTGAAAATTCGTAGCGACCGCAGGCTCCGCTAAGATGACCCAAGCTTGGTGTCATTAGAACCGCAATAGCATGTAGTTTCATAATCTGTTGTCAAAAGTTTGTTACATAGTGTTTTTTCGAGAAATTTTAAATTATTTAAAATTTTAATGTTGTTTGCAAATTTTAATTTTTTTCAATGCCTCCGGGCATAATAAAAAAAAGTTGACAACAAATAAAATGATGGTCTTATAGTGACAAACAATTTAAAAAAAGTCCCATTTCATTCTGACATTTAGTACAATAGTTACAAAAAAAGTTTAAAACCTACCGTAATACTACAGTAACCCAAATTTAAAAAAAATTTTTGGTATTTTTGTAATTCTATGCCTAAGTTCCTCTTGTCAAAAAATAAATGGTTTTAAAATAGTTTGAAACTTTTCATCGCTCCTGTCTGACCGATGTTCGATTCTTAGGCGAACGCTGTTTTAAATTTAAAATTATACTACTTTTTAAGTTTTATTTAGCACAAACTACCGTACACTTGACAAAAATCTTGAAGAAGTGGAAGCACCTAGTTTTAAAAAGCAATCGATATGTTGTTCATATACCGGAACAATGGCGCTGATATTAAAGTATAAACAAATATTGATAACTAATATTGATTTTGGAAAGAATTCTTTCGAAATTATTGACTTTAAAAGCGTTGAAGGAACTATCGATAAATTACATCTGATAAACAAATCAACACAACTTCTGGTAGATATGAAAACGTCGTATGTAATATACGACTTAATCAAGAAAAAGATAATCAAAGTCTACAGTGCATTGGCTAAAGAACGGTACAATTACTATACGTTATATTACAGTGACGGTACTCTAGTCGACTTATATAATCAGAAAGAATACAAAGTCAAGGCTGCCAAACTTGACTATTGTGATGTAATAAACGTTGACGTACATGGATACAGAAAGTATGTTGCGTACCGTAGTTGCCAAGACGAAATAATACTAATACACATATCTACCGGTAAACAGGATGTCATATTTCGTTTTACTGACCCACGTTTTCCTGTACTACGCATCTTGGATAATCTTAATCAAGTGATGTATTTAAGTAAGGATTTCTTTGATATTCATAAATTTTTTCATATATGTGTGCAATTGCTTTTTCAGACGTAGGTATTCAAATTTATGACATTAAAACTAGAACTTACGTGTACGTTTTAAACAGCTCAGACGTAGTATGTGATGATTACGAAGTAAAAGGTATTGATGGGATACATTTTCATAGAGACAGTAAAGTAAGTACGCATGTAATTAATGGAAATTCTAAAAGTTTGCTTTAAATTTTAGTGCGGATAGACCGTAATATTCTACAAACTTATGGGAAAAATATAAATGCCGACATTGTCGGCAATTTTTATATTCTGTAGCAGATTACGCTTCGTTTTTTTTTATAAAAATTTAACTTTTATTCCATATTTCAGTTTATCGGTTACAATAAGAAAAAGAACAATTGGGAAGAAATGGGAAAGTGGCCTTATGAAAACCGTCTTTTGGCGCAGTTTATAAATCTTCGATTTCTGACGTTGGCTACAATAGATCGTGTTGAAGAAAAAGGAGCTGTAACTTTGACGCATTTTGACTGGTCTTCAGGTAAAACTAATTCGTAGAATTAATTACTGAGTTCATGACAAAATATAAAAATGAACCTGACAGTAACTTCAATTTTAAGGTCATCTCACCTGGAAGAAGTTTCAACCTATAAACTCCAATGCGATGGGCTTTGATTACCTTATACTAAGCGACATTGAGATTATCGAAAGTCCGATTACAGAGTGGTCCATTAATGATGTGCGGAGCCAGTATGAAACCATAATTAACTTGTTGACAAATTATTCTCGTGTTTCTGCCTTACAGTTCTAAGTTAAACAAATTTTTTGGAAAAGAAAACTTACGTTGTTGTTGCTACAACTTTTGCTTTGTGAAATACATTACTTTTTGAATTTTTTGTCTTATTTTTAACTCGATTTTGGCCATTTTTGTGCTAACTAGGGAATGCCACCCAATATCCCTCCACTTACTATTATATATATGAAAGAGCATAAAAAATTGCCGGGAAAACTGTTTTCAAAAACTGCTAAATGAAATGGACTAGCGAGATATTAGCGGTTAAAGGATTTACATTGTGTTTCCTATTTGACTCTCCTTATTCGTCTTGACGAGTAAAGCAAATCGATTCTTCATTGTGGTAGTGGGCAGGGGCGTCGCTAGGGGGGGGAGGGAGGTGGATCCACCTGCAACTGACTTCATACGGCGATGTCAGGTCTTTTCGAGTGTTTGTGACAGGCTAATTTATTGTTTGCCCGATCTCGTAAAAGACTCGAGATCGGCCCGTAACATATTGAGCGTACTGTAACTCGTTAGCCGAATCTATTTAGCAGTTTTTGAAAAACAGTTTTCCCGGTAACTTTTTATGATCTTTCTTCCTATATAAGTCTCGTTTGAAAAGCCGATGGATATTTGATGACATTCCCTAGTTGAAGTAGACAGTTGCAGTTGCCTGAAGCCTTTTTGTAAACAATTAAAAATATAGAAAATATGATATTTCTACTTGTTTACTAAAGCAGTCAGGAATGTCGTACAATGCTATTGGTTTACAATCGCAGACTACAGCAAATACTCAAAAAATTGGCTTGTCACTCTCTAAATAAAGGGCTGCAGACGTATTCTGAAGTCATCGAGCAAACTCGCTAAAAATGTTATAGTATAGTTAGTGACAGCGCTAGAATTGCCAACACGCAAAGCCAAGCATTTATGAGGCGCAAGAGTAAGGATGATGATTATGCACGAATTGTAATACACTGGATAACGATATGTTAGTTACAACATCATAATCAAACCTTACAGATATCTTTGCTTTATAGCACCACAAACACCGCCAGCATCCTTTACGATCTTCAAGGCCTTAGCAAACTTGTCTAGGCCTAAAGCGTCTTTTACGCCACCTGGCATCTAAACAAGACATCCCCGGCTTCCCCGGCTCTAAATGCAGAGCCGTGTGAAGCCAAAATAAGAGTACATAAATACTAAAATTGAGAGAGTCATGCAAATTTTTGGGAAAATCAGTAAAAAATTTGTAAAAATTTCTAAAAATTTGAAAAAAGAATCGGTCAGTTTTATGGAATTTTCGACAGTGAGCGGTCGTGTTTGAATTATTTTGATACTATTTTGAATATGATACGCAGTGTACAATTTTCAAAATTTTTAGGTTTTGCTTTTTAAAATGAAATTTGTGCGAGGGCCGGAGGCCCGAGCCAAGTTTTAATGAAATGTTTCGGTATTTACAATTTTTGAATGAAAATTATTGACGTGCGAGGGCCGCAGGCCCGAGCCAATAATTTTAGATTAATAAAGTAAAATAGAAGTAAAAGCAAAAGTAAAAGTAGAGGGCCCGAAGGGGCCCTCTCCAGATCATAGGACGCCCGGAGGGCGTCCGTTGATCTGGTCCGCCGTTCTAAATGGAGAGCGTGGCGTCATGTGACAAAAAAGTGAAGCATTCTATTTTATTGTTAAAAAATTGCTCAAAATCGAGCGGTCGGAATTTGAAAATGAAAATTGAATTTGGAAATAAAAAATTATTGTAAAATGGTAAAAATCAAGTTTTAAAAATAGATCCTTTGCAACGCGCCGAGGGCCGAAGGCCCGAGGCATTTGAATTGTAGATAGTTCGTCCTTTCTTGAGTATGATGCTATTTCTTTACAATGAAATAACAGAATGATACTGTACTATTTTAAAAAGTGTGAAGGTGTGTCCATGAGTTTGAATATTATAAGTTGTATTGAAATAGACATATTGAAAAAAATAACATGAAATTGCAATGTTCAGATCAAAAGCAATGCGCGAGGGCCGCAGGCCCGAGCCTATTATTTTATGTTTTTAATTGAAACTAATTTTTATTGATTTATAATAAAATTAAAATTAACGTGCGAGGGCCGCAGGCCCGAGCCAATTCTTTTGTATACTATAAATTGTATTGAAATTGTTATAATAAAAACAAAATTGCAATGTCCAGATCATTGGTCCCCGAACTGTGCCGATTTTTCCGACCCCTGCCCCCAGACCAAAAGTCCCCGCCCGGCCCTGAGTATGGGTAAGAGAATGGTATAAATATGGGCATGGGTAGAGGTATGGGTAAAAAAATAGATAAAAGTATCGTATTAACATGGGTAGGGGTATGGAAATGGGTATAAATATGGGAATGGGTAGAGGTATGAGTATAAAATGGCTGTGAATACGGATATTGCTTAGGGGGATGGGTGAGAATATGGGTGTTGATGAATATGCATGTAGCTATTGATATGGGTAAGGCAAATTAAAATTAAAATTTTCTTATAATTCAAAAAAGCGATTGTTAAAAGTAAAATTAATTTAAAAAAATGTGTTAAAGCGTATCATACTCAAAGTAGTTTCAGGATTCATACTGCATTGAAATGGCAGAATATTAGATTGTTTAAAACAGAAAAATGATTTTAAAATTGGAATTAAAAGAGACGCGCGACGGCCGCAGGCCGGCGCCTAAAAATTCTAACATTTTATGTTATTATAAAATAATTTTACATTAACATTAAAAAAAAACAATATCCAGACTATAGGGGGCCCGCAGGGCCCCCGTTGGTCTTTAACAATTTATAATATTTTTTGCTTCAAAAAATTTTTTAACGTTCTAAGTTTGTATAATTACAATTTTTTCACTGTTTTTGGAAAGCTATTTATAAAAAATTATTTTAATACTTTTTTATAAAAGCAAAACCATTAAAAAACGAAAATAAAACAATCCGGACCATAGGGGCCCAAAGGGCCCCCGTTGGTCTGGTTACTGTTAATATGCATGAATAAATAACATCAACATTTTTCAAAAAGAAGTATAAGTCAAAAATAAGCAAAGACACAATCTTTTAAATTCAAAACGTCAACATTATAGAATAGTTTATATGTGACCTTTAATAATAAGTTAGGAAAGAGGTTTAATAACAACGACCGCATTCAAAATTTCAGCTTCTTTAACAGTCTTTTGGCAAGTCGAGTTCGGGATGTATTTCTCGTCTCTGAAAGTACAAAAACAATATAACCTTTATTTAAACAATACACTAACAAACTTAATATTCAAAAGCATCCGGTTATACAATAAAAACTGTGAAATAACTAAAAGCAAACACTTACAGTAGATGGAAGTGTTCCTTGTGCTCCATTATTCACTTCCGGTCTACTGGCTTGACGGTGGGAGGCTCGTCGGTCATGTGGTGTAGCCATCTGTGCCATTCCGGAGGCACTTGAGTGACATCTTGTTTCTCGCCGAATACCACCCATCTGTCTGCGGGAATGGAGTTACCATCGTCCTGGAAATACTTGTTGCCAAACTTGTCTGTTCCGATCAGATCTCCAGTCTGGATGATAGTAAGGTGAGTGAATAAAGCGGCTTTTTCTACGGTCACCACCTCATCTTCAATTAACATGTTAGGGAAGTCGGCAATAAACAATCTGAACGCTTTAAACGCCAATTCTGGGGCAGCCCTAAAGAAACATTACAGTTATATTTCAAAACTCATCAAGAAAATTATGTTACTCCATAAAAAAGCACAAAAATTGTTATATTTTACCAAGTTTAAAACATTAGGTAACAAACACAAAACTTACAAGACAATGAAAGACCGGACATCCTCGACCAAATGTGACGGATTGAATGTGCCAGCCAAACATTCACCGTTAGGCTTTCTAATTCTGATCCTGCCTGTAGGTTCACCCTCCTTCAGACCAAAAAAGCTTTGAGCTTCTTTAATCAATTTCTTGTCTTCTAAATCAAAGATTCATCATTATTTTACATGAATCATTATCCTAAATTAAAAAATATGTTTATTTAAAGACTTACCATCAGCAGAAGGCTCAGCTTGACTCGTTTCTCCATAAACAATCTCAGGAACAACAGCTCCCAAACGATGGTCCGAGGAAGCCAAAAATTTTGGATTTGGTTTAACGTACTCAGTATCACGATTGAAAGACTTATCGTGACAGTTTCTTATATAGAGTATAACATCTCTCTGGGAAATATCCAGCCATTTTTGCGGAATATGGAAGGAAATTGCCTCCAAAGTTGTATAAAAATCTTTAGAGCTGTATGGTTTCAAGGGTCCATCGTCCACACTATACCCATTCTGCCAGAAAAAGACGTGAACTCGTTCAGCGTTCATCTGAGCTGAGGGACCACCACTCAACCTGACACCAGAATTCGGATCTGAGGCTCCATCACGGAAGCGTTCCGCTTCTTCCGTGCTCAAGGTTTCCCTTCCATGATGTTGAGCCGATTTGAAAACTCGATCAGCAAGCTCACCATCCCTATCTAGACCCAAAACTTGTTGACCGCTCCGTTCGCTTCCACCAACAAAACAATCCTGACGACCTTCATCTTCACCCGAGGAGTCATCTGGCTCGTCTCCTTTCAGGTCTCCAAAACTTCGAATGCTAAAACATGTAAAAATAAGAACGAATCTCACATTCAAATAAAAGAAACATAAAATACGATATTAAGGACTTACTTAGACATGTTGTAGTACTTTTTTTCTTGTTGACCGCCATCGTTCTTTTTTCGGATTAAAATTCCACCTTCAGAGCGAATTCCACCAGAAGCAACAGCGTTTTTATAGAGTGAAACAATACTTCCAGTTACAAATTCATTATTGTCTTTGCCATTTTGACCCAGATCTTGGAACAGTCTGTACAACATATTCAGCGATTTTTCAATCTCGATCACAACTTTCTTAAAATTACAAGGATACAAACGTTTTTATGACACTTTTTTGTATACTTTGAATGTCGCATGCTAACTAGAACACTGTGAATGTGATCGTATCGTGCCGTGAATGTTCTAATGTTACTTGTAATGGTACGTTTTGTTTAGCGCATAAAAACAAGAGAGTGTGCATAGAAAAAGCAAACTAAAGAGCGAAAAACGGAGAGCGCCACGCAAACAAAGAGAGAGCGGTTAGACATTTCGAGTCACCTGCCGGAATAGGTCACCCCAAAAAAATGGTCACCTGCCTAAATTGGTCACCCTACTGAATAGGTCACCCTTCGGGAATGGGTCACCTACAAAAAAAGGTCACCTTACTGAATAGGTCACCTTTGTAGTAAAGTTACAGTACACCTACAGTAAAACTAAGAATTGGCTAAAAATGGTCCAATAATGTGTCGATTTAGGCTAATTTTGCTATGAAATGTACAACTAAAGTAATATTTTTTCATTTTTTTACTTTTTTAGTGGTACTGTAATAAAGTTACAGTCAGGGACGTCGCTACGGATTTTCTCTGGGGGGGAGGAAGGTCGAAAAAAATTTTTTTTTAGTTTTTCCGCGTACAGGTAAGCTACCTGTGGAATTTTTTTCGGATCTGCTCTGGGGGAGGGGGTACCCCCTCCCCCCTCCCCCAAACGACGTCCTTGGTTACAGTATACCTTTTAAATGTTTTTGAATTTTTTACTTTTAATGTTATTTTTGTATTTTTTGATGTTTAAAAGAGTCCGAAAATACAATTTTTATTTTTGGTTACTGTATACTGGAGTACTGTAGGAGTACGGTAGCTTCTATATCATAATAACGAGAAGCAGTAGAGACATGGGGTCTTCACTATCGTGTAGTATGGACACAGTGTAGCATTTCTTATGTTAAACGTAAAATTTTTTATGTACGTTTACCATTTAAAGTTTCGTATGTTGAGCCATGAGTACAGTAATCGGCCTATAATAAAAAAACGACAAGGCGTACCACTCTATTTTATTTTAGAATATAAAACTACACTTATTCATGGTTTCAACAATACCAATTACGTAAAATTCTGCAGTGACTTTTGGGGCTAAAGGTCGAGTTGAAGGTGGCACACCTCAAATGATTTTAATTTTTTCCCCATAAATTAGCATGTAAACATGATTCGAAAGTGTTGTTAGCTTAACATATAATGTTCTGTAAAATCAAAAAAAAATTTTCTTAATTTTTACTGTAGTAAAAAATCGTATCTTGATTACATGGTTACAGTAATCAATCTATAATAAAAAAAACGGCAAGACGTACCACTCTATTTTATTTTAGAATATAAAACTACCCTTAATCACGGTTTCAACAATACCAATTACGTAAAATTCTGTAGTGACTTTTGGGGTCAAAGGTCGAGTTGAAGGTGGCACACATCAAGTAATTTTAATTTTTTTGCATAAATTAGTATGTAAACATAATTAGAAAGTATTGTAAACTCAACATTTAATGACGTGTAAAGCAGTTTTTTAAAAATTTGTTATTGAAAAACTTTTGTAACTACACTAATGTTAATTTTTTTTTCATTTTTCAAATATATAAAAACATTTTTTTTACATTTGTTTAATTTTATGGATTACGCTGCCTAATGTTTAAAAGGTGTTTGTTATATATCGGCCCCAGTTTTTTTAAAAATATAATAACAATTATTTGAATCAATGAAAAAAAGAGGCAATACGCCATTTGGGGAAATTGCAAAATAAAAATTTGCAAAAACCATTACATAAGTTACCCTACTGAACCATAACATACCCTACCATACCATAAATTACTATACCATAGCATACCATACCATGCATGATTAATTCATCTTGCTTACCTTACCCATGAATAGTACACGGTAGTGTTGTATGACATTGGATAAGGTAAGGTGTGGTACAGTTTGGTATGGTATTGTAAGATAGTATAGGGTGTCGTATAGTAAGTTATGGTATGGTATCGTATGTAATGGTATAATATAGTATAATATGATAACATAGGGCGTGGTATGTTACGGTGCTGTATGGTATATTAGGTCGGATGGGTATGATATAGTATAGTAGGTAACAGTCGGGTAAGGCCAAAAGGGTCAGGGGTAGGGGTGAGTAGGGCAAAAAGGGTCAAGGTTGGGGGTGGGTAGGGCAAAAAGGGTCAAGGGTGGGGGTGGGTAGGGCTAAAAGGGTCAGGGGTGGGGTCAGGTAGGGCTAGAAAGGTCAGGGGTGGGGGTGGGTAGGGCCAAAAGGGTCAGGGGTGGGGTTAAAAATAATTTTTTAAAAATATATTTGAGATTCCCCTTATGTCGTTTCCCCATTTTGCAATTTCCCCAAATGTCGCAGTACGAAAAAAATTTTAAAAAACCCTTTATGTTGATTTTCTTTGTTGTTTTTTTATTATAGTTTGATTACTGTAACCATGTAACCAAGGTAAGATTTTTTACTACAGTAAAAATTAGAAAAAAAAATTGATTTTACGGAACATTAAATGTTGAGTTTACAACACTTTCTAATTATTTTTACATACTAATTTATGCAAAAAAATTAAAATTACTTGATGTGTGCCACCTTCAACTCGACCTTTGACCCCAAAAGTCACTACAGAATTTTACGTAATTGGTATTGTTGAAACCGTGAATAAGTGTAGTTTTATACCCTAAAATAAAATAGAGTGGTACGCCTTGTCGTTTTTTTATTATAGGCCGATTACTGTACTCATGGCCCAACATACGAAACTTTACTATACATAAATACATAAAAAAAATTTTACGTTTAACATAAGAAATGCTACACTGTATCTATACTACACGATAGTGAAGACCCCATGTCTCTACGGCTTCTCGTTATTATGATATAGAAGCTACCGTACTCCTACAGTACTCCAGTATAACGTAACCAAAAATAAAAAAAAGTTGTATTTTCGGACTCAGCATAATCCAAAACCTTTATGGTAAAAATTTCAGATTTTAAAAAAAATTTTTGAAATTTGACGTCCTCAGTGCAATTGGCCCTGGCTGGAGTCTTAGAAAAAACGTGTTTTTAAAACTGAATACTTGCTGTGTTATTTGCTAAAGGAAAGACTTTGGACAGTTATTGAATAAACAACAGCTTTTCAACGTATATTGTTGTATTTTGGTGGATTGAGTCTTCTCTCTCTCCCAGACGAACGTAATACCCGACTCGCCTTGGGTGGTTCACTTCTTATCAACAGCTTCTGGGAGCTTTAACCCTGTACATAACCCAAAATTTCAAAATTTTAATATTTTTGTGATGTGGGGCCTCAAAGGTACCTGTGGTTGCAAAATAAAATTTTTAAAAAAATATTTTTTTACTGGTTCGCCTATGTCTGATTCTCTCGCGAACCTTGTTTTAATAAAAGCAAAACTACACTTTAAAAATTTTTTGGAAACCAGCAAAACCCACCTCTTTGAAAATGGCTTGTCGGTTTCTATTACATACGATTTGTCTGCTGGCTGCGATAAGGACTCGTTATTCAAACATAGATCTTGCGACTTCCTGTCAGCTTCTCTGAAACAAAAAAGTTCAAGTTTAGGCCAAAGCAAATTTTTAACAGCCGGGCTAGTCCCTTTACATGTCTACTCCTGACCTCTCCTAAACGAACGAAAAACACAATAACAATGATAAACATACGATTGTTTGTGAGCTTTTTTCTTTATCGATTCCATCCGCGAACGTTCTGCAAGCTGATGGTGTAATTTTCTCTCAAACAGAGTGTGTTTTCCAGCGTGCATGTCTTCTTTGGTGAAGGAAATTTCATCATCAGCGATCTCGTGCAGATAATTACATTCCGGTTTGTGACATGCTGAACCGTGAAGGAAGGCGTGACAATATTTCTTTGTTCCGAGAGATGTCCTTAGCATTCGGCCGTCGACTACCTGGTTGTTAGTCGCCTGAAGGCAAGGGAATTTGGGTTTGTAAAAATTTTTTTTTACAAGTTTTTTTTAAAGTTTGTGAAAATTTAACAAAATATAAGCCTAAAATTTCAGAAATTAGCAAACCAAGCCTAATTAAAAAAATACAATTTTAAGCCTAAAATTCATCAGAAATTGAAATTTAACTCAATAATCCCAAAGCCCACTTCAATAGCCCTTAGGGCGCTCTCCACCTTTTCGTAAGTAACATAGGCCGTGCATAAAGGCGTCTGATTTCGCGTCGCCGCTACAACCGCAATCTGTAGCACATTGCCGTACTTGCCAAAGTACTCGGGCTTCTTGAGTACCTCGACATCAGACATCCGATTCGAAAGTCCTAACACACAGACGAGGTTCTTTTATATTACCCAACATTTGAACAAATGTTTCCGCGAGCCCGCCAGCTTCTTGTTCTGCTTCAAAGGGCACTAAAATATGAAAAATTAGATTGAAACTAACCAATAAATTTTAAAGATACTCTTGTTTTTGTTTTTACTACGTACTATCTTTGTTTAAAAAATTGAAAAAACAAGTTTTTTAAATTAAAAAAGTGATTTGCGGTAAAACAACTACAACATCAAAAGAAACGTGAAATCTTAAATGTTTCATAGCTTGGCATCCCAAAATCCACAAAAGTTGTAAACAGCTCTAAAATGCAACAAAAACAATCAAAATACTCACCTCTTTATCGGTACTCTTGTTACTTGGCATGATTACGACTGCCTCAATGTTTCAGTCGAAAAATCTGTAAGTTTTGTGTAATAAAGAAATCCGGTAAAGGTCCTCGATCAAAACACAACTGAGAAGTAAGATTACAGTGTTATGGCTGAAATAATTAAGAAGAAAGAATAGTATTTTTATCAAACCGATGTTTCGCGGATAACAAACGATTATATTCATCAAAGCGCGAAAAGTCGGAGGAGAAAAACAAGAAAGTGCCAAAAAGTTGTGAAATTCGAAAGTGTTATCTGTAATAGGGTCAGGCTGAAAAAGGTGGGGGTAGACTTGGGTAGGGCTGAAAAGGTCAGGAATAGAGTAGAGCTGAAAAGGGCGGGCTAAAAATGTTTTGCTTTCATTTACTTTGTGCTAGTTTGCTCAAAAGCTAAACAGACTACTCAACTAAGACAAAAAAATATAAAAATAAAAAATTCTACGTATTTTTTGACCAATCTAGCAATAATAAAACGTTTTTTTGACTAAAAAACTGCAAAATCAAAAAGGAAAATATAGTTTTTCAAATAGCGCTACAAATCACTTTCCATTAGGCCTCGACACGAAAACAAACAAGCGCAAAGAGTTTATTGGCATAGTGAGCCGCCGCTGCTCTGAGTTTTAAACGAACCGAACGTGTGCTTTACAAGGTTCTCTTTTGGTCGAAATCAATAGAAAGATTGAAGTAGTCACAATGAGCGACGATGAAACAATATCTACAGAGTTTTCGGACGATGAAATTGAGGAGGACGATGAAGGTACGTTTTTTTCTTGGTTGTTATTTGAATTTTAGGCGTTATTCATGAATAAAAGGGATACGTTGATGCTCCTGGGCTTGTTAAGATTAGGATAAATTTACTTTGCCTTTAAAATTTTTTAAACCTATTATTTATTTTGTTTTTTTTTGAGTTTTGAATAAGATATTGCGCTTTGATTTATAAAATTGATTGTTTCAGCTACTATGGCTGAAGAAGAATTGATAAACAATGGAGAAGACGCCGATGACGAGCTTCGGATGCTGAATGAGGATAATGAAATGTCGGTGGAAGAGTTGCGACGAAAATATTATGGTGAAGCAGCTGTCGCTCCACCACCGCCTCAACCACAAGCTTGTAGCAGTAGTAGTGCAGCCGACAACAAAACACTGTTTGGTGAGGATGTGGAGGAAGAAGAAGAGGACGATGATTATGTTCCAAAGGCTGTGGAATATTGGAAGAAAGAGGTTAGATTGGGCCCGAATTATCAAGTTGAAGGTCCGTTGCCAGAAGCTCAATCGCCAACGAACAAGGAAGATGTTGAAGTAAAAAATAAATCCGAGCCATTGTGGATTCCAACAGCGTTGCCACAAAAGCAAATTGAGGACTTTTTGCTAAAGGTGTCAAAGAAACTACACGAATTGGAAGATGAAGAAGTCGACACAACGCCACAAGCTAACAGAAAACCTAAATTCGATGGTGTTACTGATGATGAAGATGCTTTGTTTGCTTTGTATAAAGCTGGCTACGATGTGGAAACTGCTTTGGGGAAGTTGCCTTATACTCCAGCTAACGGGCCGAGAATTACTGGGCCAAATAAATGGAAGTCGATGACGAGAGAAGACGTTGATCGATTTGAAGATGCGTTTAGTGAATATGGCAAGAATTTCTTTAAGATTCATGCGGAAAAGGTACTTTTTATTTTGACACAATAGAAATTATCTTTCTAAGAATTTTTTGAAATTTTTTCTCTTTTAATTATTCAAAAATTCATTTGCAGATGCCAAACCGAACTGTTGGAGAACTAGTAAACTTTTACTATGTGTGGAAAAAGACGGAACGTCACGACATGTACATAGCTGCAAGGAGAGCTCTGGGCCTACCAGAAGGACCAAAAACAGTAGATCCGATGGAGTTGCTGGTAGAACAACATCTCAACGACTCGAATGGCAATAACACGTCAGCTGAATTTGAACCGGTTAGTCAGAAAACATGGCTGGCCGTCCAATCTGAGCCTGTCGCTGAAAAGCCTTCTGAAGTTTGAGAATTCGCGAGATTATTTTCCAACTTAATATACCTAATACAAATTTTCCGGGGACTGTCTTTAAATTTTTTGTAAACGTATTTCGTCGTAAGGTTTTTATTTGTAAGGATCTCACTTTACTATTAATTTAGCATCTCTGACTATCTGTCTATTTACCCTACTTGCATTTATGTATTGCCAATTTAAATTATTAATAAAGTTGAACTTAATGTTTACGAAACCCTATTACTAATGTTTTTAATAAGTTTTCTGACTTTGCCTTATCTAACAGATAGAATCCTACCAAAAAAAGACTATATCTGTCGAAATCGGGTAGCTTAATTTTATTGTGTTCAAACAATGCCATTTTTATTTGTGGTTTATTCGTAGGAATTCTACTTATACACAGTTATTATTAGGCCTCATCAAGATCTAGTCAGATCGTTGAAACAAAAATCGATAAATGCACTTTAACAGAACAAAACTTGGAAACGACTGTTAAAAATTTCTTCGCCCGCCCGTCTCGTGGACAATTGGTCAGTCAAAGTGCATTGAGGTAGGAGAAGGAAACTTTTAGATGAGACTTTACAACATATCAGGTCTCGGAAAACAGCTATAAACGTTAACCTGGAATACTCAACTTTGAAAAAAAAACCTTTGGATTAATTAGGGTTTTTAATGTAAAATGACAAAATTTAACATTGATTTGGCTTACAATGTCCATCTGCATCATTACTTTGGCCAAAATCTTACCTGATGCTGGCAAAAAAGGTAGAGCAAACAAACTCCAGCTGCAATACAACAATATCACAACAATCGCCCGATCACCAGTCTTGTTAGTGTTTAAAAACACTCAATTTTACAACAGTGTTACTTTTAAGAAAATTTAAATACTAATAAAGTTTTAAAGAATGTGCACTGTACTACATTCACAATACCATGAACTTCACGTCAAATTAAAATACCAACAACTAATATTTCAACGATTTTTTAGCTTTTACAAAACATTAAAAACCAAAAAGAAAACAACAACAATGAGTTCGAGTATACGACGGGATTGAGAACTGAAGAAAAATAGTTTGTGTTGTGATGCGGTATCTGTTTAGGCGCCAAGGGCTGGGAAGTCAGCGGCCATGTCAAGCTGAGGTCCACGACGTTGTCCACCGCGTTGACCACCTTGACGGTTGTCTTGACGTGGACCACGTTGTTGTGGGCGGTCGCCGCCTTGGCGTCGGTCGTTGAAGTTGCGACGTTCGCGGTTGTCACGGCGGCTGGGGTCATTGAAGTTGACGTGGATGTCAACGGTCTTTTGAGATTGTTGGCGTTTCTAAAAAAATAAATTAAAAATTATATTCGTATTATAAAATATCTTTATGTTCTTTCAAGCTCAGTAAAAATAAGTCATCAACATTTTCAGACGAAAATTACCCATAAATATAACATCATAGCTGAAATTTAAGAACGACACTAGTATAGGAAGAAAACTTACGGTTGGAGCAATGTGTTCTTCGACTTCTTCGTATTCATCATCATCTTCTTGGTCCTTCTTCAATGGGACGAACTTCTGGAGAGCCTTTTGATCAGCTCCTTCATTGGCTTTACGGGTCTTGAATTCTTGCTTGGCCTGAGCTTGTTGGGCCTTCCACTCGGCGAGAGTGAGCTTTGGTGGTTCCTTCTCTTCCTCTGGCACTTCTTCAACAATGTCTTGTGGCTTTTCTTCGCCTTCAGCTCCGTTTTCCTTGTTTTCGGAGACGTTGAGTTGTTCAGTTTCAGCGACGATCTCGTCCTTGTCATCTCCCCAGTTTCCTTTTCCATGACCATCCTTCTTGGGGACAGCCTTTACACCGGTCTTGTCGGATCCGGAAACACGGTCTTGGCGGGGGCGACGGTTCTCGAAACGACGTTGACGACGCTCACCGTCGAAAGGCTCGGTTTCTCCTTCACGAGGCTCGCTAAAACATTTTTCATTAAAATTAGCGCATACAAAACCACACAATTATGAGTATTAAATAAAGCTCAGTTTAAAATCGTCATCAAAACAATCAGACGAAAATTACCCATAAAATATACATCATAGCTTTCCTACTTTTTTCTTAAAATTAAACAAAGTATAAGTACTAAAGCTTACCGTGGCTTTCTTGGTCCACGAGGTCTGTCTTCGCCATCGCGACGTGGTGGTCTGTCTTCAAAGTTACGTCGTGGAGGCCTGTCTTCTCCGTCACGGCGTGGTGGTCTGTCTTCACCATCGCGACGAGGACGGAATTCGCGGCGCTTCTCGCCAGAACGTTCAACATCACCTTCACGTCTTGGGCCGCGATTTCCACGTGGTCCTGGGCGGCGGTTTTCGTTGTTCTCCTTGACAGGCTTCACTGGTTCTGGAGCAACAGCTACTGGAGTTTTGGCTGCAACTTTGGCAAGACGCTGCTTCTCCTTCTTTTCCTTGGCGGCACGAGCGAGAAGCTCATCTGGGTCAGTACCATCTAAAAAATTTAAACTTATTTTTAAAAATATTGTTTTTTCAAAAAAATTAAGGTTAGTAAAAGGTTTAAATTTTGCAGAAACGTGTACTTTTATATAAAATACGTCAAGTTCAGTATTAAATTTTAGCATCAAATACTTCAGCCGAAAATTACCCATAATATTAACATCATTACTTAAACGCATAGCCATTAAAACTTATAAGAAATTGTTTTAAAGTTATTTGATTAAGCGTGTTAAACAAACACTACCTAAAACCACAAAAACACAAGTAAAACTCACCATCGTCCAAAAAACCGAACTTGTTAGAAACGTTGACGCCGTATTCAGTTGACATCTTTACAAACTTGATGTGGTTGGGAAAACTAGTTCTTCACTCACAAAATTCAACAGTTCATACCTAAAATAACAAAATTAAAATGTTTCAAACAAAACGCGTCACAGTATACAAAACAACGCATAACAAAAAGAACATTCAAATTATGATATAAAAATAAACCTAATTACAATATAACACAAGTACTAAAGTAATTTACAGTAAACCGTAGTTGTCTGACAATTGTGAACAATTATTGTTTTAAAATTCCCAAGTCGGTCCAAAGTGCAGCCACTCTCACCTAGTTCCGTAAAAATAAGAATGAAAGCGAAAATAGACTAGAGTTTTCCCGCTGATGAAGAAGGTCACGCGCGTTGCTCATACAAAAAACTGTTAATAGAAAAGTTGGCGCCAATATGAGTCGCACGCGAGACACGGATATCTAACCTTGAATCAATCAACGCGACAGCTTATGTTAAAAAAATATTATAATAGAAGCGACAGCCAAGTATAATATAAAGCCACTAGATTTTGAAGCTGCATACAAAATCAAATTCCTAAATCAAGAATAAAAAAACCCCTTTTTGCATCAAGCTTCTAGAATAATCAAACTTTCCAATGCAAAGCTTTCAACATAAACTACCTAAAACTATATCAATACCTCCCTAAATCAACAACAATAATTCGAACCTGAAACTAAATCGAACATCTCCCCCTAAAATAATACCTAAAACAACCCTATTTACAGAAAATACATCCAAAAAACGAAATAAAACAACATTTATAAAAACTTACAAAAAAGTTGTAAATGTCAATTTTTGAATAAAAAAAATTAAATCAACCTCAAAAATTCGATAATCAATCCGAAAACAGTCGGAAAATGTTTTTGGGACGAAAATTTGAGCAAAAGTCGGCCTCTCTCTTCATTCGTCCCTCTATTTTTTCTATTTTTCGCTAAAAACTGAAGAAAATGGCCGCAGCTAACACGGAGGCGACCTTTCGTGAACCACGCCGAATCGCGCCCTCGTTTGGCGCCAGTTTGAACGTGAATTTGCGGGTTAAAACAATTTTTCAGCGGAATGAAAAGAGGGAAAAAGTGCGTTCGCTGGAAGGGTGTGTTAAAGATAGTCAGTTTGGCATTTTTTGAAGGTTTTACATTGTGATTGGGGGTGAGTATGAGATTTTTGGTTGGGATGAAGCTTTTTTCATTGGGTATTTAATAATAACGGTTTTAAAAGTACAATTATAGTAAATTATACGTGTATTTTCGACAAATATTGTTTTAAAAATGTCAAATTTTGCTTTATTTTTTATTTTTGTATTTATTTATCAACCATTGCAATAAAAATCAAGCGATAGTACTGTTAATAATCCCATGTGTCAAGCATTCATCAAGAAGTGAGGCTTTTTGTCGTATAACGTTACCTGAAAATAAGTCGTTATCTATAGTAAAAATAAGCGCCATTATTTATGAATCAAATGTCCTTACATGGGTATATTTATCTTTCAAAATCTGATGCAATTCCATAGCGTGCTCACGTTCTCTCGTCTCCACCACTACTCTAACACGAACTTCAAAGACGTTGGCTGCTAGCCAAGCACGTTCGTGGAAAATGTCTTTGATGGAAGCTCCGGAATGCGCGATTACGTTTGTCAGCTCGGCAATACCTATAAATTGTCAGAAAAGTCTTAAGATACGGAAATTTTTAAATTTTTTAAGGAAAAATTTAAATTATTTTGTGCCCACCGGCAATTTTGTCAAAAATAATGACTGAGACGGAAGTCACATAGAATTTACTTTGCTAAATGGAAAAATAAAATTTTACCTCCTGGTCTATCAGAAACTACAACATCAAGCTTGACAAGACGACCGTCTACAGCGAGACCTCGTTCTATAGTACGACCAAGTACGGTTGAATCAATATTACCCCCCTGTCATAATATTCACAACTCTGAAACGTATTGTCTTTTTCGTACAAATATTGTCTTGTCCGTACTGTAACACTTTGTCCTAGCTTACCGTTTCCCCTTAAGTTGAGGCAATTTCCCACTCAACATAGCGGCCAACCCAACCGCGCCTGCTCCTTCTACTACACTTTTCTCTAATTCCAAGAATCTCAGAATCGCCAAAGCGATGCTTTCTTCGCATACTGTAACTAGTTCGTCTACTATTCCTCTGGCCATATATACGGCGTTTACTCCAACAGTAGGTACGGCTAGACCATCGGCGATGCTCGATTCGGGCTGCATTTTGAAATGCGAGTTGTGCATTGCATTGTGAAATGAGGCACAAGATTCGGATTCTACTCCCTGTAATTGGGTGTTGTTAGACGAGTACTATGTAAGCTTTTGAGCATTGTGTAGGTCTTTTTAATATTGTAGTAGTATTTTAAATACTATGATATATAGGCTTTGAGATTACAAAAAACTTACGATAACTTGAACTTCTGGCTTCAAGGTCTTGATGGCCAACGCTATTCCAGCTATCAGGCCACCTCCTCCGACTGGTACTATCACTGCATCGACGTTTTTTACCTAAAAGTTTAACTTTGCTTTTTGTTAGATCATGCTCTACCATATCTTACCTTATCCTAAAATACCCTATCTCGCTATAAAATACCTTACCTAATCCTACAATACTCCACCTTACTTTACTTTTACCCACCTGTTCCAAAATCTCCAACCCAATAGTACCCTGCCCAGCAATCACATCAGGGTAATCAAAGCCGTTGATATACTTTTGTTTCGAAGTTTTGGCCAACTCAAAAGCATGCGTCCTAGCTTCACCAATGTCTTTTCCATGTAAAATCACGTTAGCTCCGTAGGAACGGCACGCTGAGATTTTCATTAAAGGCGCAAATGTAGGCATGACTACTGTAACTGGAATGTTCATAAGTTGTCCATGGTAGGCTAATGCCAAGGCATGGTTACCAGCACTAGCTGCCGTTACACCAACTTGTTTTTCTTCGGCCGTTAGGCGGTGTAGCGAGTAGCGTGCGCCACGTTCTTTGAAGCTACCGGTAACTTGGAGAAACTCTTTCTTGTTGTAGACTTCCATGCCGAGCAATAGAGATAGCTGGGGTGATTTCTGAAGAAAATACAGATTTTTTAAGGGCAGGGTAATTTTTTTTAAAAGGCAGGGTAAAAATTTTTTTGATTTTTTGTTTAAAATGATGCATTTTTTGTTCTTGTTTCATTGGAAATAAGGATTTTTAAAGCTGTTTGGGTTAAAAATTAATATTCTTTATAATAAAAGCCTTACTGTAGTAGGAGTAATGATAATACCATCTCTGATGTTGAATGCAGCCGTAGAAATGTCAGAAAATGAAATGCTATGAGGTGTGGCTGGGTTACAAAACGGGTCATCTAACTGTTTCACTTGGGCTGGAACGGAATTTTAGAAAATTTTATGTACGAATTTAAGTCTTTATATTATAAACGTTAGGCTAATTTACTCATTTTTTAAATTTATTAGAAACTGAGATTTATGTTAAGCCTAAACAAGCCTAAAACTATGTTAAGCCTAAACAAGCCTAAAACTATGTTAAGCCTAAACAAACCTAAAACTATTTTAAGCCTCAACAAGCCTAAAACAACTTACTTTCCGGCTCTACCTCAACATCGGACTCGAACTCACTCATGGCTGACGGTTGAATAAACTTGTGAGCTGATGATAAAACCAAAACTTGGTTTTTTGCTAATTTAGAGTTATCAGCGCTACGTAACCATGAGGAGATATTGATAAGAAACGTTTGTCTGCTATTGTTGTACGTGACATGGCAAACAAACATATTATATCTTATATTTAATATTGATATTTAAATTTTGAGGACTAGTAAATTAAAGCTGTAGTAAGTTACATTAGTACTATTGAGTATCTACGTACTTGGACTTAGAGAATAATGTGTATTGGCATCGTTGTAACTTATTACTGTAGTATACTGTAAGAAAAAGTTTTTTGTATGATAAGAGTAACTAGGAATACTTAATATAGCCGTTAGTTACAGTAATGTACTGAAGTACTACCTAAAGCTATACTAACGTACAGAAAAACTACCATGGCTAGTTACTTTTACTGCCTGATAGTAGGTACGCGTACGTACAATATAAATAAGTACATTAACTCAGTAAAAAGTTCAAAACTAATCATGTTTGTTGTCAAATAACTACTGTTTAAGTACGTATATCATTTACTTTGCTCTGTATGACTTGTTTTTGCTGTAAAAACCCTTTGGACTGGTATAACCTCGTTTCTTCAAATCTCATTTTTACACACACGCTATGTGTAAATTGTTATCGTGGTGTTAATTTGTTTACTACAAACGCTTTTGCTTTAGATTCATATAATTTCACAGTTTTCCTAATTTATTATTGTCTTCTAAACATTTATTTAGCTATACCTTGTATGTTAACCATGGCGAGAAGATATGCGCGTGAGTTAAGTGTGTTATTGGCGTGTATTCATAGTAGGACCAACACATATCGATTTAACAATTAAAAAACTGTAAATGTAAAGCAAAACATAATATTTTAAAATTTAGTACCGATGAGTTCAGCATCATCCTCAGGCTACCAAAAAGTAGCACGTCGAGTTGGTCGGCCACCAACAAAGTCCGTCCGATCAACTACAGCCTCTTCCATAGCCACCAGAAGCAAAAACTCGGGTAGCTCAGCATCAGAAACAACCTCACAGCCTTCAACACAGTCAGAAGTCACACCAGAACGTGTGATTCGACCAAGAAAACGACCGGCAAAACCTGGAAGACCGGCGATTCCAGCCAAACGTCGAGGACGGCCAAAACAACGTCAACGTCGAGTCAAACAGGTGGTGAAGGAAATCGAGGATGAAGAGACGGGAGAAGAGGAAGATGAAGCTAGTGATAGTGGAGAAAGTGTTGACAGTATGGAAGGAATGAATCCTTTGTGGGAGGAAAATATCATGGCGTGTTATGAGAAGGCTAGGAATTCGTATGAAGCCTTTAATTATACAGAAGGAGCTGTAAGTGATAATTCTTTAACTGAAAACAGTCATTTTAATTCGAATTTTCATTTTAAAAACATAAAATAACAAGAATTAGGCTTCTAATATTATATATCAATATAAAAATAATAATAATTTTGGAATTTAAGGCAGCATTCAAACTGTCATTGACCCAGCATCACAGCTTCAAACCACGACCTCCAAAGAAGCACATAACATTCAGATTGAACAAGATGCCTGAACAAAAGAAGAGGAAGAACTACGTGCACCTGGAGCGAATTGCACCTTTACCACCAATGATCTTTTTTACTTTGACTGAAATGAATATTATGGTAAGTTTACTAGCTCCAATATACCCCTAATCTACCCGTACCCATTCTACTGTAAAATACGATGCTGCTTCATAAACTACCTTACCCTACCCTACTCCAGCCTAATCTCCATTATCCCCCCCCCCTCTCCCAATTCAACTTTTCAAAAAAAAAATATTATCGTGAACATTACAGGCAGATGATCAATACACATTGTCACATGTACCATACATGGGAGACCAAGAAGAAGAAAGGTTAACAAAGGAACTCCTAGAAGTTTTTCCTGATGGAATTCATGGTACCAAAACCGGGTGTGGGCAATATATCAACGACTACATCTTGTACTACACAGTAAAGCATGCCATTCAGGCTTTGCCCGATATTCGTAAGTTATCTATAGTCTAAAGACTTACAAATTGTTAGGCTTACATTTTTGAACTAATGTTTTACATTTACAATATAGCTGGACTGAAAGTATAATATAAGAAAATATTGTTTCAGCTTTCCCAAAGCTCTTAAGAATCATATATGAACTGTTCCCTAACAAGTTCCAAAAAAATGAGCTACTAGAAGTGTATCCCGATTTAAAAGCCCGGTTTGATAAGCATTTAATCCAAGATCCTATGCCAACAGATGAAAATGGATTACAAATACAAAACAACTCACCACAAGACCTATTACACAGTTATCAAGTACTACAGTGCTACAAGTGTACTCTTTATGACTGTCCTCATCATGAACGTAAGTTGGGGTAAATCTTACTGTAACAACCTATTTAGGGTAGAGTAGATTGGTAGAGCAGAGTAAAATGCAAAAAATGATGTTAGGGTTAAATAAGATAGGGCAAGGTAGAGTAGAGTAAGACATGGTAAGGTAAACAGAATACAGTATAAAAGCTATGGGCTAGAGTTAACGTTGTTCACCTTTCAGGCCTTGACGAAAAACAACAAATCACGTTAATGAGCCGCCACGATGACCGTACCAATCCCTACGTACCAATGCCATGCACCGGTAACTGTTACCTAGCAAAACGACGAGTCCTTCTACCACAACGTCGATCACCAAACAAGCGAAATGTGAAGCTAGAGATTCAAGTGAAGCCTGTAAATTGGAGTCCACAAGAAGAATCGATGCTGGCAGTTATGAGAATGAGTGGCATTACTGACTGTTGTATTATTGCTAGAGCACTACAAGTTGAGCCAGGACAGACCGAGAAAACGTGCAATGATGTTTATGCCTATTTTAAACGACAAAGCCCTATTTCACCAATTGTTAATGTTAAGAGGGAGCCAGTTATCAAAAAGTGGGTTTTGAGAAACTTAAAAATCGAAAAAATTTTAAATTCTAAAAATTCAAAACTTAAAATCATCTTTTCTCAATTTTCAGAAAAGGCAACGACCTTCACCGCAAGTTCCGAGCAATCAAATGGTCGGTCGACGGCGAAGTCAAGAACAAGTACGCGTACTGGCCCTGCGTGCACGAAGGACCATGTTCAGAAGCCAATTGCTCATGCTATTCACGCGACAAAATCTGCACAAAGTATTGTAAATGCTTCCACGAAGACTGTAAAATTCAATTCCCGGGCTGTCGATGCACTCCAGGTAATTGTCGTACTCGACAATGCCCGTGCTACTATGCATCATGGGAATGCGATCCGGATTTGTGCAAAGGTTGTCGCTGTGAACCCGACGATTCTGGCATGCCAAACGAAAAATGCAAAAATATTTGTTTCCAACGTGGACTACAGAAGAAGTTGTCAGTCAGGCCGTCTCAAGTGGCAGGTTGGGGCTGTTTTGCTGACGAAACTTTGTATCGTCATGATTTTATTTCTGAATATTGTGGGGAAATAGTATCGGTATCTGAGAGTGAACGAAGGGGAAAGATCTACGACAAAATCAAGTGCAGTTATCTGTTTGGTAAGTAATGATTATGACAAAAAAAAAGAAAAAAAATCCAAAGGAGGCACCAAACTCAACTTCCTGATAACAAAAAATAAAAATTGCGAGAATATTACCCAAATTGTATCCATTTGTACAATTCATTATTTTCAGAACTAAATCAAGACTACCAAGTTGACGCGACCAGAAAAGGCAACCTCATTCGCTTCGCCAATCACTCATCGAACCCCAATTGCTACGCCAAAGTTGTAGTAGCCAACACTGATCACAGGATCGGAATTTTTGCTTCGAGGCAAATTGAAAAAGGCGAAGAATTGTTCTTTGACTATGCGTATAACAAAACGCATCAACTGGAGTTCCTCAACAAGGAATTAGATAAGAATCATCAAGTTATCACCATGACTGAACGTGATCTCAAGAATAGAAAAAAGAAAAAGTAAAATGAAACCAAAATCAAGATGTTTTTCACAATTTTATAGTCTTTTGCTGTCAATTACAATACCATATTAAAAAATTACTTTCACACTTTCTCAATTTCGAAAACTACATATTTAAATTATGTAGCTACATAATTTATTTACATTGTTTTAATTAAATAATATATTTTTATTAAATTATCCTACCTTCTGTTAAACTTACCTTTTCATATTTGATAATAAATTATTTTCTCAAAAACCCTCGGATACCAAGCCTCAAATATTGACCGAATAACTCACCAATCGAAACGGCCCAAAAAAGAAAAGATCTAATTCAAACAACTCTTTGTCCCGCGAAATTCGCGGCTCTGAAAAAGTTGTGGCATTCCGTTTGCTCCACGTTTTTTTAGATTTTTTTCTTTTTGCGCTGCGTAAATCCACGTCTGGATTGGATTCTGGAGTTTTTTCTTGACCTTAGGGATTATAATTTTGAAAATTTATTTGTAAAGTTGTTAAATATTGTTTCAAGCATTTGATTTTGGGTATTTTTGGTCGAACAATGGAAAGAAACGCGCCTGATTCATTGAGGACTCGACAGATTGGTAAGTTTTGAGTTGTTTACTTTATTTTTAGGCGGTTTTCTTTATAAATTGGGGCTTAAAGGATTTAAAACGTTATCATCAACTTTATTATTAAGAAAATTTTGTAATTTGGATATTCTTATACATTTTTTAATTGTTGTATTGTTTTAGCTGCCGTGAAACAAATATTGAACTTGAATCAACCGCTAAGCCATTCATTGGCAGTCGAACCTGTTTGGAAAGTGTTGGTTTTAGATAAATATGGCAGTGACATTATTTCTCCTTTGATTCCGGTCAAAAATTTGCGTGAACTAGGTGTTACACTTCATCTGTAAGTTGTTTTTGTTTATTGTTTTTAGGTAAAATACGCACTTGTGTCTAGCATCGTAACATCTTGCAGTTGTATTAGTAGTTTTTTTAGGGAAATTGATTTGCTTTAATTTATCGTAACTAAAACATTATTGTAGGATCATAAACTCTCGTCGTGACAGTTTGCCAGATGTGCCAGCAGTATATTTTGTCTCGCCAACTGATGATAATATAAAGATTATCTCAGAAGACTTGCAGAAAGCTATCTATGATTCGTTTTATCTTAACATGGTATGGCCAATTCAGAGAAATCAACTGGAAGATCTGGCCACGGCGGCAGTTGCTGGCCAAGTTACTCCTATGGTTCAGAAGGTAATTTTATTGACTTTTGGGGATCTTTTTGTTTTTAGTTGATGTGTTTTGGAATATTCTTGTGAATATCTTATTATTTTTGATATTTTTTTTTTTGTATTTTAGCTAGTAGATCAATACCTAAATTACATATCGCTGGAAGATGGTCTATTTGCTTTACGTCGTTATACTAAAGACAGTCCATTCTCCTTTTACGGTAAGGATTTTATGCGATTTAGTAACTGACAATGATATTTTATAGCCATAAACAAAACTACAATGTCACAAGAAGAAATGGACAATATTATTGACCAGATTGCCGGAAGCCTGTTTTCAGTATGTGTATCACTTGGAGTTGTACCTATTATCAAATGTCCTAAAGGTAATGCGGCCGAGGAAGTTGCTAAAGTAAGCTTTTGAAATACTTTTATAATTTTTAAGAAATTTTTGGTTTTTATGAAAATTATACTGTCATTTTTTGATAACTAAAATCATAAAATTTTTCATTTTACAGAGATTAGACCAAAAAATCCGTGACAACTTGCGAGATGCCAGGAACAACTTGTTCACAACTGAAAATGTAAGAGCCGGGCAATTCTCGCTTCATCGACCAGTATTGGTCATAGCCGATCGGTCAGTAGACTTTCCTACAATGCTACATCACACATGGACCTACCAAGCCATGATCCATGATGTTTTGGTAAGGTTTTTGCTATTTTATTGGTTTTTAGGTAACAAAAATGAAGAAAGAGGTTGAAATAGGGAGAAAACGCCTTGTTTGGCTAAGAAAACGCTTTTTTATTAAATTTGATGTAAAATGACAACGTTTTGTTTTAGGACTATGATTTGAACCGTATTAAAATTACGGATTCTCAACAACGTCGCAAGGAGTACGACATATCGACTAATGACAAGTTATGGGCTAATTTTAAAGGATCACCTTTCCCAGAAGTCGCAGAAGCTATTCAGTCTGATTTAGATGCTTACAGGAAAAACGAAGAGGAAATTAAAAAATTGAAGACTTCTATGGTAAGTTAATCAAATATATAAATTTAAATTTCATATATTTTACATATAGAGGATTTTTTGATTTGCAAATAACGTTTTTACTATTTTCAGGGTATTCAAAACCCAGAAGATGAAGCAGCAGTCATGCTACTGGACGATGCAACATCAAAACTTCAGACTGCGATGGGGTCATTGCCTGAACTTTTAGAACAGAAAAGATTAATCGATTTGCACACGAATGTTGCCACAACATTGTTGGACAGCATCAAACAACGGCAATTAGATGTGCTATTTGAAAGCGAAGAAAAGTTGCTGAATGGACAGTATTCTGGTAAGGTTTGATTTTATTATGAATGAAGATTGAGAATTTTGACTTTTAGCGAAGTTATATGAAAAATTAAGAAGTTTCATACTAGATTTTTTAGAAGTCAACGTGCCAGAAGTCTTCAACTCGTTGCCAAACACCGGAGATGCCTTAAGGTTCTTATTGATTGCATATCTTTGTAATAACAACGTGTCAGAGGTGAGTGGTGGGTGATTTGTGATTTTTTAAAATTTTATAATGGTTTTGGTCTAAAATATCTTATTTTTAGTCCAAAATATTTAATTTAAGCATATTAATTTACAATATCTTATTTTAGGCAGAAAAACGAGAGTTCAAAGACCTCTTACGACAACGTGAAATAGATGAAAATGCCCTAAAATTCGTGGAATGCATTAAAAGAGCAACATCACTTCAATTAGGCACAAATGATCTACATTCAGGTGGAGGAACAAAGACTTTGAATATGTTTGGCAAGCTTCTAAGTCACTCATCAAGATTCGTAATGGAAGGCGTCAAGAATTTGGTACCTAAAAAACACAATCTACCCGTTACAAAGGTAAGAATGCATCTTTTTTCGTTGGGTTTTAGGTATAAAATGGCTGGAAATTGATTTGAAAAATTGAAAAAGAGTATGATGGTAAAGTTTGACTATAAAAGGTATTTTTAGTTAGTGGCAGAACTTGTGGACACGAGGCAAACGGTGGGAGGACTAACCACTTCGGCACCGGTCGATCCAAATGAATTCTTGTATTTTGATCCGAAGTTACTGCATGCCTCAAGCAAAGAGTGAGTTTTGGATTAGAAATGAGGTTTTTTTGGATATTGTAAGCTTTGGGTAGAAAATGAAATTTTTTAAATTTAAGTTTTTAAAATTCAAAATTTCAGCCTAGTCCACGCCCGGCAAGGCCAATTAGCACAGGATGTCATCGTATTCGTAGTCGGCGGTGGAAACTACGTGGAGTACCAGAATATAGTCGATTATGCTAAACAAGCTGGAATCCAACGAATCACCTACGGATCCACCGAACTCGTCAACCCAGCCCAATTCATCGAACAACTGGCTCGACTGGGCGAAACACTGTGATTTTTATGTAACAAAGCTAATATATAATTATTTTTAGAAAAAGATAAAATTATTCGGGATAAAATGGCAGGAATAAGGGTTTTTATGCAGTGAGGGTTATGTTTTACCTTAATCAACATCAAGGGGTATTTTATAAAAAGTTTGTTTATTAAAGATATTTAGCGCTTTGGCCAAATACGATGTTGGTATAGTTGTATAGTTGCAATATCTATTTTCTTAAACTGCAGCGAAGGCCTTTGAATCGACCTGTCAATGGGAGTTGTTGTATTTCTGTCTTGAGTGGGAATCCCCATTCACCGCCAGCGCGAAGACGGTCGATTCTGAACTGATAGGATGGTTGTTTACCCTAAAATAGCATAAGTTAGAGCAACGTAAAGAGATATGTAAGGCAAAGCAGGGTAGGTTAGAGTAGGTTTGTAGGATAAAGTTGGGTAATGTAGGGCGAATGAGGTAGAGTACGTCAGGGCACGGTGAGATAAGTTAAGGTAAAAAATCACTCTACTTACGATAGTTTGGAAGATTTCGCCATTCTCATTCATAAGCCAGAAGTCGTTAGTCTTTGTAAAGTGAACACATTCCAGACCATAAATCTCGGTATTAACCTTGACTACCTCCGTATATCGTTGTGATTCATCCGTGAATTTTTGATTTTCATTTTGAGTAAAATTCCCTGAAACGGTTATTGTAGATACTAACAGATTGTGAAATCAAAAACTCCATTGACAAAGCTAAAATAAGTAAAGCTTTAGTAAAAAGCCTGAATTTTAGATAATAAACATCATCATCTATTTGAAAGTTTATGATTATATATATATTGTCATCGTATAAATTTTTTATTACTTTGGCCTGATTTCTATTACGGTACTAAAATGTTCTTTTTAGGATTTCTTGACCATCAAACGTCAAACAGAAACAATCTAACGAAAATGCAACCTCTAAACTACACAGCTTCATTTTTTATATACCTCAAAACCGCAAAAATTTGTAAATGATGTACTTTTGAGTTTTATTTTAGCTAATAAACTATAAAAAAACTTGTTGAACTTACTATGAAACACATCTTAAAAATTCTGAAAATATTCATTTACAAAAACAGCCTTTTCCGTATAAAAAGGTCTAAAACTACGCCGCTGGTCGCGCACTCACTTTAATTTTCGGGCGCAGTTCGAAAAAATCGAGAAAAAAACATTGATTTTTTTTCAAATATAATTTTGTCCAACGTCAAATATCGTTTGTAAATACGCTTTTTTCTACAAATAACGATGGATGAATCAGCAGCTACACAGTTTCATCTATGGCAAAATTTTGTGGCCCATTCGTCGGACGTAAAGGCAGTGGAACCAACAACTCAAGGACATTTAGCAACGGTCAGCAGGGATGAAACCGCAAAGATGTGAGTATTGAAGTAGGTGTTTTTCTTTCTGTTTTTGATTTTAGGTTTGAATGAAAGATGATTGGGGATAATATCTTCAGTGTTTGATGTTTTGAGAGGTTTTATAAACGATATTTGTTAATATGAAACTAAGAGTGACATTATTTTGTAGGGAGAACGGGTATGCACAGGAAGCCTTATTTAAGAATGGTCAACATGTCAATTCGGTAGCGTTTTATGAAACTGAAAGTGACGGAGAATTTATAGTTTGTGGACGTAAGGATGGGACGATTGCTTTATTTTCGCCAACAAGCGCAGAGCCAGTTGCTGTAATCAAGGCTCACAATATGAATGGTACGGTTGTATTTTTAAAAGTTTTTGTTACGTAGGGTTTTTAAAATTAATGTGATTTGTTTAGTGTGCGCTCTACGGGTTGACAATGCGACTGGAAGATGTATCAGCGGCAGTTGGGATGCTAAAGCTGTTGTTACAGACCTCAAGAAGGCTTTGGCGGGTCAGCCTAGCCAAATTTACTCTCTGAATGGCCACAAACATTCTGTATGGGCGGTGGAATTTGTCCCACATCAAACAGATTGTTTTGTGACTGGATCCGCCGATCGTACTATAAAGCTATGGCGTGGTAACGAATGTATAAAGACGTTGGAAGGACATCAAGATGTTGTTCGTTCTGTTATTGTGCTCTCTAACGGAAACATCATTTCATCGGCAAATGACAGTACCTTGAAATTGTGGTCATTGGACAGTGGGAACTGTCTGAGAGATTACATTTCTTATCGTGGCGAAATTATTCATTCGTAAGTTGATGTATTTTGAAGATTAATTTCTTTTTTTTCTTTATTGTTTATGTTAAAGTGAAAAGTTTTTAATGAAACTTTGACTATTTTCAGTATGGTTTTGATAAATCATCCTTGCGGCCGCTCGTTTGTAGCAACGTGTGGTGAACGTGGATATGTTGAGGTTTATTCATTGGAAGATGAGAACTCGACCTTGCGCTTCGTTCAACCGGTTAGAATACCAGCCGTTTCTTTATCGACAATACGAAGCATGGGAAACGGCGACTTTATTGTGGGTGCTGCGTAAGTGAAATTTTTCTTTTGATTTGTTTTTTAGATTAATAACTTCCTTAACATTTACGTAAAATTTTTTATTATTATGTTTTCTTTTTTAGTAACGGCTCTCTTTATGTCTTCTCGACGGATCCAGAAAGAAAAGCTCCAGAACCAATAGAAGCTGCATTTCAAGCGGAAGTTTCGGAGTTCAGGAACCTCCAGTTAGTTGAGACGACAGAAAGTCCAGCGCCAAGCTGAGGAAGAACGCGAGAAAGACAAGGCCAGACGTGAAGCAGAGCGTCAGCAAGACGAGAGCCAAAGGAGAAAAGATGTAAGTACTTCGGGTGAAAGAGCATAAAAAGTTACCGGGAAAACTGTTTCAAAAACGGCTGAATTATTAGCTAATCCAGTATAGCCGAGTGGTTAAGAAGTTAGTCTGGGGTGCTAAAGGGGAAAGTTCGAATTCTGTCGGTTTCGTTTTTGCATCCAGCCATACGGACAAGAACTTTTGGCTAGTCGAACAATATTTTGATTAAAAAATATTTTTTAACTCGTATTTTGTGCTTTTAGACACTTTTGAATTTATAGGAACGAACAGGAATTTGTGTCCTGGTTTGGTTATTATTTGTGTGCGCCTTTGCCGAAATCGTCATTAATTGGTTTTGGAACTTAAATTGAAAATTATTTGGAAGTAAAAAAAAATTCTTCTTACGACAAGGTGACCTCTTAAGACAACGTGAAATGGACGAAAATGCCATAAAATTCGTAGAATGCATTAAAAGAGCAACATCACTGCAGTTAGGGACAAACGATTTACATTCAGGTGGAGGAACAAAGACTTTGAATATGTTTGGCAAATTCCTAAGTCACTCATCAAGGTTCGTTATGGAAGGCGTCAAGAATTTGGTACCTAAAAAGCACAATCTACCCGTTACAAAGGTGAGAGTTTTTATTTTTGTTTTGGCTTTTAGATATAAAATGTTTTTAATTTGCTACGAAAAGTTGGAAAAGAGTATGATGGTGAAATTTGACTATGAAAGAGTGTTTTAGTTAGTGGCAGAACTTGTGGACACGAGGGAAACAGTGGGAGGACTAACCACTTCGGCACCGGTCGATCCAAACGAATTTTTGTTGTTCGATCCGAAGTTACTGCATGCCTCAAGCAAAGAGTGAGTTTTGGATTAGAAATGAGGTTTTTTTGGATATTGTAAGCTTTGGGTAGAAAATGAAATTTTTTAAATTTAAGTTTTTAAAATTCAAAATTTTAGCCTAGTCCACGCCCGGCAAGGCCAATTAGCACAGGATGTCATCGTATTCGTAGTCGGCGGTGGAAACTACGTGGAGTACCAGAATATAGTCGATTATGCTAAACAAGCTGGAATCCAACGAATCACCTACGGATCCATCGAACTCGTCAACCCAGCCCAATTCATCGAACAACTGGCTCGACTGGGCGAAACACTGTGATTTTTATGTAACAAAGCTAATATATTATAATTATTTTTAGAAAAAGATAAAATTATTCGGGATAAAATGGCAGGAATAAGGGTTTTTATGTAGTGGGGGTTCAAGTTTTACCTATATTAATATCGAGAGATTGCTTATAATGAAGCTCTTTATTAAAGATATGTAGTTCTTTGGTCAAATACGATGTTGTTATAGTTGTATCTAGTTTCTTAAACTGCAGCGAAGGCCTTCGAATCGACCGGTCAATGGGAGTTGTTGTATATCAGTCTTGAGTGGGAATCCCCATTCGCCGTCAGCGCGAAGACGGTCGATTCTGAACTGGTAGGATGGTTGTTTGCCCTATAAATGGCGTAATATTGAGTAGACTAGGGTGGGTAAGGCAAAATACTTTAGAGTAAAGTTGGGGGGGGCCGCAGGGTATGGTAAGGTAGAGTGGGGGTTGGGTACTACGGGGTACGATGGGGTAGGGTAGGTTAAAAACACTACTTACCATAGTCTGGAAGATTTCACCATTTTCATTCATAAGCCAGAAGTCGTTAGTCTTAGTAAAGTGAACACATTCCAGACCATAAATCTCGGTATTAACCTTGACTACCTCCGTATATCGTTGTGATTCATCCGTGAATTTTTGTGTTTCATTTTGAGTACTATTTATCAGCTTCCACTGCTGGACAATTTGAATCGCACCTCGTTCAAAATCATGGAATCTGAACTCAGCGTGGTCTAGACTGTGACTGGGAGAACAGTGGAACTTGTTGGTAAACAGCTTTTTGTGAATTGACCGTTCTTTGATATACTCACTGAGGTTGTAGGCTCCACTGCATTCGTTTTCTAACTGAAATTAGGTGTTTTAAAGAGAAAACTTGGAGAAGGCTCATTTTGTTGTATATACTGATACCTACGTCTTTGTTAGAACGTGCAGCCAAGTAGAATGGTTTGATCTTTTTGCGGTCTTCACCACCAAAACAGAAGCCCAGCTTTTCATTCTGAAAAATCAACTTTTATTATTATAGATAACTGAAAATCGTCCCTCCTTTGCTCCTATCATATTATACCTCCTTCCTTCATCTCTTTTTAAGGTCGAGAGCCTCTGTAGCCAAAGATATTCACTGATATTGCCTTACATAATAGTTACAGTTTTTCGCAAATTACTCAATATTATCATGTAATTGAGTAGCCTTAGAGAAATTGTCAGAAGTGGTAATGCGCAACTTTTTCTTATGTAATTTTATGATTTTAGGTAACATTTGCCTTGGTGTAAAACGACCCAACAAATTACTGCGAGTGCTGGGAAATAGCAACAAATTACTGCGAGTGTTGTGGTTTTGACTTGATTTTACTACGAGTCGTCATTACTCTAAAACCTAAAAAATGTAAAAAAAACTACTAAACCTAATTTAGCCTTTAGAGATAGAGTTGTTGTTTTAAAAGGTCATTACTAAGCCTAAGCCTACAGTTCTAAGTTTACTAAGCCAAAGCTGACAAGCTGGGGTTTGACAGCATTTTTCTACAAGGAGTCATTACCTAACGGCTAAAAAATGGGATGACCAAATCTATTAAGGCCTATTTTACTCTACCGTTCCTTATTACCTTAACCTAACTTTATCAAAAATTTTTGAAATATTTGGTGATTTTAGAAAACTTACTTCACGACCATACTGCATAAAGCAATTAATCAGATCCAAAACATTTTTAACCTCAACAAGCTTTTTGTCTTCATTGGTATCTTTTATCAAATCTTCTTTACTACCTGTGCCGCTACCTTCAATCACATCGTCTTTTTGTTCAACAATATCAATTCTCTTGTGTTTGTAAGACTCTTTGGCATTTTGAATACCTTCGAATGGCATCAGGAACAGTTCCTTAATTTTTCTTTCGACTGGTTGATTTTCATTGGCTTTCTTAAAATTTGTTACCGCCGGTTGTCCGACTTCGATGCTAAACAAAGGTTCTTCGGGAAAGGTGTGTGGAGGTAACCATGAGTCTGAGGATCCATGAATATTGTCGTTCAGCTCGTACTTTGGTGATAAGTCAAAAGGGCGTAACTTGCCACCGGCTCGGCCGAATACTTCGCTTGGCTTCACTTTTTCTTCGGCTGCTAGAAAATATTAGATGCCGACATAAAAAACCCGCCATTTATTACAGGAAATTACTGGAAAAGTATGGCGGGTTCTTTATGTCGGCACCAATATTTTTGTTATTAGACTGTTCAAATAATTGTGTGCTCCTTCACTTCAAAAATTGGCTTTGCAAAAAGGCACAAAACTATTTGAACAACCTGATAATATTGATTTTGAACAACCATATATTATATAGAAGGTTACTGTAAAATATGTTGCAGAAACTTTGTTTTCATAATTATTGAAGAAACTTTGTTTCCGAATGACCAAACTTACGTGGTTCTTCGCCAAAAATCCTTGAGAATGATTTTTCAATTCTAGACCTTACTTTGTCATCACCAATACCACCAGTTAAAATATTGAACAAACCTAATGGACCTCCTTGAGCATTTACAGTATAAAGCAGATACTGAAGGAGTAGTAATTTTAAAAACATTTTTAATTGAAAGCAAAGACGCTGCCTCTGCTTTAGCACAGTACTGTTTATCGTACAGTTTACAGTAATTTGAAAAAAACTTTTGTAGGTCTGTATATATGGTATAAAAAGCTGAAAATAAGAAAAAATCAGAATATACGTGAAAAGTAAATTAAGATGAATCAGTGTTAAGTCGTATTTAAAGAAGGCATCGGGACGATTCACGTCGCAACCTTGAACTTTGATTTAGCCGATAACTTTTGTAAAAACACAAAAAGAAAGAAGCATGCAAATTTAGGCTTAGTTACACATTTAAGCTTAGCGCACAACCTTAGGCTTACACAATTTTAGGCTTAGGCACACATTTTAGACATAGACAGATATTTTTGTTTGGTTTAAGTACAAGTTTTATGCTTAGAACAATTTTAGGCTTGTGCAACTTTAGGCTTAGTTGCACATTCTAGGCTTAGCGCACAATCTTAGACTTGTTTAATTTCAGGCTTAAATACACATTTTTAGCTTGGATACGTATTTTAGGCTTTGTTACACATTCTAGGATTAAATGCACATATTAGGCTTAGGTACATATTTTAAGCTTAGGTACATATTTTAGGCTTTGATACACATTTTAAGATTAAATGCACATATTAGGCTTAGGTACATATTTTAAGTTTAGGTACACATTTTAAGCTTAGGTACGCATTTTTAAGCTTAATTACCAATTTTAGGCTTAGTAACTTCATGCTTAGACCACACATTTTAGTTTACTCAAATTTAGGCTTAAGTAGCTTCAGTTACACGTATTAGGCTTGGATACACAGTTCAGGCTGAAACACAAGGTTTAGGCTTATTTAAACGGTTTAGGCTTAGCTACACAATAAAGAGTACGATACTATATTATGGGATAAAATTTGGTCAATTTTTCGATTGTGTTTTGAACTTTACATGCAATTTCAAATCTCGGTCTGATTTATTTTCGCGTGGCCAAATAGCCGAAAATCCGGTGCCTGTTCGAAGCCGTAATTGATTGTTTCAAATTACCGCGCCGCTTTTTTATGGCGTCATTTTGGCTGCGACCCAGGATTCCCAATGCGACCTCTCCACTGGTTTTGCGCCTTATTTAGCGATTCGTCTTTGTTTTTCTTACGAAATGCTGTTATTATTAGTAATCAACAGGTTTGGTTTTTTTCGGGTACGGTAGGCTGATCGATAATTTAAGAGAATTTCGAAATAAAAAAGTTTGTTCTAGCAGGCGATCTAAGTAATTGCTATTGTAAGCATGACACTTTTCGAATGAAAAGCGTAAGGGGAGGGGTGTAGGATTGGGAGGGGGAGAGGGGGGGGGGTCTTACTTCTAGTACTGGTTTTGGTCTTGGTTCTAGCTTCATCCCTAATTTTGGCTCTAGTCTTAGTCCTAGTCCAAGTCTTAGCCCTTGTCTTATTCTTAGCTCTAGTCATAGCCCTAGACTGTCCTGGCTTTAGCCTTAGTCTTTAGCTCAAGCTCTCCTAGCTCTAGCTTTAGCTCTAGCCTTAGCCTTAGCCTTAGCCTTAGCCTTAGCTTTAGCCTTATAGCCTTAGCCTTAACCTTAACCTTAACTTTAACCTTAGCCTTAGCTTTAGCTTTAGTTTTAGTTTTAGCCTTAGCCTTAGTCTTAGCCTTAGCCTTAGTCTTAGCCTTAGCCTTAGCCTTAGCCTTAGCCTTAGCCTTAACCTTAACCTTAACCTTAACCTTAACCTTAACCTTAACCTTAACCTTAACCTTAGCTTTAGTCTTAGTCTTAGCCTTAGCTTTAGCCTTAGTCTTACATACAAAATCTGTTAGCCTTAACTTTAGCCCGAGCTTAACTGTAATTTTAGACTTCTTAATTATTTCGTCCACCCCTCTTTTCTCGCCAATTTACTCCTAAATCTTGTATACTTAACCTTGACGTGTTATATGTTTATGTGCTATTGTAACTTGGGCGACATCTGTCTTTCATATTGCGACAGGACAATGGTCGCGATTTGTTTACTCGAGAAATAATTGCCAACTTTCGTACTTCCGTCGGCCTTGGCTGGGGACATGTCACGGTTTGCGTAACATAATATTTGCATATTAGGCACTATAAACTGGAGATTTAGGGTTTAGGCGGGGATTGGATTGAAAATGGCAGAAACTTAAAACTTGTTGGTTTTTTGTTATTAGGTCTACAAATACGAAATTTCGTTTTTTGATGACTTTGACAAAGATTAGCTAAAAACTTATACGAGCACTTCGGGCCGGGGGCGTAGGTCGAAAAATTTGTTTTTGTCTGGGGGCGGGTGTCCAAAAAAAGTTTTTGTGGTTTGATGGCGGGTGTCAAAAAAATTTTTTTTGGTTTGGGGTTGGGGTCGAATTTTTTAAACTAAAAATCTACAAGGGAGTCTACATTTAACACTTTTCAAATTTTTTGGGGAGGTGGGGTACCCTCTCTGTCCTCTCCCCCTTGCGTTCGGCTCTTCAAGCACCATTTATTTAACAATTACTGTCGTTAATAAACATTTTTTTTTGGTTGCTGGGCCTTTTTCGATATTATCAGAAAAAATTTGGTCGATTTTCAGAAGATTTAAAAATTGACCCTTTTTTGGACATTGTCGTATGTTTTGAGGCTCTTGTTAATAAACCAACATTTTTTGGCGGTGTGCATTAGCTAAAAACATTTCAGGGACCGCTTTTTCAGAAATTTACGTTTTTTGCATATCGTTAAGTGGTCGCGCAATAAAGTAGTTTTTAAGTCGCTGGAAATTTACGATCTTTTAAGGTGTCAAGGCCAATAAATAACAGCTGTATATCTTCAGGTCATGATGTCCAGATGGCCTTGAGTTGGTCAGGAAGACGGTATTATTGTTTTATTGCTTGTACTACAACATAGTTATTGGAATTGCCGTGCTATTGGTAAGGGTTTGTAAGTTTTGTTGTGTTTGATTTACATACTGTAGAATACCGTAACTATTTATACAGTAGGATATTGTAATAAAGGATTATAAGAAGGATACTGCAGTTAGAGTAATCAACGTGGTGATAGTTAATATTACTATTATAAATACTACAATATCAAGTATAAACTTTGTAGCTTCAGATTGTCATGTTTACAGAGTAACTTCTATAAAATATGTCACCAAGTCGTCTACTAATATCAAGTCGACCAGAAGTCATCAATCAAATTCAAGGTGTTGAACAAGCTTTCCTTCGACATTATGAACATATCTACAATCTGCTAAAGTCTTCTGATACTCATGACTCAATACGTGAATTGGTAAGTAGCATGTAGTTACTGTACTATAAATGGCAAGTATAATAAAAACTTGCTATATCATAATAGAAAACTTTGCTTTCGTATGACATTATTAGTTGCCGACATAAAGAACCCGCCATACTTTTTCTGCAATTTTCTGTAAATATGGCAAGTTCTTTATGTCGGCACCTAATGTAGAAGATACTGTACTCTACTGTATATAGTAGGTACTATAGTATAATCAAAACTTGAGTTTATACTTGTATGACACTGAGGGTCGGCCTTTTGGTACCTGTGCCGATTTTTTTGCGAAAAATTTTTTTGAAAAGCCCGCAGGTGCGACCAAGTTCAACTTTCTTTGAAAACCTGGCCCTGATGACACTGTAGAGTATTCTTACTTATAAATACTATAGTGTATTATACATACCTTTGCAGAAGTCCCAATTTGATCTCCACCATCTATACGATGATCTACAGTCAACCGAAGATTCCACAAAACCTTATGCTTTTATGATTACCGTAGCTCAGTTTGGGCTCTACGAAATATTATTAAAACTTCAAGAACTAGTTGATTTGGCACTACTAGAAGATTATTTTGATCGGGTTGCCAAAAAATTAAAATTTTATAGTTATAGCTACAAAGATTACCACTTTATATCAAGTGAATCTAGTGGTGAAGTGGTGCAATTTCATTTACGGTTAATACTGTGCAAATTGAAATTGGAAAAAACCTTGGATTTTTGTAGAAAGAATGACATTTTAGACGAAATGCAAGTGGAAAATGTTAATGTAAGTTAATATATTGATTATTTTTTTAAAAGCACATTCTTTATCAGTAAACTTTTATAAAGGCTTTAAAAACTCTTTAAGCTTACATTTTTAAATTCAAACAAAATTTCCAGACTGCAACTACCAAGCAATCAAAGACCACTACCCTTTTATCACTTTTCTCTAACCGCTCTCTCGTTTTCTGTGATATTCTCGCAAAAACCGGTCAATTTGAACTGTTTGCTTTTGTCGCTGGTTCACTGTCAATATCTGACATTAAACTCATCGAAAACAACTTAAATACACAAAAGGAGCAGTTGGTACAATATTGGACACAAAATGAGAATATAGCACCGTACTCACACTTGGAACCGTGCTTTTCTGGTGCGAATGAGTATTTGAATATAAATATTGAACAAGCTGATGCTGCTACAATACGGGATTACCGGAACAACAAAAATTGTGTAAGTTGGGTATAAAATACGGTGAGGTAGGTTAAGGTTGGGTAGGTAAGTGTAGGATTAAACAGGGTATAGTAGAGTAAGGTAGGTCAGGGTAGACATGAGGAAGGGGTCGGGCCTGAATGTTAGGCCCAGCTCGATGAAAATTTTGTTCAGGTCTAGCCCGGTTTGGCCTGAATTTTTTTTACGTGGAGGGCCGGGCCGACCTGGGCCTTGGTTTCAGGTCCGGCTTGTTCATGTCTAGGGTAGGGTAGGGTAAGGTAGGGTAGGGTAGGGTAGGGCACTTTATTTTATTTTTTTTATTGATTTTTGTATTTTAGGTTTACAAAAATTTTTCTTCGCCCAAAGGCCTATGTTTGATCATAAACAATGAGAAATTCAATATTCATTCTTCACGAACGGGTACTGAAGTTGATGAGAAAATGATAACTAATTTATTTGCAAAAATGGGTTATCAAGTCGAATCTTACCGTAATCTTACGGCTTCTGTAAGTTTTTTTTAAAATTTACTTTATAGTATTAGGTGTCGACATAAAGAACCCGCCATATTTTGTCTGTAATTTCCTGTAAAAAATGGCGGGTTCTTTAAGTCGGCCCCTGATATTTTAAAAATTTTTCAGAAGTACCTTAAAGATTTTCAATAATTGTGTTAAATACTATAATTTTCAGCAAATGATAACAGCAGCCAGAGAATTCTCTCAACGCCCAGAACACGCATATGCTCATAGTACAGTGGTCGTAGTGATGACGCACGGTGAATATGATCAATTGATTGGTACTGATGGAGAAATAATCAGATTGCAAGAGGAATTTTTATATTACTTTACATCTTATATGGCACCAAATTTGGCTGGAAAGCCTAAATTGTTCTTTCTTCAGGCTTGTCGCGGCCGTAAGTTGTTGAAAACTTGATTTTTGGGTTTGGAAATCCACGCGGGTTCGAATCCGGTCAGGTGTTGTGGGACATTTTTGGTCATATGTTATTAGTTAGTTAATGAAAATTTAAATAATATATAATTTTTGAAAGGAATTTTTAAGTATTTTCAAATAATAAAAGCAAAAAAAAATTTGGAAAGAAAGTTTTTGCGTTTTACTTTAAAATACTTTCAGACACTAACGATCCAGGGCACCGAGTGTCAATTCCGGTCGATTATCAAGACGGTAAATCAAAGATACGAACAAAAACCGATGGCTTCATATCATCCTTAGCCAAAACATTATCTTTTCGTTCATCAACTCCAACTAGTCCAACCACTGAGCCAATGTCAATGAAATTACCCCCAAACTTGATCAATGTAAAAAAATCTACAGTGACCGCGAGTAAAACCACCGTAACAAGTAGTAGAGTAGTTATTACGACTGGTCGACCTGAAATTCAAGTTGTGCGAAAAGTGGAAGACAATGTGTATGGTACTGCAACGTTTGTGGCCAAGGAGCCTTCTATGGCGGACTTTTTGGTAGCCTACTCTACAGTACCTGGGTTTGTATCGTGGAGGAATTCGGTCAATGGCAGTTGGTTTATTCAGTCGATTTGCGAGGTTTTCAGCAAAGAGGCGGCTCATTGTGACATTTTGGAGTTGTTGACTAAGGTGGGTTACTGTAACATTTTTTTGGAAATTTTAAAATTTGAAAAAATTAAAATTTAAAAATTGAAATTCAAAAAAATTGAAAATATTAATTTTTAAACTTCAGGTAAACCGTCGAGTAGCAAAAGTATATGAAACGACGGGTGAATGTTCAGGTAACAAACAGATTCCGGAATTCTGTAGCCGGCTACAAAGAAAATTCTATTTTTACCCTGGAGTTACTTCGAATGAATAGGAAATGTACAAAAGTGTAAAATTTACATAGTAAATTGTAAAATAAATATTGAAAATACAGTAATAGTGAATAAAATTACAGTAATAAATACTTTTAAACATAATTTTTATTTTTTAAATTTTTTTAAATTAAGATTTTTGAAATTCAAAAAAAAATAAAAAAAAAGTCATTTTTCTACTTTAATTTTTACCGACCGGTCGATATGAGCCAACTTCATCCTCCGACATCGTCCAAAACTTCTGAAGCTGAAATTCTGGTGAAACCAATATCTGTAATCAATATTGGCTGTCAGTCGACTCTTACCAAATGTCCTCATTGTAAGAAAAATGTCAAAACTCGAGTTGTCTACAAGATTGGTCAAAAAACATGGTGGTTTTGTCTTTTACTGGCTGTTTTTACAATATGTCTATTGTGGTTTGTGGTATTTTTTATCAACAGCTTCAAGGTGAGGTTACTGTATTTCATTTTTATAAAGTATGACAGTGTTTTTTATAGATTGAAATGTAAAATTACTTATAGGATAGAGCAGAATAGTGTAAATAACTTATTTCATTTCAGGAAGCCCATCACTATTGCCCAAGCTGCGGTGGATACATTGGAAAATCCTGAACTACTTACTACTTCATCTGATCTATGATAATATGTGTACATAATGTTGATAACAATAAATATTTTAAACTTTGGATCTTATTTTTCTTGTTTAAAGCTAATATTTTAATCGTATTTTACTTTATTTTTTGAACTTATTACATCGTATAAAATGTCTCTGCAGTCTGCACATGCATAAATTCTGTTCTGAACTAAAGGGCGCAGCTCAACAATACGCGAAAATAAAAATTGGAAAGAAAAATGTTATGAAAATGATTCAAGCACGATATCTTCTTGTTTTGCTACTGCTTTGCACTACAATTTGTAGTAAAAAAGCAAAAAAAGATGTGAGAGACTTTACGGATGCAGATTTTGATCGATTATTGGATGAATGGGAAGAAAACGACGATGAACCGTTGGAAGAAGACGAAAAACCAGATCATCTGCGGCCAAAACCTGACATAAACATTGAGGAGCTGAAGAAAAAGGTATGGATTTTATTTTAATTTGTGTTTTTTTTTATTTTTAGGACGGGAAACATAATTGATCTGATATTGTACTAGGTGTTCTATCTTAAATATAGAAAAACGCTTGATTTTCGAAGAAATTATCTAAAATAATATTATAGGCACAAGGACCGGATGATCTTCTACGATTAACAAAAAAGTCTCAGCCGGTTATGATGTTTGTGAGTGTGGTGGAAAATGGCAAAAAGGCAGCTCGGCCGTTCACTGAGAAGATGTCTGATATCTGGCAATCTCAACTTTATAACAATCACATTGATCTTCAAGTAAGTTTACAGTTTTTTTTGTTTTTGTTTAGGTTATTCTAATAGTATGAGAAGCTTTTCCATTTCTTGTTATGATAAAGGGCTTGTATTGATGTCTACTACAATATAATTTTTTCAGACTTATGTAATAGAGGACGATCGGATTCTATTTATGTTCAAAGATGGCTCGCGAGCTTGGGAAGGTCGTGATTTCTTGTTGAAGCACAAAGAGTGTAAAGAAGTCACATTAGAAGGCAAAACTTCAGAAGGCGCTGGAGCAAAGGTCAAGACGGAACTTTAGGACAATTTTTGCATTTTATAGTTTACAGGGTATTGTCAATCTCATATCAGTTACAATAAGTGATAATTATGTGCCTTAATAAATTATTTATTTGAAACTTGGGGAATTCTTTGAGCTTTTAAGGTTGTCGGCCGAAAATATTGTTTTAGATTGAATTCTTGATAAATATTGAGGCAATACTTGCCGGAATCGTTGTTAATTTTTTAAATTTGTGAAGTAAATTTGTCAAAATGTTGGTAATTTTATAATAATATTGTAAAATTATGTTATGTTGTTTTAGACGGGTCATGAACACAGAGAAAGCTCAAAAATGTGCTGAGGAATTTGCGTTGAATCATGTTGCTGGTTTATTTCAACGTCCAGATCAGCTCGAAAAGTTAGAAGTGCTCAAGAAGCGGGCTGAGCGCAAAAAGGTACTATAATGTAATGATAAACTTTAATTTTTCATCAGTTCGTGAAGGAACATCTTTCATTTCGAAGACTCGGACTTATTATAATAAAGTTCAACAGAAAAAATAAAGCTTAGGTTTTGAATGTTTTGATATAAACTTATATCTTCAAGTATTGTCAATTTAGGCGGCAGTAGAAGCAATGTTAAGGACGGGAGTCCAATCCCAGCTTGAGGGTATTCGAACGGCGATGAATCATTTACAGTCAGCTAGCGGAGACATTGGACTAATAGAAAAAGAGTGAGTTTTTGGGAATTTGTAGTGTTTTGGTGTTTAGGGTCTTCAACGAGTTTTTTTAAATACCTTTAACTTTGTTACCTAAAAATTAAATTTTCTTTTAATATTCTCATAAAACCTGTGTTACAGTATGCACGAAGTCCTGAAGCGTCTCCAAACGATTCCAGCGCTCAAAGGCCGGTTAAGCAAGTTGGCTGAAGCCAATATGATCCATTCACAATATGCGGCTGCCATGGATAACCTAAAGCATATTTTCAATATAAATGACACAATCGAAACTACTCATACGCATATAATGGATGGTCGATTGTTATATGCCCATAAGAACATAATGGAGCTGGAGAATGCTCGGGACGACTTGATGAATGAAGTACACAAACTTCAGACAGACAGAAGGGAATACGATATTAATGTAGGTTTTGGATTTGGGTATTGAATTGGAGTTTTTGAAATTTTAGGTAATAATTTTAAGAAATGTTATCTTTTTGGAAGTTCTTAAAGTTTTAGGTAACAAATTTAAAAGTTTGTGAGTTTAATTTTCAGTTACTAAAGAACTACTTTGCCGAGGTCGACAAGTTAGTAGAAGAACTCGGCAAACACGTATTTTACCTCTGCAAACGAGCACTGGAAGCAGTACGAGGAGAGAATGCAGGGCCACAACAATTAGTGACAGCCTTAAGAATCATCGAACGAGAGCAAAGAATTGATGATTATTATAAGAAGCAACTACAAGCCAATCCATCCTCGTTTCTACCGCCAGGACGGCCGAGACAATGGCGGAAGAAGCTGTTTGACAGTCTGAAGAGTACGGTAAAGGAGAGAATTGAAGGTAATCAGTTGGAGGAACGAATCAACAACAAACAATGGCTAGTACGATACTTGGAAGTGTGCAGACGTACTGTAATTCAGGATTTGAATGTGGTCAAAAGTGCATTGGTACCATGCTTCCCTCCACACTATATGATTTACGACCGGTATATTCATATGTACCATGATTGTTTGAGTAGCAGGGTAGGTTTTTTTTTTCATTTTTGTAGATCAAAGGGGCAGCTAGGTGAAAGTATGGTAGGGTATATGTTAGGCTTAAGTACACCTTTTAGTCTTAGCAGGCAATTTTAGACTTACGCAATTTAGGCTTAGGTACACACTTTAGGCTTACGCAATTAAGGCTTATTTACACATTTTAGGCTTACGTAATTTTAGGCTTATTTACACGTTTTAGGCTTACGCAATTTAGGCTTAGGTGCACATTTTAGGCTTACGCAATTTTAGGCTTTTTTACACGTGTTAGGCTTACGCAATTTAGGCTTAGGTACACATTTTAGGATTAGCAGGCAATTTTAGGCTTACGCAATTTAGGCTTAGGTACTCATTTTAAGCTTAAATCATGTTTGATTTTAGGTAAGAGAGGTGGCTCAAGAAGATTTGGAGAAGAACGAGCTAGTCCAACTGCTAAACTGGATCAAATCTTATGGATCGACGGAAATGTTAGGCAATCCGAAGCTAGGAATCGAAATAAACGAGCTACTGAAGGAGAAGCCGCTATTACCACGGTCGACTACCGACCAGCTGTATGACAAATTTGTGGAAATTACCCAAAAAGACATGACAGCATGGTTGGAGAAGGCAATTCAAGGAGAAGCAGACGAATGGAGAAAAGAACCAATAAGTGAGAAAGATCAGCCAGACATTGATGAAGACAGTCAGGGATGTTATTATACACAACTGCCTAGTATTTTGTTCGGGATGGTCGAGGATCAGGTAAATTTTTAATAAAAAAATTGGTTATTTTTAACTTTTTTTACATCATTTTGTTTTTCTTTACCCCACTGTACTCTACTTTACAGTACCCTACCCTACTCTATCTTACTCTGTCCTACTCGACCCTGGAGCTCGTTGAACTTTTTATTAGGTGCCAACATAAAGAACCCGCCATACTTTTCCTGTAATTTTCTGTAAAAAATGGCTGGTTCTTTATGTCGGCACCTAGTACTGTACGAAATACGCCTAGAAATTTATGATAAATATTTGTGCGGGATTATGTAACAGATACTGTAACAAGATAGCCTTAGAGAAATTGTCAGAAATGGTATTGCGCAACACTTTCTTACGTAATTTTGCAATTTTATGTAATATTTGCCTCGATGTAAAACGACCCAACAAATTACTGCGAGTAATGGGAAATATCAAAAAATTACTGCGAGGGCTGAGAAATATCAGCAAATTCATGCGAGTGCTGGGATTGCCTTCATTTTTCAGTACGGAACTACTTTTTTTATTTGCCATATTATTTTAGTCATTAGATGTAAGGTTTGTTATGTTAAAACGGCATTACTAAGCTTAGGCTTTTAAGTTTAAGCTTGCTAAGGCAAAGATGGCAGGCTTTTAAGTCCACTGAAGCTGGGATGCTTAAACCTACTAAGCTTAACCTTCTGACATTAGACATAGGAAACGGGCCGGGCCGACTCGGCCGGGACTGAACAAAATTTAGGTCGGGACTGGCCTGGAAATCTCACAAAAGCCCGGCCTGTTTGCACGTAAAGAAATTCGGGCCGGGCCCCATCAAAACTCAGATCGGGCCGGGCCTAAAAAGTGGGCCTGGCTCGGTTCGTTTTCCATGTCTATCTGCCATTCTCTTTCTTCTCTTAGCGGCGTCTTAGGTGTAAATTTTAGGTATATATCGTATTTTTTAGGTATCACTGGCAAAGCAAATCACATCAGATATTGTACCAAGGATTATCGAAGCATCGGTGGACTGTTTTCTGCAATCTGCTACAAGGTACAAGGAAATGTTATCGGACTATAAAAATGAACATTTTGGAGAAAGTCGACGACACAGGTTCTTTACTCAACATATTGTAAGCTTTTTTGATATTTTGGGTATTAAACATTAAAAAGGTTGCGTTTTTAGCAAAAATTTTTGAAAAATCTTTATTTTAATGAAGATTAAGTTAAATAAAAAAAAATTAAATCTTTATTTTTAGGTTTTACTAGCTTAGGCTTAAGTTTAAATTTTTGAACTTTTTCAGATTGCCACTGCCAATAACATGGACATATGCAACGAATGTACGGACAAATGGGAGATCCACATTCGCCTCAACATGGAAGGCATATCGGACATTCCCGACACTCCGACTTCTCCACGATCGCTTTCTGGAATCTGCTACGTGAATCGAAAAGAATTGATCGAAAAAATCGGAAAACTGAAGGAACGATGGCAGTTTGTAATGCAACATGCCATCGGAATACTCATGGAAGAGCTGAACAATGACATTTCCAAACATCTCGATGTATTATTCAGTAAACAATGGCTTAGAGGCAGTACGGACTTGGGTACAATAACATGTACTATTCAGGACTATTACAATGACTACAGACATCTGAGGACCCACATCAGATTGACATTGATAAAGGAAATTGCGTACAAGATATTAGGGGAATATTTGATGGCTATTGAGTCGAGGAGATTGACCTTCTCGACCTACGAAGACCGGTCGAGAGCTTCAGATCAGTTGAAGATGGATTCTAGAATGATCGAGGATTTTCTGCATAAATTACCGGGAATTGAGTTTGATGTAAGTTGTACTATCTTGGCTTATTTCTTATTTTGCTCTGCTTTTACTGCTACCCTTACTTTTGTTCTGACCTTATCATTGCTTCTGTAAAGTATGGTACTATTAGTACTATACTTCACTTGATCCTATCATATCAAGCTGATTTATGTTTAATTTCAGTACCCAGGTCTTCTCACTGTCCTTCCAGCAATGGCTGACATCCTGGCTCTAAGTGACAAGACTATATTGTTGTTGGAAACCAGCTCTTTCGTGAGAAAGTTCCCAGATGTTCAACCAGAACTATTATCATCATTGCTAAGTCTAAGAGAGGATCTAACTCGACAAGAAGCAAAAAACCTTGCCGAATCAGCCCTGAACAATATAAGACATCAGCCGAAAGGAAGCGACCAGTCGATGGTCAAGTTGTTCCAGTGTGTCAAGTCTGACGGTCGGAAAACGTTGCCAGCGTTAGAGGAGACCATGCATAATATGTTCGCTACTCTGGTCATGACTGCCAATAAGGTCGAACGATAGAGGGTTTGGGTTGCCGTATGTTGATTATGGAAGGTCTATGTTACGGGATTATGGTAAGGTTTATGTTACGGTAAGACAGAGTTTGGGTTACTCTACTGTGGAGATGATACGGTGTGGTGCCAATATTGTCAAAGTCATAATACTGGGCTTAGTGTATGTATACTGATTACTGTAACTTACAAAAGCCATATTTAGATACAGTAATCTACTATGTAACGAAATTTTTTAATAGCGTTTAAACTTATAACTTATTTTGTTTAAATTATGATATTTTAAATTATAGTACCGTGTGATATACTCTTTTCCAAATTTTTGTGTTGTTTTAGTCATATTTGGTCCGCTGAACAAGTATTACTGTAGTTTTTCTACTTATAACATCTTAAAATTGTATTATTTTCAAGAAAGTATGATTCAAATTGTCTTAAAATTGATTAAAAATTTTAAATTAGAAGCCTTAATGATGGTTATGAATAAATATTAAGCTTAAAGTGGCTTTTTGAGTATGAAAGTTATATTTAGCAGGATATTAAGGTAAGTATATAAAATACATACAGTATGGACGTAAAGATGTAGTATGTTACTAAAAAGGTCCAAAAAGATAAGAAAAGTTTATTAAAACAAGCAAAAAGTAGGTATAAAGCGAAGTAAATGCTAATATTAGTGCCGACATAAAGAACCCGCCATTTTTTGCAGGAAATTACAGGAAAAGTATGGCGGGTTCTTTATGTCGGCACCTAATAAAAGAAATGTTCAGTACGATAATACGTAGTAAAAAATAAAATTTGGTACTAATTAGTGACAGTTGGAGTGAGATTGATATGGTACACGGTAAGCAGTGCTAACTGTGTATATTGCGATAAGATTTACAGCATCATTTGAGTACGAGTCTTATTCAAACTGTCCAAAAAGCCAAAGTGCTCCTTGGTGAACAAGTCATTGTTTGGCTGGGCTGAAATTTTGAAATTTAAAATTTTAGATTGTACTAGCGTTGAAATACTGTATCTTACTGGTATAGTATGAATAGGTAGTGATTTTACTATAGTTTTTCATAGTACTTTATAGTACAGTATATCACTTCATAGTGCAATATAGTACGTCATAGTGCAAAGTAGTGTTGTGTAACACTACAGTACCAAAGAAAGTTACAGTATCTTAAAATAAACCTACATCCATCAATATCCTTGATATTATACTCGATTCCGCATTCAATCGAGTTCAGTATCATACCGGTCTTCTTCATCAGATTCGGGTCAGTAGCCAGCTTTACAATACATTTTCCACTGAATTCTGGCGATTCTGCTTTGGAATAGGCTTCAATTACGGATTGACGCTTCACCAGTCCAACTTCTTTCGAGAAAAGTTCGGTACGATTCGGGGCGGGGTAAAATGAAATACAAGGGATGTTGAATTCTTTGAGTTCCCAAGCTATGTCAGCTGCCATGCGGTCTAGCTGAAAAATTTTTTTTTGAAAAAATTTTTTCACGATGTAAAAGTTTTTAAAAATTTAACGTTATCTCCTCCACCCTGCCTTATTTTTCTGTCTTACCCCGCCTTTTATCATTTTTTTTCTGTATATGTTAAACTTTACCTTATCATAACAAAACTTAGTATAACAATACATTTCACCCCAATTAGTGATAAAAATCCTTTTTTCCTTTTTATTTTCCGTTTGTTTCCCAAAAGCACGACCGGCTCGCTTTTCAAAACCCGAAAGAAGAGAGAAAAGGCCGTGTGACTCCGTGGCGCAACGGTAGCGCGTCTGACTCCAGATCAGAAGGTTGCGTGTTCGAATCACGTCGGGGTCAAAGTTGTTTTTTGGCATTTTTAACTGTTTTAATTTTGTAAAATGATTTTAAAAAGCATTGGCAGTTAATAATAAGGTATTATTTTCTAAATAGTTGTTGTTCTTTGGCTTTTTTTTACTTTTTAAGGGGGTTTGGCACTTTTTTTTTGGTAAAATACGGTGCATCGTTCTCCTAGGCTCTAAACTAATATTGCACCAAAAAAAAGTTTTTAAATTAAAAAGTTAAATGAAATTCTAAGCCTACCCCAGCCTTTCCAACGCCATAAGCGACATTAAAAGTGTAGGTGATGCCGCCGAATGAGCTGATATTGACTATGAAACCTTTTCCTCGTGGTACCATTAGTTTGGCCGCGTGTCTGGCACACCAATAGTGGCCTTTTAGGCCGGCATTGTTCAATGTGTCATAGATGCTTTCAGGCAGGTCGAAGAACTTGGTGTGCATGTATTTTAGCATGTACTGAAAAAAATATTTTAGGTATTAAATTTTTTAAATTTAAATTTTTAGCGAAAAATTTCAAATATTTTCGTTTAAAATGACAAAAAATGTCGTTTTTTGAAGACGTTTTAAAAAAAATATAAAAAATGGTACTTACTGGTACACCACCAAAGGCATTGTTGATTAAGATGTCTAGTTGGCCGTTTTGTTCGCGCTTAATTCGGTCAAAAACGTCGGCCGTTTCTTCGGAACTGTCATGATTACAGTATATTGGGTTGGCCTTTCCTCCTAATTGTTCTACCTAAAATCTTTTTTCAAAATGATTTGTTTATCAAATTAAAATTTTTTTGAAATTTGCCCTTGGGGCGATTTTTAAAATTTTTGCCATTTTAAGCTATATATAGTAAAAATTTTAAATTTATTGAAAAAAATATAAATTTACCTCCTTGGCCACGCTTTCCAATGTAGGCAACTTTTCTCGTACGGCTTGAATCATAGGATCTTCGTCTTCCATCCTCAAGGCGGTGAGGTAGACGATACAGCCGGCCCGGCCCAATTCCTTGGCGATTCCTCGGCCACAGCCACGAGAAGCGCCGGTTACCAACGCTACTTGTCCTTTTAGGGGCTGGTCGTCGGTCATGGTGGTGCTGAAAGTGAATTTTAAAATTGCTTTAGTCTATAGGTATTAGGGTAATGTTTAAGTAAGGCCCGGGGATTGATTATAATGGTAGGATTACTGTAACGCAAAATTGGTGTTACGGTAGTAGGGTTCTAGAAGGACTACAGAAAGTCTAGGATAAGGAACGATAAGGAAGGGGGTGGTGAAGTAAGCCAGGATTGAGTAGGTTAGGGTAGGGTGAGGTAGGGTATTGTTAGACATGAGGAACGGGCCGGGCCGGAATGTTAGGCTCGGACCGATCAAATTTTTGCTCAGGCCCGGCCCGCTCTAAATTTGGTTTAGGCCCGGCCCGTTCCTCATGTCTAGGTAGGGTAGGGTAGGGTAGGGTAGGGTAGGGTAGGGTAGGGTAGGGTGGGGTAGGGTAGGGTAGGGTAGGATATAGTACGGTAAGGTAAGATATGGCACGGTAGGGTAGCTTAGAGTATAGTATGATAGGGGTATGCTAGAGCCAGGTATGAAAAAGATGACAAAAGCTGTAAAATGACATTTTGTGACACGACAAGGTCAATCTGCTTAATTTTATATATTTATAGTCGTTTCGATTGTGCTAAAAAACGCTATGATAACAGTAATTTACAGTTTTTATGTTTCAAGTACACGCCCCTTAACTAATCTTTCACTGATAAGTGCAAAAAAACAGCTCGAAATTGTTTTTGAAACATTAAAATTTTATTTAAAAATGCATTGTAAATTTGTTATTATCGAAAACAAAACGTAGGCTTAAATGTCACGTTTTAAGCCTAAAAAAAAAAAAAAAAATAAAAATTATGTTTTTTCAAACAAACTTTAGGCCTCAAAATCATGTTTAGAATTTAAAAATCATGTTTTTAGCTTAATTTTAAGCCTAAAAGTCACGTTTTAAACCTAGATATCATGTTCTTAACCCAATGTTAAGCCTAAAAATGATCTTTTTAAGATAATGATAAGCCTAAAAAAAATTTTTTTAAAACCTAACTTTAAGCCTAAGAATCATCATTTTAAGCTATTGCTAAGCCTAAAACTCATCTTTTCAACCTAATGTTAAGTCTAAAACTGATCTTTTGCAACCTAATGCCAAGACTAAAAACGTGCTTTAAACTTAATTTTAAGCCTAAAAAATCATCTTTTTTAAACTTAACGTTAAGCCTATAAATTATGCTTTAAATCTAATTTTAAGCCTACAAATCGCGTTCCGAACTTAAAAAAATAAAAGATTTTAAAACTATTTTTAAGTTAAACATAACGGTCATCTTAAATTGACTAGGCGTATATATACATATATGCTTCAATATATATTATCTAGTATTTGCCTTTTGGCCTATCTTTAATATTTTCGGATATAATAAACAATAACAATACAATCATATTTCTTTACTTTACTATGAGATGGCATGTACAAATCTTACTTTGGACAATACTTTTCCGGGCTAATCCACATCTTTCCCCCTCCCCACTCTTCTTCAGTTATTTGGTCAGGCTTGATGCAAAAATAAATGACAAAACTTACCTCTTCTTATATAATACGAAGTAAAAAAGTTGACACAGTTACTACCCAACCATCACGCTGAAAAATCCAATCAAAGAACTCGTTGAAGCTAACTGGATTATACGTTTTGTCAAAATTTAAAACAATTCAAAGAAAATCGCGTGTTTTGATTAAATTCTACAAGTTCAAGGGTTGGCTTACTAGTTTATGCTAGCAGTAAGTGATGTTTCATGACGTAGGTTGTGTTAAAAGTGCATGTCAAAGAATTTTTGTTAAAGGTCAATCATCATTACGTATGGCGACTTTTTTTGAAAAAGTATTTGGACAATATATTCTACTTTACGCGACCTTGTCTGTCTAGGGCAGGATAGGGTAAAGTAGAGCGTGTTAGGTAAGGTAGGGTAGAGCATGGCTGGCTGTTTTAAATTGAGATAGATAGGTCAATGTAAGGTAAAGTATGATAGATACGGGAATGTAGAGCAGAATAAGGTTGAGTACGGTAATGTAGGGAAAAGGTATGTTAGGGAAAGGAAAGGTAGGGTACAGTAGGATAGGGTAGGGTAGGGTAGGGTAGGACAGAGTAGGGTTTGAAAAGCGATCCAACTTTTTTAAATACCGTAATTTAAAAGTTTTAAAACTGGTTTTTTTAAACATATTTCCGTCACTTTACATCTTTCATTAGTTGCTGCATATTTACAGCTGTTTTTTACTGCAATATTGTTAATTATCACAAGAACACATCTCAAACACGGTAACAATCATTACATTCATTGTACTTTTAGCTAGCTGTTTTTTTTACTTTTTACAGCGTTAATTCAATTTTTCGAAGAAATAAATTTCATTTAGCAAAGTTTAATTCAAACACAGACAATACCCGCTGATATTGTAGTAAAGTGCACAGTAGTGGTTGATCTTTAATTGGTTAAAGAGCAAAGTAACTGGTAAGGGTTAATAGAAATGGGTTGGTTAATGATACGGTAGGTAGGGTAGAGTAGGGTAGGGTAGGGTAGGGTAGGGTAGGGTAGGGTAGGGTAGGGTAGGGTAGGGTAGGGTAGGGTAGGGTAGGGTAGGGTAGAGTAGGGTAGGGTAGGGTAGGGTAGGGTAGGGTAGGGTAGGGTAGGGTAGGGTAGGGTAGGGTAGGGTAGGGTAGGGTAGGGTAGGGTAGGTTAGAGTAGGGTAAAGTATTGTAGGGTAGGGCAGGATAGGGTAGGGTTAGGGGTGAGAAAGGGGCTGTGTAGGCCCGGGTCGGCCTTGAGCATAGTTTATTACGCCGGACCTCAAAACCCGTTTGCTTTTTGAAAAATCGGGCTGGGCTTGCATGAGGTAAAAAGGAAAACAAGCCGGGGGTCACGCTTGGGCCTCGGGCCCCGGCCGGACCTTAAAAGTGGGCTTGGCTTGGTTCGTTTCTCACTCCTAGGTAAGGTAGGGTAAGGCAGGGTGGAGTGAGTGTTCGTACGGTAGGGTAACTTGGTGATTACAAAATTTATACCTAAAATAAAAAAAATTAAAGAAGTGATGCCAAAACATATGACATACCATAAATACCTTGCTTTTGCAATATTTGTTTACAATTTCACAACTGTGTCGATTGTAAATTTGCAAAATCTTACATTTTTTAACCTATTTGCTCGAAACTGATAAGAAAAAACTGCCAATTAGAAAAGAAATCACTGTAAATTTTATTGACTACTGATAACAAGTGCAAACAACTTTTTGTTGCTTTTTTGGTGGATAATTAATTTAAATTTTTTTTGAAAATTTTTAATTTCTGTTTTTTAAGTTAATTTAGTTGGACAGGGTAGAATAAGCTACGGTAGGGCTAGATGGGTAAGGTAAAGTTAGGTAGAATAGAGCCAGGCAGAGTAGGCTAGGGTAGGGTGGAGTAGGGCAGGGAAAGGTAGGGGTGAGAAACAGACCAGGCCGTGCTGGGCCCACTTTTGAGGCCCCTTTTTTTTTATTTTTAACTTGACCGGCCCGGCCCGAATTTTTTTTATGTAAACGGGCCCGGCCCGATTTAAGTTTAGTTTAAGGCCGGCTCGGCTTGGTCGTAGATTGTTTCTCACGCCTAGGGTAGGATAGGGTAGAATAGGGTAGGGTAGAATAGGGTAGGGTAGGGTAGGATAGGGCAGGATAGGGTAGGGTAGGATAAGGTAGGGTAGGGTAGGGCAGCTTACGATAAAGCACGTATTACAATATGAGAAAGGGGGGGGGAAAGAAGTAAAAAACTGGGTAAAGTACAAAAGTTTAATAGCTGTCATATATGCTTTGTGTGTGTTCTTGTAAGTGTGCCATTTACAATAGGCTATTGTAAAAGGTTTTATTGAGCTTTAAATGCATTTTTTGCTATTTTAAGACGTATATTTATAGCTCAATGGCAAAAAAAACGTCTGATATAGCGTACTTTCACATATTATTTACGTTTCTTCTTAACATAGTCATGGTTTGTTTTTAAGTGTGGGTATAAGCCGATTTTCAGTGATTATTATCGTATTTTTTTATCAGTTTTGTTTAAAATGGCTTACAAAACGGCTGGGACATGATAAAAGATGATATACCAAATTTTTGGTACTGAAGGTTTTAAAATTTTTTTTTTAAATTTATTTTAGGCGTTTGTAGGCTTATTTTTTAAGATTTACAGTTTTTAAATAAATAAATTTGAAAAGAGTGTTTGATAGGGTACTGTAATTTACTTAAAGAGGAAGTAAGATAGGGTACGGCAAGTTATTTAACTTTAGGAAACCTTAAGATCGAGCTACAAAGATACGATAAGATATGGTTGAGTAGGGTAGAGTTTAGTAGGATATGATACGGCATGACACAGTAGGTATAGTAACCCTAACGAACATCAAAGATAAGGCTAATTGTAAAATAAAGGTACGATAAGATATGGTTGAGTAAGGTAGGGCAGGGTAAAATACGGTATTTATAGAACTTAGGGAAAGGCTAAGATAAAGTAATGTAGTGTTTGAGTAAGGCTAAACTAAGGGTATTGTAAGATGGATTGAGTAGGGTATGGTACTGTAGGATAAAATGAAGTAAAGACCTCTAGGACAGAATAAAGTAGGGTGGGTAATAAGGTTTTTAGTCGTTTTTCTAGGCTTATTAAGCACCTTTAATAATGTTAAAAAACTTTTTTTATGTTTAAAACATAGGCTTACATTGGAATTCAGATTAAAAAAACTTGACAAATATTTATAAATACTGACACTGATACATATACTCAACAAAACCAAATACAGTCATACAAAAGAACATATAAGGACGGTGTAAAAAACAAGTTTTGTATACTCAATGACAGCATCGCAAGTAAAAGAGGCTATACTCAAAGGTAGACCTTATCAAAGATTAACAACTTTATATTATATTTATTATACAATGGCTAAATATGATACGATCTAAACTACTTTTAAGTTTTATATTTGTAAAATACGGTGTATGTATATGAATTGCATTTAACTGTCTAATACTGTAGAAACAGATTTTACAGAACGGTAAAGTGACATTACAATATATAGTGCAGCTTACGCATTGGTACATCAACATCTTTTGCAGTTATGTACAAAATTTAGTATTATGGCTCAAATATGTTTAGGGCAGGCATGGTCCTGGTTGTCAGAACCGTTCTGATAGCCACCTCTAGGATAGGGTAGTAAAGTAGTTTAGGTATGATGAAAAGGGCAGATTGGGGCAGTGTAATGTAATAATTACTAGAAAATGCATTTTAATTTTCTACTAGATGCCGACATAAAGAAATCGCCATTTTTACAGGAAATTACAGACAAAGTATGGCGGGTTCTTTATGTCGGCATCTAATACTCCTGTAACTGAACCAACTTTGAACCGTACGACTTTAGACTATGATATTATTGAACCGTACGACCTACTACTATGATATTATTGAACCGTACGATCTAATACTATGATATTATTGTCTACATCGCCAATCTATATGATCAATAAGTCCAACTTACTTTCCATGACAAAATAGGCTTGATCATTAAGTTCAATGCACTTAAACCATGACAAAATGGTCTTATAATATGCTAAGACTAATCTACGTTCGACCAAAAATAAACTGTCGGAACACACACATTATTAATCAAGTTTAAGAGGCTTTACAATATTCTTCGATTTTAATGATTATAATAATGCACTGATTTTCATAATAACATGATTAAGTGATGAAAAGTACGTTATAAAAAAATTAAAAAATTAACAAATTTTAGGCTTAAATAATCGTTTTTAGGCTTAACACACAATTTTGGCGTATCTACATATTTTCAAGATTATCACACAATTTTAGACTTAGATAAAGATTCTTAGGCTTAACACACAATTCCAGGCTTAAGTAAATGTTATTTAGGCTTAATCGTCAATCTTAGACTAAAGAACTGATTTTTAGGCTTATCACACAATTTTAGGCTTAATTACGTCTTTCTAACCCTAACACTTAATTTTAGGCTTAAGTACACACTTTAGGCTTAATTACATGTTTGTAAGCTTAACACACAATTTTAGGCTTAGGTGCAGATTTTTAGGCATATCAGAGATAGAGGGGTAGCGTAAGGCTGCTATAAGGCGAGGATAAGAGTAATTTAAAGCACAGCTAAGACTAGGGTAGAGCTAAGGTAAGGCTTCACTAAGACTAATGTAAGGCTAAGGTAAGTCTTCAGTAAACCTAGGATAAAGCTAAGATCTACTTGATAGCATTAAAATTATAAAAAAATAATGTTATACGACTAGTTAACACATGAACCACTACAACATTTCACAATTTTTGAACTCTACAGACAAAGCCTCTTAAGTTGACAGCCGTTTTTTATGTTGGGAATGTTCTTTGAAGCGATGGTCCGACTGATAGGGCCACAACTGATAACCACAGTAATAACAAAGCGAATAAAAGCCCGTTCGCAAGCAAGTTGTAAACAGTCGTGTGTAGCGAATGTGCTTGATAACACGGTTTATAAGTGGTGTTCTAAGTGGTTTTGGGCATTTTTAAAACTTAGAGGGGTTTAGGCTTAAAATAATGGCTATTTTTGAAGTTTGAAGAACTTTAGGCTTAAAAGGACGGCAATTTTTAGTGTTTAAACGAGATTAGAAAATAAAATTTTTGCGTTTTTTAGAGTTTAGGCTTAAAATAATGAAAATTTTTAGTGTTTAAAGCCTTTCAGGCTTAAAATTTGGCCATTTTGCAAATTTAAAAGAGTTTAGGTTTAATATTTTGGTTGGTTTTTAAAGTTGAAATGCATTTAGGTTTAAAAAGTTAGACAATTTATATATTTTTTAAGGCTTTTTAAGTTAAAACATTGAACATTAAGAACTATGAATGTTTTAGGCTTATGGTAATAGTCAGTTAGACTTAACTCAAAAATTTTTAACCAAAACTGAAAAGTTAGGCTTAGCAGTGTATTTTAGGCTTAAGCTATAACTCTTTTTAAGAAAAGTAAGGAGTTAGGCTTAGAAGTGTATTTTAGGCTTAAGATATAACTCTTTAAAAAAAAATAAGAATTTAGGCTTAGAAGTGTATTTTAGGCTTAAGATGAAATTCATTTTTGTTTTTTGGACATGGGTTATCGTATAAAATGTCATTTTTTGAAATAAAAGTAAAATATTTAGTGCCGACATAAAGAACCCGCCATACTTTTCCTGCACTTTCCTGTAAGAAATGGCGGGTTCTTTTTGTCGGCACGTAATACATTAAAAAAATTTTTTTGAGAATATTACAGTACTTTTTAGCCTGATATTAATGAGAAGTACATCATATTTTTAGTTGGTACTATAGAAAAAGTACTGTCTACTAAAAATTACAGTATACCAAAAAGTACAGTATATTTACTGCCTTTATTACAAAAAATTTTTCCAATTTTTTCGTGTTACAGTACACCATTACAAGCCCATAACAATATTTTTAGAACACAACAACCATGGAAGGTATTCGAATCTTCTTCCAACGTCCCTTCGACTATCAGTACGCTCGGGAGTACAGTGGTGCCATTATGACACCAACGTTATGGGTTACAGCCGCCTATGTCACATTGGTGTTTGGTACTAAGGCTTATATGAAAGACAAAAAACCATTTGATGTGAGTTTATCTTTTTTTACATTTTGAGTACTGTGAAAAATGGAATACTGTAACTTTTAAATTTTTTCTGTTTAGTACTGTAACTAAATGTATTATTATACTGTAGGCTAACTTTTTACAGTTTGATAAGTTATACAGTAGCCAAAAACTGAAAGATACTGTAATTTTAAAACTTTTTTAAAATTTTTAAAAAATTTTAAATTTTCAGTTACGCCGCCCCCTCCAAATCTGGAATCTGAGTCTAGCCCTATACAGTGGAGCTGCCTTCTTAATCGCGACCAAAGAAATCTTGACAACATGGTTCAATAAAGGATTGGCAGCCACCTACACCGACATTGACAGCTTCTACAATGGTACTTGTGGTGCTTGGGCCTACCTGTTCATGCTCTCGAAATACTACGAATTGGGTGATACCGCGTTCCTGGTACTGAGGAAACGACCATTGATGCTGATGCACTGGCTGCACCATCTGACAACGTTGAACTTGGTACTGGCTGGATATCATTATGATACTCATTTGTACAGTTGGTTGCTGTGGATGAATACTTTGTAAGTATTGAACTAGAATTGTCTTACTCTTTATCATTAGGGCTATGGCTAGAGCTTGAGCTTAGACTTAAGATTAGGCTTAGGCTTAGGCTTAGACTTAAGATTAAGCTTAGGCTTAGGCTTAGGCTTAGGCTTAGACTTAGGCTTAGACTTAGGCTTAGGATTAGGTTTATTCTTAGGCTTAGGCTTAAACTTAGGCTTCTTTTTAGTCTTAGGCTTGAGCTCAGGCTTAGGCTTAAAATTAGGCATATTCTTAGACTTAGGCTTGCGCTAGGGCTAAATTTTAAGCAAAATAAAAAGTTTTTAACTTTAATATTTAAAATTTACAGTATCCACACCCTGATGTACTCCTACTACTTGCTAGCCAGCTGTGGTTACCGTCTACCAGCCGGCTTTGCCAAGAAGATTACCACAATGCAAATCATCCAATTCTGCATCGGCTTATCAATCCTAGCTTACATCGGTGTTCTGAAGCTGTTCACAAACTCAGAAACCCACTGTAACTGGCGTATGTGGTGGGGTACTGTATTCATGGAGATACTGTACTTGACCTTATTCTCACACTTTTACTACGTCAGTTATATCAAGGACGGTGGCAAGAAGTTTGTCCGGGATCAGAATGAGAAGAAGATGGAAAAAGCGCAATAACTTTCTTTACACTGTGTTTGAACTTTAAGTTTTGTACTTGAATACTGTATTTTGACATATATTATAGATTTTTAATAAAGTTGTATGTTAAACTTGTATATATACTTATATATATATGTTTATTAAAATTGATTTTACAGTAAGAAACGTGGTCATCAAATGAAATATGACAATATTAACATATATGTAGGTAAAGCTGAGAATATGATGTGTGTAGCTCTTCATCAACAATATCCACTTAATAAGCTCTCAAATTCGTACAGCAAAACAAATGTAAAACCACATTGTAGAGGTCGGAAAAAAACAGTAATAACCGATGAACCTTCTGACAGCATCGATGGAAAATTATTTGGCGAACAGAAGTCGTGTACTGCATCTGAAATGACATTTCTTTTAACATATTCAAAAGTACAAAAAGCAATGATACTGTAGTAATAATAGCGTTTAATAACAAACGGTAGAGCTGAGGTAAAGTAAGATAAGATAGGTGAGAACATAGCACGAGCGCACCCTTTTGGTCCCGCCACGACAACGAAGCTGTAGGCAAACCTGGTGTAACGCTAAGATAAGGTAATAGCGTGTTAAAGTACGGTTAAGGTAAAAGCAAGGTCGGTTAAGTTAAAGTAGGATAAGGTAAGATAAGTTACGGTAAGGCAGGATAGGATTGACTAAGATAAAAAGTAAGGTAAGATTAGGTGTGGTAGGGTAAAGTAGGGTAGCAAAGGATAGAGCAGGGTATGACAGAATTGGAAGAAGTTCGACAAGGTAAACTAGGATTAGGTAGGACGGAGTAAGTTAAAGTATAATAGAGTAAGATAGGATAGGGTAGGGTAGGGTAGGGTAGGGTAGGGTAGGGTAGGGTAGGGTAGGGTAGGGTAGGGTAGGGTAGGGTAGGGTAGGGTAGGGTAGAGTAGAGTAGGGTAGGGTATATTGGATAAGAATGCCTAATCAATGTATAAAAACTATTCAAAAATATGCACCCTCCCATCCCCTCAAAAAATCTTAAACCCTGCCAAACTATCCAGCCTTAAACAAATTAAAACAGTCTCCAATCTCCTTCCTCTCCTTTCTACTGCAATATACTATGCATCTTACAAGCCTAGTAGTACTAGAACGCTATGTTTACATAAATTAACTCGATATGATAGGCCGCTTTTCACACATATTATAATTCCCGAAATTATACATTTGAAAACAGAAAACCTCGAATTATGTTTGGGTATCAAATGACAATCGCGTGTTAATTACCCATAGAATGTAATTACAATAAGCATAGTGTTAAAACGTAAACTTACTGAGTAAGCTGTATTATAATAGGTTTGGGCACGAGAATTGAGGGGAGGGGGGGGGAAGGTACAAAAAGGAAAGGAAGCGAGGGGTAAAAAAACGAGAGGAAGGGGGGGGTTGAAAAACGGAATGAGGGGGGGGAGAGCGGGAGGGGGAGGGGGGAGGTACAAAAAGGAAAAGAGGGGGGGGTAAAAAAAGCGAGAGGAAGGGGGGGGTTGAAAAACGGAATGAGGGGGGGGAGAGCGGGAGGGGGGAGGTACAAAAAGGAAAAGAGGGGGGGGTAAAAAAGCGAGAGGAAGGGGGGTTGAAAAACGGAATGAGGGGAGGGGGGGGAGTAAAAACAGAAGGAGGGAGAGAGTTAAAAACAAAGAGGGGAGGGGGGAGGGGTAAATGCTTTTCCAATTGTTCTTCAAAATCTTTAAAATGACACCCCTGGCTAGTAAAGAAATTTTTATTCTTGCCCTTTCCCCTTTGATTTTCTAAACTAAGCGTAATCTTCACTCTTCCCCCCCCTCCCTATTTTCAACTTTCTTCCCCTCTTCTCTTGCTCACACCACTTCTACCCGCTCTGCCCTAACTATAATACCTAACTACAGTTGGCAACATTACTACACAATACTGTTCAGCACACTGTCGTTTACCAACTGAGTGCTATAGGTCAATAAGCCATTTTAAAATTAGCTTTAATTTTTAAAATTTTTAAACTGTTTACGTAAGTAAAAATGTAAAAATGACAAATGTTGGTATTTTAGGTAACATATTTCAGTGTAATGTGGATTGTTGCGTGTTCACAGTAATTACGTCCAAGTATTCATGTTTAGTATAAAAAATATTATAATCTTTGCTCTGTAACATGGTTTGTAATCAATGTTTTGGCCGGACCGGTCCGGAGCCTTTTTTACTGGTCCAGCGACTTTCGAGTCCTCCAAACTTTAATTCAAGTTCGGCCTAGTTTAAAATTCAAATTTTTAGGTTTAGTCCGGTACAAACCAGAATTTTCGAATTCCGTCCAGTCCACCCCCAACATTTTTTGGGCCCGTTCCGGTCCAAACCCAAAATTTTCGAATTCCGTCCAGTCCACCCCCAACATTTTTAGGTCCGGTCCGGTCCAAATCCAAAATTTTTGTGTCCGGTCTACGCTTCAAATTTTGGGTCCGGTCCAGTCCAAACTTTAAATTTTTGGATTTGGTAAGGTCCGAACTTAAAATTTTCAGGTCTGATCCGGTCCAAACCCAACATTTTTAAGTCCGGTCCAAACTTCAAACTTTTTGGTTCGGCCTGGACCAAATTTTAAATTGTTAGGTCCGGTCTGGTTCAAACTTCAAATTTAACTCAAAATTTTTAGGTCCAGTCCGGTCCAAACTTCTAAAGCATTTAACAAAAAAACTTTTTTTTAAAATTTTTTATTTTTAAAAAGTATTTTTAACTATTAAAAACTGTAAATTCAAAAACTTCAATCTTTTTCAAAGGTCACATATGCTTGCTGGCGCCTACGACAATGCGTGTCTGACGATTAACATAATATTAAAAAGCGTATCAAGTAAAAATAGTGTAGAATTTGCACATTTTAACTTTTTTCAAACGAATGTCATTAACATAAAGGCTTTTGAATCGTATAAAAAGATCCCATGTTCAAGGACACTAACCAGTTGATATTGTTGTACATTCGTTCAGTAGGTACTAGCCCGGAAAAAAAGTTGTTTTAAGTGGTGACCTTGCTCTACTGAGTACACAAGATAATATTATTGGTAGTTCTAAACTTAGACATTAGAACTACTAAATTTATAAAGCCTACAACATTATAGTAGAATAGTGATACTAAAAGTACTCTTCTGCTCTTAGTAGTGTCACAAGACAACAATGGCAATAAAAAACAAAGAATATGTGCTGATTTCTTCAAGTAGAAGACCTGACTGTTTAGGTATGTAACTTTTAATACCCTACCCTACCCACCCTATTCTACTACCTTGCTATCCCCCTCTAGTACATTCACTGTAACCTGTTTTTACCGCCTCCGTCCTCTCTTTTATATTGTCTTAAAGTACCCTTCCCGTACTCTACTCTTACTCGTACTCGTACTCTACCTTACCTTACCTTACCTTACCTTACCTTACCTTACCTTACCTTACCTTACCTTACCTTACCTTTCCTTACCCTATCTTATCCTACTCTACTAGTTTACTTCATCTCCTCCCCCTCTTTTTTCCTAACATACTTTATTTTAAACACCCCTTCCCTTTTCCTTCATCATGCCTAACAGTACTCTACCCGTACACTACCCGTATTCAAGCTTATCCTATCTTATCTTACCTTACTATATAATTCATTATCTTACAGTACACCACCCGTACTCTACCTCCCCTACCCTATCATATCCTACTCTATAATTCATTATCTTACTGTACTCTACTCGTACTCTATCCGTACTCCACCCGTACTCTAGTTTACTTTACCCTCAATTGATACCCTCAAATATACCTTTACCTTCTGCCATTTTCATTTACTATATATACATACATACAAGTCTTACATTAAACCTTCTAGGTGCCCTGCTAAAATTCTTGGCAGCATGCATCGCGTGCCTGTTACTAATAGCCATCGTGCGTAACAAGCAAACCGTCCAACCATACTCACCTCGTTTTTATCAGTCGGATAGCAGTAAAGTACAAGTGCCAGGTTTAACAAGAAGAACAAGTAATAATACCCATAAACCAACCATAGTTGTGGTGACTCCAACTATGCAACGACCGGAACGACTAGCGGATTTAACCATGTTGTCACAGACTTTGAAGCAAGTAGAAAACATTTATTGGATTGTAGTTGAAGATGGCTATTATCCTAAAGCGATAGTAAAAGACTTGCTAGATAGGAGTGGAATTGAGTACACATATCTAGCTACACCACATTTGGGATTGCCTTGTAAGTTGATAATGAATTATATTGTGAGGAGGGGGGGGAGGGGAAGACGGGGGGAGGGGGTGGGGAGGAGAAGAGGGGGGGGAGAAGAGGAGGAGAAGAAGCGGGAGAGAGAGGGGGAGTAGAAGCATAGCCCGGGCCTACAATTAGAGTTCTTTCCAGGCCAAACTCAAAAGGCAAAACTTTGCAAACAATCCCGCCAGATCGGCCTTAAGCTAAATTTAGGTTGGACCAGCCCTTGATTTTCTAGTTCAGCCTGAAAAGTCCGGACGGTTTGCACGTAAAAAGAAATTTGGGCCGGGGCCGGCCTAAGATAAAAACAAAAACGGGCCGGGATTAAACCTTAATCCCAAAGCTTGAGTATCTTCTACTCCCCCTCCTTCCCAATCTGTTTCTCTCTCTCCCCCCCCCCACCCGTGCCTTGTTATATAACATTCAAACTTCAAAAAACGACCTAACATAATCATTTTTATAATATCAAACCTACCTTAATTCAGGCCGCGGCTGGGCCCAACGAAATCTAGCCCTAGCGTTCCTCCGAAAAAACAAAAACAAGTTCAACAAAAATGACATTATATACTTTGCCGATGATGACAACGGATATGATCTACGCCTTTTCGATGAATACATTCGAAATGTCAGAAAAGCTGGTGTATGGGCAGTAGGAATACCGGGCAACGCCTTAATTGAAGCTCCTTTAGTCGAAAATGGCAAGGTTGTGGCATGGCATTCGGCTTACAAACCGGAGCGAAAGTTTGCAATTGATATGGCTGGATTTGCTCTGAATTTCAAGTTGGTCACTAATTCAAGGTAGGTTTAATATAGTGAGTTTTTATTACGGTTTTAGTACTTAAAAAGACTTATTCTTATTTATTTCTCTTTTCAAAGTTACAACTGGTGACAAAAATAATATTAAGGAATATATTAAATCAAGTTTCCATCTCTGTCACCGAGGTATTGATCTCGCCAGTTGCCAATGGAGGGAAAGCAGTTTCCATCCTGTTGTATGTCCGCATCCATTCAGCCAGTCTCTTCCACACAGCTTCACGAACTTGTCCCCCCCCCCCATCTCATTTTAGGTCGTCCAACTTTTCTTTTTCCCTCCGGTTTCCAATTTAACACCTTCCAGTCCATCCGTTCACTTCCTGCTCTTCAAATTTTTGCCGCCATCTTCTATTTTAGTGTGATTGCCACTTCCACCACGTCCCTCAGTTTAGTCCGCGCCCTGATTCGTTTGCTCCTCACTTCATTCCGTAGCGTTAGACCCAGCATCGCTCTTTCTATTCTTCTTTGGCATCGCTCGAGCTTCTATTTGTCCGCCAACCTTAGTGCCCAGCTTTCTGCACCTACAGTGGAACTCCTGTATAACGAATCGCTCGGGGACTTGAAATTTGTTCGTTATACAGGAGTTTTAAATGCACTGTGTAGTGGTAGACGGGGATTCAAAAGTTGTTCGTTATACGGGAGTTTCGTTATAGAGGAGTTCGTTATACAGGAGTTCCACTGTATATGTCATCTCTGGTAGCATGCACGTATTGAAATACCTTCTCTTGACCCATACCTGTAAATAGCTTTCACATCAGGTTTGTTTTACACCTTTTGCAATATTCATTGCGGGATTTGAGTTGGGCCGAGTATCTTTCGGTTAGACCTCACCACTTGGGTCCACATGTGCCAGCCTGGCTTCTTTACAACTTTGTCTGGGGAGCTAGATAGATGCCGGACCAAACCTAGTAAACAGTATTCCAGGTCTATTGTACTACATAAGTTTATAAAAAAACCTAAAAACACATTCAAAACCATATCAAAACAGAGTAATCTTTATCAATATTTCAGTGCTGCATGGTCGCTCAAGTGTGCGGGTAACTTCCCAGAGAACTGTTTCCTCAACCAACTCAATCTAGAACGTGAAGATCTAGAGCCGTTTGGTTATGAAAGCGAAACAAAGCCAGTGTACGTATGGCATCGTAAAACAGCACCAGCCAACAACGAACCCTTTGATTTGATGGGGTATCAAGTGGAAGACCGCTTGCCTACGAACAAACAGTGTAAAATGTACAAAAACATCCACTTGATGTCGTATCAGCAAGTCAAGAATGTGGCTAACAAGTTCGGTGTTAAGGAGTACGATTACAACGAGTTGTATGGGGATGTATAGTATAGTATATTGAAGTATTAGAGTACATATATATATCAAATGTATTGAAAAGACTATACATTAGGTTGTTCAAATAATTCTGAGCCCCTATCAAATCAATTTTTTGGGCTTAAGGGGCACATAATTATTTGAAAAAGCTAACATATCATATGGTTCTGCATAGTAATATTAGGTTGTTTAAGTAATTCTGTGCTCCCAACCAAATCAATTTTTTGGGCTTAAGGGCACAGAATTATTTAAACAAGCTTTTTTTCAAATATCATATGGTTCTGCATAGTAATATTAGGTTGTTCAAATAATTCTGAGCCCCTATCAAAGACAATTTTTGAGATTTGAGAGGGGGGGGGGGAGAGTAAGGTAAAGTAGATTAGGGTAGGATAGGGTAGGGTAGAGTAGGGTATTGTGGAAAAGAAAGGGCACAGAATTATGTGAACACAACTTAATATATAGCCTTTTCAGTACAACTGAAGTCATAATCATATATTGCGGGTCTTACAGTAGTTTTTAAACGTGTATTGTTGTATTATATTGTTAATAATGTTGTTCATGATGTTGATATAATAAAAATTTTATTCATAAAAGCTTTTGTTACACTATAATAGAGCTGCAAAAAAAATTAATTGATGAAAAACTAAAGTCCGAAAGCTTAAAAAACCAATCAATTAAGAGTGTTTTGGTCACAATGTTAACTACCCTATCCTACAAAACATCAAGAAAGTAAAAAAAGCAACATTAATGTTTCGAGTCATGTTACAAATATCTTATTGAATCTTTATATAATATTAAAATATAAGAAATAAATTTTTTATCCGTATTGTTTGTACCATTACAATCGTATCTATTGTACCATGACAAACAATGGTGTTTATTATAATATAAGAAAAAAATAATAAGTTTTAAAGCCGTTCAATTGGTCTTATGCTAGAAAAAGTACACGTGAACTACCATACAAATATAAAAGTGCATCACGTGAATAACATGAATACAGAAATGTCACTGTTGATTCTTTTGGACTGATTTTTCTGAGCGGGGAGGGGGGAAGCAAAACATTTTTTTGAATTCGAGTGTACAGGTAGCACCAGAACTGTCATTTTTCAAAAAAAAATTTTTTTTTAGTTTTTTAGGTAAAAGTGTTACCTGCCTGTTGATTTTTTTTGAGATCAGCTCAAGAGAAGTGAATCTATCACTATTTACTCACCTCCACCCTCCTCCTGTCCTCCTCACCCCGCTCCTCCAACTTCCTAACTACGTCTCTGCTTGAATACTGTAACTTTTAGTATCTACACCTCTAACCCCTTGGCTATTTTCACAGCATCCGTGTAGCTCATGTCGTGAATATTGAAAAACCTGTCGCAAAACACTGATTTAGGTAGCCGTGCTTCAACGTTATACCCGAATGTAGAGTAATCAATGAAGTTTGAGTCGGCCGTTTTTCGATGCCATACTAAGATCTCACTATCTGTATGACCAAAAGGCTCTAAATCATTTAGAGAAATGCCAAGTTGAGATAGAAAACAATCTTCAGGCATGGTTCCGGCGCAACGTAGATCAAATGTGGCACTGAAATAACGTTTTTATTAGTTTTGATGCTTAGGCTTATAAATGAGCTTATAGTTGAAGGTTTCAAGCTTCAGAATGATTTTAGGTTCAAAGGTTTTTAGGCTTAAAAATAACTCAACAAGAGGAGGTTTTTAGGCTTAAAAATGGCTTTATTATCAAAGGTTTTTAGGCTTACAAATAACCTGGAATATTAAGTTTTTTAAGCTCAAAGATAACTAAACAGGTGGAAGTTTTTAGGCTTAAAAATGGCCTTATAATAAAAGGTATTAGGCTTAAAATTGACCCTATACTTGAAGGTTTTAAGCCTAAAAATGACTTTATAGTTGAAGGTTCTTAGGCTCAAAAATGGCCTTATAATTTAACGTTTTTACTTAAAGTGACCCTATATTTGAAGGTTTTAAGCTTAAAAATGGCCTTATAATTTAACGTTTTTAGGCTTAAAAATGGCACTATAACCGAACGTTTGTAGGCTTAAAAGTGACCATATCTTTAAAAATTTCTAACCTTAAAATAAGCTTATAGTAGAAAATTTCAGGCTTAAAACGACCATTTCTCCTACACATTTAAAAACTGAAAAAAAAGTTCTGCGTCTGACGGGAATCGAACCCGTGTCGATTGCTTGGAAGGCAACCATGCTGACCATTACACCACAGACGCGCTTAAACCTCTTTCAATTGACGATAGATATCTATATTTGGGTCAAAAGACAAAGAGTAAACTCGTATTGTGGTCAGTATATCATTTTGCGCTAGCGGAAATCAACCGCCCTTTTTTACTAATGACATATTAGCGGATTCGCAAGGGTATAACTGAGGATTTCACGGCTATTAAGAGAAGGTTAGGCAAGCGCGTCTGTGGTGTAATGGTCAGCATGGTTGCCTTCCAAGCAATCGACACGGGTTCGATTCCCGTCAGACGCAGAAAACTTTTTGTCTTTCGTAGTAATACTAGTAATAATGTCTAAAATTGTGTGCCTAAGCCTAAAAAGTGTACTTAAGCCTAAAATTATGTGCCTAAACCTAAAATTAACTGTCTAAGCTTAAAATGTGTTTCTTAGCCTAAAGTATGTACTTAAGGCTAATATTGTGTTTATAAGCCTAAAATTGTGTCTAAGCCTAAAAAGTGTACCTAAGCCTAAAATTGTGGGTCTAAGCGTAAAATGTGTATCTAAGCCTAAAATGTGTACTTAAGCCTAAAATCAGCATGTTTGCCTTCTAAGCAAACAACATGGGTTTTTGCCGTCAGATGCAGTAAGTTTTTAAAGTTTCTTGGTTCGCTATTTTTAATGGGTATGGGTGTACACAGATTTTAATGGGTATGGGTGTACATTATTTTAAATAGATATGGGAATACACAGTTTTTGATGGATATAGGGGTATACTATTTTAATAGGTATAGACATAATAACGAAAAAAAAATATTTTACTTCGCATTACTTACTTTGACTTTAATACCAAGTCTAAATTAATAGCAAAGCCAGCCATATCAGTAGCAAACTTTCGGGTCGGCCGCCATGCTGTTAACCATCCAACAACTTTTCCATTTTCTACTTTAGGAGCTTCTACTGGACCATGCTTTCCAAAGCCTGGTAAACCTAAAAATATACACCATACTACTCACTACAACTCAAGAATAGACAGTTAATAAGCCTTGAAGATACTGTAGAAAAAAAACTTAAAAATTTTAAAGATATGGATGAAGTTGACGTATTTTAAGTACCATATTACTCACCCACAGCCCAAATCCCAACGTTCTTAACATTCCGTACAAAATCATCAAAAAGTCGTACATCATAGCCATTGTCATCATCAGCAAAGTAAATTACAGCGTTTTTGCCAAACTCATTTCGACGCTTCCTCAGGTACTTTAATGCCAAGTTTCTGTGAGCCCATCCTCTACAAGGTAGCCCATTGTTGGTGGTGTGAAGACAAGTGTATGGTATGCCCGACCGATTCAGTAGCTTTTCAACTATTAAAGATGTTGATGTGCCATCTTCAATTAGTACCCAATGAATATTTTTTAGGTGGGATAGGGTTTGGGATAGCCTAAAGTATTGAATTTTAATCTTGTTAAACATAGCTAAAAAATTATCATACTCGTTTGTGCCCTACCGTACCGAACCGTTCCGTGTCGTACTGGACCGTTTTAGGCTTTACCGGACCCGATGCATCCGGGTCTTACTCTACCTTACTCTACCTTATCCTACCTTACCTTACCTTATGCTACCTTACCCTACTCTACTTTACCATACCTTATCCTACCCTACCCTATCTTATCCTGTTTTACCCTACGTTACTCTACCCTACCCTACCTTACTCTACCTTACCTTACCCTGCCTTACCCTACCTTGCCCTACCTTACCCTACCTTATCCTACTTTACCCTCATTTTAACTTACAGTATCTTGCTCTTCTCTACCATTCTTAATCCTAGACTTTCTGTAGTTTAGCTGGAACACTTTTTTCTACTCTATTCTTCCCTATTCTACTATTATATAGTATGTGTCATGTAAGAAGATGTGAAGACGTATTTTACTAAAAAACCCTCATGATAACATAACCTTACATTGTCAAATCGGCCATTCTTTCCGGGCGTTGTCGTGTTGGAGTGATAAAGATGATTTGTTTGTTGGTTTTGTCATCTTTTAGTGGCATATTTTTAACCTTATCAGTAGTTTTTTTTGCACTCCATATGGTAGAAGTTAAGTCATAGTTTTTAGTCAAAAGAGCGAACTTTGCTGACCGTATATGTCGTGTTGCTAGCTCACTACCAGTCGATATTTGAAAGATTTGAAAGGCTAAGCAGAAGGAAGCCAAGGTCAACACTAATGCTACCTTTTTATCTCAAAAGATACAGTATACGTTACAAATGGTGTCAGACAAAAAAACCTTAATATAATCCCCTACCCTACCCTACCCTACCCTACCCTACCCTACCCTACCCTACCCTACCCTACCCTACCCTACCCTACCCTACCCTACCCTACCCTACCCTACCCTACCCTACCCTACTCTACCCTACCCTACCCTACCCTACCCTACCCTACCCTATTAGCTTTTATAAAAAATGACATACCCATTTTGACAAACTTAAAGTTCAAATTTCCGCAGGGCAGACCGTTGCAAAGGTCAACAGTTTTGTCTGCGAATTACTTCCAAAAACCACTGATAAATGATATCAAAGAACAGGCCTGCTCGATCGAATTAGACCTTATAATGAAGAATTGTAGTTTAAAACTAGTAATGATGTAACGCCTATCTCTGACCACACCATTCTTACAAAGTAAAAGGTGGAATAGCAAATTGATGACAAATCACAGTTTTTAAGGTTTTAAAGTGTAAACCATAGTTTATGGCGCAGTGAAAACAAAAATATAGCAAGAAATTTGTTTACAAAGTAAAAAAAGGCAAGAATTTTCTTTACAAAACCAAAAATAGCAAAAACTTTCTATACAAGTCTAAAAATAGCAGTAACTTTCTCTACAACACAGAAAATGGCAAGAATTTTCTTTACAAAACATAATATAGCAAGAACTTTCTTTACAATACAGTAAATGGCAAGAACTTTCTTTACAACACAGAAAATAGCAAGAACTTTCTTTACAACACAAAAAATGGCAAGAACTTTCTTTACAAAACAAAAAATGACAAGAATTTTCTTTACAAAGCAAAAAGTAGCAAGAACTTTCTTTACAAAACAAAAAGTGGCAAGAACTTTTTTTACAAAACTAAAAATAACAAAAATTTCAAAAAATTGAAAGTCATTTTAAAGTGCATTTCTAAAAATTAAATTTTTTTTTAATTTTGCTTATTTTGACAATTTCTCTACCCAGAAGAAGGTCGGTTGATATTGTAAATCTTTGTTAAAATTATCGACCACATTTTCTATTTGACATGACTTCCGATGACTCTACAGAAGCATCTGTAAATTCTACAGTAGCGTCTGTAAACTCTACAGTAGCGTCTGTAAAATCTACAGTAAGAAAGCATAAGAATCCAATTGAGGATAAACAGGATTCACTGATGGAGCTTATTCGAAGTGCCGAGTTTACCTCAGCGTTCTACCCTGAAGGCATCCGACCAAATGATTTCGGTTTTGTTCACTTTATGGTCAAGAAAAGCCTTGTCAAAGTGTTCGAAGTGAAGTCCGTCAAGCTGAACAATACTGTAATGTAAGTTTTTGAACATATTTTACTTATGTTTGGTTTAGCACAAATTTATGGATTTAGATACGCAGCCCAGGCTTAAGTACACACTTTAATCCTAGGCACACAATTTTAGGCTTAGGTACACAATTTTAGGCTTAGGCACACAATTTTAGGCTTAGATACAGATTTTAGACTTAAATACACATTTTAGGCTTAGGAACACAATTTAGGCTTAGGTATACAATTTTAGGCTTAGATACACATTTTAGGCTTAGTTGCGCAATTTTAGGCTTAAGAACACATTTTAGGCTTAGACACACAATTTTAGGCTTAGGAACACAATTTAGGCTTAGGTATACAATTTTAGGCTTAGGTACACAATGTCAGGCTTAGGTACACATTTCAGGCTTAAGTAAACATTTTGGGCTTAGGTAGATAGTTTTAGGCTTAGCGTGCAATCTTAGGCTTACGTAATTTTAGGCTTACAACATAAATGTTGAGAACGCTGGAGTTAAGTATGGTTGAATAGGGCTACTTAAAACTAGGCTAAAACAGGGTATTGTAACTTTTTTAAATGTTTTCATTTTAGCTATAACAGGCACAAACTTAATAAGCACTTTAAAAACACTAGTCGAGTTTTATGGTCAAGTGAAATGGAAGAGGATCTATACGTGATTGGAGACATGGAGGATGGGTAAGAAAAATTTTGTAAAGAAAGTTCTTGCCATTTTTGTTTTGTAAAGAAAGTTCTTGCTATTTTTTGTTTTGTAAAGAAAGTTCTTGCCATTTTGTGTTTTGTAAAGAAAGTTCTTGCCATTTTTTGTTTTGTAAAGAAAGTTCTTGCTATCTTTTGGCTTGTAAAGAAAATTTTTGCCATTTTTCGATTTGTAAAGAAAGTTCTTGCCATTTTTTGTTTTGTAAAGAAAGTTTCTTCTATTTTTTATATTTCACCCATAAATTTGAATTTTCAGATCAACCGTAGTAGTTGCTAATGGTAAAGTATCTCCACACCCTTTGGCCAACGTCTTAAAAAGGCACTTTGTTTTGTTAAAAGGAAATTTGCATATTATCGACCAATATGGAACGGCATTGCCCTATGACAATCTGGATGCGGGCTTCATTTCGAATAACATTACCAACTGGAATTTCAACTTTACCAGTCGACCAGACAAAGAGACGGTCTATGCGGTAAACGACGATTGTTACTATGCCAATAGAGCAGCTGCTAAGTGGGTATATTACAAGTGTCCAACGATGAAATTGGTGTTCATGCCGAACAAGGATGGCAGTGCTACCGATTACTACAGTTTGGTGGGTTATTTTAATTATTTTAGGCTTATAAAATACTTATTTTGAACTGAATACATGATATTGAGGCTTAAAAATGTTTTTAGGTTTTGAATTTTAGTCTAAGAACCAAGAATATATCTTGAAACGTAAATTTTAAGCTTAAACTCTGTTTTTTAGGCTTAAAAACGCCATTAGGCTTTAGGTATGACATTTAGGCTTAAATTTGGTTGCTTTTTTTAAAGTTGAGTTTTTAGGCTTCGAACATATTGTTAGGCTTAAAGGATGATTTTTAGGCTCAAAAATGTTTTTAAGCTTAAGATCTAACTTTTAGGCTTAAATTTTTAAGCTTTGTTTTAAATTTAATTTTTTTGGCTTTCACCACATTTTTAGGCTTAAAAACTTTCTTTCAGGAGCATTTAGTGAGTGTGAGCAAAGACAATCACAGCTTTGATCAACGTATGTTACAAAACACTTACATCAAGGTAATTAGCAGTAGGCAGGTGGAGGAAACTGAGATATCGTAAGTAGAATTTTTTTCAATTTTTTAAATTGAAAAAAAATAAATTAAAATTTTTTTTTATATTATAAGCAATAAAATTCCAGAGACCATCCCATCATTAACATTGTTTATGTATTCATGGCGACGCTTCTTCTGTGCATCGCCATTGCCTGCTACTTTGCTTACCGCTGTATTGCGCCTCGAATCAGAAAATTAGTTCAAGAGCGGACTTTGGTAAGCCTAAAATTTTTTAAAAAGTTTTGAAATGATTTTATTTTTTTTTATTTTTTTAATTAAAAATTTAATTTTTAAAAATTTTTAAACCAAAAATTTAACTTTTAAAAATTTTGAATCAAAAACCTTGAATTTTTAAAAAAATCTCGATTTTCAGTACGCAATCTCACATCAAGAAGCTATAGTCAACTTTTTGGCCGAGTTGACAAGTCATGGTAAGTCTTATAAGGGAAAAGCAAATAGAAAGAGGGTAGGGGTATTGGACCAAGAACTGAGACCTATATCATGTGAAAGAGCGTGAAAAGTTGTTATAAATGTGTTTAATTTTTTACTATGATAGAAAAAGGCATGTGATAAAGTGTCAAAAATTTGTGACGAAGTGTCAAAAACTAAAAAAACAGGAGAAATTTGGCTCGGCCGCGGTCGGTTGTTCATGCCTGTGTTTGGCGGAACATTTCCTTTTTTCATTGAATTGGGGTTAATTTCGAAGTCCGTCTAAACTTTTTTTTTTAGATTTTTATGGCCTAGCCTAGCTATTTTTAAGGTTAGGCTTGGCAGTTTTCTCATCTTTCTGCAAAACAGGAAAGATATTTATTTCTCGATGTTGTTTTAGATATTTAGCGTTTAACTTGTGTTTTATCGTTTTATAATGAAGTAAACTGGTAAAGCTTGATCTAAAACTATATTTTAGTTTATTTTTAAAAGATTTTGATGTTTTTCGTGTAGAAATTGGCAACAAAACGTATATTTTTTGTTTTATATTGTTTTAGACCGTTTTGATGTTTTGAATCTGATTTTTAGCCTTATTTTCGTAAAACTGATATAAGAAGTTTATTTAAAAGCAAAAACAAAGTGTGTTATTGCTATTTAATCAAAAAAATGTTTTTGATAGTTTGTTTTTTTAAAGTTTCAACAATTTTTCTTATATTAACCATGCTGTTTTTATGTTCTTGATATATATTGTTGGTGTTTTAGCTACTTTACTATCTATTTTTTATATTTTAGACATTTTTATAGTTCCTTAGTATTGTCTTGATGTTCTAATTATGTTTTTGCTCTTTTCAGCTTCTGCAGCGTCCTTCCTCCGAGCAATCTCATATAATGGAGTGGATCTTGCTCCTACTGAACGCAATTTCCCTCCACTTATGTACAATGAGAAGGGGATTCCATTGGCGAATTGGCCTGGAATTACACATCACAAGAATCATGGAGGAACAACGTTTCAGTATCCTGGACTTGAGGTTCCCATTTACTTTGCTGATGTGAGTTTTTTTAATTTTGAATTTTTGAAATTTTAGGTTTGAATTTGAAGTTTTTGTGTTGGTACTCAAGCTTTTTGGTACTATATAATGTTTTTGTGGTGTTTTATAATTGATCAAGCTGTCTTGTCGTTTTTTATTATTATTTTAGATGTAAACTAACGACTAGACTTTTTGCTACTTTTATATGAATAATTTAGAACAGCATAGTGCCTAAAATTCAGTATAGTACGTTTAGTACTACATATTAGCTAAAAAAATTCGTTATAGTGCGTGTGTGAGGGAGCAATCAATATGCGAACTTATGTTACGTTAATCCGATTCAATGGCGTATCTTTGGTTCATTGTCTATGTAACAAGCCGAGATGTATGAGCTACGAGGAGATTGATGCACAATATTCGGTACAGGTCAATCCGGTAAGGTTGTTTTAATCTCTTTGCATTGGAAATGAGAGTTTTCTAATTTTTTTTTAAATTTCAGATTTTTTAATTTTAAAAATTTTACTTTTAAGTTGATCTAGTGGATAATATAAGGTAAAGCTATATTTTTTGTCTTTCTTCAATTAAAAATGACTTTTTTTAAAGTTAGCAAAAGAAATGAGAATTTCCGATAATTTTAGGTAACAATTGGCAGTCGTGGCTCTTGCTGGTACAGTTGTGAAATTGAAGAGAGCGGTCGAGTCGTAGACACGTTCTTTAGTGCTGGTCGTCTGCGTGAATTGAATGATTTTATGTTCCTTCAGTCGGACAATGAAGCTATCACTTTTGGCTTGAGGAAGGAGCCGGTAAGTCAATTTTAAAATTTGATTTTGAATTTGAAATGATAATTTTAAAATTTTTGAAAAAATGAAAACTTTTGACTTGGCATTGGGATGATGTGATGTTCTTTTAGATCGTCACAATGTTCCACATCGGCAATCTCACCGAAGCATTGGTTTTGGCCGCTATCAACGTTGGATGCCAGTTGTTGTTATCAACCAGCAATGAGCTTCCTAATGTAAGTCTTTTTAAGGGTACTGTAACTTGTAAATTAGTGTGATTTTAAACATGTGGGGGTATAAAATTTGAATTTAAGGTTTGTAGGACTGGCTTGGATGTTGTAGAGTAGGGTACAGGGCTGGGCGGGGACTTTTGGTCTGGGTGCGGGGGTCGAAAAAATCCACAGGGGGGGGACCAAGTTCTACTTTTTTCGAAGTTTTTTTTTGGGGGGGGATTTCCTTACTCCTTCCCGTCCACCCCTCTTCCTCCAACGCTCGGCCCTGGTGGGGTATGTGAATGTAAGGTAAGATAAGGTTATAGATGTTGGTACGGTAGAATAAGTTAGGGTATAGTAGGTCGGGCTAGTGTAGAGTAGGCTACGATAATATACGGTAAAATTTGTAACGAAAAATGAATTTCAACTAATTTTAAAACTACAAAATCACCTTCAGATCCAAAAGATTGTCGGCCTCCTCCACGAACACCTTGGTGGCCCACCTTTAAGAATTAAACACATGAAGTTCATTACCCTTCACGTCGCATTCTTTGCCGTTTCAAGAATCGAAGATACAGAGCAACGTGCTCAATGGAAATCAAAGCTCGAGTACATTGTGGAGCTAATAGAAAGAAAGAAATAAAATTCAGGTTTTGCAGTATTGAGGATTTTTTAGATATTTGAAAGTTTTTTGTTCGACACCCAATTGGAGGTAAATAACTGTTTTAAAATTTTTTTACATGGAATACATGGTTTTAAATTATATTAGGCTTAAGATATTAGTCTATTGATATGATTTTTGTACTTGTATATTTGAAAATGTGATTTTATTTTTTAAGCCTAAGGTAAGCCTAAAATGTTTTGTGGTATAAAAATTGAGTTTCAAAGCTTATTAGGCTTAAGATATTAGTCTATTGGTTCGTTTTTTGTATTTTTCTACTTGAAAATAAGATTTTGTTGTTTAAGCCTAAAATGTTTTACAGTATAAAAATTAAGTTTTAAAGCTTACTAGGGTTAAGATATTAGCCTATTGATATGATTTTTGTACTTGTATATTTGAAAATGTAATTTTACTTTTTAAGCTTAAAAGAAAGCCTAAAATTATTTGTGGTATAAAAATTAAATTTTAAAGCTTATTAGGCTTAAGATATTAGCCTACTGATACGTTTTTTGAATTTTTATGTTTCAAAGCGTAATTTTATTTTTTAAGCCTAAAAATAAGCCTAAAATGTTTTACGGTATAAAAATTAGGTTTAAAGCTTATTAGGCTTGAGATATTGGTTTACTGATACGTTTTTTGTATTTTTCTACTTGGAAATTTGTTTTTATTTTTTAAGCTTAAAATAAGCCTAAAATGATTTATGGCATAAAAATTAAATTTTAAAACTTATTAGGCTTAAGATATTAGCCTATTGATAAGATTTTTGTATTTTTCTACTTGAAAATAGGATTTTGTTGTTTAAGCCTAAAAATAAGCCTAAAATGTTTACAGTGTAAAAATTAAATTGTAAAGTTCATTAGGCTTAAGATATTGGTTTACTGATACGTTTTTTGTATTTTTCTACTTGGAAATTTGTTTTTATTTTTTAAGCTTAAAATAAGCCTAAAATGATTTATGGCATAAAAATTAAATTTTAAAACTTATTAGGCTTAAGATATTAGCCTATTGATAAGATTTTTGTATTTTTCTACTTGAAAATGTGATTTTATTTTTTAAGTCTAAGGTAAGCCTAAAAATTTTATGCTTAAAAGTCAAAAGAAAACATGTTTTTTTGAAGCTTTGGACATAAAGAATAAGCCTAATAAAACTAGTTTTTTTTAAATTTTGTATTTTAAAGCTTGTTTTTACGAAAATAAAGAAAAAAATGATTTTATCTAACGTTTAGGCTTATATGTTAGATAAAATCTAGGCTTAAGATAGGAATCCTTATTGTAAACATTAGCTTAAGCCTAAAAAGCATTTCAGAATTAAGCTTAAAAGTTTTTTTTTTGATTATTCTTATTAAAAAAGCGACAAAATGACTGATCATTGATGTAGGGAAGCGTTACTTTCTAACGCACCATCCACGAGCTTGCGTTGGTGACCCTTAAACTGGCTTGGTTTATGCGTCCAGGCCTTCATCAGCAATACGTCAGTCCATAATTTTTGGCTTTTTAGCTAGATAAAGGTATGGTTATAATCAATACTTTGTTTTTTTATACTAACTGTTATGGTTCATTATTTGATTAGAATTGGCGGTCATTACACAAATTAGGCTTATCTACTTATATTTATGTATTTCAACGTAAAGTTTTATTAGGCTTAGGGTTTTTAGGCTTATAAAGTTTTATTAGGTTTAGGGTTTTTAAGCGAATTAAATTTTCTTTTTAATATTTTTGTCTTTTAACTGTTTTTTTTTTGTATTTTAAGCCTAAAATAATGCTAAAAGAGCTTGAAGAATATAAGCCTAATCACTTTCTTTTTGCTTGTTTTAAGCCTAAAACCAAGCTTGATTAGGTTCTTTTAATTTTTTTTTAATTTTTAAGTTTAAAAATAAGCCTAATAAGATTTTTTTCAACTTTAAGCTTAAAATAATGCTTTTTTAAAGTTTTATGTTTAAAAATAAGCCTAATAGAATTTTTTATTCATTTTAGGCTTAAAATTATGTTTTTTTTAAAAGATTTATGTTTAAAAATATGCTTAATAGGATTTTTCTTCATTTTAGGCTTAAAAATAAGCTCATTTTCTAATTTTAGGTCTAAAATAAGCCTAATAGGAGTTTTTGTTCTTTTAGGCTTAGCAATAAATTTTTTTTGTAATTTTTAGGTTTAATAATAAGCCTAATAGGATTTTTTTTAGGCTTGAAAATAAAATCTTTTTTTAGCTTTTAGGTCTAAAAATAAGCCAAATAAGATTTTTTTTCATTTTTAGGCTTAATATAGTGCCCTTTTTAATTTTTAGGTCTAAAATTAAGCCTAATAGGATTTTTTATTTATTTTAGGCTTAAAATAATGCTTCTTGTAATTTTTAGGTTTAAAAATAAGCCTAATAATATTTTATTTGTCTTCTTATTCTTCAAGAGCCTAAAATACAACAATTTTTATTTTTTTTTTGAAATTTCGAAATATGCAAATTTTTCAAAACTGAATAAAATATTCATTTCCAGCCATTTAAAAAACAAAAAAAAATGTCGATCGCCATGATCCTGGAGTCCAAGGACAAAGAGCATATCCCAGTCGATGAAGCCACCATCAGAATGTCGATCGCCATGATCCTGGAGTCCAAGGACAAAGAGCATATCCCAGTCGATGAAGCCACCATCAGAATGTCGATCTGCCTCAACAAACTCTACGTCTATACCCTGGCCGGTACGGAAGAAGCGTTAGTACCAGTGATAGTACCAACCATTGATGGACAAACTCTCAAGAAGCTGGTCGACTGGTGCTATCATCACAGACACGACCCCGAGACCAGGAACGACCAACCCTCCACTTCGAAATGCTTCAAACTTCGAACTACCGTATTCCGAGAGTTCGACCGCGACTATTTTGACATGCCCATGGAGAAGCTGAAGCGACTGACTTATGCTGCTAGCTTTTTGGGTGTACCAATGTTGTACCAGTTGTGTCTGCGACATATCAATGTAAAGTTTATGGGCAGTAAGGAGGATGAAGACATGGATACATCGATGAAGGACGTGTCGAACACTTCGGATGAATTGTCATTTTTAAGTGTTTCTGATATGGAAGTTTCGGAAATTTGAATATTTTGTTATTGGAAATAAATTTGGATACTCAAGTTTTAGGAAATTTGTTATCCCTTAAAGTCTCTTGTATGTGACTTTTTTTTAAATTATATCTTTCATTAGGCTTAGGTACATAATTTTAGGCTTAGGTACACATTTTAAACTTAGGTACACATTTTAAGCTTAAGTACACATTTTAGGCTTAGGTACATATTTTTAGGCTTAGATACACAATTTTAGGTTTAGACACACAATTTTAGGCTTAGGTACACAATGTTAGGCTTAAGTACAAATTTTAGGCTTAAAAACACCATTTTAGGCTTAGACACTCGATTTTAGGCTTAGGTACACAATGTTAAGCTTAAGTACACATTTTAGGCTTAGGTGCACATTTTAACCTTAGGTACACATTTTAGGCTTAGAAAGTCACTTTAGGCTTAGTTACACATTTTAGGCTTACGCACATAATTTTAGACTTAAGTACACATTTCAGGCTTAGACACACATTTTAGGCTTAGGTACACATTTTAGGCTTACACACACAATTTTAAACTCAGGTACACATTTTTGGCTTACGTACATATTTTAGGCTTAGGTATACATTTTAGGCTTAAGTACACAGTTTTAGACATTATCACTAGTCTTACTAAAAAACATTGTCAGTACTACTACAAATGGCAAAAGGAGTACTGACGGGAATCGAACCCGTGTCGATTGCTTGGAAGGCAACCATGCTGACCATTACACCACAGACGCGCTTGCTTAAACCTCTTTCAATTGACGATAGATATCTATATTTGGGTCAAAAGACGCAGAGTAAACTCGTCTTGTGGTCAGTATATTATCTTGCGCTAGCGCAAATCAAGCGCGTCTTCTTTCTAATTACATATTAGTGAATTTGCAGGAATATAACGGAGGATTTCACGGCTATTAAGAGAAGAGTAAGCATGCGCGTCTGTGGTGTAATGGTCAGCATGGTTGCCTTCCAAGCAATCGACACGGGTTCGATTCCCGTCAGACGCAGTACTTCCTTTTGATATTTTTATTGTTTGAAAAGTTTAAAAGTGAGTTCTAAGATCTTTTATAGTCCAACAGTCATATTTGGCGGCTTAAACAACGTTTTGATAACTAAATATTAAGCTTCTTTTAGTTTAAAGCTTACTTTTTAAATCCAGTTTTGAATTTTTGGTGTTTTTTGCTCGTGTTTGAAGCTTAATATTCACAATTGAAAGTTTTTTTAACTAGATTAATGTATTTTATGTCTATCAAGCTACGAAGAACTTTGTTGTTTTATCAATCATAAGACAGCAATCTTGTTATTCTTTATCAGGAATGTTTAAAATTTATTAAATTAAAGTACTTTGTATCTAAAAATCAAGGTTTTTTCTTAATTATTGGTCTAGTCTAATGATAAATATTTGCCGGAATGGGCCAACGAAACTTTGAAAGTGACCAGAAATTTGACCCGGCCCGGTTCCTTTACCGGCATAATCGCAATGATAAATTTGGGCCTGGCCGAGCCGATGTAACTTCGAAAGAGGCTTAGCTGAGGCCCAAATCTAGGCCTGGCTCTGCTTCTTTACAGGTCTAATTTAATGATTAATTTGTACCAAGCCGAGCCAAAGCAACTTTAAATGGGGTCGAGAAATTGGGCCGGGCTTGGTCATTTTACAAGTCTAGTCTAATGATAAATACGTGCCGGGTCGGACCAAAGAAAATTTAAAAGGGACTGAAAAATTGGGCCCGGCCCGTTCGTTTTCCAGATTTATAATAGTTCCACCCAACTAGACATGGGAGAAGGCCGATTTTTTAGGCTCGGCCCGACTTAAATTTTGCTCAGGCCCGGGCCGAATTTTTTTACGTGCAAATGGGCCGGGCTTTTCGGGCCGGGCTTTTCCTCATTTCTACGGCCAAATTGACGCGAAATCTTTTCTGGAAACGACCCGAAACTGAACGAAACTGAACCGTTTATTACTCTTTCTTTTGATCTGCGAAATTCGCCCAATTCGAGTCGACTTTTTGCGTTTTTCTTGCAAAAAAGATGGCTTTTTGATTATTTTTGGTTTTGATAACATTCTCCCGATCACAAACCGTCGATTATTGTTGTCTTTTACTATTTTTTGGGTTTTGAAACGTTTGGTTTGGTCTGATTTTTGATTTTATAAAATTTTGAAATTTTAGGTAACATTTTGTAAAAGTTTTAATGTAAATGGTCGGAAAGTTTGTGGAATAGGTTTTTATAATGTATTTTACATAGTATATATAATTATATATCGTATTCGTTCTGTTTTCATGTTTTTCTGTTATTTTTGACCAAAGTTAACTTGCACGGTGCAGGGTTTAGGTAGATTTTACTGTGCAGTATTTCTAAAGACCTCACGGTGAAAAAAATGAAAATTACATAAGTAAAGACTAATATATGATAATAAAATTTCAAAAAAGTGTTTAAAAACTTCGAGAGGAATAATGTTGTTTACAAAACATGGTGTATAAATATTTGCGGTCGCTGGGTCATTTCCATAGTTTTTGAAAGCTTTTCGACCGATTTTTGACTTTTGAAGTGATTTTTATCAGTAAAGTGGCTTAGGCTTGTATTTAAACTTTTTTTTTTGAATTTTATGTTATTTTTAGCACCGTGCTGTACTTTTAGTACTATATTGTTATTTTTAGTACGACACTGTGATTTTATTAATATACTGGCTTGTTTAGTACTGTGCTGCATTTTTTAGTACTATTCAGTCATTTGTAGAAAGATACTGTCATTTTAGTATTATACTGACTTTTCTAGTACTATAATGAAATATTTAGTATTATGCTGTATTTTTAGTACTATACGGTCATTTTTAGTACGATACTGTCACGTTAGTAATATGTTGGCTCGTTTATTACTGTGTTTTGCTTTTTAGTACTGTAAAATCATTTTTGGTACTATACTGACTTTTTTAGTACTGTGCTGTATTTCTCAGTACTATACAGTAATTTTAGTACCATACTGGCATTTTTAGTATTGTACTGAAACATATAGTACGCCAATTTTCATTTTAGTACTATAAAATCATTTGTAGTGCAATGCTGGCATTTTTAGTACTATACTGTTTTTTTAGTATTACACACGCGTTTTGCGTACTGTGCTGAAATATCTTGTGTCATACTACGTTTTTTAGTACAATACTGTAATTTTTAGGATCAGATTGTACTACTAGTAAGATTATTTTATTATTAGTACTGTAATTTCATGTTTTGTAATTTTTTGTACTGTACTGTCTTTCTTTGTATTATACTCGCATATTTAGTATTATGACGTCATACATAGTACCATATTGTTACATTTGTTCTAATAATGTAATTTTTAGTACTTTACTGTCTTCTTTAGTATCATACTCGCATTTTTAGCACTGTGCCGCTATGCACAGTACCATTTTATTAAATTTGTACTAATAATGCCATTTTCAGTACCATGCTGTTTTCTTTAGTATCATACTTGCATTTTTAGCGCAATACCGTCATAAATAGGATCATTTTGTCACATTTGTACTAATATTGCCATTTTCAGTACCATAATGTCCGATTCCATTCCAAAAACCCAGATCGCGGCCGTGTTCGACAAGCACGACGGTCCAATTGAAATCCGTGAAATTCCAGTACCAGAGATTGGTGATAACGATATCTTGGTCAAAATTCATTATTCCGGAGTTTGTCATACTGATTTGCATGCCTGGAAGGGGGATTTCCCTATCAAAGCCAAGAATCCACCACTGGTCGGAGGTCATGAAGGAGCTGGGGAGGTGGTGAAGATTGGTCGCGATGTGAAGAACTTTAAGGTTGGAGATCGTGCTGGTATTAAGGTGAGTATTTTGGAATTTTTTATAGTATGGTGATTATGATTGAAAAAAAAAGATTTGTTTGATTTTTCTTGCCTAAAACGCTATTTTCATAATTTTTGTTACCTAAAATGAAATTTTTTTGAAATTTTTACCGAAATTACTATTTTCGTGAATTTTGTTACCTAAACTCAACTTTTTTGCAGTTTTGTTACCTAAAAGTGAGGTTTTTTCAAAATTTGTTACCTAAAAACTACTTTTTTGACGGTTTGTTAACTAAAAATTAATCTTTAAAGAATTTGTTACCTAAAATCAATTTTTTAAAAATTTGTTACCTAAAATTGACATTTATATTGATTCTGTTATCTAAAATCAACAAAAATTTTTTTCGGATTTTTTTTACCTAAAAATTGATTTTTTAAAAAATTTGTTGCCTAAAATTCACGTTTTTATTGATTCTGTTATCTAAAATGGATTATCAAACCAGTTGTTACCTAAAATCGATTTTTTTTTTTTTAAATCTGTTACCTAAAATTAACGTTTTTGAAGTTTTGTTACATAAAAACTATCATTTTTAAAAATTTGTTACCTAAAAATCACATTTTTCCCGATTTCAGTGGCTAAACGGTTCCTGCCTGACCTGTGAACAATGTCGTCAAGGACACGAGAACACTTGCTCCGTGACCAAGCTCTCCGGCCTAACCCACGATGGCACGTTCCAACAATACGCGGCCGTGAAAGCCACGGAAGCGACGCCAATCCCAAAAGATATTGAGCTAGCCAAAGCGGCGCCTATTCTCTGCGCCGGACTAACCGTCTACCGTGCATTGAAGGAGGCTAACGTTCAGGCGGGTCAATTTATTGCGATTCCTGGCGCGGGCGGTGGTTTGGGCAGTTTTGCTATTCAATATGCGACTGCCATGGGGCTGAGGGTGGTGGCGATTGATCATGGCAGCAAAGAGGAGCATTGTAAGAAGCTGGGTGCTGAAGTGTTCATCGACGCTTTTAAGGTATGTCACGGTTGGTTTGGAAAGGGGACAGGTAGGGGAGTAAGTTTTTTTTGGGCGGGGTAAAAAATTTTTTTGGGCGGGGTAAAAATATTTTTTTCGTCGGGGTAAAAAGTTTTTTTTAAACGTTGTATAAATTTTTTGGAGGCGGATTAAAAACATTTTTTCTGGGCGGGGTGAAAATATTTTTTGGGCGGGGTATAATTTTTTTCGGGAGAGGAGGCAAGCTGATCTATATTGAAATAAAGAGCTTGCCAAAAAAATTTTGAGGGCGGGGTAAAATTTTTTTTGGTCTGAATTGGAAAGCGAAGTAAGGTTCATCCATACTATTCTTCCAGGAAGACCTAGTAGACCAAGTAGTCAAATACACCGATGGTGGCCCTCAAGGGGTGCTCTGCATCGCCGCTCAACCTAAAACAATGTCCCAAGCCACGGATTATGTTCGTACCCAAGGCACAGTAGTCCTCATTGCTCTACCCAAGGACGGCTACTGTAACATCAACGTGTTTTGGGCGGTAGTCAAGTGTATCACGGTAAAGGGATCGTATGTGGGATGTCGACAGGATGCTATTGAGGCTTTGGACTTTCTGCGGCGTGGTAAAATCGATGTGCCAATTGAGGTGTTGCCTCTGAAGGAGCTGCCAAATGTGTTTGATAAGATGGACAAAGGAGAGCTGAAGGGACGTGTTGTACTGGATTTGACAAAGTAGAATGTCACTATTGATTTTTGAAGTTATGTGTTTCTATTGGTTTTTTGGAGCGATCTGTCACTATTGATTTTCGGAGCGATTTGTCACTATTGATTTTTTAAAGATATATATTGTTGTTTCGCTAATGTTGTGTATAGATACGGTCACTTTTTGACTGCAGAATTTTATGACATGTAATAAAGTCATCTTTTTCATAATTTTGGGTATAAGCCTGAAATTTCACGACTTATTAGGCCTAAGCTATTAGCTTAATTTAGCATTAAGTCTTTATAAAGAGTAACTAAAAAGGAAAAAATTTTTCAATTTGTAAGCTTATCTTGTCTGGAAAGTCAAAAAAAGTGCTTGAAACACAATGCCAAGTTTTAAAAATTGGCGGGAAATCCAAATAATTCAAATTTTACAACTCAAAAGCGCGAGCTAAAATTTTTTATGGGTACTATTGGTGGTACAAAGAATTCATATAAAAATTTTGAGCTGATTCTGAGTGAGGCAGGCTAGGTACTTTCTTTGTAAGTATTTGGTGCCGACATAAAGAACCCGCCATACTTTTTCTGTAATTTCTTGTATAAAATGGCGGGTTCTTTATGTCGGTACTTAACAGTTTGGTCTAGCCTAGTTTGTCTTGCCTAACCTTAGTCTTAGTCTTAAATTTAATCTATCGCTTTTTAGGCCCTTAGGGTTTAAAATTTAAAAAAAAGCATTTTTGATATGGTAGTGGCATATAAAGGCATTACAACAAAAAACAACTCAAAGTCAAGTAGTATGAATCAACAATTTCAAGTACAAAATACTCAATTGATTGAGTAAATAATAAAAAATTTGTTTACATTGAAACACAATGCAAACATACCAACAAACAGTCAATTGCGCGGTTTGTCGGATATAAAGTTGCACTTTCTTTTGAACTTTCACTCGGATTTTTTGGTTTTTCTTGAAAAATATTATATTATACTTGATTTGAATTCATTTTTGAAACTATTTTTAAGCCTAAACTTTATTTTTTAATCTGTAGAGTTTCAAATTAAGTTTTTGCTAACTTAGGCTTATTCTTAGGCTTATTTGTGATTTCCATTTTTTTAAATTTTTTTAGACAATGCCACATTACAAACTAACATATTTCCCAGTACGCGGATTGGCCGAGCCCATCCGGCTTTGTTTTCATTATGCTGGAGAGAAATTCGAGGATTATCGTGTACCTAAAGATGCTTATGGCGCGCTAAAACCATGTAAGTATGTGCACTCAAATAAACTTTGTTATTTCGAAATACTTTTTAATTGGCTTGCAGTACAACTAGTTGTAGTAGTTAATATGAATTGACTAAAAATTTGAAAAAATTTATATTTTTTTAAAAATTTTAAAAAATTTTTTAAAATTTTGATAAGGTTTATAGTACTCATAATATCTATAGTACACATAATATTTATAGTACTATAAGAACAGTTTGAAGCCTTAAAAACGACCAAAAAGCCCTGAAGATCAAAGCTAAATATAAAAAAAGTCAGCTTAAAACCAAAAAAATCTTAATATTTAGATAACAAAACATTTTTTATGCCGCTAATATGACTGCCATACCATAAAAGATCATTAAAACTGACTTTTAAACTTTTCAAACCATAAAAACAGCAAAAAGTCACCCTGCGTCTGACGGGAATCGAACCCGTGTCGATTGCTTGGAAGGCAACCATGCTGACCATTACACCACAGACGCGCATGCTCAACTTTCTCTTAATAGCCGTGAAATCCTCCGTTATATCTTTGCAACCCACTAATATGTCATTAGAAAAAAGCGCGGTTGATTTACGCTAGCGCAAAATGATATACTGACCAAAAGACGAGTTTGCTCTTTGTCTCTTGACCCAAATATAGATATCTATCGTCAAATTAAGGGAGTTTAAGCAAGAGCGTCTGTGGTGTAATGGTCAGCATGGTTGCCTTCCAAGCAATCGACACGGGTTCGATTCCCGTCAGACGCAGTATGACTTTTGCTATTTGCAGTAGTACTGGTAATGTTTTTTTTCTTTTTAGTAATACTAGTAATAATGCCTAAAATATGTGCCTAAGCCTAAAATAAGTCTCTAAGCCTAAATGTGTAGCTAAGCTTAAAATTGTGTGTCTAAGCCTGAAATGTGTACGTAAGCCAAAAATGTGTACCTAAGCCTAAAATTGTGTGTCTAAGCCTAAAATGTGCACCTAAGCCTACAATTGTGTGTTTAAGATTAAAATGTGTACTTAAGTCTAAAATTATGTGCGTAAGCCTAAAATGTGTAACTAAGCCTAAAGTGACTTTCTAAGCCTAAAATGTGTACCTAAGGTTAAAATGTGCACCTAAGCCTAAAATGTGTACGTAAGCCAGGGCTTTTTAAGATTTGTAGTAAAGTAACGCTAGTACAGGTTATTGTGCTATGTAGTACGTACTACTTTCTCCAAACTTAAAAATTCTACTTTCAGTAACCCCCTATGGTCAATTACCAATTCTCGAAGTAGACGGCCATCAGCTAGTACAATCTGGTGCTATTCTTCGTTATGTGGCTAGAAAATTCAATTTGATTGGTAAGAATGAATGGGAAACGGCTAAGGCTGACGAAATTTGGTCGTTTTTCTACGATTCAATGAGAGCCCATATTAGGTATACTCATTTCAAAGGAGGAAAACCTGATTTTCCTGAAGACACCGAGGTAAATTTTATTCATAATTTCAATTTTTTAAAAATCAATGAAGCTTGGCAATCAATTTGAAAAAAAAAATTTTTTTTAAATTAACTATGTTACCATCACAAGATAACACTACTAATCCCTCAATATAGCAAATTCGTGACTGTGTCCACGAAGCACTCAATTTTATCCTATCAGGCTTGTTTTGCCTTAACCAAAACGAAAAGCCTGCTTCAGTGCTGCCTAACATTCCAATACGTAACCAGGTTGGTGCAGTGTGATAATGTACTAACACTACTAATCAATCAGAGTTCTCAAATTTAGCATTTTCTGAGTTTTGTTTACCTACGGCATTGGCTTTTTTGAATTTTTGCTTTGGCTGCGGCTCTAGCTTCGAAGCCAGAGTTACAGAGCAATAGCCAAGCCGTTACGGCGAGGAACCGTGCCGTAATTGGGCATGGAGAACGGGCCGGGCCCGCTTTTTAGGCCCGGTTTAATTTAAGTTTTTCTCATATCCGGCCCGGACCGGCCTGATATTTTATACGTGGAAACGGGCCAGTCTTTTCGGGCCGGATTGGGCTTTTTCGAGACTTCCAGGCCCGGCCCGACTTAAGTTTTTCTCGGGCTTGTTCTGTTTCCCATATCTAGCCAAATTCGATTTCTGGCTTTGGTTTCAACCCTAGCTTTGTCTTTTTTTAAAACTTCTTGTTACAGCTTTGGAGCTTCAGCTCCGAAGCAGTAGCTGCCTCAGAACTGGTTCTGGAGGCCTTGAAAACTCTGGTTATAACCCTGCACTAACAAAAACATAGCTTATAACATGAAATTTATTAAAAATTGTCTAAAAAATAGTAAACAGTACCAAACTACTTTAAATACAACCTTCTAGGACTCCCTATACAGTACCAACTTCCTACCAATAGCACAAAAGTCTCTATCCGTTTACTCCAAGTTTTTACGTGAAGCCAATAGTGGATTTGCCTTACCTGGAGGCCTTTCTTATGCTGATTTTGTGATTGCTGAACATGTTCAAACTATCGAGAATCTAGACCCCAATTTGGCTGCTACTCATCCTGACCTTTTGGACTATAAAAGACGAATTCATGCTTTACCACAGTTGCACAACTACTTGGCTTCGAGACCACATAGTGTTGGTTAATGTGCAATGTTTATTGATAAAGATTAATTTGGTTTTAAAGGCATTTTTGAAATTTGTTTAGGGTTTAAATAAACTTGTGTGGTAATAATAGACTTGAAAATGGCTTTAATACGACTGTCCAGCTAGGAATGATAAACAGACAGGCTAGGCCTGGCTCGGCCCGGCCTACAATCGGGCCGGCTAAGCCTGGTCCAGCCCTGCCCTACAATCGGCCGGACCGGACCGGTCTTAAGCCAAAATTTAAACGAGCCGGACTAAGAAATTAGGCCCGGGCCTAAAATTTTTTTTTAATTTTTAAAATTTATTTATTTTAATTTTCGTTGGTGTTCTTTGATTTTATAGGGTACTATGATTGAAAAAGCAATGTAAAGCTAAATTTCCGTTTATTTTTTAGTTTTCAAATTATTAAAGCTTTTTTAAAACGGGCCGTACCTGGAAATTTTCTGACCAAGCCGGCGCGAGAAAAAAAATAAAAACGGGCCGGGCTCAAACGTTAGGTTCAGGGCCTGGGTCGAGTCTAAAAATTAGACCAATTATCCAATTCGTATTTTACATTAATGTATTTTAATATAAATGTTTAACGCAAGATACGTTTCTCAAAAAATATATATTATGCTACCAAAAAGCTACAAAGTAAAGTCACTTCCTCATTCGAATACTAACTACTGACCAGTCGAACATTTGGTTTGTGCAAACAGGTTTTTTTCGGCCCTAAGGCTATTTTCGTGGCGGTTTTGGAAAAGTTGATATTTGTTCAGGTGCAAAAAGTCGTTAGTATATAAACTGAATTACTTAGTTAGTCTGACATATCATTGCATATTCAATCGTTTCTACACGTAATTGTGTTTACTGGGTTTTGAGTTACTGTAACTTCGAATTTTCTTACTGCTTTCACATAAACATTTAAATTTAAAACTTTAAGGCCTAATTTTTATATTTTGAAGTTACTACAGTACTCTTCATACTAATTTTTCTATAATACAGTGCTTTTCATACGAGTCTTTATATAACATACAGTACTATTCATACTAATCTTTCTTTATTATACAGTACCACTATTTTAAAAATGAACTCAAAGCTCCTAATCTCACTAATCATCACCTTAACGACTCTACTGTCAGCCCGCTCTCTCCACTCTACGCATATCACAAAAGCTCAACATAGTCAACTAGCCGACCTAACCACCCATCATCCTGAACATAAAAAGTTCAAGAAGATGGGGAAAAAGTTCAGGAAGATGGAGGTAGGTGAAGAACCAACTGAAGCCGTAGTTGATGGTACACCAGAACCAGAAAAGTTGTCTCAAGAAGTTGTGGAAGAGCCTGAGGAACAACATGTTGTTGCTACAACTGAGCCTGCTGTAGCTGAGGTAGTTGAACATGTTGAGCATCATACGACGGTTCATGCTCATGGTCATGGGCACGGTAAAGCGCATAAGAAAGTGGAGAAGTCGGCTGAGATTGTAAGTACTATAATATTGAGTTGTTCAAAAAATTCCGTGCTCCGTAACGTAAAAAATTGTTTTGAGTGAGTGCACAGAATTATTTGATCGACCTAAATTGTAATATGACTCTACATGTTAATATAAGACTTTTCAATTAATTCTGTGCTCTCTGATACTGAAAAGCCGTTTTGAGAAAAACACAGCATTATTTGAACAATTGATTACATTAGATTACTGTAAGATCATAAGTTTATCTTACTGTAATATCATGAGCTTATCTTACTGTAATATCATAAAGACTAAATTTACAAAATATTTGTAGACTGAACCGGAACTCGAAGGAGCTCCAAAACCAAAGTACAAGTTGATCTACTTCGACGCTCGCGGAATATGTGAATCGATCCGGCTGTTATTCCGCTACGCTAATCAAACCTTTGTTGATGAACGAATTTCCAAAAAGAAGTGGTTGGCTATTAAAGACAGTGAGTTTTTTTTATTTTTAAAAAGTTTTTTAAAGTTTTTTATCCCCCCCCCCTTTTCTTTATTCTTTGGCAAAAATCACCGCTCAATTTTCCGGAAGCCAGAAGGCTTTTTCAATTAAAAAAATACTCTACCTTATATTTTACTTTACTTTATCAAACTCTACTATAATTTGCTCCTTTCTCCTCCCTCCCCCCCCCCTTTACAACTTCTTTAAATGTCAAATCCACCGTCTTATAGTAATCAGAGAGACCATTTATATCACTTTTCGATTCAAAATCCTATTTACAGCCACATTCTACGGTAAAATCCCAATCCTCGAAGTGGACGGTAAACCACTAGCCCAATGTTATGCCATCTCTCGCTATCTTGCCAAGCAATTCAACTTGTCCGGCAAAGATGACTGGGAAGCGGCCAAGCTTGACGAAGCTGCCGACTTCCACAAATACGTACTCACCGAGCTATCACCCTACCTCTTCGTACTCAGTGGGTACCGTAGTGGTGACCGTGATGCTCTACGTAAGGATGTGTTTGTACCGATTGTCGACAAGAACTTCCCCATCTACAACAACCTTCTGAAGGCTTCGAACAGTGGCTTCTTTGCCAAAAGCGGCGTATCTTGGGTTGACTTTGTTATCAGTGAATACATGACTACTATCAGGCATTACGAACCTGCCATTTTGGAAAAGTACCCATTGTTGGTCAAGTTTATCGACCGGGTTCAGTCGTTGCCACAGATCAAAGAGTACATTAAACAACGTAATCATACTCCACTTCAGTTTTCTTAGGTACTGTTTGTAATATTGGTACGATTTGTTGTATGTGATGACTATTTTGTTTGTATATATACGTACATGGCTTTTGAATAATAAATGCTTATTATTAATAGTAATAAGAGTTTTTTTAGCCAGTGACAGAGAATGAATAAAGTAGAGTAGGATAGACATCGTGTTTAGCTTTACTCGATTTTAGGCTTATTTACACATTTTAGCTTAGAAACATAATTTTAGGCTTAGACCAACACTTTAGGCTTAGCAAAAAATCTTAGGCTTACAAAATTTTAGACATAGCAAAAAATCTTAAGCTTATACATTTTTAGGCTTAGTTACACATTTTAGGCTTAGCACACATTTTTAGGCTTACCCAATTTTAAGCCTTGAACATATTCTTAGGCTTTTACATTTTGGAGCTCAGTACACATTTTAGGCTTATCACACTATCTTAGGTCTATAAATTTTTATTCTTAAGTATACTTTAAAAGCTTAGCATACAGTATTAGATTTACGGATTTTTAAGCCTGAGTAAAGATTTTAGGTTAAACACAAACGTGTACCTTGAAGTATAGTATCAAAAGATAAATCAAAAACTTCAAAGTAAAATTTATTACAATAAAAAGATAACAGTAAGCAGATACAAGAATATAATTAAAATCAAACGTTGTACTCAGTTTTCTATACAAAATGCAGATCGACAAGAGGCTGGGCGTGGTTAGTCAAGAACATACAAGTTGGTACTGTCGTATCACAGGACGGTTCGGCATGTTCGTAATCAACAACCTGAGTCTGGATTCTTGCGTTTTGGCTTCTTCGGGTTTTTGGAGCGACTTTTGCTCTTGCACATGGGACAAATTGGTGCATTACGATGGATTTGGGCTTGGCAGCATTGGCAATTCTAAAAATTTTTAATTTAAAAAATTTGTCTTGTCAGAGCAAGATAACATATGTTAGAGTAAGGTAAAGAATAACACACGCTAGGATAGTTGAGAGAAAGATAAGGCAACGAAGGATGATATATTACTGTGTGACTAAAGTACAGTAAGGTAGGGTACGGTATGTAAGCGCAGGATAGCTAATTTAAGGTATAGTAAGGTAAAGTACAATAGAATAATGACTTATTGGGTAGAATACGATAAGGTACGGTATGGTACGGTAGGATACAGTGGGTACAGTAAAGTAGACTAGAGTACAGTAAAGAAGCGCAGCATAGGGTATAGTAACATAAGGTACAATATAATATTATTGAGTAGGGTACGGTAGGATACATTAGAGTAGAGTACAGTAAAATAAGGGTAGGACAGGGTAGAACGAAGCTACAGTAGAGTGTGGCTAATCTACAGTAAGTTAGGGTAAGGTAGGATAGGGTAAAGTAGGTAGGGTAGGATAGGGTAGTGTAGGGTAGGGTAGGGTAGGGTAGGGTAGGGTAGGGTAGGGTAGGGTAGGGTAAAGTAGGATAGGGTAAAGTAGGTAGGGTAGGATAGGGTAGGGTTAGGTTAGGGCACGTTACGCTACAATAAGATCACTCACCTTCATTGGCGGACTCTGATGATCACTGCTACTAAACGACGACTTAGCCAAGTTTGCCAGCTGTTGTTGCCGTTGCTGTTGTTGCGCTTGTTGCTGTTGTTGTTGCATAGCTTGCATGGCAAACACCATCATGGGGTTCATCATTGGCGTGGGTGCGACTTGTTGCTGATTCTGTGTATTCAGTGCGTTCATCAAGTTCAACAAGGCGCTCGGATCCGTCGTTTGACTATTCTGCTGTGACATTGAGTTGATTTTGAACAAATTCGACAACAATTGCTGTTGTTGTTGCTGGGCGATGAATTGTTGCGCATTCAGTGGGCTGTTCTGTAGGAGTGACATGTTCGAGGCGGTAGTTAGAGCTGTGGTTGAGATTGGATTGGCTATGGTGGATGGCGTGCTTGGACTGAAATGATGATGACAATTAATTTTTGAGGAAAAAAGTTGCAAACAACAACATTCAAGGCGATATTAAAGTTAACAAATATCGAAGGTTAGGTTGAAGTACGATATAATTTAAAATTCTGATTTAAAAAAAATTTTTACCCTCACCCTATTCTGCCTTGCCCTGCCTTATCAACCCTAACTACAGTATCTCATCTTACAGTATGATTTATCCAAAAAGTTTTCTAATTATTATATACGCAAAGTTGGCCCCTCCCCTTCACTAAAAACATCCTTTTAATCCTCCCCCCCCACACATCTAAAAGTGTAGACAAAGAAGGTACGACATCACACGCACTTGCTACCTGCACGGAATACCGTACCCTGGTGCCAAGTTGTTGTCCATAGGGAAGCTCCAGCTGAGATCAGCTGGATCACAGTACCATGTAGTGGTACTTTGGACAGTTAGTACTGATTAGTATGGAACTAATCAGCCGTACAATAAAATACTGTATTTAGTACAATATGATCATGTACTTAATAAAAATTAACTACAGTATAAAGTATAGCTATTACAGTACTATAGTTACTACTACAGTGCTATAGAGACTATTGCAGTACTATAGATACTATAAACCAAGCATGAAAGTACAGTATAAAGCTCCAGTACAAGTACCGTGCACCTCAAACTGGTAACGGTAACAAGCCTAGTAAAGAATACGGTCAGAAGACTGCAATAGTATACAGTAACAAGCCTACTATAGTATACAGTAACAAGGCTACTGTAGTATACAGTAACAGGGCTACTGTAGTATACGGTAACAAAGCTACTATAATATAATGATAAAAAGCCTACTGTAGTACACGGTCACAAGTCTACTATAGTATACGGTAGCAAAGTTACTGAGGTATACGGTAATATACAGAGCCCAATTTCAATATTACAATGTTAGTGTGAAGAATACTGAGAAATATTGATGAACTAGCCCCTTATATACCATAACAACTACCAACCGAATCCACTTACAGGGCTTTGTTTATTATGTACATGTCAATGCACCCAAACCCCGCCCCTTTCACGGTCCTATTTCACGCCGTGCATGATCCTATTAAAAGGGCGTGTAATATACTCGAAAACGGAATTAAAAAGCTAGGGCTAAACTAGCGAGTACGAGCATGTACGCACGGCTGGTATTAGGCGCCAACATAAAAAACCCGCCACTTTGCCTGTGATTTCCTGTAAAAAATGGCGGGTTCTTTATGTCGGCACATGATAACAGCTACAGAGAACATGCACGCACAGACTGTGTTATAAAAAGTTATCGCAACTAAACCTGTGTAGTATTGTACACACATTACTACTGTAATCCTCTATTTACATATTTGAAATAATGTTACAGTAGGGTTTTAATAAAGTAAGTGAACACATGCAGTAAGACTAACACAAGACTTCTTTAAGACTGTAGATACAGCAAGATGAAGCTAAGTTACGGTAAAATAAGAGAGGTTCTTTATTTTAGTGATACAGTATCCCACCCAACATTTTGCCTAACCCTAGTTTTAGCCCTAGTCAAAATTACAGCCTATGTTAGCCAAATATGAGCCATGTCCTAGTCCTACCTTACATTACCAACCATACTTTACTCAAACACCTTGTACATAAGATACAGTATTAGGAAGTGCTTAGCCTAGGTACAAAACTAAGGCCACAGCTCAAGCTACGAGTTAGCCTACAGATTAGGCTGAGTTAGTAGGGTACGACATATTAGGTACAATATGGCAAAGTATGGTATGTTAAGTTTTGTAAGATGGGTATCGTATAGTAGGTAGCATAGGGCATGGTACGGTACTAAAAGAATCAAGGGTAGGGTCGGCAGAACTAAAAGGGTCAGGGGTGCAGTTGGGTAAGGCTATAAAGGTGAGGTCGGGTAGGGCTAAAATTTATAGGGTGAGGTTGGGTAGGTAACATTACTTGTTAGACACTCAACAATTTTAAATTGTACTTTAATATTTTTTTAAAAATTGTTTGGATCGCCCATAAATATATATATTCATGCAGAGCCGGGCGCTGGGAGGGGGGGGTGGACCGGGAGAGCAAAAAAATTTTCGAAAAACGTTGAACGTGGTCCCTCCTGTGGATTTTTTAAACAAAGTTTTTCGGAAAAAATGTGCTAGCTACCTGTGCCAATTTTTTCGACCCCCGCCCCCCAAACCAAAAGTTTCCGCCCGGCACTGTATGCATGCGTTACGGAAATTATTATTGTTTTAATTAAAATTTTTAGAGTGTTATTTGTTGAGAAAGTTATATAACGAGTGGACCCCACCCCCTCCTCACCCCCGCGGGTATTAAAAATTGAATTTTTCACGGGGGTGACGGCGGCGGGGGGTGGCAAATACCCGCCCCCCGTAGAACACTACTTAGCGTCAACCGGCTGTCCCTAACTTATTCAACAAAACAAGCAGCTACGTACCTGCCCAACGCAAACCGTGTTAATGAATTCCGAAATTCGAAAGTTCGTGACCCAATTAGCGTTAATTTATGCAAATTACAACAATAAGTGCTAATATATGCAAAAATCGACAAAATACCGTTAATACATGCAAGTATCGGCTGGGATTTTAATTTATGCAAATTTCAACTCTCTCATCCCCTTAGTTATGCACCAACCAGCTCAACCCACTTCCCCGTACGTGGGTTGAGCTGAAACTTACTGCGGTGTTTACCACGGTGAAGTTGATGTCATTTCTGGGTCATAATAGATGAACGGGTTGGTAATGTGAGTTTGTGTCGATCATGCACATGAACAGGTTTGTAATGTAAGTTTGTGTCAATTATACACTCGAACGGGTCGGGAATGTCATCGTATCTACTGGTAATACCCAAAATTCAAACCTATTTACTATTTATGTACTGAATTGGAAACTCATCTACCTATTTAACAATGTATCATGATAGGTATTGAGTTGGAAATGTCATCGTATGTAACGGAGGTGAACTAGTTTTAAAGGTTATTGTGTTCAGTTCACGTTAAGGTTAATTTCACGGCATTTAAACATGATGAACATTGCAATATCGAACGTTGAACTGTTTGTTTTGACTTTACAATGATGTTTTTGCTAGCCTAATGCGTAGCTTTAGCCTTAGTCTTAGGTTTGTCTTAGCCACAATCCATTATCTTAGACTTATCTTCAGATTTAACTATTATATAATCTTATACTTAACTTATCCACGGCCTTATCACTGGTCTTGGCCTTACAAGTAGAGGTGGGGCCTTGTTCGTAGAGATGAGAAACGTGCCGTATATGCCCGGCCCGGTCAGAAAAAGGCCGGCCAGTTTGCACGTAAAGATTTCCTGAGGTAAAAATGAAAACGGGTCGTTCCTAAACCTTAAGCCCTTTTCTCACCCTTAGGCCTTAGCCTTAGCTTTGGACCCAGATCTAGGTATAGCCTTAACCCAGCCTCAGACTTATCCCTAGCCTTCTGATATATTTTATCTCACAACCAGTTTTCTATCCTTTGGCAGGTTCAACCTTTAACTCATCACTAGATGCCAGTTTTTAGTCCTAAAACCACTTACTGTAACTACCCCCTTAAACTATTTAAGATTCATCATAGCAAGCCAATAATACGCCTTTAGATAAGTGTATTACAATTGTAATTTGTAGGCGTTTGACCTTAATTGAATGTTCAATCATCCTACAATAAGATAAAGCCATGTAAACATTAATTTATCTTATTACGGCCATTCCTACATTGCTAATACCCACACACATACCCTCAGCTACGACCTACTATAATACGAAGATGTACACACAACTGCCTACTGTAATATGAAGATGTACACACAACTGCCTACTGTAATATTGAAGATGTACACACAACTGCAAGAGCGTTACCATGAAAAGACATGATGATATTCAGGTTGGTGGGCAACTAAACCCGCTTGTAAATGGCTATATTGGGATAATCGAGGAAAGTTAAAGTAGAATAAGAGAAAGCTACACTAAAGCAAGACAAAGCTACAGCAGTGTAAAGCACAGCTATAGTAGAGTGAGGCAGAGCTACAGTAATGTAGAGCAAACGTACGAGCTAGTTAAGAAGCATAGTAAAAAAATTTCATTACTGTAAGACTAGGGTAAAGTTACAGTAGAGTAGGGTAGGGTAGGGTAGGGTAGGGTAGGGTAGGGTAGGGTAGGGTAGGGTAGGGTAGGGTAGGGTAGGGTAGGGTAGGGTAGGGTAGGGTAGGGTAGGGTAGGGTAGGCTAGGGTAGGGTAGGGTAAAAGTCAGGTAAGGTAAAAATGTGTATATAGAGTACGGTATATAACAAAATACTATAATTTTTGGCTTTTTTCGTCCAAAAAAATATTTTTACAAAGGAAATACCCTTAGAATAAACTCAGTATAAACTTTTACACAAAACCGTGTTTAATCTCGTACAGGCGCTTACTACTTAACACATTAATCAGCTGAGTGCCGTATCGTCGTATGTTTCCAAAAGCGGTTCCACATAAGACGATACGATGCATCAAGGTATTAATTTAGTTAATGGATATGTTATACTTGAAAAACCATGATTATTTCGTATGTATTTAAGAAAAAGATTTCCAATTTATACCATATGGTAATAGCTATAAAATTTTGTAAAAAGGGGTTTATATTATACATGAGCAAGTACATAAACCCTTTATTTTTCGTGTAATCTTGGTTTATTAATATTTCGGAATTGTTGATGTTTACATTGTAAAATTTTAAATGAAATTTCAAATTTAATTTTACTTCGTTCCTCATTGTAGTGTTACATCAGTGGCTTTAGCCCTAGTAGTCTAATCATATCTTTTACCATAGTCTGCGAGAAAAGCTCTGGCCCTAGACCAGCCCTAGCCTCAGCCCAAGTTCACGATCGTGCTCTAACCCAAACTCAAGTTCAAGCCCAAGCCTAAGCCTAAGCTTCAGCCCTCGCCTCAGCCCTAGCCTCAGCTCTAGCCTCAGCCCTACCTTCAGCTCTAGCAGTTGTCCTAGCCTCAACCCTAGCCCCAGCCTTAACCCTAGCCGTGTACCTACCCTAGTCACCGCCCTAGTTCTAGCTAGGCTAGGTTAGGCAAGTATAAGCCATGCCTTAGCCATAGCTATAGCCTTAGCCTATTATTTTTTGATTTCGGTTTTCTGGGGAGTTCCTGAGGAGCGCGGCTTAGTGCTTTGCTGAAGAACTTACGATAAAATAATCTTTCAACATAAAACTTTCAAAGTCAGTCAAAGCGGGGCAGGTTAGGTACTTTGCTTGTAAGTTCGGCCTTTACAAGGCAACAAAAACTTCATTTTAAACAGAAAAAATGAAAAAAAACAACAAAAAGACTAATAAAACCAAGTCTAAAAGATACAGTCAATAATAGAGCTAGGCTTATCAAGTACCGTAAGCAATAAATTTTACAGTACACCCCAAAGTTCAAAAATATTTCATCTTCGACCAAGAACCAAAAAGAAAATATTTTGAAATGCTTTTCTCATTTTGACCCATTACCAAGAATACCAATTCAAAAAAGTAGGTATCAACCCGTTTTACGTCGCCATTAAGACCCTTTAAACCGCTAACTAACCGTACGGTTTTAAAAAATCGAATTTACGGCCGCTTCATAAGTCAAATTTGCATGAAATTCGCTGAAAGGGTAGGAATCGGATTATCAACCCATTTTTAATAAACAAAATTGACTTGGATTCGAAAATGTACCCTTCCCTAATTTTACCGCTCTGACATACCCAACTGTACCTTATCCAGGTTATTATGTCCTGTCCTAAGCTTCCCTATCATTCCCTAGCCTACCCTACCCACAATACTATGCCCTACCCTGCCTTGCCGGGCCTTGTTCTGCACTTTCTTGCCCGGCCCTACAAGTATAGTATAGTATAGTATAGTATAGTATAGAATAGTATAGTATAGTATAGTATAGTATAGTATAGTATAGTATAGTATAGTATAGTATAGTATAGTATAGTATAGTATAGTATAGTATAGTATAGTATAGTATAGTATAGTATAGTATAGTATAGTATAGTATAGTATAGTATAGTATAGTATAGTATAGTATAGTATAGTATAGTATAGTATAGTATAGTATAGTATAGTATAGTATAGTATAGTATAGTATAGTATACCCTACCCTACCCTACTCTGACTTGCCTTTCTGTAGCTCTGCCCTATCCTACTGTAGCTCTGTATTAATGTTTTTTAAGTCTTCTCTACTATACTATATCAATACATTACTCTAGATTAAAAACAGCCACCATATACCCAAAAAAGCTCGAAATGTAAACTCACAGTGAAACAGAAGTCTGTGGGATGAGGTCTTTGATGTCAAACGGCTCTTCGTTGATGCCAATTTCTTTAAACGACCGTTTCGACTCTTCGACCAGTCGATATACCAACGTATAACGTTGTGCCAATTCATTTTCATTGGCCGTCTGTTCAGCACGAGTGTCATCTATTAGCTTCTGCATATCAATTTTGTCCTGAAAAGGGAAATTTTAGGTATTAAAATCGTTGATTCTAATGTAAAATAACATAAACCTAGGCCTGAAGACCAGACATGGGCCAGTAAAATGTTTTTTTTATAAAAATTTAAAACAAAACCAAACCGAAAAATTGGGCCCGACCCCTTTACAAGTCCACAAAAACTCATTTTAAGCCTAAAAACGACAAAAAAATCTCCGGCCGTTAAACCAAACTCTAAGCCAAAGTGAGGTTACGTATATCACACGACAGCGGCGTAACTGTAAAATGAGCAAGCGGTTTACATTTACATTCCCAAACGTGTTCGCTTTTCATTTACAGATTGTTTGGTTTTACATACGACCAGTAAACCGAAAGAGTTAAACACCAAACGGTAGTTTGATTGTTATTGGAAGAAATTTCCAAATTTAAATAAACAATTTTATGATGGCCTAGGACGAAAACTAAGACAAAAACCAGGGCTGAGGTTAACTTTGGGGCTAGGTCTCGATCTAAAGTTATGATTAACGCTAGGACTAAAGCAGGCCAAAGCCAAGGTTAATTCGACTAAACTTAGAACTAAGGATAAGACTGAAGCTAGAGCTAAGACTAAGTCTAAGCTACAACTCGGACTAACGCAATGACAATAGAGGCTAGACCTAAGTTTAAAGGTAGGACTAAACTTAGAACTAGGGCTGAAGCTAGAACTAGGGCTAGAGCTAAGCCTTAGGAAAAGGCTAGGACTTAGGATAAAACTAAGGCTTAAGATAAGGCTAGAGCTTAGAGTAAAACTAAGGCTTAGGATAAGGCTAGGGCCTGAGCTAGTGCTTGGACAGTGATCGTTATTATTAAATAAAAAAACTGTTTAACACCCCGATCTTTAATTAATGAAAATTCTTGATGGCTTAATTCTCACATTCCGAGACGATTATATACATACAAGCGTAAGCGGTATTACATGACTATTAATAACAATTGTTTTAGCCAATTACATTTAAACTTGGTTTGCTTAAAAACCAGTTTTTACAATACCCTGCCCTTTATCCTACCCTACCCTACCCTACCCTACCCTACTCTACGCTACTCTACCCTACCCTACCCTACCCTACCCTACCCTACCCTACCCTACCCTACCCTACCCTACCCTACCCTACCCAACCCTACCCTACCCTACCCTACCCTACTGTAACTTTACCCTAGTCTTACAGTAATGAAATTTTTTTTACTATGCTTCTTAACTAGCTCGTATCCTGTCTTACCTAGAGGTAGCTATAGCTCGTAATCGGTCCTACTTAGAGGTGGCTATCGGTCCGGCCCTAGCCTGGTTACGCACTAAAAGCCTAATTTCTGGCCCAAAGCCGTTCCTTATGACACCTTTCACAACCCCAACACCACATGTATTAGTATATTACACTCCACATGATTGTAATACTGTTGACGCTTAACACACTGCCAGCAAACGATCCCGTCGTATATTTCCTAACTACGGTAGACGACGCGGCGATTCACACGTGTCGTCGCATTTGTCCCACCTTTACAGCCGGAGGAAGTTCCGCGTTAAGCACGTCAAAGTCGCTTACAGTGCGCAGTACAGCGTTAAGTACCTTTCCCCGCGTACTTATCACGCTGATTTCGTACGTCGTATGTTGGCGAGACTGCATTAATGTAATGTAGTCGTTTCTTCATGGACAACAGGTTACGCATGGATTGTAAAAGAATTGGCGGTTTATCGGCTACGAAAGCGGTTCGGCGTACCGTAGTCGTTTGGATTTGATTACATAGAGGTTTGATGGTTATATATAGGTATGGCCAGAGGTGGGGAAGACAGTAAGTGAAACGAGAACTTAAGGGAGGAGAAGAGAGAGAAAGGTAAGAAAGAGCAAATAGGCAGGGTAAAAAAAGGAAGGAGCATCCTGGAACTAAAATTGGCCCTAGCCTTCGCCTTGGTCCAGAGCCACAGTCCTAGCCCCCGGTGGCCGAGTCCTACTCCTATTGCAAGCTCAGGCCCAAGCCCGAGACCTGGTTCCGAACCTGAGACTTAGCCCGGAGCCCTAGCCCTAACCCTAGCCCTAGCCCTAGCCCTAGCCCTAGCCCTAGCCCTAGCCCTAGCCCTAGCCCTAGCCCTAGCCCTAGCCCTAGCCCTAGCCCTAGCCCTAGCCCTAGCCCTAGCCCCAGCCCTAGCCCCTCATACTACCCTAACCGTATCCTATAAGCCCCTATATCATGATACACGTCACTACAATACAGTAGAAGCATTTTCCAAAATAGCCCTAGCAATAGCCCTAACACTAGCTGAAGTCCTAGTCCTAGCCTTAGCCTCTCATATTATACAACTCTAACCCTATGCTAAGCACCCCTACATGATAATACACATCACTACAATGAAGTATTAGTATCTTCCAACATAAGCAATCATTTACATTACAAAACATAAAACTATTACAATAATCTCATCCCCAAATGCCAACTTTAATTAATGCTAAACCAATTTTGAAAATTGGAAATATAAAGATTTTAAGCCTATTTCTGAATTTTTTAGCTAGTTAAGGCTTAATTTCTAAAACTTTAAACCGTTTTTCGGTTTTAACTACAATTGTTTTTGAGCATTCACTAGTACTGCCTAAGGCTTAATTAAAGTTATTGCCACAAGAAAGGGTTTTGAACTGTTTGCGTGGAGGATTTGCATAGAAATGGCATTAATACTATAGTGAATATTGCCATTTTGTGTGTTGTAAAGAAAGTTTTTGCCATTTTTTGTTTTGTAAAGAAAGTTCTTGCAATTTTTTGTTTTGTAAAGAAAGTTTTTGTCATTTTTTGTTTTGTAAAGAAAGTTTTCGCAGTTTTTTGTTTTGTAAAGATTTTTGCCAATTTTTGTTTTGTAAAGAAAAATTTTGCCATTTTAAGTTTTGTGAAGAAAGTTCTTGCCATTTTACGTTTTGTAAAGAAAGTTCTTGCCATTTTACGTTTTGTAAAGAAAGTTCTTGCCATTTTACGTTTTGTAAAGAAAGTTCTTGCCATTTTACGTTTTGTAAAGAAAGTTCTTGCCATTTTGGTTTTGTAAAGAAAGTTTTTGTCATATTTTGTTTTGTAAAAAAAGTTCTTGCCATTTTTCGTTTTGTAAAGAAAGTTCTTGTTATTTTCCTCAAAAAAGCCCTAATTACACCAAATTCAGTCAAAAAATATCAGTGATCTGTCCTACCTTGTTGATTTTTTGAATAATATCGGAATGACTGTCCCTTTCCTTTGACAAATCACTAATCATCTTCTGGGCCTTCTCCAGGAAGTCTTCCGTCTCCTGATACTCAGCGTTTTCCGTCACGAATTCCGATTGCTTTGTTTTGATATCGTCCAGTTTTGCTCTACATGGTAACAAAATTCATTTTTAGGTAACAAAATTCATTTTTAGGTAACGAAATTCATTTTTAGGTAACAAAACTCATTTTTAGGTAACAAAATGCTCAAAAACCCCCAAAAGAGTACCTCATACTATATAGCACTTACTTAGCATAAGCAATCTTCTGTAGGTCAGCACAAATGCTCTCCACGCTCAGTTTGGGCGTCTGATTGGTCGGCGGAGAGGCTGTCATCATTTCAATTCGTCAGAAATAAGTAGTAATTACCAGTTTTAAAGCTTCAATTAATCGACTAGTTGCTTCTCAAACCCAAATTTATGACTCTGAAAAGAAGGATGATAAATGAAGGGCACGGTAGAGTACGGTAGGTGAAATAACGGTAAACGCGAAGAAAGCAAAATAAAAAAAACTACCCTCTACTCCAGCATTTCTGCCCTACCCTACACCCTAGTAATTCACTATCTCTGCTGACCTTACAAGGAAGTACTTAAGCCTAAAAACTTGTATCTAAACCTAAAATTTGTAAATAAGCCTAAAAATGTGCACCTAAGCCTAAAAATGTGTGCCTAAGCCTAAAATATGGTACCTAAGCCTAAAATGTGTATTTAAGCCTAAAATAAGCCTAAAATCTGAATATAAGCCTAAAATCTGTACCTAAGCCTAAAAAATGTGTACCTAAGCCTGAAAATGTGTATTTAAGCCTAAAAATGTGTACCTAAGCCTGAAATGAGTACCTAAGCCTAAAATGTGTACCTAAGCATAAACTTGCGTACCTAAGCCTAAAATAAGTTCTTATGCCTAAAATGTGTACCTTAGCCTGAAAGTGTGTACCTAAGCCTAAAATTAGTTTCTTATCCTAAAATATTGGACTTAAGCCTAAAATTGTGTACCTAAGCCTACAATGTGTACCAAAGCCTAAAATGCGTACCTAAGCTTAAAAAAGTGTACCTAAGCCTAAAGTGTATGCCTAAGCCTAACTTTGATTGTACTTAAGCCTAAATTGAGTACACAAATCTAGAAAGTGCAGCTAAGCCTAATCTAAGGTTATAAGCCTAAAATAACATTTGTTCTACCCAATACTATAATTTTAACTATATATAAAAGCAGAATATTAAACAAGTCGATTTCAATTTAAAATTCGGAAACGAAGAATCAGTAGCGTATTTGGAAAGCCCAATCAGATGGCATGAAATGACAAACGGAAGTGGTGGTGAAGAAGAAAAAAAGTTCTGAAAAGACTGTCGTTTAACGCGCCATTGGCTGCCGACCAAATGCAAATAATAAGGTGTTTTCGGTCGCAAATTTAATTTCCAAGCATCGCTGCGCTGTGCAAATTAAAAAAAAGTCGTATTTAAGCAAATTTTTGAGTAATAAATTGCATTTTAGGCAATAAAATTCATTTTTAGGTAACAAAAGCCATTTTTAGGTAACAAAATCCATTTTTAGGTAACAAAATCCATTTTTAGGTAACAAAATCCATTTTTAGGTAACAAAATTCATTTTTAGGTAACAAAAGCCATTTTTAGGTAATAAACTTCATTTTTAGGTAACAAAATTCATTTTTAGGTAACAAAGTTCATTTTTAAGTAACAAAATTCATTTTTAGGTAACAAAAAACCTTTTTTCAAACTATTTTAAAAAATTATATGAAAAGCATAAAATTTAGTCTAAAAAAGCTAAAAAATCCAAAATAAAATCATAAAACGAGCCATTTTAGGCTTTTGTATTCGAAATGAAAAGAAAGTTGTTCACATTATGACTAACAACAAATCACATTTACATAGACGTTCCTTTTCAAGCAAGCAAACTTTTTCAAATACTGTTCTGGTTTTGGAACAAAGGATGCTTTTTCAATATATGTTTTTTGAAAATAGTTATTTAGCCTTTAAAAATACTGAAAAAACACGCAAAATAGTGGAAAAAATGGTGAAAATAAGCTAAAAGACTGAAATAAATGAGAAAAAATGTGAAAAATGAAATAAAAACATTGAAATTCACTAAAAAATTATATTTGCAGCCCCCAAAAATATATTTCTAACCAAAGAACACTTTTTAAAATAACCTTTTCAATTTTAAAATTCCAAAAAATGCACAAAAAAACCAAAAAAAAACTTTGACCCCGACGTGATTCGAACACGCAACCTTCTGATCTGGAGTCAGACGCGCTACCGTTGCGCCACGGAGTCACACCAGGCCAACCCTTTTGTTTTCACTTGGAAATGAACAAGTGCTCTTATGAAGAGATAAAATGGGATTAAAAATGAAAAAGTAGAGTGAAAATAGCCAAAACTTTTTTAATTTTTTAAAAGAAATGTGTATAATAATGTAAAAATTTTCAATTTAAGCTTAAAAATCTTTTTAAAAAAATTTAAAAATTTTAAATTCATAATAAAATATCTAAAAAAAGCTCCTCTTCAATACAAAACCGTTGTAAAAGTAAAAAGGTAATAACCGTCTTTACTCACGGTAAACTTAAAAGATGATTGCAAAAGGTTACTTGTTTCGTCTTTCGGCTACACCGTTTTTCTGATTCATTTTGGTATGACTCGGCTTTTGTTGCCTTGTTCAAGATTCTGTGGTGAAGGAAAAGAGTGTGGGAGAGAATAGAGAGTAGTGAGAAGACAGATTCAAAATTTTTGTATTTTTCAAATTTTTTTAAAAAAATTGTCGTTTTTAGTTTAACATTTTCATTAAAATTTTCATTTGCTAACCTAAAGTCTAGACTTATGTCTTATCTTAAGCACTAGCCTGAGACCTGGCCTAAACTTTAGCCTAAGGCCTAGCCTGAGCCCTGGCCTTAGCTCTAGAACTAAAAAAAGTTCTTATCCAAGCCATAGCCCCTAGTCTTAAGTTAGATGTGTCTTACCGTACCGTACCGTACCCTACCCTACCCTACCCTACCCTACCCTACCCTACCCTACCCTACCCTACCCTACCCTACCCTACCTTACCCTACCCTACCCTACCCTACTCTACCCTACCCTACCCTACCCTACTCTACTCTACCCTACCATGCCCTACCCAAAAAACAAGAAAGATAATAAAGCACAACGTTCTAAAAACTAGCAAGCTAGCCAAAATTTGATAAACTGACTAAAAACCAAACAAAAATGACTGTTCTTCATTACAAAACTGTAAAATAAACTGAGAATTTAATTAAAATTTTGTCCGAAATTTCAAAATCAATTAAAGAAGTGAGTTACAAAAGGTAGTAAAAGTCATATGGCTGGTCATAGGAGCCTAAAAAAATTTAAAATTTAAACGAAACTACTGTTAAGTTTTACCGCAAAAAAAATAAAAACTAAAATATTAATTCGTTCACTTAATTCTGCGCCCCGTAACCCCAAAAATATGCTTATAAAGGGGCGTAAAATTAATTGAACGCCCTAATACAGTGTAACTCCTGGATAACGATCAAAGTAAAAACCTCTAGAAAGTCGAAAAAAATTTTCAAAAATCCACAGGGGGGACCCCGTCCAAGTTTTTTTCGAAATTTTTTTCTGAGCTTCCCCCCCCTTTAACAGTTATTACAAAGTAAAACCCCCACTCCCCCAAAGACATGATAATTACCTATTCTCAAAAAACCTTCACCTTTCAAATAATCAAATTCACATAAAAAATTCAAATTCCAAGCCATTTTCCCACCAAATGGGCCCGTTTACCGTGCTAATCACGCATTTACATTGCGGGAGATCAAAAAGTAACCTCGATTTTTTAGTTTTAGCTATGTCATTCGGTTTACGTTTTAGTTTTTTTAGTTTTTTTTGTAAAATTTGCATAAAAAGTCTAAAAATCAAAAAAAAATTTTTTTTTCTCCCAACCCCCGGCTACTTGAAAGGGGTTCTACTAGTTCCATCCCACCTCTTCCTCCGGACCGACCGGCCTATAGCCCAAAGGCCGACCCCAACCCGAAAAATTAAGCCTTTCTCGGCTTCTTTACAGACCTAACCCTTTCCCCCCCCCCTCCCATTTCAAATGCTTAAAGTGTTTGAATTCCCAGCCAAAAACAAATTACATAATATTCGCGGCAGACGAGAAAATATAAAATAATAGAAAGGAATCAAATTTATGACTTCCCGACATACCGTAACATTCCCTACGCGCTAGTATAAGCCGAGCCTCTTGTTTGTACTTTAAAAATGGTTTGCAGTAAATTTATAAAACGAATTTAAACGATACACAATATACCCCCTCCCCCCGTATTTTACCAAAAATTCTTCATTTCTAATGAAAAATGGCAGAAAATTTACAATATATAAAAAGGCCATTTTACCCTACCCACCGCTAAACAAAAACACCTCGTTTTACCCTACCCAACATAACATAAAAACACCCCGTTTTATTCCCCCCGCCCACCAAAAAAATAAAAAACCTCGTTTTACACTACCTACCAGGGACGTCGCTTGGTAGTTCGGTCATCTCCTCCCTCCTCCCCACTCACAAAATAAAAAAAAACCTCATTTTACAACACTGTCCACTTAAAAAACCTTGTTTTATCCTCTTCCCCCCTTCTTCTCATTTCAAAATCAAATAAGGATGCCATTTTACCCCACCCACCTTAAACTCCAAAACGTTTTTCCAATTTTCGGTCGCAACGTGACAAAACTTTTGTTGTCCGCAAATTTACGAGCGTTTTCTGATTCGCCGAGAGGTCAGTAATAATTCAGCATTCAATTGAATATTCGATCATGGGAATGGGAGGGGGATGAATTATTACAGTGTTTGAAATCAAACATAAAAGGTCAGGTTTTATGGGTTTTACATTGGAAATGAGGATGTTTTCGAGATTTAGATAAAGAAATGTGGGTTTGCCCTAAAACTAATGATTTTGACATGAAAAAAAGATTTTTGCACTATTGGTTAAGAATTTTGTTACGCTAGGACAGGGCCTGGTAGAGGTGAGAAACAGGCCGGGCCGGCCCTGAGCTAAAATTGAAACGGGCCGAGCTTGAAAATTGGGCCCGGGCCCAAAAAAAATTTTTTTTTAATCTTTAAAAATTTTTTATTTCAATCCCCGTTGATGTTTTTGATTTTATTGAGTACTATGATCTTATATGATCTGAAAAAACAATTTAAAGCCAAATTTCCGTTTATTTTTTAAGTTTTAAAATTTTTTAAATTTTTTAAAACGGGCCGGGCCGGGCCTAGAAATTTTCTGACCGGGCTGGGCCGGGCCGGCCTGAGAGAAAAATGAAAACGGGCCGGGCTTAAACGTTAAGCTCCGGGCCTGGGCCGCC